TTTTGCGCGTTTCTGGACCGTTTTTTTAAATCGGTTTTCTGTTCTGAGAGGTTGTCCGAACTGAGCTTCATGTTTTGGTATGAATCTTTTGTACAATCCTCATAAGAATTTTTTTGATAAAATATCAAAAAAACTACTTAGAAAAAAAGGTCAGAAGGAATTTTTCAGCTTATTTTTTTCTTTTTTTCTACTCAGAAAAAAATTATTATCATTCGATTTAGAAAAAAAGAAAAAAATGAAAAAAATAATGTTAATTCGAAATAAAACAGGAAAAAAAGTGAAGCGCCGGTAATTATCACCCATTATATGTGAACACTTCGCAATAGGGCGCACTTGGTTTCACGCATATTTCGAGGAAATCCAAATTATTTCTATATCACCTCGGTTTTTCTGAGTTTTTCATTTGTTTTTATGATTTATAATTAAATTACAGGAGGGTAAATCCACTTCATGAACTTTGAAATAAAAAAAAAATTTTGTGGCACGTGCTTCAGCTCGAAGATGTCGTAGCAAACGAATTTTTGCGGCACCTAGATGATCGAGATCAATTTTGCCACAAGTTTCGAGCAGAGAGCCTCAAAATGGCTCGAAAAACTGGTGTGTACTTTTACAGGGCTTACACTGAACTTTCACACAAAATTTGGAGTAAACTGGATAGCAGTCAAAAAAAGCAAGACCCCGTTTTATATGTTTAAAATAGGTAAACTGTTTGAAAAAAATCGAGCGAACATTCTATTGAACGTTAAAATTGAACGTTAACATTGACGGCTTATTACTCGCAATTTGCTCAGCCGACCTTGTCGAAATTCGATGATCGCGGCAAGAAACAGAAGCCTATTGAGGAGGTATGGTCAGAACTGAGCACATCAGCGAAAGTCCATCAAAGTATCAAATTAAAACGATGTTCTCGAGCGGGTCTCGCGTTTTCTCAGCGCTATCTCGCACTTCATTGAGAATTTTTTCGACTTTGGGAATTTTTTACGCGAACGGTATCTCCTTTCCTTGCGTCGCAGTAAGTATTCCCCACCCTGTAATATGATTATAAATCATAAAAACAAATGAAAAACTCAGAAAAAGAGAGGTGAGATAGAAATGATTCGGATTTCCTCGAAATATGCGTAAGACCAAGTGCGCCCTATTGCGAAGTGTTCACATATAATGGGTGATAATTACCGGCGCTTGAAAAAGTGCAATTTGACTCCGAAAACCGGCTCCTGCGACATTTAAAAGGGCGCATCGGTGTGTTTGACGCAAACACTGCTACGGACACTTGCACGAAATCTTCCGAAATTTCAAAAAAAATTGCTATTTTTTCGAGGTTTTCAAAGCCGTTATTTTTTTCGCGTCGATCGATTTTTTTCATTTTCACTCAAAAAATAAAGAAAGTGTTAATGTATAACATACTCACAGTTCGGAAGCGTTCCTCTCTTGGTTTTCTGAAACGCGACGATTTTGTGAAACTTGTCAGTTTTTTTCGTGTTAAATCTTACTTTTTCGCTTATTTTTGAAAAATACATAGTTTTAAAAATATTCAGTCTTGTAGAGCGTTGTCGATTACATAGATTAACAGAAACAGTTCATTTTTAAAATGGGACTTTAGCTAGTATAAACGCCTCAAAACCGTTTTTGCAACAAAAAAATCGTCATTTTGGTGGCGTGAAGGGGCGGGGCTTTGCGCCCCCTAGGTTAACCTTGGTGACCGGCCACCAGCCGCTCATACGGAATAAGGCGTCAAATAGAAGTTTTCTCTTGCCGATAGAACCCGTCCAAATATTGAGGAGTTATTAGTTTTTCATATTAAACTCTATCATTTTTGACCGGAACTGATATAAAACAGGCATTTTTTTAAATAAAAAAGTTATTTCATTGTTTTTTGTATAAAAAGTCAAACTGCGATATTTTTTTCTATCCATAGTATTCTCTTCAAAAGTCGAATGATAAAGAAATCATACAACTTTAGACGGTCCTAATACGGTAGATGGCCACGTCATCGCACGTCGACATCGTGTGAACGCGGCTCCGGAAATTCCGCAGCCGCCACCGCTTCCATTCCAAGACTCTTTCAAAGTATCCGGCTCGACCGATCTCCAAGGTCGAAGAATCATTATATCCCCCACCAAATCAGTTTCCAGGGCTTTCTGCAGAACCGACAACGCACACGTCCACGGGCTCTCAGAGTATTCCCACAATAACCGTGAGACTTGAAACTATTTCGAGCTCATTATGCTTTGTAGTCTTTCCTCTATGAACGGACAACGATTGCTCCAAATGTCTCTTCCAAGAAGATCCGGCAAGAACTTTCTCTCGAAGATTCAGAAGAAGATCATCTCATCATTGGGCGACTCAGCGCCTCCAATTCGACCTCCGGCATGGACGCCTACGTGACGTCACCAGGTTTTCGAATCAGCGCGGAACGTCTTCTAGAATCTTTTCAGCAACTACTTCGGGTTTTAGAGAAAAAGACAAAGGCAGCAAACTTCACGACAACTTTTTGAGGTATACTTTTTTTTTTGAGCGATTGCGGTTGTTTTTAAAATCAAACTTCGAATGGCATTTTTTACAATAAAAAAAAAACAAACGAAAATACCTGATTTTTTATTCTATGATTTTGATCGTATATTGAGCATAATAACGAAAAAACAAATTGATTTTTTTTTCAGCCGCGAATTAGATCAGAAACTAAACGATACGATTTTGCCCGAAGAAGTCGGTGGTTTGTATCAATCGGAGCTGGTCAGAGTTGCTCCAGCAAAAAATCTCGCCCCGGGTAACCTTCCGATTTTACAAAAAACAATTTTCCGCTACAGAAAGAGCGAAAATCACAGAATATGCATTGCCGGTGGTCCGACCAGAACCGGCGAAGGCTTGCGTCCACGGCCGGATGGACTTCAGAAGTGGGTAGCTAACGAACTCCGAGCTGGGAAAAAAAAAATTTCGAACGGCTTCGGCCGAAATTCCCTTAAAGTTTCAATGTTTTTAGCAAGTGATGCTTTTTTTTTAAATTTTGAAGACCTTATTAATCTGGTTTTTTCAGAAGTGAAAAGACTGTCAGAAGGTTCTCGGGAGACGTCTCCTCGCTCTTATTTTGCAGGCAGAGCCGCCGCTGCCAAATGTTTGTTGTTGTTTTTTTTTTACAAAAGTATTCATTGTTATTTGAATAAGAAATCCTTAGATTTAGCATTAGAGGTCAATACAAAAAAATAGAATTATTTCAGGGAAGCCTTTTGTGATGAACTGCGATGAGGAAGAAGACAGCAAAGGGCCCCTTTGCAAGGTTTTTTCGTTTTCAATTATACATCTCCCATTCTATTTCATCTTTTCAAGGCAATTTTGTAGGCCTGGGCAGTGGTAGGCCTCTGCTCGACACACAAACCGACCATGTTCTTGTTCTGCCGGAAGACTTGCCTCTGCGTCGGTCCATACTGATTTATTCTGCGTGTTTTGTTGGATGTGCATAAATGATAGCGGTTTTGGGAGGGTCAAAGAATGTAATGGAGAGCTCCGGCGAGGAGATTGATGTCCGAACGCAGAGAGTTCACGGCCAGCATTATCGACCTCTGGTTGTTCAGCACCTACAACGGATGACTATGAAAAACAGTTTGCAAAAACAGACCTCTACACTCTCCGTGTATGGATTGTATCGCACTACAAACGGGCGTTTCATGTTGCTAGTGAACATCCTGAAACCGCAGATCACGTTTGTAGAATGGAAGAGTCAAACCTAAGTTTCTGTTGAGCTTCCTCGAAATTTCGAGTGTAGAAGTAGGCGTTCTGGAAAGTCGTGATCAGACATTCTTGTTCGACGACGCGATCAGGATCAAAACGTATTATGGTCGCGTTGCCCTCCACAGCGTGCTTCAGAAGTCAAACTTATTAACGATTCTCGACGCGGTCAGCCAACCTGGAGTTCTCCGGCGCTGCTCAACAGTCCCGCTCCGTAGACTTTGTACTTCCTAGAAGGTTTCTCCCCAGCGTTTTCTTTGTCAGGAGTGTCAGCGCAGTTATCCGAAGAGAGGCCAAACTCGATTGAGAAGAAATAAAGCTGAGAAATATTCACTGGAGAAATGTATAAACTCTCACCGTGGCTAGTTTCTTGAGATCCTCCTCGCTGGCACCCAGTGACGCCAGTCCGATTTCTTGGGAGAACTGCGCGAAGTCAGGTTCAGCGAACAATGCCATGTGACCCATCAGTTCGTGTACGGTATCGCTGGAGCAAGAGTTCAGGTCTATCCAAAGATATTTCCAAAGTTTCGTTCACTTTTACTCCAAAGTGTGGTTTGATAGTTACAAAGTTTTTTCTCGAAAATTTTGCGATTTCTCGTTTTTTAAATAAAAATGTTCATCTGGCCCAGATCTGGGTTTCAATGTCAAAAAAATTCTTCATCAAGATTTATACGTCTTTTTGATAATCAATGATGAATGGATTTTTCACCATCAAATGCAACAGTTTTTTAAATCCACCTTCCCTCTGAGTACGTCCATTCTCCTGAACTTTTAAAGTGCAAAGACCAACGGTTCCGGAGTGTAGAAAGGGTCGGCGTGGTGTCGCACGTACTGAGTGCAGAAAAAGACGCGAAACGCAAGTCCTGCAAGGAAGTCCCGGGCGGAAAGATATCCAGCCACCGGCCGCACCCGGAATCCCGTCTTTGCTGAGGTTCCCGGTCAACTCAACGGGAAGATGATGGAAACCCACCTTTTAGGAATCGACAAATGTCCTCTAGTTGCGGAATGTTGTTCTCAGAGTAGCCGCAATGACGTTCAAGAAGTTCAAAGTTGTCGAGGAACTCTCTACATGCGTGTCTGAAGGATGCAAATGAACAATCGTCGTGTCTTTGAAAAGGTTTTCATTAGTTAATTCGTTTGAGTCAGACGGTGGCTTCGAATAAAGTACTTTTTGTGGAGCTGACGGAGCTTCCGGTAGATGACTCCCCAGGTGTGTGTCTCACTGGCCGTGTATTCGATCCGCGGGATCGGCTCTCCGCTGAAGATTTTCTATATTTTGCCGGATTTCTTGTCAAATTACTGTTTGTAGCTGAGAGCGACGTCGGCGAACATCATCCGCCTCTGACGATACTCCACGTCTTTGAAGCCCTCAACAGGACATTTTGAGGACGGGACAAGTGAGACTGACCGGATGATCTGCGTCTAGGCCGGCGCCGTACATGATCACTCGTTTGGCGCAGATGTCCAGTTCGTAAATACTCTTAGGGAACCATTGAGATCCCGTCGTCGCGTCTTGAGATTTGAAAAAAAAATGTGAAAATCAACGCTCTCTGTTCGTTCTGAAACTGCGTCATTCTATAGGACTTACCATTAGATCCCGGCTCAACGTATTCTTCGGTGACAGAAGGACGAATTGTGAAGGACACTTCGTGGACCTGAAAACCCGGAATCTCCGATGGCCGGTCGGCCTGACCTCCAGTCCGTTTCTCCTCATGTGCTCCATCGCCGAGTGCTTTCCAACGCCGAGCTCCAGCTCGAGCTCCAAAAGAACGTCCATTTGGACGACTGAGCCATCCTGGCTGTCGCGCGTCTCCATGTGCTTCACACGCGTCTTTGGCTAAAGCAAGAAAAAAAAACTAGAGTAGTTTGTAGCCACGGAGGGGGCTACACTGGTCGGTGGTTTTTTTAAGATTCAAAAAACATTTTAGTTTTGAACAAAGCAGACTGCTTACAGTCTGCTTTGTTCAAAAAGCCTTACAGAAGACTGGAAACTAATTGTTTTCCTCGTTTTATTCTCTTCAAACTGATATTTCGTTATTTATAGCTCCGCTTTGAAAACGAGAAATCGCAATTTCTAAGGTGAACCTCCCGTGGTTTAGCTTAAAAGAAGATTTTGTAACTATTTGGAATTTTTGCGTCAAAATCTTGGCATGTTTATTTTCCACAGTTCAAGTTTCTACCCACCGGCAGAGCTTCCACCATGCGACCGATATTCTCGACGCCTCGCAACGTCTTCACTATCACCGTCAGAATGGCGAGTCCCTCGTCGTCCTCCTTGATGGAGGCTTCTCTATTGGACGAGTCGTTGTTCTGGAAGACCTGTCTGACGTCTTCTTCCGGAACGAATGGGATTCCCAGTGAGCCACTGCGTCGGAAACGTCGCTTGAACTCCTCCAAACGGGTCTCGGTGCTGGTCGACCTGAAAGCTGGAGTTTAATGGCTAGAAGCAAAACTCACAGGCTGGAGGACATCGACTTGGCCGCGGTCCTTTTGGTCGTCGAGTAGTACTGGAACTTCATCGCCGACGCCATTTGATCCTTGGTTTTGAAAAGTGATCGAGATCTAATGATGAAAAAGAAGTTTCAGTCTCGCAAAAAAAGAAATCGGGAGCAGAACAATGGCAGAAACGAGTAGGCGTTCTCATTACCTATGCAAATTGTACAAACACGTGTGGAGTATCCGGTAACGCCGCCGAAAAGGAGAAGTGACGTCACCAGAGATTCTTCTTTTCCGACGACGAATCCGTCTTCTGGCGGCTCATCCAATCGAGCTCCGCGTCTTGGAATGAGCTCATTCATTTCATTTTTATCGCTTTCGTTTTGGCCTCCATGGAATTTAATAGGATTCCAGTTTTATTTTATGAGGAGAACCAGGGAATAAAGTTTTAATTAACAAAAATTATAAGCCTTTCTTTTTGAGGTAACTAAACTTTTTTGGAAAATGGAACTCGAGAATAGTTGAAATTCCAGAACGAAGATTTTTCGAACTTGCAATGATTAAAAAATTGCAAATAAGTATCAGTTCAAAACTCAAAGTAACACATAAAAAAATACCTATTTTTTTTGAGAGCTTCAAAAAAATATTTTTTTCATTTCAAAGTTATTTTTGTAGTTTGAGACCAAATCCAGAAACTTATTTTTTTCAAACGGTTTCGTCAAGTTTGAAGGTTGAATTTTGTATATTATGATATGATTCAGTAACACTTGTTGAGATCAAAATTAAGAAAACGAGTTAGTAACGAAACCTGAAGGTAAATCTACTTCAAAATTGAAGCATTTTTCAAATCTTTGAAATAAAAAAGGAGCGAGGCAGAAAAAACCTAGAGCCACTATTCATCAGATAAAACCGGTTGCCCGTGGTTTCCGTGAGAAAATCTAAAAATTGCATGACAATATATTAATTTTTCTTTCCATAGGAAATGCAGAATGGGAACAAGTGACCTATTCATAACTGCTCGCCGGCGTTTTCAAGGCGTACAGTCCAAGTCAATGAAGATCTGAGGTCAAAGGATCTTTTCAATTTTTTCTAAGTCTGTAAGAACACCAGCAAGGATATTTCTATCAGAATTTGATGAAATAAAAACGAATCCCCACGTTCTGCCGTTTCTCCACTGCTTTCAGTGATCTTTCCAAATACTTCATCTCATTTTTCTCAGTTTCATGCGAATACCTAATTTGAGACTCATGAAAATCTCGAGGATCGCTTTCTCGAAGATACACTTCCACTCTACTCACCATCGAATCAAACGGATAATTCAACAGACAGACTTTTTCAGCAGAAAAAGGGAAAGGCGCCGCAGGTACCTTATCTTTTGCTTTTTTGCGCAGGTGAAAACGCGGATAAACTGGACCGAAAGGAAACCCATTATCTTTTGCGGAGAAACTGCGTAGCATGGCCCAAATTCTTCAATTACGATATCTATTCCAGTTTCTTTTTTGCGTTGGAGAATTTTCCTTTGCAGGAATTAGTACTGTCAATTTGGTAAACTGCTTTATTAGGCAGGTAAAAATGAGAGATTGCAAGAATTTCAACACCCGGATGGGCGAATTTATCGTTGAGCCAGGGGTCGAGACGTCGTCTAATAGCCTGGCGGCGTACGTGGCGCTGAAAGTAGAAAATTATTGAAAAAATGAAGTTTGGAGAACTGTGTTCCATTTAGCAATCTCAGGAAAGGAACTAACGTGGGCAGTGGGTGCAGTCGCCTTTCTCGCCGTCGTCTCCTGGAGGTCCTGGAGGTCCGTTTGGTCCTGGACGTCCTTCAGGTCCTGGTGTTCCAGAGTCTCCAGGTGGTCCTGGTGGTCCTTGGTAAGACTGCCCATCTGGACCTGGGTTTCCTTTGGGTCCAGGTGGTCCAGCTGGTCCAGGCTTTCCGGCAGGACCTTGAGGTCCGGGAACTGGGATGAGGCGTCCGGCAGCTCCTGGAGCTCCTTTCATTCCGTCGCGACCAGGTCTGCCGATTGGTCCAGGCTGTCCAGCCATGCCGTCCTCGCCAGGGGTTCCGTCCTTTGGTGGCTCTCCTGGGGATCCCTTTGGTCCAGGTGGTCCCTTTGGTCCCATGGCTCCTGGAAATGGTATCATTGGGGAAAAATTGGAAGATTTTTCGATGAATCCAGATAAAGTGCAAGCTCCATACATGATATTGCAGATGAGAATTTTTGAGTTCAAATACCACCAGACTAGTTCTTCGCTACAAATTCAATGAAAAAATCCCAAATTTTTAAACTTGAAATCCTGAGCCTCACAGCTTTAGGTTGAAATCAGAAATTCGAACAAATCAACATACCCATTGGTCCTGGAGGTCCTGGAGGACAGATGACGCACGGCTCAGAAGCAGGAGCTGGCAGGATTTCGGCGTCGCGTCCGTTCTTTCCGTCCTTGCCGTTCTTGCCGTCTCTTCCATTGTTTCCTGGAGCTCCTTCAGGTCCAGCTGGTCCGGCGGCTCCTTGGTTGCAAGTGCAGCACACGGCAGCTGGCTCAGCGTTCACAGCAGCTCCGTAGCCGCCATAACCACTGTTGCTGCCTCCGCCGCCGCCGCCACCGCCACCTCCGTTGTAGCCTAGAAAAGAAAATTGCTCGAGAAACTGAAAGGAAGGCGAACCTCCGGAGGCACCGCCGCCGTAGTTGCTGCCAGCACCACCGCCAGCGCTGCTCTCTGGAATCCACTGACCGAAGAGCCAGGCGCGTTTCTGTCGGTGAGCCATTCCCTTGCCGGCTTGCAGAGCCGTCATCTCCAACCACATGTCTCGCGAACGAGCCTGAGAACGAGCATTCAAAAGAGAAATGGTAACTTGAGGCAAACCTTGCAATAGTCAGTCTCCACCATGAGATGGCTCTGGAAGCTCTGAACGTAGTTGTAGAGCATTGGAAGCGTGACAACGGACGCGATGACGGCGGCGGTAGAGACAACGACGGCGACGAACGCGATGCGTCGCATCTGTCGCTGCTCGTCGGTTTCCTTGACGGCGTCCATTCTCTCGAATGGAGTGCTTTCGGTTGGGCGAAGTCGCTGAGATGACAGCCAACGTCCGAGGAAACCGCCCCTGGACACGAGGCTTTTGTACCGACGGCCGGAGAACTCGATTCGGGACTGGATAGGCGGCGCGTCGCTGGCGGCAAGGCTGACCCGCCGCTGCGAGTAGGATCTCGGCCACTTCAGCAGCAGATCGATGGTATCGCTCGAGCCGACATCCGTTCGGCTCCCGACCCAGGAAATGTCTTTCTGAGCAACTCAACATACGCTTCCGAGATTTAAATGCAGATATTAGGCATACATTTAATGACTGATTGCTATGGCACTATATTTTGGTGAAAATCCACTGTTTTTTCAATAATCACAATAAAAGAAATGTAGTATTACAAGAGTTATATTTGGTTGTATGCACAATTTCTTTTTACAATTACAATTACAATTTATTCAGTCTTCAGAGTAAGATGTAGAAGAAATCTCTGCTGAATCATGGTTTAATCGAAGAGTTAGTCGTTGGTACGGGTTGCGGTCCACAATCGTTGTCCAATAAGTCCCGGCGTGACAGCTAGCGTGGGGGAATAATGTGGGCCCGTTGGTAGTACCAGCGAATAAACTGCTTCACCAATTTCTTTTTGCATTCTCTATTCGCATTTGATGTTTTCTCAATATCGTTTCTTCTGAAAACATTCTTTAAAAAAAGCCCAAATAAACTCATGTTAAAATCAGAAAAAGAAAAAGTGCACTTAAAATAATCAAATCCAAAAAACCTTTGAATAAGGAATCATTCTAAGTTGAATAATAGCGCTTGATGGAAAACTTTTATAAAAAACCACCCGTTTTCCATCAGAAAATCGATTTTTGGAATTTTTGAATTTACATTGACAACTATAAATGAATTCAACTGTACCAAAGGAACGCATAAGTTTTGAATATTTGTAAAGCTGTGAAGATGGTTCATTTTCCTCTGAAAAATCAACACAGCGCTTTATTTCGAAACTCGAAAAGTTCCTCATATTTTTGAGCAGGTCCAGTATTCTCGTCTCAGGCTTAAGCCATCGGAAAAAAAAAAGGTCGACCGAATACGAATAACAGTGGAAACATCAGAAATTAAAGCTCGGTTTCCATATTTCGTTTCCCAAACGAAAAGTGAACCAACTGCCTCTCCAGCGTTTATTTTCAGCTTTCAACTTTTCATCGTAGTTTCAAGCTCGTGAGTTTTACCAAACTTAATAATCTTCATTTTTCTTTTGATCTTCATTGGACTAGTAGTGAAGGAATATTGATCTTTGTTCCCGAACGACCTAACCAGTTAGGATGATAATGGGATCAAATCCGCTCCTTATCACGAAGTATTTGTGTCAGCTGGTAACGAGTTCCGCGTAAAGCTGTCTCCCGAGATTAACATTCATTTTTTCTGAACCCAAAAACGAAACAAACGTAATAATTTTTTATTATGATATCTATTGAAATACCCTCAAAAATAGAAAATTATCAACAACACAATAAATTAGGCTACGTCCATCAAGCAATAAAATTGTCAATCAATACAATTAGATCATTTGGGTTATATATTGGTTGACGCGAAGTTCGTTTGCGGCATATCTCTCTACTGATTCTTATCAGAGAGGACTTAAAAGCTCATAATTATTTTTTGTGGCACGATATGTTAACTCAAAAAACAGAATGAGAATGAAATAAAACCTAAAAAGCGGATATTTGTAAAAGGTAGAAGTAACTACACTATGAAACCCGTCAAGCAGCTTGCCGCCTGCGAAAAATTGAACAAACGCGTCAGCCAAACAAGGAAATGGCTTGGGACATGAGAACTCATTCAAAGAGTTTGGTTAATCGACAGATCAGAAAATCCCGCTTGATGAGGGTTCATGCAAAATTCGAATTTGGCAGGCGACAAGAACTTTCAGTGTAAGAGGTTGATCTAAAAAACGAAAGTAGACAATCTAGGTGGATCTCAAATGACCAGCAACTTCACAACTGTTACAATTTTCAGGAAGAAAAACGAAGAGGAAGAGAATTTTGATAAAAAAAAAAGGAGAAGAAGACGATGAGAAGAGCTTAAATCGGCATTCTAGGAAAAAGAGCTTTCGATTGAAACAAGAACTACCCGAGAGGCACAATTATGTGGCTAACCATTAACGGCAAAAGCGATCTAAAAAGCACAAATGAACGAGCAGACACGTAAACTTCTAATTCTGTATATATCATCTGTGGAGATTTTGCAGAGCCGAGAATCTAATTGAACGGCCTTCAATTTTTTTTTATTATTTTGTACAATAATGAGAAAATTTGTAAAAAAATCCGCTAATTTCAGAAAAATTATATGCAAAAGAAGCTAAAAGAAGAAAGGACTCCCGCGAGAATTCCGAAACCCTCCGATGTTTCTCTCCCCTTTTGGCTACTCATACTTCTGAAAGGCGCGTTCAGAAAATGAAAAACTTTTTTTTTTTGAAAATTTTCTTGAAAGTTTTGTACTCCGGAAAAGGAAAATGAAGAAGTATACACACAACTAATTCGGGCAAACTATTTTGAAAGGAAACTTTTTGGCGACAGCTAAGCAGAACGTTGATATGATCTCAAAAAAAAAACCAATGAATAAACAAAAAACGTTTCACATGAAAGATGAAAATCAACAAGAGGCAAAAGTTTTTTTGAACACCACTGGAAAATCTTAATTTCGATTGGAAAAAAACAGAAGGGTGAAAAATTTTGGGTTTTAGCTACGTTTTGATGAAGAGGACTTGAATGATGATTAATTATGGAAGGTGACAAATAACCGATACAAACCCCGAAAAAATTAACGAATGTGTGGAAAAAAAGAACGTAAAGGGTTCTCATAAAGTTAATTCCATGTTTCACCGATTGAAGTACACAGCACTCAAGAAAAACGAAGAAACCTTTGGAAAAAGCAAAAATGAAATTAAAAAGCATAAGATTGGCTAAACGTGAATAAAATAACAACTCGCTTGATTGAACTTCGACTAGGTTTACATTCTAAGTAACGCGTAAACTAGAAAAAAACGCGTTGAAACAGAGTTAACTAATGGAAAAATTCAAATTATAAAAGAAAAACCCGCAAACGGGGAGCGCTAAAGTGCCCAAGCACCAACTAGGTCGGTAACACAGATTAAATGAAGAAAAAAGAGATTACGAGAAGCGACGAGGGTACAATTAGAAAAAAAAAAACCCTCGGCCAACCCTGAGAAATTTTCTCTAAGCAAAAGTCCTAACATCCACGAAAACCACGAAATGGACAGAAAAGAGAGATATGAAAAGAAAGGCAAAAAGTAAAGATCTGCCGTAAACGAAGATACCCATTCGACATACCGAGAACTAATTTGTCATCGACTTGAAGTCAGTCGGTGCCGACTTTTGAATGCTTAGGTTAGCGGCCGGCGGAAGTCCCGCATTCGACGTCGAGTCAGGCATCGAGTCTCGCAACTGAAAAAGGAACACTCAAAATGAAGGACGAAGTAGGGGAGGACCATTTGTTCGATGTTGCTGGAGTCGACGATGGGCGACGTGGCCGTGGGGGTCTGCGAGACGGTGAGGGCGGTGGTCGGGGGCGCCGAGAGACTCATCACGCCGGCCATCGAGTTCGAGCTGCTGCAAACAGCACATCACGCCGGCCGAAACAGGTTCAAACTTGCTGGCTGCAGAGTCTGGACGCGTCGTCGCTGGCGCCGTCACTGGAGGAAGTGTCGATCCGGCGCCCATCGTCAAGGCCGCCAAAGAAGGCGTTCCCACGCCGTTGCTGATCCCCAGGGGCGACCTCGACGCCGAGTCGTTCAGGTATTGGAGAAAAGTGTTGGTCACTGAATCAATCAACATTGAACGATGAGCTAAAAAATTTCTGCTGAGAGGAATCTTTTTCTTGAAAACCACTAATGAACTTATTTTTCTTTACTAATGAACTTCTTTTCGCTTTATTTAAAAAATAAAATGGAACGTTTTTATAAATAAAGATTTTCTCATCATTCGGTCTTATCCTGGACTTACGCCTTGCTCATTTTTCTTCTTAACTCGTTTCACTTAAGATGAATATTCGGCTATGGGAGTTCATGAAAAAACGAACAGAGTCCGTCGTTGCTGTTTCCGTTGATGATGGCCGCGTTGAAAAGGGACTGCGACTCCTCGTCGATCAAATGCCGCGGCAACGGAGTCACGCGAGGCGTCGTCAGAGGCGAGGAGACCGCGGAATTGCACGCCGAGATCACTTGTTGCACCTTTAAGATCAAAAGACAATTTCTCTTTTGCCGATGAGAATCTTCAATTGAGTGAATAGATATTTCGAGCAAAACCAACCTGAAACGAAAGATCCGTCTTGCACATGTTGAGGATCGGATTGATGGGTTTCGGCGCGACGAGTTTCTACGAAATTCCCATGTATTCGAAAAATTGGAAGCGTATACTGACAGGGTTGTTTGTGGGCTTGGTGGTGAAGGTTCGAACTGGTTGGGCCAGGACGTCGTATTCCGAGGCGGAGCCCAAAAGGACGTTCACGTGTTGGATTTGGTGTTGTTGCAGTTGTTCGCGCTGTTTTCGCTCTTCCAATTGAGACAAAACTTTGCTGAAAAGCTTACGCCGTGTTCGAAGTTATTTCCGCAAAAATCGAAATCATCTCAGACTCTCCAAAATTTAGTTATCTTTTTCACTCTTTCACGACTATTTTGAGTTCCGCAGAAGCACTTTAAACTAGTTATGCTTCGTTTTAAAAACTCGCAAAATCAAGAGAAAGTTCCTTTGCAGAAGAAGGGTACCTGAAGCTGATGGTGTCTCCACTAGCATTGGTGAACTTGGTGGGACTGGCCATGTAAGAGCCTCCTGAGCCGTCTTGGCCGCGACGCAACTGCGTTATCGTTGGCTGCGGAGGGGAAACTTCGGCGACGGCGGCAAACCCAGTTGGAAGGGCTGCAAGCGGACGATTCGGACTGCCTTGCTGCGGGAACATGGCCGTGCCGGCGCCACTCAGATTGTTGTTGTTGAGGGGATGAAGTCTCTTGCGGCTGGAGACGAGCGGCGCGTGGGACTGCGAAATCGCCTGCTGCGTCGGCGTCGTCTTCGTGGCCAAGTCGTTCAAAGCAGACGATATCGTTTGAGCTGAAAAAGAGGATGTGTTCGGCTCCAAAATGTATCCCATAAAACAGAAAATTCGTTAAAAATTTGATCTCTGATGGGATTTCGCTAATGATATATTTTTTAAAACGTTTTCTCCTCAAAAAATTATAAAAACAGGATTAGTCAGACTGTGGCATTACGTCAGAAGCTCTCTGAACCCAAAAAAAAAAACGTTTTTAAACAATTAAATAATCGAAGGAACGCGAGTAGTGGAAAAAAAAAGAAATACAGATGGTTGGGTATCTCACCCGAAGTTTGGCCGCCTCTCTGATCGACAATCAGAACTCCGACGTCGCCATGGCCGCCGACTGTAAGCCGGCGCATCGAGGTTCCCCCCACATTTCCGCCGTTTGTCATGCCCGTCATCGAGCTGAATCTAGTAATCCTTAGTACAGGAACAAGCAAAATAAGAAAGAGGAAACAGGAAATAACTCACTTTGACCCGGTCGGAATGACCTTCACGAATCGCGTGTTCTGCGTTGTTCCAGGCAAACGACGACGTCTGATAACATTTTCATCACCAACTTTTTCGAAAGAGTTTGGTCGAAGAGGCGAATGCACTGATGAGCAAGACTAACGTGTCATAATTGAGTTGGGAGTGGCTGGCGACGGCGCGAACAGGAGCCCAAGCGTTTGGAGGACCATTCGCGGTTTCGACGATCCGTCGCACTTCTTCGTTGGTACTAAAAAAGCTCCATATCCATCAGAAATGCAAAGAAAGAAAGTACCTGGAATTGGCGGAGTCGTGAGACGCATGTCTGCTTCGTTTTTCGAGCGGTTCTTCCTCAAAGAAAAGAAATTGATGAGGTCTAAAGGTGAAAAAAAAACTTTATCGCCATTGATCGTTCCATTGTCTCCCACAGTGATCATGGCTCCAACTTGAGGCGTCGGAGACTCCCCATTTATCATTTTATTTCCGACGACGCGTTCGCTGTCTGCAAAATCGGAGAATTAGTTTCTATCGATTGTTTTTTCAAATACATCTCGTTTTGACATCTTTCAAATGTTTTTTCTTTGAACGTAGAATGAGCAACGGAACAAGAACTCAAAATACGTAAAAATAAATTTCGTAAACAGTATCACGTTCCATCGAAGAATGACTTCTCGCACGAAGTACCGTTTAATAAGATAAGATACGACTACTTTTCTCATTTAATTATACGAGAATCAGGAAGGACGAACCGTTGTCCAAAGCCTGAATGGCAGCCATTGCACTGGCAGGAGGCGAAAGCGTGGGCGAAGACCCGTTGGAAAGTTCGAGCCAAGAAGCTTCCACTTCCTGTTTCGGCACTCGCAGGCCGCCACTTTGAGCCACCGCTGACCTCAGGAAAGTTCCCACCGAATCTGCTACAAATCAATTTTTTTTTTCCTTTTTTCCAAAGAACATACACCAAAGTCAAAAACTAGGAAAGACTACTTAATAAAAGATTTTTTTTTTGAAATTCAGTATGAAATCGTTTCAGTAGTATACGGACCAAATTTTATTTCGAAACGGCTTCTTTAACCTAAAAGTCAAAAGTCCGACTTTCGGTCTTTTTATTTGGGAGACCTTATAGTTAAAAACAAATTAAATATCTGTTTAGAGCTCGCAGAGAGACAAACTTTTTTTTGCTAGAACCGGACTTTGTTCCAAATCTCTTTCACCAACCTCCGAAAACGATTGTCGTCAACATTTTGAGCTCATAGGCAGAAAAGACGCCAGTTCCCCAAATGCTCTCGCCTTCGCCTTCCGTGTTTTCGGAGCGCGACAAAGATCCGTTGTTTCGAGGTCTCCTCTCCACTTCGCCGCTCAACGAATCTGAACGAAGTCCGAGTTTGGTCGGAACCCCTCAAGGCTTATGTGTTCCATAGATGAAAAGTTCGGATATCTGTCACTTAAGGGTCCAAAAATAAGGATTCAACACTTTTTTGGAAAAACACTGAATTGCAGAAAATTTTAGAGTTTGATTTTTGATCGTGTGAAAACGGATATTCTGGGGGTACTAGCCGAAACTAAGACCTTTTTTTCAAATAAGTCGGCTGAACCCTACATGTTCTGCACAGTTATTTTTTTTTGCCAGAAAAAGGCGAACCTTCGGTTTCTTCTTCGTCTTTGTAGCCGACACGACGTCTGCACGCCGGTGTCGTGTCAGGGTCGCTCGTGCGGATGAAGTTGGCCAGGAAAAGGTCGAGCTCGCGGACCGAGATCGAGATGTGGTAGGGGTTGACGCAGAGATGCGGCTGTTTGCAGCCGCCGCACTTCTCGAGTCGTTCGCCGTCGGTGCTTTCCAGAGGAATCCCCTGAATGTATGCCAATTTCTTCTCTCAGCAAATTTGGCTGTGCTCTTGCGGACAAAAAGGCTGTATTCTATTTTAGCAGCTTTTTTTGATGCTTTCACAGCGAGAGATAAAAACCTTGAAGAGGATGACCATGACGAGATCGAGGCGCCAGACTTTGTCCGCTTGTCGCAAACAATCGATTCTTCGCATTTTCCCCTTCTGGTCAGGGTTCGACAGCACACAAGTCGCGGGTTTTTGTCCGGTCACCTGCGAATTAAAGAATAATCCAGATGGGTTGAAATTTTTTCTAATCGGAGTGACCTGGACGCTACATTCCCTGGGTGTCAATTGACATTTTGGGGGAAGCTTTGAATCTTGTTCAAATACTGCATGATTCAACTGATACAAAATTACTCTGAAGACTGAATTAATGTTGAATTTTTAATTGTGTAGAAGTATTGTTCATTTGTGTATAAGGAAAAAAAATCTAAAAATCGAATCGAATAAAAATTATAAAGTTTATCTTAACTCACCGAGTACAGGAAATCATCTCGAAAATGAGGCTGAATATCTTTTCGCAGCTTTCCCAGCAATCGCGCTGCCCACTTCTGCTTCACTTCTGTTCTTTCGACCTGAACATAATTATGGATTTAGAATGTCATATATTTAAAAAAAATATTAGTTAAACAGAATATAATTTTGTTTTTTTATTACTCACCATAAGCTCATTTTTTACCCTTTTTTCTTCTTCCATACTCATTCTTTTGTCGTGCCTCTTGAAATATCGACGTTTTTGGGCCTGAATATATTTATGAGTCAAAAAAGCCTTGAATGCATTGCAATACCTGAAGATGGAACCAAACGTAAGAAAAATCTTTAACATAGGGTAGAAGATTTTCTACAAATGGGTGGAACTCGTCCTGAAAAAGGTTTTTTTTTAAAATTAAACTTTAAAAATAAGAAAGTTTTTTTTTCAATTAGAAACAAAAATACTCTGCACAAACTTAAAAAGTTTTCGATCCAGAAAAAAAGCTTATTTTGCATACTGTACGTTTGAAAGAGTACCATATCTCTTGGACTGTACTGATTATTCCAGTCAGCAGACGGTGGGGGCATCGACAGTTGTTCCTGGTCGCGAGCCCCCGGAGACGGTGATCCGTTGACGTCAATCTGGAAAATTGTCTTTTGCAGACCTTGAACACCTTATTTGCGCCTTAAAACTCTTACTGGGGTCTCTGAAACATTATTCCAGTTGAGCAGCTGCGAAAGCATTGCGACTAACAACAAGGAACAGTTAGCGACATTGGCAAGTAATGAGCGCACTGCTTCATAGCAACCGTGCGGGCGCAGGCAACGAGAGTAGAAAAAAAAACCCAAAGAAAAAGCTCTCTTACGTCAATCGGCTCTGATAATTATAGCATGGAAACTTGTAGCTTGTTCTTCACTTTAAGGCCATATTTTTTTGGTATATCTGAAAGAACGATAAAAGCACACCTGAAGGCTTTGATCCATTTTATGGCACTCGGCAGGGAGTCGTCGGCTAGACGAGAGAAGCACCTTTCCTTATTGTTTCTCAATGCGTACGAAATTTCATCTAAAAAGAAAAAAAATAATTCACGCTGCCATAAGCGGGTGAAGGAAAAAAATGGCCTAAACTGCAGATCGATAAAAATTCTTCTCAAACGCAGACAAACAAAAATTTTTATCTTCTTTTTTCCAATGAACCATGTTTAGCATTTTGAACAACGGGAACAAGCGTAAAAAAAGTGAAAAATTGACTCAAAACATATTCAGAAAAAAAAAGAAAGGAAAATGCATTAAATGAAAAGTTCTCTTCGAGCGTCTTAAAATATATGGCCTATAAATGTTTCTGCGAATTTGACACTCGAAGAATACGGATAAGTACAAAAACAAATCATAGATGAAGCTGCATAAGGTTTACCCAACCTTAAAAAAATAACATATTTCAAAAAAATGAAAAAAATAAAGCGGCGTAGTTTTCCTACATCAGGAAAAAATGCTTTTTAAAATTTCAAATTATTTTAAGAATTTCGAAAACTTCATTACCGCGAAAGAAGAATTACTTTATTACAATTCCAAATGACTTTTCTCATGAGAATTTTTCTCGTGTAGAAATAATTCAAGATTTTGGGGAGTAGCCAAAAAAAATTGGCAAGTAACTGAAGCCGCTGTTATGGGCGCACGCGAATCTAAGTATACTGTAGCTTGAACACCGGTTGAGTTGAAGTGGTTACTATAGGGGAAAAGAAAGTCAACCCTTCAGGGATTTCGGTGAAAAACGTTTTCAAAGAGTTCTTAAGGCCGTGTTCAAAATGATTCCGCGAAATGCAAGATGGCCGCCAGAGAAAGAAAAATATAACTAAGTTTTGGAGAGTCAGATATCATTTTGCGTTTCGCGGAAATTACTTTGAACATGCCGTGGCATCAAAAAATGGAGAAATGTCTAAAATCTTCCTTTGACCTTCGGTTTTTTTATTCGTATAGCGACTGTTTTTTTTTCATATTTTCTCAAGCTTGCTTTGAGGTGAATGAGGTATACTCATTTTATTTCGTTTTTGAAGTAATTTCGCGAAAATTCAAAATAGGGAGTCTTCGGATAAGCTCCCGTTTTTTTTTTTAAATTCGTGCTGTAGAGTATCTGTAAACAGTTACTTCAATTTTAATCATATTTCTTCTAGTTCAACAACCGGCGGCTTGAGACAATTGTAAATAATAGTCTTTAATTTTATAGGAATAGCGAATTTGTAAGAAAATGAGAATTTTTAGATGTCTGTGAAGTCTTTTTTTCCAGTTTATCCGTTTATTGTTTGTTTTGGAGTTATAGACCGCGAGAAGTATATTTTTTTTATTATTTTAAAGTTTATTGCATTTTCTCTTCATCCCTTCAAAAATAAGACTCAGTATATTTTGAATGTTCTTTTGATTGCTCGAAAGATCGTTGTAGGAAGCGTTCATGTTGATTTTGATGATTCCTGGTTGATTCTGTAGATATATCGTCATCCTCTTCATATTGTGGTCTTGGAGAAACGTTCTTATGATTTCTATAGACTCTGGGGTATGACGGAGAAACTCCTCCAAGATTTGATATTTCACTATCTGTCGTTGAGCGCACCTGAATTTATTTTATAGTTAAAACAAAATAACTTCAATGAAACTCACCCTTTTAGATTTCTCATGTTCTTGAAGTTGTCTTTTGCGTATTTCCATAAAAACCCTTTTTGCAATTGTAAACGCGCATAGCTTAAGAGCAATAACCAAGCAAGACGCCACCGCGATTATAAATCCGAATTTAATCGCTGAAAAGGAATATCTGGTTAATGACATTTAATATTTAATTGATTTTTTTCCCTTTTTTTCGTTCACAAAAAGCAAATTTTACCGTTCTACTTCATTTAACTATATTTTTTTGGTCGAAAAAAAGATGATCTCGTTTTTTTATTCTATTTAACATTTTATAACGATTGATGAATTTTTTTAGCCTGAAAAAAATTATATCTATCGATCCCACTTTTTATAAATACAGAAAAATGTTTCCGTTTAATTTGAACTGCCGGGCCAACCTTTCTGTGTCTCTGGATGAGTTTCATTTGGATTCGCATAATTAGCATCCAGTATATTGTGTGAAGTTGGAACTCTGCTTGACCTCAAATGAGGGGATAGAAAACTAGAAACTCGTTCACATTGATTCTTACCTGGGACCGCCCAGCCATTCTAAAGACCACAGATAACCTGTAGATACAGCGTTCAAAGAAGCGTATAGCCAAATTAGAGACCAAAATATTGTCACTATCTATAACTTTTCTGCTTTATTCTTATTTTTATTTCTCGCAAACCTCATATGATAGCATAGGAAGCACAAAAACAGCGTTCCTTTTAGTGTGGCATAAATTGAAGCAAAACATGGAACTAATCAAAAAGAAAAGAAAAGCAAAATTAACGAATATTGGAACTGCAAATTACTCAAACACTTGTTTCTTCGGACTGAGTCTGAGCAACTCACACCAATTATCTGCATAAATAATAGAGCATATTGCAATGACTAGTAAAAGCTTGCCCAATATTGATTCGAAGACCATCATGGTGCGAAAAGCAATCTAAAAAGCATGAAATTTTTGAGATAAATGAAGAACCTTGTAGCGTAAGCCGAAGATGCTGTCAGCATCTCGATAATATCCTTGCGACGGCGATCCGTTCGGAGCCATTTCACTGGCCGGGAAGTGACGTTCTAGCGAACTCCGCGGCTCCTTATCAGCAATCGATAACTGTACGTTGCAGTCTGATTGCCTTTTTGTTTTTCTCTGTTCTTCAATACTTTCCATGTGATTTTCTGAGAGCTAAGTCCTTCTAATTTATTACTCTCGGCAATTATCATATGAAACAGTTTTTTTCTTCAGATTTCAAATTTATTGATACCCGTGTAAATCTAGCAAAAACAACAAAAAAAAAACGTCCAATACAAGTTATCATATCAAAATGATGACCAAAGTTTTTTGCATCTTTTACAAGTAGGTCGACGGATTTGAAACGGTAACAGGAGAAGAGAGAACGCGGCAAGGAGTCCCCAAGGAAATAAAATTAGTGAAGATGAAAGAGATGTTATTATAATAATCAGCGACATCAGTACTCGTGTGTTTCGATGCTTCGTGAACTTCGATTTCTGAATTTAAGGACGTCTTTGTGAGTATTTCATTTTTGACGTAGTATTTTTACTATCATTGATTATCACATTCAGTTCGAGATCAAACTCACACAGGTGCGGCACAAGTAGTGGTTAGAAAGGTTTTGCTCTTCTACTTTGCTTTGGTCGAGCAATGAGTTTGCATCGAGATATGAGGATGTTTTGCTTTTTGTTATGGGAACTGAAAGTTGATTAGTTAGGCGTCACCTATATTTTGTGAAATCACTTGCGAGAGCCAATGGAAGAGCCGCATCAACGGGAGCAGCAGAAGCGAACGCGTATCTGTAGCATTTGGCCCAGTGGTCTTCATTTGCTTTTGGAAGAATAAAATTGTCATCCCAACCAAGCATTTGTAGATATTTATCGTTTTCAATGTCATCGTCTTCGGTTCTGAGCTCTGTTTTTTCGAGACTTCCATAGATAGAAAACGGAGTTGAACTTGGATAGACATTTCCAATTTCATGATGGGACGAGTGAACCACGAAGTTGTTGATCATGATAGTTGGTTTTTCGACCGAAGGCGAACGTCCAAGTTTTTGTTCATGAATTGGTGCCACTTCTATCGGCGCCGGCATCTCACAGAGATCTTGATAGCCGGAGTCATATACGTAATCATAGACGGACGATTCACGGGAAGACGTAGTTGACATGTCGTCGTTGAACAATCTGAGAAGTTTTAAAAGTTTTTTTGCGAAAGAGTTGTTCAAAGTGTAAAATTTAAGCAGAAAAAAAGCAAGTTTAAAAGCTGTGATCACATTGATAAACGGTCCTCTCATTGTGTTGGAACAACTATTGCGTATGTGTTTGGTCTTGCTGATCTGTTATTATACTATGGAGTATCGCCACCCTGAGACTATTACTAGAGATAACCAAATTTTTTATAATGACTACAGTTGTCACAGAAAGTAAAAACTGGGAAAAATCTATTTTGTCGATTTGAGTAAATTTTTCTCGATAACGTCGAAAAGTAATTTCAAAATATAGCATTCAAAAATTCAAAATAATAAAAATTATTGGGTACTTACCTTTTGCTCTGTTTCCGAAAATTCATTTCAGGCTAGTGTCGAACCGTAGAGTTTCCAAGTAGACTTTGATACTGGAATTTTGATGTATTACTTCGTATTCAACTATCTCATATCATATCAAATAACCAGAGGCGAAAGTATTTCAAGCAAATAATCTCGAAATTGGTTTTTGATGCTTCTTAGATAAGAATCAAGATCAGAGTATGTAGTAACTTTATTTCCTAAATTCAAGAATAAAATGAATCAGAAAATTTTCCGCTCCAAGTTGAGTAGAAAGACTTTTTGCAGAGTTTTCCATCAGGTAACGAAAACGACCTATTTTTCAAATGATCAGACTGCTTATTATTTTTTAAACATTCAATAACTTTTAATAATGGAATAAAAATCTGGCGTGGTTCTATTAGAGTGACGATTGGGTGGCATTCAAAAATAGGCGATAAGATACACAACGGGAGGCCTGTTTCTGTCCCGCCTCTTTCTTAAGACTCTTCATAGGCTCTCTATAGTAACTGTTTTTTAAAACGTTCGAAAAGTTAAGGAGACCGTTTCACCTTCCGATTTTCAGACTTGAAGCTCGTTTACCTGATCATGTAAGAAGTAGCAAGATTGGTTTAAATGATCCTTGCGTTCTTTTTGGTTCTTCTTATCATATTGGTTCTCATTTTATCATTGAACTCTTAGAAAATATCTACATTCGCGCTGAAACTGACCATTGAGCAAAGTAGCGGGATATGTCTTGATAATTTTGAAGGAATGAGATAATAATTTATCTTATTAGGTATCACGAGTTTTGGAAAAAAACATATCGATACTATCGCGAGACCCTGCCTGAGCCATGAGTGAATTTTATCAAAGCCACCTGATTCGAATAAAGATAATATCGCGCTTCTTAGGGTAAATGTGCCACAGGCCACAAAATAGACCAAGTACTCAAAATAAGCTTTTTGTTAGTTCATAAAATATTTATAGACATTCATATTTTTCAAAAGTCAGGTGAAGGCCGTATTCAGCTCGCTCTAAAGCACAAAACTTGTTGAAGATGATATAGATGATTCACTGCTGGCTTGAGCCATCGAAAAAAGGGTCCTGACACGATAATGCACGAGATAGCGCCTGGCTCGTGGAGAGCGCAGACAGGACAAGCCCCTTTAGCGTCCCAAGCTTGCCGTGAATCAGCTATACAGAATATATATGGATGACTTTCTATGTTTAAAAATTTTCATTTTTGTTCTTTTCGCGTTGACATAATTTTGGTTCGATCATTTGCAGATGATATCTCGAAAAACTTCAGCGGTTTTCTCGAATTTCGCACGACGATGTAGCACTCAGTCGCCTTTGAACGTTTCAACCGCCACAACTTCTTCTAATTTAACCGGTAAATTTAAAAAAAGACTTCTATTCATACATGGGATGAGCATGACTGGCGAGAGCCTTAAGAAAAAAATGGTCGGCCCAGCCCAAAAAGCGCAATTTTTTTTCTAGTCGAATATCAAGTTTTTTTAAGACAAAAAGTCACGTTTTTTTGCTTTTTACTTAGAGTTGAACAAAAAAACTATGATTTTATAAATAAAAAAATAATTTTTTTCGGTAAACTTTTTTGCAATGAAATTTTTTTTTTGGAGCTCGGCCCCAGCCCGCGAAGACTTTTTTTTTCAAAAGTGAATCGCAAAGCCCGGGCCAGGCCGCCCGGTCAGACGCACAAGCCTACTTGGTACCCGAGGCTGGCGCGCTAGTCACAAATACCAAGTCACTCTCTGGTGCCTATTCACCCACTAGTTGACATTGAAAGGTCGAACTAGACCAATTCGATGGTGCTAAATCCGAAAAGCGTTTTTTCTCTCCGATCACTTTTTACTTAGAAAAAAAAATCTTTCCGGCCAATGAATTTAACTTTACAAAATGAATTTTTTTGATTTTTTTATACATGAATGTTCAACCCCCCTTTTTTTTTCTCGTTTTATTGTCAAGTCCCTCCCCTTTTTATAGGTTCCACCGAGGCTATCCCATGTATGCTTCCATTTACCCGCAATTTTAGTTTTTTCACCTTATTAAACTTTCTAGATACGTCAAGCAGCGATGCACCGGTCGAATTAGAAAGAAATCCATACGAAAAAGAGCCGAGAAAGTGTCTTCTTTGCCGGACAAGCGTCACACTCGACTATAAGAATTCGCGGCTTTTACAGGTCACAAAGTTGGCAAAAAATCAACAAAAAGCTTGCTGTAGTGTTCATAGCGCTTTAATTGCAAAAAATGTTGAAAGAAATAAATTGTTTATGACCAAAAAAATCGCTGATTTTAAAATATATTCGATGTGTGAGAAAAGGAAAAAATTTTTTTATTAGTATTAAGTTCTGATTTTCATTTTTGAAAAATGTTTATCCCATTTTTGAAAGGAAAAAACTTCTATAAGCAGAAAAAAACAAGCTCTTTATGCATACATTACAGATTTTTTTTTGTTGTTGGGTGGAATAATTCAATTTTTTTTTCAGCAGTTCATTTCGACTTTCTCTGGGCGGGTTTATGATCGACATATAACTGGGCTGTGTGATAAACAACAGAATAAACTTGTCGAGACGATCGCTGTGAGTTATTCGCATTTTTTTTTCAGCTATCATTTTTTCGTATAATTGCATCAAAAACTTTAATGAAAAAAACTTCTAACCTTTAATGTTCGAATATTTCTTTATCTTTGGGTTTGAATTATTTCAGAAGTCGAGGAGAGCCGGCTACATGCCTGTTTTTGTCAAAGATCCGAAGTATGTCCGTGATCCCAAGCTTTTCGATCCCCTCAAACCAATTCGGCCCCATTCTTTTGCTTAGCTTAGTTAACTATTTAGTTAAAAATAGTCTGTTTTTTTTTTTTATTGTTGTCTTTTTTTATCCAAAATAAACAGTTTATACCGGTTATGTTGTTGTTCATATTTTTATTTGCATGGTTTGGCCTACCACCGAGCCAATTGTTATCGAATTGGTTTTGAAACGGGCAATGACAATTTCACACGAGAATAAAAGGAAATTAATTAATTATTCTACTGTTTGGTTATTATGACGTGTTCAAAATGATTCGCTAAATCCAAAATAGCTGTCAGAGAAAGGAAAAGATAACTAAATTTCGGAAAATCAGAAATAATTTTACATTTCGCTGAAATTACGTTGAACACGGCATTAGCCTCAATTCGTTTCATTTCTAGTTTCATGGCATTAAATCATATTCAACTTCAGATTCAGTGTATCTTGAGATGATTGCAGTGGATGAATCTTCAATATATGAAGATTCTGATCAAAAAAAGGTAAGTACTATTTTGGAATAAATTGAAGAAAATTGATAAATTTGTAGAAGGAGTGCTTTCGATTAAGGATTTCTTTGAAAAAGCAGGAAAGTTGGAGTGTAGTAAAGATGTGAGCGGGTATCTAAGGTGAGAAATAATTTCAAAAAAAAAAAAAAATGATAATTTTTTTCATGTTTGCAGTATTTTGAAAAAGTTGGATATAGAAGATTTGGAAAGAGCGTTACCTTCTTTGAGTTTCGTCGTTGAGAAAGGCTTCGCTCCTGAGTTTCTCAGCGAGATCAATGAACTTTGCGCGATTGCCCTTAGTGGTTTGTCGCTACGTTCTCAGTAAAAAAAGGTCCCGGGCAGATTTTTCCTCAACTCGGTTTGGAAGGAAAGCTGCACTGTCCTGCTTGAAGAGCTTGCCTCTGAAGGGGCCTCGCGACGTTTGGCTTAACTTTTTCGTCCTTGTGGAGTGTTTGGAAGAGCCCCAGGTTCTTTTTCTTTCTTGAATATTCAAATCTGAAGTCACGCTGAGAATGATTTCTTCTATTCTGAAGATCTTAGCAAATTTTTGTAAAATGCTTTTTGCTTAGTGATATCTTCAACCGACTAAAGAAGTTTTTCCGTCAATCTCGTTGCATTTCAGTTCCACATCATACGACCGATCCTCCCCAAGGTGGACAGTCTTTTGAAATCATTGAAAAATGGACTTTTTGCATGGATTTGGGTGAGAACAGTCATTGTACGGTAAGCTTCCGATTCTCCTCATCCAGTTTTGCTGTAATTTTTCTCAATATTTTTGCTCAAAATCAGAAAAGGTGTATCATTTTTGATTGAAAAAAACCCTTTCTCATAACTTCTTTCATTCTTCTGTAATATATTCAAACGCATGAAGTTAAAAAACTGTTGGAGGTCTCTCTTGCATTCCAATGGCTGGATTCGCGCTTGGGCACTGGAAATATCTCTCGAAGTTGATGTTTTCACTCTGTCTGAGAACACCGAGGCAAGATGAATGTCTCGAATAAAAAACTTTTTTTTTCCAGTTTATAACTTCTGTCATTCTTCCTGCTCTCGATAATAACGATTCCCTCTGGAGATTTCTGGAGAAGGGAAACTTGGACGATTTCCTTATGAAACTTGGAACTTTAATGGGTGCTGTAGTTTTACCGTCGGAAAGTATTGATATCCTGGACAGAGAGGGCAAAGGTTCTCACGAACTGATTCAGTACTTCGTGACTTTTACCATTTTCAGATAAATATTTATTGAATTTTCTGAACGCCCTCGGCGATTTGACGTGTCCGACCTCTTTGTACTTCATCTCCACAGCTCTATCGTCTTTCCTGCCACTTTATTCGACTGATTCATCTCCATTCCTTGCATCTTTCGAGTATCATTTAAAAAAAGTTTCTTATTAAAAAAATATTAATGGTTGACTAGTGAGAGAAGATCCTGAAGTCCTGAAATAGTTATTTTCCAGCAGTTCTTGGAAACTCCTCTAGAGACTTCCTTTGAAATCAACACCAATAGACAAACTTTACCTAACTGTTTTTGAAATATCTTCTGCTAGAAAAAAATTGTAGAAAAAAGTGTAAGTGATATATTTTGAGTTGTCATGAATTATTGGATCATGGATTTGAAAAGTATGAAAAGTATGGAATGAATAGAAGATCAACTTTTCAGAAAAATTATAACTCGCGCCAAACGAATTCCTTATGACACTCTGCGGGTTATAACACTACGAAACTTGATCATCTTTTTCTCAAAAACTTTCAAAATCAAGGTTTTTTCCCCCGAAGAATCGAGTTTCTTGATGCTTGTTGTTCAGTTGCATCAAGAAATCGTGGAATTCGCGAGGATTTCGTCGTCTCTGCCTGTAGCGGGATTCAACCCAACTGCGACCCGAGACCTTATTTCGGAGGTCGTCAAGAACTTCCAAGGGTTGTTGATCGACGTTCGAGACGCCATTTGTGAATATCATTGGGATCGCGAGGGCTTGAGAATAAGTCCCGAGGCTTTCCTGTACGCAGCGGTCTCTCAAAATGAGACGAATCCTCAGGTTTTTTTTTTCAGGGATTCTCAAAATTTTTTCTAATCGTTTTGTGTTTTTAAGAAAAAAACATTGGTTTCAGTTTGTCGCGGAATATTCGCAACTGTCTTGGATAGCCATCAGGAATTCCGATCAAGTGAGCGCCGACAAAATTATCACTCATCTTTTTTGTTTTTTAACTTCTGGTCATCCCAATGAGCACGTGGTGAGAATGTATTCTGTCACTTGCCTAAAATTACTGTTATTTTTTCCAAGTTTCTTGCGGCTGCTCAGCTGATCCTTTCTTATCCCAGCTTCTCGCGAATTATAGGTAGGTTTTTACATTACTTCACAATTAGGGCAACTTCAGAAAACCGAAGTCAAAAAGAATTGGAAACTATCATCGATTTTTTGTTGCGAAATTGTCAACTTGCTGACGGAGAGGTAACGAAAATAAGCGCGTAGGTCAACTGTTTCATCATTCACAGGACAAACACTTTATAAGGCTAGAGAAAGTTGTATTGCCGTGGCTTTCGGCAGTCGGTCCTAAGCCTAATTTGATCCAGAGGGCTCTCGACTCTTTTGATCGCTCCTCGGAGGTTTTTCCAGTATAGAAGTACTGTCATGTTCAGTTCTTCAGGATATTCCGATCAACCGACTATCCTATAACTGGAGATTATTGGAAAGCATGATCGAGTTGACTGTTTCAGATGTTGTCCAGGATAAAAACATATTGGAGCCTTACATTGAAGATGTTTTTCATTTGCTAGGACCAAATGTTCTGTCGCCTCTCCCTGTGAAGTTTCCTATTCCGAAAAGCAATTTCGGCTTAATCTTTTTTTACAAATTTGAGAAACAATTCGAGAATAGAAAGAAAGAAATTCAACGAACTCGACTCACTGTGGCGCTCGAGCAGACTTGCTGTTTTTCGACGGTTTGGTATTTCTATAATTCGTTAGAAAGGTAGAAGCTGTTTCAGTTTCGCCAAGTTTAAAAGTTTCGATGCCGACAAAATGGTGGGAGATTGTGTGGATCAGCTCGACGTCTCGGCCTCTTTTGCTGAGAAAAAGCACCTGTTATTGATCATCCTACACTACATTCCAAAAGTATCAAACAAGAAAGATCTCTCTTTAGTAATAATGTTGAGGCAAAGGACGCCGCGTCCTTTCAGAGAATACTTTCGAGTTGTTTCAACGTTGTGAGTGAGGAGAAAAAGTCACAGAACAGTTTGCCATCGCTGGAGCTTTTCCTGAGGATTGGAGTTCATTGCATGAATGATCAAGAGGCCTTGGAATATTTTGTGGTGAGCTGCCAGACCACCGATTGAGTCTAATTAACAGTTCAAGGGAAAAGTTGAAAGTCAGCTGAGTATATCTACACAAAATATTCAAATCGCTTATGTTGTCTACAGTGTTTTCCACGGTCACAAGGGAAATCTGAACTCACTTTGCGTGAATCTGGTATTTGTTGGCAATACATCCTTCTCCCGGAATTGACTTTTGTTTAAGTTGATGAAACTTTCCTTGTTTGGACCAGTTCCAAAAAAAGACATGCGGGTTCTGACTTATGCCTACTCGAAAGCATTTGAGGACAAAGCCGAGAAAATAATTCCGGAGCAACCCCTTGAGAGGTGTGTATAGAATTCTTTTGCTTTAAATACATTCGAAAAGCTCATATAACTACAACGTTTCAACTTTTCAGGCTGGATCTTGTAGTGCCGCGGGTGCGTTTCGGATCGTGTCTCCTTGTGTTGAAAGCCGCCAGAAACAAATATTGTGCCGCATGGGCATGTGAACGGCTTGTCTCTGCTATAAAAGAGTTGGATCAGAGTTCTAGCAGGTTTTTCTCCGCAAAATAGAGATTAAAAAGAACCTACATTTTATTAAGATCTTTTGGTTTGTCGTTGGCACATCGACAGAAAACGCGAGCAGTAGAGCTGTTAGCATTTTTGATGGAAAAAGTGGACATCGAGGTTCCAAAAAAAATTTATTTTTTCCTCAATGATGATTTTTTTCTCAAGTCGGCAAACAATTATTCTACATGAAATCTAAAAAAGGCCGTAAATGAAAGAATTTTTCACAGTCACTTGACTCTAAAACACTTTATCTTCAATGAACCCGTTTATAACCCCTGACAATTTTACTTTTTAACTATATTGTCTTTTTTACATTAATTTTTTTGAACAAGAAAAAGCGCTAAAATCGATCAAAGAATTCAAAAAATGCTCAGAATACACATTTTTCAGAAGCTGATCGAAGAGATTTTCGACTGCTGCATCAGCTGGATTATCGATCCGTGTCAACAGTTCTCCATAAAGCTCGTAGTCGAACTCATCCTTGCTCGTCTCTGCCTGAAATCCGATAAATTCCTGCACAAAACGCTAGAAATCGACAAAAAGGTTGGTTTCGCTGTCTCATTTTTATAGACTGAATAAGCTCCAGATGGCGCAGAGCAGAATCGGCAGTGTTTCTTCTTGGATAAACGTCCTGATGCTCATTGCTCGGGGACGTCCGGTACTATTTGTCATCAACTCTTAACGTTTTGTTCAAATTGGGAATGGATCAAGGAAAAAACTGTGCCTCTATCGAAAGTCTTAGTCCCTCAACACTCGAAGTTAAATCTTTCAAACTTTGACTTGGTCTGCTGCGCGATTAAGAAGCGTTTAGCTCTTGTATCATTACTTTTAAAAGGACTTTTTTTTTTCAAATCTTAGCGTGAAAACATTTTGAAACAAACGAAATTTCCTCCAGAGCATTGCTGATCGAGTTCTGATCAAAGTCTATCCATGGATCTCTGCCCAAAACTTTCCCCTGAGATGTACCGCCATTGCTGGTAATACAGTATATCTCTGCTGAAAATGTCGAAAAATTATTTAAATAGCCTGTCGTTTGATGTTCGGCTTTTTGGATGAGAGTTTGAAGTCGAAGTACTGGTTCATCGAGCCTCTGATAAACTTCGACTCGGAGCCTTCTGGGTATACAAATTGCCTTCATCCTCGCTTCAGCCACATCATTTTTTTTCAGAAATTCTCGCCGGATCATCGACAATCTTTGTTCCGACTTTTATTTCGCACATTTGCATCCAGTCAATCATTTTGATTTTCAGGTAACACATTCAAAATATCCATTTTTAATAATAAATTCCAGACAATTTTCTCCGAAATTCCTGGGAAAACTGGTATGCCTCCCGAGGAGGTTATCCCTGTCGAAGTTTTAGAGGTATTTGTTCTGGAATCATCTCCCTTGAAATAATTTTAGGAGAGTGAATCTATTGAGTTCCCAAGAAGATGTTCAGACAAAAAGTTTTTGGAAGCTCCTTCCGAAGTTTACGCTGGTAATCAGAAAAATACTTTTGTCAGAAAAATATTGTTCTCAATTATCAGCTCTTACGAAAAATACGTCTTCTGCTCCAGAAATGAATGTCTCGGAATTGGAACGCGGTCTCAAGGATTTAACCATAGAAGGTTCTGAAACTCGATACTTTCTTCGTGATATGAACGTTATTCAGACAGTGTCGCGACTGAGAACTCTTTCCAAAGGAAAGTTGCGAAAGACGAAACCCAATTGAAGCCTGAAAACACCTCTCTCATCGTCGTTGCTTCGTTGGTTGACAAACCGACGAATCTTGGAGGTTTGAACCATTATATTATACCAAAAAGCCGAAAAATGTCTAAGGAATTTGCCGCACTTCTGAAATTTTCGGAGTCGACGCATTGGTTATTTCCGACGCCTTGTTAGCTGAGGTAATTCCACATTCAACATTTTCAAACGGTCAATCTTGAGGACTCCAACTTCAAAGCTTTGAGTATGTCTGCTGAAAATTGGCAGAGAATCGAAACTGTAAGACGAGAAGACTCGTAGCGATAAATAATATTTGGATTGCAGGTGAAACCAGATAACCTACTGCCCTATTTACAAGCTTTGAAAGCTGACGGGTACAAAATCGTGGCCGCAGAACAGACGACAGACAGCATTCCCATGAACCAGTTCGTTTTCCCAAAAAAGGTTCGGACAAACAGGTCGGATTTGGGAAAAATTAGTTTTTCAGTGCGTCGTTGTTTTGGGAGACGAGAAAGAAGGCGTTCCGGTGTCCCTTCTGCGAGCCGTCGATCAAACCGTCGAGATCAAGCAGTTCGGCAACACCCGGAGTCTCAACGTCCATGTCACTGCAGCACTCTTTGTCTCCAAGTACGCCGAGCAAATTTTTTGCAGCGTCTAGAGTTATTTCCGTGTTTCTACTTGTTTTTTTTTTCATTTCACTTAATTCGTTGTAAAATTCTTGTTACTTGTTAAAATATTTTATCATGAGATGATATTTAAAGGATAGATTTTGAATAAAGAATTATAATTTTTTTCTGTGTACCACGAAAAGAGAGCAGTTTCAAAAATTTCATGGAAAAATTTTTAATTATTATTCTAGAAAAATTTGAAGAAAGGCAGGGAAAAATAATTTTTAGTCCTCGATTTCGGTCTTCATTTACTTCTAAAAAAATTACAATCACCCAAAACTTTATCAAGGTTCATGAAAAAGACGTGAGAAATTAACAACTTTTTTTCAGACTTCCGCCAGTGAGTCTCAGCAAATCATCAATGTCCCAAGCTACACCTGCAGAGCAAGGGTTTTGAAAAGAACGCTTTCTTATCTCTCACCTTTCGGAATAGAAGAACCATCAGGATTTGAACAAGCCGAATCGATTTCTTTACGCAAGACTGTGTCACAATCAACTTGAGAGAAGAAGGCAACTGACTGGAGAGAAAATATCTAAGATGTTCGACCAAAAAAAAAAATTTCGAAGTTTCCGCATACGCGTTGTCGTTACTAAAAAAAAATAATTTTCGAACTATTGCACGACGGAAAATTCTGACGATGGGTCGTCCTCTGAGATATCAATTTAAGACATCCAAAACGACTGCGCATTAAATGTTTTCTTTAAACCCGAATATCTTACTAATGCCTGGAAATTTTGAGATTTTTCAGACTGACCAATGGCAGCTGAGGAATTCCGACTTTTTCGGAGATGAACGCTCTGACGAACATGTTGGAGAGCATGAGGGCCAGACCGACGCGCGGCGCTTCGCATTCTGAGCACAGGTATCGCACCTGAATTACGTCACGGTTTCAGAAGTATCTGGGAAAGAACTTCGTCGTGGATGGAGATGACGAATCTAGCGTCGATCGCGTATTCCTTGCAGAGCCATTCCATCGAGACGAGCAACAGATGCAAGAAGTCGACGGCCGACGATTGGACAGTCTTCACGGGAAAGAACTTTCTTGTTTGCCACCTTTTCACTGACCCAGTTCATGACAGATCTTTTGTACTTTCTCTGGTAGGACAAGGCGCGCGGAGTTTCAACTGGCAAATGAGCAAGGGAATCTGAAACCTTCGTATTGATTACGTACAAGTCTGGTGTTGAAAAAACGTTCAGAGCTTTGGAATTTAATACCACGTTTCTAAATGTTTCTGATAGTTTAAAAAAAAAAGAGGAAAAAAATAGGTGATTTGAGTTTTCAGTTGTCACCCATCCTTTATTTAAACTAATGAACTTAATTCCAACCACATAAAAAGAAGTTATTCGAAACATTCGAACCAAATTTCTCACAACGATAAATAACTAGAATGAGGCAACTAAAAAAACTATATTTTGCTCTAAAAGTAACCACAGATCATTTTTCTATTTTTCCTCCGTCGCATCTCCCTAGCTGGGATGAATTTCCAGAAAATCGAGTAAAACCGTTGTCTGAAAATATTTATTTTGATTGAATACTACTATTACCGGCTAGTTGACAGTCCAAAACCGGCGTTTTCAGCTTCTGCGTTTCCGCGGCCATTTCCAAAAAATTGAAAGTCGAAGATTCACTCAAAAAAAAAAAAATGGTATTCATGTCATCAAAAATTGACTTACTATCCGCCGTAGTAGAAACTACGAGTCTTGATGAAGTCTTCGTATAGACGCGGTACAAATGTCTCGAACAACTTCTCATTGTTGAAAGATTCCTCAAATCATTCAATGGCTTTCATGAAAAGAAATGTATGTTAAATCGCATACGAACGACTCACATCAATCAGCCCACTTTGCGCCAACGATCTCATGAGCCATTCTTCGAAATTTTGCGTCGAGCGCCTTGAACTCGATGAATATACTCAAATATTCGCACATACCCCAATCGGTTAGAATAATCCGGAAGATAATATTCTCCGTCGACGCTGAGCAAGTGAAGATTGCCAACTTTTTCTTCTACGTACTTATCCAACAATCCGACCGCTTCCTTCTTCAATTTCTTCCACCTTTAAAATATATACTTCTACTTCGAATGGAACTTTTCTTCTGCTCAAAATCATAATTCTGTGACAAACTGACTTTCCTTCTTCGCCTTTGGTGATCCGGAAAAGTTCGTGGGCCGTGTGGATGGCGTCCTCTTCCTTCATCGCCCCAACCAACATCAGATGCCGACAAGCATGTTTCTCGCCAGACCCGTAGAGTCGAGCGTAGTTCAACGTCTACTTTTAAAATAGCTGAGTCTATTGAACATTTTCAGAATAAAGTTAAATGCGTAAAATGCATGAAAATTATTTTTCATTTATTTGAGACAAGTCAATCAAATAAAATCATTCACTTTGTTGTTTTAGATATAGATGTAATCGACTAGGCGGTGAACAAGAACTTTAAAAGCTATAACGAACAACATTCTTTGGCGAACTAGAACGCCTTGACGGACTCAGACTATAGCGAATGTTGTAGCTGGAGCCCGGAAATCCTAGATGGAAGTCTCGACATGAGAGCGACCACTTCGAGCGAAGATTATACACGGAATTCGTTTGTTTTAATATGAATATTCATGAGAAAGAAAGGAAAAATGAGAAACGATTGGAGAACGAGTAAAAGAAAGTTGTATATCGCGCGGCCGTTTCATGTCAAACAAGGATCACCTATTGGCTGTGAGAGTCTTTCAATGTTGTAAAGATTAGTTTTCGCCCAGAATAATGCATTCCTCTAAAATTTAGCTCGAGCTTAGGAAGACTTATGCAGAGAATCCAAACACCCTCCTTCTATAATCTCCACATCGCAACAACCAACTTTTGCGTTGCCACGACTGATGGAGAGCTGTTTGGCGACGACGGAGTGGAGATCGGTGCCGTCGCTTTTGGAGCCGCCGAGCATCATGTTCGAGAAGGCCGTTTTTCCCACCACGCGCTCAGCGATCGCTGAAACTCCACGGCTCCTATAATCAGAAGAAGGACTCACGTAGGGATTTCTCTTCGCAAGCATCACCGAAAAGAGCAGCCAACCACTATAAAATGAAAATTCGTTGTATAAAAAGAAGAAAAAACGAAGAGACCTGTTCTTGAGAGTCGACGTCAGCTCCGACAAGGCGATACCCGGGAGGCGCTTGAACCATCGACTTGATCCCAGAGCCAATCATTGAGTTCTCCTCAAAAAATGAAAATAACACGATTTGAGAAAGCAGCTCGAACGAATTGATTGGTTAGAGTGACCCAAAGTTTGTGGACGGACCGTCGCGACACTGTCCCTGCCGGAACGATTGCTGGTGCGATAGCTCCAAACTCTTGTTCTGTCTTCTCCCTCAACAATTGAGCAGTTTTCAACATACATAAGCGACAGACCCTGAATCTTCCGACCAAATAGCGACCTCCTGGCGGAAACGATCACTGAAAACTGAAACTAAAAACAATTGCGAGACGGACTGACCTATAGCTGGTCCAGAAACGCGTTGCTTGGAGAGAGTCGAGAACAACTTTGAACTCTTCGAGGAACCTGTGGTACACATATCAAGACTTGCGGTGATTCGAACTAAACCTCGTTGGACGGATGACGTTAGCCTCCAAGTCTTTGGCGTAATGTTTTGTCAGGGGATCGCCTACGTTGCCTTCTCCGGACTAAAAATGAAGATAAACAATAAAAGACTTGGGCGCGAACTGGATGAGCAAGTTGGTAGAAGCGGACGAGGCCGAGTTGGTCGACCGCCAAGCCTTTGGACTCGTCCAGCGGAATCTCGCCGTACATGAATCTATTTTTCTGAACCTCTTCGACGAATTTCCTATGCATAACGCTTTTATCACTTTGCAATCTTGAATTAAAACTTCAACGGAAAATCGAGAAATAAATCCTTGTTCTGTGCATCTGGCAACTTCAAAAGAATCTCGTTGCCTGAAAAGAAAATTACCAAAATAATCAGAGAGAGTTGAACTTGTTTCGGCGCTTTTTGTCGGTACCAGATAGCCCCAGCCGTGATTTCTCATCCGCATCATCGGGTAGGGACCGTAAACAAGACCGAAAATACATGGGATAACGGCGCTTTTCAGAACCTATAAATCAAGTTGAAGCAAGAAAGTTGCCTGTTTCCACTAACTATGTCATCAGAAGTGAGCTCTTCAAGACGATGCGCCATGTTGGTTCGATTCTTGAAGAGCTTGCAATACCATCTGATACTCAAGGCTGTTTCTATTACTCAGAGGAAATCTACTCTGGATAGCCGGTTTTCCTATTGAGATCCCACGAATGCATCCAAAGCCAAACGTCATCCGCTGTTATACCACTGAGGAAAATAAAATACTATTTGGAAAACTTAATTTACGAACGAATCCAACGATTCGCGTGCCGAGGAAACGATGGCTCTAGCCGACAACTTTTTCTTCTCTTCACAAATCTTTGTGTTCATCTAGAAACAGAGGTTGTAGAATTAGAGCATGCAAAGCTCACGTCGTAAAACATCGGCCAATTCTGATTGATTGGGAGGTAAGCGTTGCCCATATTCAACATTCCTGCTAAGGTTGCCGGATGAGGAAATCTGATATTTTTTTCTTATTGACCAGAAGCCCGAAGAAAAGCACCGTGTCTGAAATTCTGGCCACAGCTTGAAGTAAATCTGAGCGCACATGACGTTGTCGTAGGCACAGTAAGTCATCAAGGCCTAGAAATCTACACAAATACTTCAGCGAAAACTTGAAACTCAAACGTGTTCTCAAACTCCTTGCTGTATTATATAGACGAAAGTCTGCATCAAATTAAAAAAGTTTCGAAAATGGTTCTTAGCTCCGAGAACATGATATCAATCTTTCAGATTGTAGAATAGAAAATACTATTAAAATTATCTTTTCAACATTCTATTGCAATTTTTGGAAGAATAAAAGGTTTTCCTTAACATAAAGTGCAATATATCAACCTAACGATTTGAAAGATTTCCCTATAAACCGAAGTTTTTGCACCTGGAAATCGTTGCGGATATCCTCAATGCTGTCTTTGACAAAGCTGGCGCGTTTTTCCTTTTTCGCTAGAGTCCTCGAGTTTCCTTCAAAAGTGATTTGAGCCGAGATATTGAGAAAAGATTCAGACGGTTTGGGTCGAAAAAGAAGTGGTCGTGAACTGCGGCGAGAGAATTTCCTCGACACCCGACGTTTCCACGCATCGAGCCATTCCATCTGAAGCTCGAGAATCTTATTTGAGAGGTTGGAAAAAAGACCTCTGGAGGCAACTCGATGTCGTTTTTCTCGTAGATGGTCTGCTGGTGATCGGCCATGCCGAACATCGGGATCGACATCGACATCGTGTCCATGAACCGGATCTTCCCGGGCTGGAAAGCAAAGAGAAAATGCATTAAAAGAGCTTTCTAACAATTGAAACTTGTTCCAAAACTGATAAACTGCATGAAAAACATAAGACAGTTCTTGATTAAAACGTGGAAAGCTAGAGCGTCGATGAGAGAAAAGAGAAACAGACATCTCAAAAAATTTCGAGTTGGGGAACTTTTTTTTCTTGAATTTTTCCTGTCGTTCAAAACTGACAACCAAGATTGGTTCAAAAACACAGGAAAAAGTTGCTGAAGAACTCGAATAGCGGGGTCATCGACAACCTTTTTGTCATACGGCTCGCGACATCTCGCTCTGTCGTACCCCACGTTATGACCAATCACAACTCTTTCTCGTGAAGTATCTGAAATTCTTCCTGGACCGTAGATTTTGTTTTTAGTTGAAGTACCGCCTAGAGGAATCAAGTTTTCCTGAGTTGGCCGCATTGGAATCTCCGCTCCTTCAACGAGCCGTTGACTACACCAACCATACCTTCAAAAAATTATCAGAAGATTAAAAAAGGAGAAAAAAGAGACCAAGCGTCGGTGGCGAGAGCGATGGCTAGGGTTGGCAAATTGCCTTCTGTGACGCATACTTCAACGTCAAAGAACAGAAAGTCTTCCTTTGGATAGTCCACCTTCACAAAAAAATACTATCTCTTCAAATTCTCTTCCAACCTCTGTAACTATCCCGTCGAAAGAGTAACGAGTCCATCCTGAGCGAAAAACCCAGCTTTTCTTAGTCTGCGAAAAAATTTTAACACAAGAACTGTTTTCTAACAAACATCAATTTTATTAAGCGCCCTTTGAGCTTCTTCCAAGTCGACCTGACTAGCCTTTATCAAGAGCTCATGATAGGCTTCAATTTGTCGTTGTGAAACTTTCCTCAAAATTTTGAGCAATGAATAACAAGATGACTCCACTTAATACCGAAAATGGTCGGTAATTGTTCGATCAGTCAGGCATGGTAACTGCAGCGGAATTTGAGAAGAAGACGACGTCGAAGGAACCGGAATTCCTGGGAATAAATATTTGTGGAGGTCCTTTGGAACAGTCTCAATGATCTTCGGCTTGAACTAAAAAACGGAAATTATTTCGTCCCATTGAAGTCTGTTCAAAATTTTAGTTAACTTTAGTCCTTGGGTGGGGCGAAGTGTCAAATAAATCATCGCTTTGTCTAGCAAATTAAACTTCCTATCGCTCGAAAAAAAATCTTTTCAAACTCGCAACGAAAGTCCCGATAATATAAAAAAAAGAAGCTTATTTTACTTCGCAGTCGATAGTTTCTTGGAAGCTCTCTATATAGAATACTCTTCAATTAACCAGAGAGTCATCTTGAAAGTCACAACCTGCGAAATTTTTTTCTCGAAAAACAGAAATTTTCATTTCATTTCATTCAAGTTGTGCAGATTCCAGCTTCCAGAAAATTCTTAGCCGCAAAGCAAAGTAGATTCTTTACAAGGACCAGGCAACCGTTTTTGAATACACAGAAAAAAAATAGTAATAAAACGAAAATTTACTATAGAAACTGCTATAGAAACAGACGAAAAAACAGCAGTTAAAATATAGAAATCGCATTTTTTTTCAGAACAATCATCAAAATATTTTTTTCTTCTGAACGCGAAACAACTCGGAGATAAAAAAAAACCCACTTCCACATCGCTTTTTTGGGAAAATTTCGAGCTCAGACTTCTACGTGATACTGAGGCAGTCGATCGGGCAATTTTTCATCCCAAGTCGAAGGAAAAAAATCAAACGTTTTTCACAAATATAAAAATAACTCTGATGGCTCCTGAAAAAAATAATGAATAAAATTTTAACGAATATGGTTCGATATGGAAAGGATCTGAAACCGGAATCAACCCCAAAAAACGTTATTTTTTGAAATTTTTTTTAACAAAAAACAATAATTAACAATAAGAAATATATATGATGAAAAAACAACGGTACACAACATAAGAGGAGCCTGTGAGAAGTCAACGAAATTTTCAAAATGTGATTGATGAAAAGTAGGAAAAAAATAAACATTTTAAAAAAATAAAACGGAAATAAAAAAACAGCTTTACTGATTTTCGAGTTAGTGAAAAATATCCTTCAGATTAAAAATCCCGCACAATACCTGCCCTAGGACCCGTACATTTGAGCTTTCAGAGGATTTTGCATCGAGCCTATAGACAATTAAAAAAATAGGTAACCTTAACACAAGTTAACACAAGTTAACTTGAACACTCAAAAAAATACTAAATTAGAAGAAAGATAGACGTAAATTTCAATGAAGTTCGAAGCGGAGAATTGTAATTTTGAGTCCAAAATTTTTCTCAATATTTTTAACTGAGCTGCTTGAAATATAGCAAACATGAAATATGATGAATCTCGCTTTAGGAAAAATGATTCCTAATCAAGCAATAACAAAAAACATGCTCCTAAGAAGACTGCGAGTAAAACGAGAAGGATGGCCAACATACAGTAATAAAAATATTGCATAGCGTGATCAATCTTTGGAATCGTTTCCCCGAGAACTCTGAAAATTTTAAATTTATTTTTCGTTTCTAAAGCATTTAAAACTGAATAAGAATTATACTTTAATAAAAATCGCTGGTCAGGCCATTTCTGGTGAAAATAACGAACTTTTGCACATTGCTGAGAGTGCGACTTTGGTCTTCGAGAATGTTTCGAATCGCCTCATAAGTCACGTTGAAATGCCTGTCCTCTTTCGATATGTCTACGTCTTTTTCAGTTCCTCAAACTCTCAACCATTTTTCAATATTTAGTTATATCTGACACACATTTTTTTTGACAATTTTTTTTTAGAAATTCTCTCAATTCATGCCTTCATTCATTAGGCGCAGACTTGTTCTGCGCCATTTGGGTCTAGGCTGTTTTGGAAAAAAAGAGCGTTTCGTTAACTTTTTCTATAAATCAAATATAGTCTGTTCAGATTTTTAATGTCAAGCAGCTAACTCCGCCCCCAAGGCTACAATATCTTTCGCGTCAATTTTTTATCTACAGATGACGATGTCCCTTTAATAAGGCTGCATTTTTTTGACTTTCTTTTTTTCTATCTTTTTAGATCAAAAAAAGATCAAAATTAGTCTCGCGCGATAAAAACATCGACGCGAAAAAGGTACCTTCTCAGCGGGGGGCGGAGTTAGCTGGTTGACATTAAAAAAATCTGAACAGACTATATTTTTTTGTTTCATTTTTTTCTTCTTCTTTCCTTTTCTAAGCACTGAAAAACGAATCTTCTACTTGAACAGATGAGTCATTTTTTTCTATGAAAAATAACTTTCTTCTATAAAAAGAAAAAGAAAACCCACTATTCAGCAGGTCGACGAGCCTCCAAATGAGTCTCTCTCGGGCTACTTTCAGGTAATGCAGCTTCCAGTAGTAATCTCTCACTTTATCAACTAAAAAAGATGTTTGACATCACCTAAAGAAAAAAAAAACTGACTCAAAAGCTCAAATAGCGTGTCTTCACCTTCCACGTTTTCGTAACCGGAAGAAGTGCTACAATCAATTGAAGAGTTTTTTTAAACTTTTTAAGCCAGGATGCAAGTTTTGTGAGTAGAAATCAGCAAAGAAACGTTTCGGAAGTGTTTTACAAATTATCACAAAATAGAACATTTCCAACCAGATACTGAGAACGAGCTTAATCTTTGACTTCTTGTGTAAAAACCTATTTTTCAACTCCAAAGAAAAAACAGTCGACAATAGGAAGAAGCTCATGGATAGAGTAAAGGCATTCATCGTGGGAAGCTGAAAAAAGGTTAGTTGGAAAAGTCAAAGTTCTTGATTTCTGTAGTTGATTCGCATTGACGTGAAATAAAAGAAAACCCGCTCAAAGTTTAAAAAAATGTTTATAACCCGTGTGAAAATATAGACATCAATAAGCGAATGATTTATCGATTGGCCTCTAAAAGAGAAGTTTCCCTCTGAATAACGGATTCGTCGAACTGTATGACGTAGGCCGTGCCGCTGTGCCAGTGAGCCGTCACTTTGCACGTGAAAGACGCCGACTGAAAGACCTTCCGAATTTAATTGCCGAGAAGGCTCGCCCAGATAATCAGAGACTTAATTTTTTTAGAAAAAAATTTCAAAAAAATTGATCATTAAATAAACTAAAAAAAGATTACTTTGTGAAATCAATATTTTTAACTAGATTTTTTGCTCCAACTGGAGATTTCCCAGGTGTTACGGCTTTTTTTAAAAGTCTAATTAACATTATCTGAGAAAAGAATTAGGAGACTATTGCTCCGATCTCGTACATCCCTGGAGTTGGGCGAAGAAAGTCAGATTTTCAATTAAATTCGTACAAAAACCTCCAAAATTGCCTCGACGATTCCCGCGACAAAAGCGGCGCAATTCAAAACACCCTTGTCTTTGGGAACGGAGATGAACGTGTTGACCATGGGATCCTTCTCGATCAGAAGGTCTAGCATCAATGAAAATGGGTAAAAGAAAGCAGGAGTCGACTCACAAGTGCACTGATCGTCATTGGATCGCTCTAATTTGTCAGCTTCCTTTCCAAAAAGATTCTTCCACACCGTCGACTTGATAAACATCAAAATACCTGAATCTGTGTTTAAAAAATAATTTTGGTTGAAGATCACCTAAAAGCTTCGTCTCGCGCTTGTAGCCCTTCTCTCTCAAAGTGATGATGTCGAACATCCGATATCCCACTTGTTTTCCGTAGGATGCAAGTCTGAGCAAGTCTCAGTTCCAGGGAACAAGCAAAGAATACTGACTTGTCATGAATATCTGTGACGGTTTCTGAACGATTTTGTGCATAACGAACCATTTCGGAAAATAGAACGGCAAATGTAGACAGATTAACCTCAAAGTCCCTGGTTATGAGGAAATCTCAAGACAAAAAACCTCGGCTTTGCCACGGCTCAACGATTTGTCCAGTATTCCAGTAACCTTGACCATCTGAAAAATGACCTGTTTTTTTTTTGCATTTTCGATCTTATTTTCTTAATTTCTTCCTGCTACGACTTCTAGTGTAAAAACACGAACTTTTGTTGATTGAAAATTCAACCCCTAGTTGACTCTTTAAGCAGTAAGCTCTCGACCGCAAGAATTCCCAGAACTAAAATCCCGAAGTTGATCGGGACTCTACCTTTTTTCGCTGATAGCTTCTCGAAAACTTATTATTAGAAGGTAATGCGTTACTGAAACGGGCTGAAGCATCGCATTGCGTGCGGCGGAACAATTAGACGCAATTTCGGAAGGGAACGCCTTCGGTTTCCTGGCAACCTGCCTGAGTCCCACCCACAAAATCCATCGCCGTCCTTATTTTCTTTAATAATCAAAAAAAAAAGCGATGCGTTCTGACGACATATTTCATGAAACTTATATTCGTCCGTGTATTATTGAGCTGGTTTCGTGTTGCTCTTTAAGCTTTCTTGGTGAGAAAATTTCAACATTTTTCAAAAAATGTGAAAGGTTTCCCAGGAAATTTTGCCGGTCAACCCAACAGTTTGAGAACGATAACATATCCGCTTTTATCGGGACTGGCCTTTTACCTTTCAAGAAGTATATTTTCAAGCTCATCGGCTGCAATTTTCAACCCCGGTTCTTTGCTACGGATTGAATCATAATGAAAAATTTTACAGCGGTTTTAATTTACCTAGCAGTCAACAAAAGAATTGATAGAATTAGAGCCGTTTCTTTACTTGTCGTACAACCATTCGGATTTTGTTTGGGCGAAATAATATTCAGGCTATTGGTATGTTGAGTTGAGAGAAATATCTGAATTGAAGTTTTAGGTTTCCAGCACACTTTACGAGGACTACATAATCACGTACGAGTTGGTGGTGAGCTCGGGAAACTATCGAATTACGAGGCTACAGGTTCGCAATAATTATATGCTGTTTTCTTACACAGAATTGACAGGCTTTTGTTCTTGAAGCCGCCCTGACCGGAATTTTGTGCCTTGCTCAAGCCAAAAAAGATGGAACAAGCGAATCGATTTCGTCATGTTGGGTATGGAATGCTTGCATAAAAAGATGGAACAAAAACAATTTTCAGGCTTTTTTGCAGTTCGTAAGCTACCCATTGATGGGTCAGTCTTGCAATGTCTCTCTCATAATCACCAAATCTCTCATTTACCAAATACTTTCTCCACTGAGAGCTTCTTCCATGGGTTTACTATATCTTAATGTTCTCAATGCCTTAATGGGCGTTTTGATTGCGTTAATCGTCAAAATGTGAGTTACCTTCGAAACTTTTCAATCATCTTAATATTCTTCAGTGGTGTACAATGTAACGAAAAGAAGCTGGTGAACCTATACGCAAACGAAGAAGAAGCGCCTAATCGTTTTGGAAACAAATCATAAATTGTGAAATAAAATTTTGCTGCGATACAAATAAGAAAGATACGGATCAAATCGTAAACAAACATTTATTATAACCAATTTCAAGAAAAAAAACGAATGAAAATGTGACGCAAACAATGCGACAAGTTTGTAGAAAGCGATTTGCACGTTACCTTCCAACGTACACGAGCTTAGACTCGAGAACCAGTTGAAGAAAAAGATCACAATGAAAAGAAAAGACGAAAAGATGAAGCACGTTCGTGGAAATGATCTGCCGACCGGTTGTTAAAAACAAAACGGAGTACTTGAGGCAAATGGCGAAGTTTTCGGTGAAACTTGTAGGACATCAGTTCAGGAAGGAAAAAAGTACAATGAACACAAACAACAGATTTTTGAAAGGTAATTTCATGTTCTAACGCCTGCAGAAAGTTCACTGAAGGTCTACAATCGATTCAAGAGCCAACTGACGAGGGTGTTAAGGAAGGAAAAGAAGATAAATACTTTAACAAACTAATCTATTTTATCAAACCCAAAAATGCTTCTTGAACCCTTCCATACATATATATTCGCAAAGTACCAATTATGATTGTCACAATAACGAGCAATATAATGACAACAGCATGTTCATAGCGATTGAAATGGGAAAAAAGTAGCCAGCACACTGGTCTCTATGATAAAAATTAAATTGGGAAAGGCAATATCAACAAGAAAAAAAAGGCGATTATTAGTCAATTATATTATTACTTCATAAGAAATGACTGAACATGAGAAAACAAACAAAAAAAAAATTCAAAAAAAGAATATAAAATAAAAGAAAAGAAAGCGAGCGATTAAATAAGATAACTATGAAATGAGAGAAAAAGGTAGTCAAGTCGAACCGACACGTTGGTTGATCTATTCGAAGTAAGAGCGAGAGTAGTTCTGCTGGGCATTTGAGTGCGAGTGGATGTTCGGTGGAGTGGGTCTCCAAGTGGCGCCGACCGGTCCGAAGTTTCCCATCGGCGGTGGTATTTCGGAAGGACCGTCGCCACTTCCACCGTTCATTTGAGACGTTGGGCGCGGATTATAAGACATGTTGTCGTGATGATGGACATGCGACGCCTGCGAGTGCGACTGCGTGTTGCTGTTCGCTGTCACCGGAGGACCAGTCCACATTTCTCCGTAACTGCGGGGGTTGTGTGACTGGTTGTTACTCGGTGCGCTCAATGGTCCCTGAAATATATACACCTGAATCCTAATTAAAGACCATTTTTGTAAGAAATCTAAAAAAAAAACTTTGAAAAGAGAACGGTGACTTTTGGGAGATTAAAAAAAAGTTGCCTGATATAATTTAGAATATGGAAAAAAATTTACTCGGACAAAGTCTCCACCGACGCCAAGACCGTTGACCCCAGAACTGTTGGCAGCCCAAATGCTTTTTTGAAAAGCATTCATGTTCGTGGTGAATTCAGACTCGTTTCTTAAAGTCAAAATTTGGTCGAGGTTCATCCAGGAAGCGAACCTCAAGACGTCGCCGAACTGGTTCCAACTCCACAACGACGAAGAAGGTTCGTTGACGCGACTGAGAGGAGAATTGTTCTTGGCGGGAGTTTGAGGCGATGGAACCCGAGGAACGCGCGAACGCGTCGGCGTCGAGTTTTTAGAAACATTAGGTGAGCTGATATCGAGACCTGGAAAATGAAGATTCAGTGAAGTGACAACTTGAAACCGACTCCTATCATATGTCAATATATAAAATATCTAAGTTATCTGAACAGTCTAAATGTTCGCATCTAATAAAAAGTAGGCTGATAAGTGCTTCAAAGTATTGATGTTTCCTCTATTGCCAGAATAATTCATTAAAGACTGACGATCATTGGAAGAATTGGAGAAGCGGTTGCGTTGTTGACCAATAACTCCGACTCCAGCCGGCGGCTGAGAAATTGAGATCGAAGAAAGAGCGGCTGCGGTTGCCATCAGCGAAGAAGAAGGAGCGACCACTTGTACAGGTGGAGGGCGCACCAACTTCGGCAAAGGCTCAAGAGTTGCCGACTGCAAAATAGTTTTCCGTTGGCAATGGGAAACCCTTTGAAACTAATAACTTCAAACCAAAATGTTTAGGGAATTTCATTACGAATTTTTTTTTCTTCCATTATTTCAAAGAAAAATGCAATATCGAAATTCTTAATGAAAAACTATAAATAAAAAGGTCAAACCGATGTGAAAAAGTGAAAAGTGACATAAAGATTTCTTTTGATTTTTCCTCTTGATGGCAAGTATAAAATACCTTTTGCTAAAATTTATTCCTTTGTTGAGTTTTCTGTTATTTGAGAAACATATAAGATACAAATGTTAAAAAAACCTATAACTTCTCATCAATTAGGAAAATCTTTCAAAACAAATCAAGTTTGTGAGAGTTTCAAACCTACCTTCATCTCTCCGATCTGCACCAAAGTCTTGGTTCCCGTCTTGATCGCCTCAATGGCCGCATCGTAGTCTTGTTTGGTGGCTTGGATCGCCGAATCAATTTTTTCCACAGCCTTGCGCCATTCCTCCAAACTTTTGTTCAATGCCTCCTGGTCAGCAAGCGATCGCGCCCTAAACGCGAATTATATGAAGAAACAAAGGATTCGAATAAACTTTTTGGCGTTTTCTTCAGTTTCGGCGAGCGCGGTAGTCGCCTCGGTTTTTCGCAGAGAAATTACAGCCAGCGCTTTCTCACAATTCACTTCCATCAAAAGCACTTCTGCTGCTTTAGCCCTGTCTGTGGCGCTAGCCAGTTGAGTTGCGAGCTGACGACGTTCCTTGAATTCGTTCATTGTTACACGAAAGCTCCTCCAGAGTTTTTTTTTTAAAGAATTGCAGAAATAAACCAAGACCTTCTCAATGCGATCTCGCTGTCTGACTTGTTCTTCGTTCTCCTTTTTCAGCTGATCTCTTTCCGTTTCTTTTTCAGAAATTTCTACCGTTTGTTGGCGCATCATCATGGTGTCACGCTCCTAGGAAAGGTGAAGTTGATTTTTAAAAAAAAGATAACAAACTTTGTCCTTTTTAGCCTTGGCCCGCTCTTCTGCCGACTTCTTCTTCAACTGATCGAGATCCTTGCGCAAGTTTTTGAATTTATCGTCCAACTCGTTGAACTGGATTTGAAGACTGTTCGCACGATTTCTGAAAAAAATTTTGAATAATAACAAACACAATGAAAATCTTGTACTCTTCTTTTGTCGCACGATTCTCAGCCTTTTTAAGCTGCGTCCGCAGATCCTTCTGTTCTTTGATGAGTTTCGAATTTTTTTCACACTCGGAAGAAATTTGCTTTGAATATTCAGCCAGATCTTTCTGTGTCTAGAAAACAAATTTCGTATTTAACTCTATAAAAAGCAACCTTTTCGTTTTTGGAGCGAAGACTGATGAGTTGTTGCTGAGATTGCTTGACTTCGTCGTTAAGAGTATCGAGCTGCTTCGTTTTTGCCTGAACTTCTGCCACGACTTTGATGATCCCGGTTGGTCCCAGCTTCTCCTATCACATCATTCATTTATCTCAAACAACTTTATCATCAGCATACGGAGATCACTTTCATTGCTCGTGTAGTGGCTTGGTGAATGCGAAGAACAAGACTCTGAAATCAAATTTCCAGAAACCTCCGGAAATGAAAAAGAAAACCTCCAGATTACTACTAGTCTTGGAAAGGTTGTCAACGAGTTCAAGAGCTGCGACGGATCTCACGTCAGTCAACTGTAAGAGGGAATGAACACTGGCACTAGACAAGCGGAAAAAAACCTTTGGGAACTGGCACGTGGCCGTTGAAGTGTCTTTGAACTCCATGAATCGCTTCTTGCTCATTTCCAAGTACTGAAAATTTCTTATGCGGGTCAAAAAAATTTGGAAGAAAAACCTCTTCTTTGTTCATAATCATCTGACCAAGCGCGTTAGAAGACATTTTTGAAGAGTTGGCCGTAGGAGAAGACTGGTTGGCTGTGACTGTTCGTTTCGCTTGCACTGTGGGCCTTGCTTCCTTCTTTGAAGAGGAAACTGAAATTTTACAATTAAAAACGCAGAAAAAATCAAAATAGAAATACTGTCAATGATGTTGAAATCTAATTCATTTTACTTTCCCATCTGAAAAGAGGGAAATGTAAAATGAAAAAAATCTTTATTTTCTACAAGTAGAACAAAAAACATCTTTTCAGAATCATGATTGAAATATTTTGAAAACTAATTTTATCGTGGATTTATTTAAATGAAAACGATCTAAAAACTCTCCTAAATAAAAAGAGATCACTTCATTCTTCGTGTTGACTAAAAGATTAGGAGCTTTTCGAAAACCAGAAAACTTTCGAAAAAATTAGTTTTGAACCTTGATTTGACGTTGTCACGGAGGCTTCACAGTTCTTGGCCGGTGTCTTCTTATTTTCAGCCTCAGCACTCGGAGTGATTGCAATGAAGCGGGTAGCAGTCTAATAATAATCAAGTCAGATTTTTTCTGAAAATAACGATAAAACCTCGACTTTCTTCACCAAAGCTTCGACGGTGCTCATGAAGGCGACACTCACGTCGGTAATGGAACGCGCCTGTTTGAAACAAACCATGACGGCCGTGCAGATGTGGTAATGTTCCTGAAAAAAAAGGTCACCAAATGGTTTCTGCTTTTTAAAAAGCTCGGATATAACATTTTCGAACTATCAGTAACTCAGAAAAATATCACGATAATGAATCTGGAAAACATGAACAACTTAAAAACAGATTTAAAAATAGTTTTGAAAAGTATTTTGTTTTTTCTAACATAAATTTACGATCTTAAGAGGAAAATAATTTTTATTTCTTTGAAAACTTTGCATCAGAAACAATAAATGTAACCTGATAGAGAAGACCAATCCGTTGCGCCAGCCGCACTTCAAACTCAGTGGTCACGGCAATTCGGTCTTCTTCGTTAAGCCTTGTGACTAAAGGATTATCACGCGGCCAATTTTCAAGTATCTAACAAGGGAAACTATGAATTACTGTTTTTTCTGCGGCAAATACCTCTTCGTGGTCGAAATAACGTTTGATGAAATCGGTAAACGTTGCCTCGAGTACCTAAAACGTTTAAACTTTTCGCTTAACCCGTGCCAAAGAAACCTGAGGAGGAAGACCTGAAGGACCTGAGAAAATCTCACAAAGTAGATCGTCTGGCAAGCGCATGACCACTTTTCCTTTGTCGTACTTGACAATCTCTTTCGAGTCATCGGGACGCATCATTCGCAGTTTTGGCTTGGCAAAAATTCTCGTCTTTGTGAGCTGTGGCTGTGGCTGTGGCGGGACGACTACGGGAACTTCCGGCACAGGGGCTTTCGGGAACTCATTGGTTGGAGGTGCAAAGAAAGGAGGAGGTGCGGTCAAATCGCCACTTTCCTTAACATTATTTTGGTTGATATCTTGGTACGGAATGAGATTAACCTTATTGAAATATTCAATTTCTTCAGGCTCTTGCACGTGCGAAAACATATTAGGCTTTGAGCTTCCTGATTTGTAAGAGGCGAGAATCATTTCCCTATATCCGTCCTCATTGGCAGTATTTGTTGAGCTTCCTGAGGCGCGATTCGATTCCGCGGGGCGCTGAAATTCGTAAAACCAATTGAAGAAAATGAGCTACTAATTTTTGACAGAAATCGACCAACCCGAACTCGTTTCTCAGAAATTACGTTTTTCAGAACTGCAGCAAGACTAGCATCGTTAACCACACCCTGAAATCATTGGTGAGGAAAACACATGCTAGAAAAGGAAAGAAAAAGAAAACATACTAAATCTTGAACAGGAGGAATCGAGTCGGTTTGCACATATCGATCGAGAACCAAAACTCCTTCCTCGTTGTAAGCTTGCGTCGGAAGCTGAATTATGTAATTATAAATGTTCGGCTAGTTTTTTTTTTTCGAAATCCCACCTTGGCATCCACAGAAGATCTTCTGGAGGCTTCGCAACTCGACTCAGACGCAAAATCATCGAAACAACGCTTGAAAAAATGAATATTACGTTAGTTAAAAGAGATTTACTACCGTTCCTAGAGCTTCCAGTTGTTCCTCGATATACTCCATATGCTCGTTTTTCACGTTCAAAAACGTATCCGAATAAGAAGCTCCATTCGCTTCAGCTAAAATGAACTTTATAATGGAAGTCGAAAAATCTCATTGGCACCGTCAAGAGCCTGTTCCGCGTAATCCACTTCATCGTAATCATTGTCCTCGACCTCAGAATGTGTTCCGGATAAAGAAACCTTTGTATCAGCGCACTCTTCGTCCTCCAAACTGTTAGCATCGCTCCTTGAAATGAAACAAGTTATATCTTTCTCAAAAGGGAAAAATAAAAAATGAAACGAACGTTTTCGTACTGGAGTCAGCATTGACTGTTGTTGACAGATCAGCGTAATCTTCATCGGCGGAAAATACTTCCTCACAATTCTAGAATATTTCGATGAATAAAGACGAAACAAAAAATTACATGTGCTTCTCCAGATTCTGCATCTTTGCACTTGTCATCACCACCTTTGCTTTGAGACTTCTCTTTAGTTTTTCGCTCTGAAAAAAATTGCCCTGTCTCACATATTTCAATATCTCGAAAAACAAAAGCAATTTCTGGAATAAGAAAGTTAAAATGAAAAATAACTCCGTCATATATACTTCCTGAAAAAAAAAGATCAGCGTCAATATTTTCATCTGTGTATTTTACCGAAGATGAATGAGTCATAAAAACCACCATGCGATAAACTTAATTTTTCATTTCAGCGAGACGAGGAAAACTTCGATCTACTAGATTTCTCAGCCACTGACCCTTAACAAAGAAAGACCCATGAAAATAAAGACATAAAAGGTGAAACATTTCCGACCTCTGTTCGCTAAGCTTTCTTTCAGCGCCGAATTCGACAGAGATCTGAAAATGTGAAAGTGGTAAAGAAAATGTACGAGAGCTCACGATTCAGAGGGTTTTTTCTTCTTCTGCTGAACTGTGACGATAGCACGGGTCTTCTTGCCACCCTGAGAAATCAAAATAAAAAGGGCACACATAAAGTGAAACCTTGGCGGTCATCTTGCCATTCAACGTTTTCTGGGCGCCAGTGAGAGCTTGACGCAGTGAAGTCGGTTTGGCAGGAGTTTCCTGATTGACAGTAGGAAGTTTTCCTGAAAAGTTTGCGAATTCATAGAGCTTTTCCTATAATATCAGTTAAGCAACGACGGAAATCGAGTCAACGATTGGCCTGTTGATGCAACTCAATCTTTCAACCTTAGAAAGCAAGTGGCATGTTCAGCGGAGACCTGGAACATGTTTCAAGAGTTTTCATCGCCACCCCCAAGTTTCTCCAAAAAGGTACTGATTTCTGCTTTGGAGCAATTTTCTTTCGTTTTGAAGCAAGTTGCGCTTTGCACCATAAACACGCCGTAAAAAATTTTCTAAGACTGAAAAGGTAGACAGAACTTACATGCGTTTCCAGTCTGCTAACGCACCCTACGAAAAAAATGCCATGCTCTTTCTTTATTTCAACAATTTTTAATTCTTTGAACTCCGTCTTATCATTGATAATCTACTCTACACTTATTGTCTCCTATACCGCTTAGGCTTCATAGAGCTATCTTTTCATACTTGCTTTTTTCAAAAATTTTATAAGTATGCCTGAAATTCCTTTTTTTTTTCGCCTAGTTCACGCCTTTATGTACTCTTCGGTTAATATTTTCTTAAAGCAAAATTTTTATTATTAATTTTGAAAACTAACCTTTCTCAATTCTTTCAATACTTTCAAACAGTTTCGCTTGAACAAATCTTTGTTGCTGATCTTTCAACTTCGCGCAACACTCCTCGTCTTTATCTTTACAGAACTTCATCGCCTATAACAAGCCGATATTAAACTAAGAAGATGAAAAACGATTCAAACATTCGAATTAGCTTCTATAGCAAGATCAATGTTCCCCTTTTTTAACTGCATGTCGGCTAGTTCCATCCATCGATCGATTTTTTGCACAAATTGTTCCAGTGTCCTGTAAAGAATGAACTTGAAAAAATCGAACCATTTTATCTTATTGTATCTTTCACTAATGTCACTGAAAAAACTCTAGGACTAATTTTCCTGATAAAAAAAAAACTGAAAAATTACATCATGTTTTTTGCAGGGTCAGCCTTCACGGCTATCTCGAGAATGACCGTATCGTCACGAATGTAGCCTTGGTTTTCATCAATTACATCCTGATAGCAAAAAATCAGGATATATCGTTTGGTTGATTTTTTGTTACCGCCCAAGTCATGAAGCAGGAATATCCCCAATCATTTTCCTTTGCGGTGTAAGTATGTGTTGTTCGGCGAGCAAAATGAGGAACGCTGGATTTGTAAGATAGCATCCGCATATCTGCTACTGCGTGAACAGACCACAAGCTGTAAAAAAAATGAAAATTAAGAAAAACTTCAAAATAGATAGTTACTCAGAATAGGCTTTCTGAGGCGTGCACTGAAGGAAGAAACCCATGCACTTTTGAGACTTTTTCTGTACCATGTGTTGCTTTGGCATCACCATTATCCGCCTGTGAGAATTTCAACGTCATTAATGAAGAAATGTACTGAATACCATGAAACGCCCTCTATGATCTTGCTGTCCGAGCAAGTTGTTTCTTCGAGGCTCGAAAAATGAGGAATCCGGAGTCGCAGAATACAATTCTCGTCAATCCAAGAAGGTCCATCGTTTTTGGTTTGGCTCGTTGAAGCTTGTTGGCCGTTGGAATGGGTCGCTTTTTTCTTTTCGACGGTCGCTGTTTTTACTCGTGGCTGTTGTGTTGCGTTTTGCTTATCGTAGAAATACTCAGCAACAACACTGGGTTTCACTCCTGCAGGCGTACACGAGCTGTTCTTCGAATGATTCGCCTAAACCATTGGCTTTAGCATTAAAACGTTCAACTATGAAACTCACTCCTGATGCAAGATCAGGATTTACTTCCGTTACGTTCAAATCACCGTCATCAGAGTTCCCATCTTAACTCCGTTTGTTTTTTTTTCTGTTCAAAAAAACTCCTTATGTTCTTGCCTGAACTAGTTGGATCGATCGCCTCCAAAAAACTTTGATTGTTATCCAGAATTTCTAGAGGAGATTTAAACCAAAACGTTTTGGGCAACTCTTGATCCTCTCGGCTGTTCTCAGATGACCGTGTATCTGTTTGACAACCAACGGATGAGCATTTTTTCCTAAACAAGTCATGTGATGAAAAAAACGCAAGAATAAAAATCACTTCAATTTGCATGAAGTTTCAGGAGGTTCTGGTAAACAGGAAGACTCCATCACTCTTTTGGAAGAACACGACCCAACTTCTTATCGTCTTCGTTCGCTAGCTTCCTCTATTTCACTAAATTCTGACTACCTGCAAATGAAAGGAAAAATCTGATCTATTGAGAAAAAAAAACCAGTAGAAAATGACAAAAAATAAGCACCATGAAAATGAGAGAATCATTTAAAAACTGAAAAAAAAACTTGTGCACGGTATTTTCATCACGTTGCACTGAGTGTCTTTTATTCATTTTTCATCTACAAATCTTCGAGAAGTTGTATTTATCAATGTGTAAACAATTATATTCAGCCCACAAACAGTTGCCCCGCGTTCAAAGTGACTTCACGAAATTCAAAATGATCCCGGACTCTCCAAATACTCGTTATCTTTTTCACTCTATGTGGGTCATTTCTTTTTCGCAGAAATCATTTTGAACGTAGCATTTAGATTGGTAAAAAAAAATAGAAGCAAAACTCAAGAAAGTTTTGCTCGCCTCGACTCTCTTCTAGTTCACGTCTGCGAGAGTGCCGTTGCGAGACTCTGATTTCCACATGCCTATGTCCCTTTAATTCAATGTTTTCTTTTCTGTTTGAAAGTATATTTTTTCGAAAAATGTTTTTTTAAACTTTATTGTCTCTTTAATGTTCGAAACTGCTGAAAAAACTTTCGACTTAATTCCAAGCTGTATTTCAAAATCAAGTTTTTTCCCCGAAACTATTTTTCTATTTAATTTTCCTTGCCTTGTTTTTTTTTTCATTCGATTCTATGATATGTTGAATACAAATCAGCAAACGTTGATTTTTATGCTTTTATTCATTTTGTCAAAATTCAGAATGTATAACGGCATCGGGCTACAAACGGCCCGTGGTACAGGCACAAACGGCTACGTACAATCAAACTTATCACATTTGTTACTCGCGAGGGTCAGTTTTCTCATTGTAAATAGAAAAAAAGTTTGCCTTCAGAAAAAAATCGAGTATAATGGTGAGGACGATTTACGACGCATGGAAGCGGAAGTCAACAAAACGCCGAACGCGGAAATACTGGATCATCAGAGAAAACGTCAAATTGAAGTGAAATGTACAGAAGTCGAACTTCTTATGGAGGAAAAGGTCGATTGAAATCTTGAGAAATGTTTTATTGTTGCTTTGAAGGGTTTTGATGACGACGAGATTCAAAAGAAAGTGGACGAATATCGCCAGTTGCTTCTTTCTCAATTGAAGTCCGGCGAATTGAACTTGGACGATGAATTGGACACGCGAGATTCTCACGCTCGTAGGCAGTTTGCACAAAAGGTGAGAGTATTACATTTTTTTTTCTTAAAGTCTAATAATAAAATCTAGGGTCGAGACAGAATGCGTGAAGCTTTAGGGGTTAACAAAGATTTCGTTGCTGGCAGTTCAATGGCTAAGTTCGTTCTTTAACAATCTTTTTTAGTTAGATGTTTGAAAAAATACGAAATTTTCCCTTTACAGCATGAATAAAACAGATGTAGTGGGAGCGGCGTTATCAGCACCGCCCGTATCCGAAAAAGAAGATAAAGAGGCTTTATTGGCGACCCTCAAAAAACACGAGAAACAAAAGGCGAAAGAGAAAAAGCAGGCCAAAGTTCTCAGTATGCGTTTTACAAGCATATAAAATAACTTTCAGAAACAAAAGTCCAAAAAACGGAAGAGAAAAGTTAGCACAAGTTCATCGTCGTCTTCTTCCAGTGATGATTCTTCAGGTAAAATTTTTCATTTACTCGTATTCTGATGATAATTTTGCAGAGTCCAGCGCTTCTTCTTCAGAATCTGAATCGAGTGAGGACGAAAAACGCAAGAAGAAAAAGAAGAGCACAAAAAGGAAGCATGAAAAAGCGAAAAATCGGTAATTTATTAAGCAATGCTTATATTAGAAAAAGGATTTTCTGTTTCAAACAAGATAATCCATAAATAGGGCGCAGGCATAGCCTAAGCCATTATTATTTGAAAAACAAAAAAAAATTTTTTTTCAGACAAGTAGTCAAAGAAGAACAACAGTCGCCAGTGGCTAAGAAAAGTCGTAGAGAAAACGACAGGCAAGACGAGAATCGTTCTTCAAAGAAAGCGGAAGCCAAAAAAAACGTTCGCGAAGAAGAGCGTCGCAGAAAGAGGAGCAGGAGTCGCGAAAATGACGACGTCAGGCATCAAGATCGACACGATGATGAACACAGAAATCGGCATCGGGACGGGCCTCGAAGGGACCACGACCGTTCTCGCGGGTATTCATCAATTTGAAAAATCGTAACAAATTTGATTCAGATTATCTGAAGCATCTTTAATTTGATTGCTTTTTTCATTAGAGTACTGCACAAACCTTTTATAGGGCTTTAGGTGACTAGCGACGTGATTTTTTTATTCCTAATTTTTTTAAATTTACCGTTTAGAACTTGTCAGTTGAAATATTTTAGAGGGCGTGAGCAATTTTTTTAAATTTACCGTTGAGAACTTGTCAGTTGAAATATTTTAGAGGGCGTGAGCAATCGGTTGAAAGAAGGCGAGAAAGAAGAAGTGAAGAACGCGAAAAAAGCCGCGGGGAGAGGTCCAGAGAGATTCGCGACCGTTCCAGAGAGAATCGCGACCGATCCAGAGAGAATCGCCGGCGCCACAGTCACCGACGTGCGAGTGCAGAACGACGTCGTGAAAATCGTCTGAAAGAGTCGATTCGCCGGTCGCGCAGTCCAGTTTCACGCCGTCGACATGATTCTGACTCTGACGAGGGATCCACCACAAAAAAAGAACCCGTCAGTCAACCGTTTCCACATTTTACGGAATATCAATTTTTCCTTATCAAGGAACTTTGCTATATATTCACAACATAACTTAATAAGAGAGTGCGTTTAGAACTTCACTAGAGAATAATATTTGAAAAAATTTACCTTCCAATGAAGCATAAGTCTGCACCTGAAAAAATTCGTTATTGAACGATTAGGACTTTCAAGTATGGAATTTTAGATTGTCGAAGAGGTTAAACAAGAGCCGGAAAGTGAACCAGAGACAACTGTCCCAGTTAAACAAATGGAAGTCAAGCCGTCTAAAGGGAGTGAAAATGTCGCGAAGGAGTCGTCTTCCGATACGAGCTCTTCTTCTTCTTCTTCTTCAAGTGATTCCGATTCCAGTGATAGCGAAAGCGATTGATGGAATTTTGTACAATTGTTATTAATTTATTTCATCAAATTTTTTATCTCTTCTACTTCGTTTTGATCTCGAAAAAAATTCTTGTTCCTTTTTTGTCAGCAAGAGATTGAATCTGAAGTAAAAGTTAAAATTAATCATTTTCACGGTTTTTTATTTTCGATTATCAAATAAAGTTTTTGAAAATGTGATATTTTTTCTGCTTATCGCCCTCTCAAAAAAATAGTTGATATGCAATAGATATCTTGTACGTTATCGGCGCCGACAACATAGATAAGGCAGTTTGGTGCTGGATGGCCGCGCCATGGCTTTCCTCGACCGCGACGAGCTGCTCGACGTCATCCGACATGAGATGCGCCTTGAGGACGAGCACGGCCTCTGTGCCAGGCTGCTCCAGCCCGTCATTCGGTTCTTTTTTCGTCCTTTCATCCCCTTTTAAGCAGAAGAAATTGGTATTCGGCAAGCAAGAAAACCAAAAAATCTCGATTAATAATAATTTGATGAAGATGTGTAGTTTAATTTGGAAAATTCACCATTTCCCTCAAGCCGCCCATTTTTGGTTTCTGGTGGCCTATTCGAAATTTGTTTTTAAAAGCTTTTCAAAACTCACGACTTTTCACTGTTCAAAAGGTTCTTGAGGGAAGTTTTAATTTCCTTTCTACAGAAGTTTTAGAATTCGAAAGCGATTCTTCTATGTTAGAACCGTTCAAATGAATTGAGATAGTTTGTACACCGAAAAAAACCAAAGACTGTATAAAGCAGGAAAAAAAATGTACCGAGGAATTGAAAAAAAAAATAAAATTTGAATTCCGCTGGTGATTTTTTGTTGTTCAGTCCAGTTCAGATCCACTTTTTCAGCCTTTGCAATCGGTATTAATATGAGACTCTGCATAATAAAGTCGTATTTGTCATCTAAACGGCAAATTAGTACATTGTTATGAGGAGATTCTGTCAAACTTTGATCCCAGAAATGCGAAATTCCGGAAAGTTTCTTTCCTTTGAAAGAATTTCGGTTTCGAAGTTGCAGACGATCTAAATACGGTGGATTGCCGCTCGGCTTCAGAATGTCGAGCCTCCGTGAAGACGTTGACGATGAGTTCGAGGAAGGATACAACGTCAGTCTTTGATTTTCTACTTCTCTTAGTGATTAAGGATTGTATCCCTTTTGCCGAAGCTTTTTGTTCTCTACAAAAGTTTTCTTTTTGCAGATCCCCCTCTACGAAGAGCCCATCCACACGCGCGACATTATCCGCGAGCAAATGGACCATCGCGTTTTCGATAAAAACGTCGTCGCTTCCGTTGTTCCAGGTTATTTTTTTCTCGTTATCTAGAACCACTGCTATAAAATATATCATATTTTTCTACCATATTTACGTTCAAATGTATCTAACTTGTTTCTTGTCGGTAATTTCCTGTTCCACGAACTTACCATGAGCAAAACAAGCAAAGAGGTAGGTTTCATGGTAAAAAGAATGGCATATGCTCTATTTTCCTTCAAATTTTGATTTGTTCAACCACACTTGAAGTTTTTTTTTTTGTGAAAAATTCCCATCTCAGAAGTCCAGTTGATCATTTCTTGCAATTTTTGTTCTGAAAATCATTTTGAATCAAAGTTCCAGTGTAATAATCATTTTCAGACTTCCATAGAAGTCTGGAAAGTAAAAGGAAAAGGAAGAAGATTTTTCTTGTTGAGCCGTGACAAGTCATAATAATGATGAAGTTCAGAAGTCGGTTCGCCCAGATCTGCAACGGAGCTTTTCATAGAACACAAAGTCGCATGGCCACCCTCGTGTTCAAGTTCGGGTCCGAAATCGGCAGTTGATAGGTGGAATTCCGCACAAGTTTTGGAGAAGTTCGCCGTCTCCAGGTACCTGGAAGCCAACGCGAGCTCTCTCAACAGCCAGTTGCGGGAATTCGCGCGGTTCGCCGGCACGACCGACCAGCCTTCGCGGACGATTCACGTCTTCTTTGCTCCTGAAGGGATCACCGAAGGGCCTCATCGAGACTTAGAGGTCGGCCTTCATCACAGGAAATATTCATTGTGAATTCAGATCAGTGTTCTGTCTTCTGCCAAAGTCAAACAGGCTATCGGCTACTGTTCCTACAAGTTTCTTCTCGATTTCGGAGAACTATTACCGTGGGTGTGTTCATTTTCCGCAGAATTTGACCTCTTGCAGTGGTCAAGTCGATGACTATCAACTGTTCATGGCAGAAGACGATGGCGAGGTATTTTCACTCTCTTTTCTTGTCTTTTCCAAAGTTTTTCTTAAGATTTCGACCGATTTTCCACCACATGACCACAATAAGCTCATCGGACAATTTGGTTTGTTGCTTTAAAAATGAAAAACAAGAAAATATAAACGATTTTCTGGGTTTTTTGTTTGAACTTTATTCTATTCTTGTTTCAGGTTTTGATGTTCTTGGCCTTGTCAGAACGCAAACAGATTCTGATAGACTTCAAAGCTTCAAAGTTATCGTGTGAGTAATTTTCTAACTAGCCAATTACTTGTGAGGGAAAGTTTCTGACATAATTTACTTTTGCACGTTCATATGACCGCGTCTTATTGATTCGTACTTGGTTTCGGCATCCAGAAAAAATAATTTCGTCAAAATCTACATCCTTTATTTCATTCAGGAATGGTGAATTCGTGGAGAATAACCGAAAAAAACAAAAAAAGCTTAAACTGTGATTTGAAAAATCATGAGTTTTTATCGAAAGTGAGATAATATTATTTTCCGAGAATTCATTTCTATGTTGAGAACATTTTTATCGGAAATTAAGAAGTTTCTTGGAGGTCAGAGAGTTCTTCGGTTTTTTATAGAGACATTGAAAGCCTTAATCCGCACAAACTTCTTTTTTTTGAGGAGGTATTGCTGACAATTAGTTTTTCATGTTTTTGTACTGTTGGCTGAAACATTGAGGTCTCCGTTCCGAAAAACTTTTGTGCAGACTTCAAATCTCAGGATTTTCATCCATCAAAAGAACGCTTAGCATATTTCAAAGTCCTGTGTAAAGTAACATTTTATTATGAGAAGAAGAAAAAAGTGAACAGAAAATTCGCAAGCGATGGCAGTCAGATCCTCTGAAGTTCGTCCCACAAAGAATGTCCTTTCCAAATTTCAGACCATGAATGAGTGTTTGAGTAAACATTATTAAAGTAATTAAGTCACTTCACGAGCCGAGATCAGTACACGATCGAGGTGGACAGCGGAGATCGGACACTGAAATGGCTGAAGGACGAGGCGTTGAGAAGGCGCGACGAGAAGATGAAAGCCGACGGCGGTCTCCCCGAAGGCTTCTTAGAAAGTGAGAGAGCCTTCAGAAAGCCTTATCAAGCAGTTCAGTTCGTGACTATCATCTTGAGCCGGCCGATCAGTTTGACGTGAAGCTCGACGAGGAGCTGACCGTGAAGTCTGTTGGCGTCTCTGAGTTTGTGATGGTGCGCAAGAACAGTAAGAAGGCCTGAGGAGCTCAGGAGAGACAATGGTTCTGCAGGTTCGCGGGGAGATTTCCACCCCCTGGGTGTGCGTTTCGGTCGGCAATTCAGTGCGATGACGCTTCTGACAGGATTGGCCGCAGGAAATCCTGGGCCAATGTCTCCACGGACGCCGCTACCCACCCTCGCAGAGCAGAAATTCGGTCAGTGTCTAGAATATATTTCTCTGGGCTTAGAAATTGATGGCCGTACATTTGTTCACTAAGAATAACTGCCGAGATAAACGCGAGTTGGATGGCGGTACATTGACTCGCAAACATCTCGCTCTGTTCTCACGCGGCGGGTCTCGCACATACATCGGCTGGATCCAACCTTACCCTTTTGCGCGCGAAAAAAAATTGAAAATGTACTGACTAGGGAACTACTCGGACTCGGGTACGCGTTTGGAGTTGAAACTTTGGTGGCTTATAGACCCGGGTAAGAGTACTTGGAAACAAGAGAGATTATCTGCTAAACCCCATAAGCTTCTGAAAAAAAAGCTTTTTGAAAATGAACAGTTTAGGCTTGAAAATTATCGAATTTTTGCTTTCCTCCTCCTTTTGACTGGAAAAAAGTTTTTTAGAGTTTATCACAGCCGAATCATTCAAGGCGATTGTATTAAAATATAAAATAAGGTAAAAAGAAGTATTCTGAAATTTTTCAGGCCTAATTTTCACATTTTCTATTAATTTTTTCTCAGTTCTCTATTGGGTTTAGCAGATGTTCTCTCTTGTTTTCAAATATTCTGACTTGGGTCTATAAACCACTAAAGTTTCAACTCGAAACGCGTACCCGAGTCCGAGTAGTTCCCTAGTGAGGTAGGCCGCACTTTTCGGGGTGGGATCCAGCCGACGTACTGTCTCGCAATTCTTTCGCGCTAGTTGCGGCATTCATCTTTAGTATTGTAAGACTTTGTCGAAGTCGCTCCTGACGAGAAAAAAATCCAAGCGCGAGCAAAGATGAGAAGAAATTACATTTTCCAATGTTAAAATGTAAATGCCACGGGAAAATAAAAGTGGCCGTTTTCATTAATTTTTTAGATATTGGCTTAATACTTAAAATTGTTTTAACCAGCTAGCAACTTATAACTGCGCTGCTCAATAGAAGGTCAACTTACTCATTGTTTTCATTTCCTTGAAGAAAGATTCAAGACTTTGGACCTGGAAGTTTTATTTTTCTGATCGGAAACCCGCAATTATTACCAAAGTTATTCGGAGAAAAAGTTGACGGAAGCAATGAGAAAAAAATTTGTACCAAACCTTGATAGCCGCTAGACTTCACATCGTATGCTAGTTTTTTGTAAATATTCAAATAAAAATCATTCTGTTTTTGAACACGTTCGCCTTTCTCTGAAAGCTTCTCTTTTCAATCCTAAACAATTGCAAAAGAGTAGATAACGAATTAACTTTGACCATATTCAAATAATTTTTTTTGCGAAGCGTGATATTTTCGTGTTTCAAAATGATATTGCTTTGACTGATTGATTGATGCTTGCTCAGAGTTCCCTCCAACGTCGCCTAGCGGAATGACTACGCGGCCGGTGACCTTAGCCGACTTGGACGGTCAGCTCTCGGCGTTCGTCGTCTGGCGGATCCACAGAGTGAAGCCTCGCTGGAAAGCCAATCTCGGTACTTTTCAGGGTTTCGACATAGGTCAAAGGACCAATTGCAGTGTTGCGGTGGACGTGCTTCGAGATTTCGCGGCTTTTCGTCGACAAGACGGCCTTTCTCCCACAGGGCTACCAGAAGCACACGAGCGTGCCGTGGGAGAACGTCGGCGGCGTCCGAGTGCACGAGAAAGACGCCAAACGTTTTGTTCTCCCTTTGAGAGCTGAAAGATCATCCGATTCAGCGGGATCAGAAAGGCTCTGGCAATTGACTCTTTGGTGGCTTCCAATTCTCGAAGAGGAAGCAGTTCGAAGCGTCGTCGGCGACGAAGAGTGGAGCTATCGGCATATCATTCAAGTTCGTTGAGTTTGAAAGGCTGTCTCAATAATGAAGAGTGTTTCCGCACTATTTTTACTATGAAGAAAATTTGATTAACACAAGCTCCTGGTTTGTACATAACCAGCCTGTTTGAAAACCTTACTTATCAGAAATAAGCAAAGTATTGATTTCAACTGAATTCAGCTCTACAAAACTGAAAATGCCTGGAAGAAAGTGACGGTGGAGTCGTCGAAAAACACGGAAATCGCTGAGGCGGCGAGTCAAGTCAACTCGATTCTGCAGGCCAGGGACACCGCCGTTTTCCGGGTGAGAACATTTCTCATAATCTAGGAATTTTTTCAAGATTTATTCTCACTCCTCAAAAATTTTCATTTCGCTGAAACGGATGATAAATATATAGAAAAGTCTTTGGCAACACATTTTTCTTTGCTGCCAGGTCTTCCTTCATGTCTCCTTGAGTCTGCAGACTTTCAACCACTCGGAGTGTGGCGCCCGTCCCCCGGCTTCGGCCGCCGAAATCGCCATGATGGACTCGACTGATGGGCCTCTCATGACGTCACCAACGCCTACTCCCAAAAGCAAGTACTGGAAAATGAAGAAACTCGTCCGCGTTTTTCGCAGAAAACCGGTCACCTGAAGCCATATTCCCTAGTGGTTAGTTGGATTAAGTTCTCTTGTTAAATTGTATTTTTTTGAACATTTTGTATCTCAAAGTGTTTTTTTATGGGGTTTCACGTTGCCATTCCTATTCTCCTTCATCGAACTTCAAAATCTCACCTTTTTTTGTCCTAAAAGATTGCAGCATTAACACTTTTTTCAAACTCGAACACAAGAGGGTCTTTCAGTTATTTTCAGTCTGTGATATAGTTTCAGTAACATTTACAGTTAACGGGTTTGAGTAAGCCAAGGAAACTTTGGACTATTTTTTGTTCTTGAATGTAGCATTTTCGTGCAATACTTCTTTTGGGAATGAGCTTTTTTCATTGTCTTTCGCTTAGAGTAATTCGTGCCAAATGAATTTAAAAATTCACTAATACACCGTATGAAATGAAATACACGCACACAAACAAATATAAACACATAAAAGGATTTCAACAGCTTCCAAGACAACATCTCGCAAGACCATGTAATATTCGAAATGGAAAAAAAGCCAACTTTTTAGGTCAATAATAATTGAAAGATAAAATATGAAAGATTTGATCAATACATGTCATACCCAAATAATGAATTGAAGTTAAACCCAAAAGAGCACCTAAATAGAAAGTTTAGTATATTCCTGCTAAATAAGGGGCAAGCGGAACTGCTCCGTATCGGGCTGCGCAGTCTGGATGGATGAAGGAGAACTCGCTGGCACTCAGAGAATCGCCGTTGACTTCGAAAAAGTATAGAAGATAGCCTTTTCTGAAATCTCCATTTCCAAGCAGAATTCAAAAAGTAAACCCACTTGGCAATCTTCACTAAAAGCTGTAGCATCTCGCCTGGCTTTCCGTGCAACTCGATAAGAATCTGCGAGAGTTACGATTTTATGCGGTTTTGAGGCCCAACCTGACAAACACGGTACTTAGCGAGAAATGGTTCCAACGCGTACTTTTCGGCTCCTTCGATGTCGATTTTGAAGATTTCTGCATAATTATCGCCATTTTCTTCGAACAACCTCTCTAAATCATAAGATGTTTCTGGAAATTTCAATATTGGGCTTTTAATAACTCACCTATCGTTTTCTTTGACCCTGTTTGATCATTCATCGTAGAAATTTCTACCTTGCTTGCCACTCCTTTGACAGCTGCGTATCGAATTTTTGTCGCATTTGTTTGCTCTATCTAGAAAAATTATTCATTTGTTCTGTCTTGATGAAAAAAAAACCATGTCATATCCGAAAAGACGACACCCATTTTTCGTGAATAGCTGGACTTCCTCTTCGAAAGAAACCTCATCATGGAGTCCTAACGAGTAAACGCTGAGAATAATTTTTTTTTTTCGAAAGTTGGTTAATTGTTAATTTTGTGAATTACATAGCAACCAAAGTAGTGTTACCTGCAATTTTCCTGAGGAAACACCCAAGGATTGCAAGTCCATTTTCCACCGTCGTTGACATTTCCGATTCTGACCATGTCTGGACAGTACATCTTCAAAAACGAACAATTAGTACTTGGCTTCACTTGGCTTCCCTCTCTGTTTTCATCGGGTAACCGAAACGGGATGAGAATGTAAAGAAACCTCGGGAACGATTCCATTGTAGAAGACGGCGAAGTATTGGTTTCCTCTAGCTGTTTGGTCGTTTATTGTCTGCAGCAATCGGACTCTATTCTCTTTCTGAAGGCTGACTTGTAAGAAAAAAACTTGACAAAAAGCTACCTGCTTCAAAAAGTATTTCTGGAGAGTTTCGATTGAAATTTGAGGATTCTGAGGCGTTTTCGAAGTCTCTGAATTTAACCCAATTTTTTTTCCTCTTTATCGAGGTGATAAAAACTTTCGGGGAAATGTTTTCATCTCACCTTTTTGCCAGGAAACTTGGCCGTCGGTACCTATCGTCGGTCGCACTGTGACGGCTCCTTTTTGATTAGCAATCTGCTTGGCGATTAAAGCGTTCAATTCTGAGAGTTATGAAGAGGTACCAGGAAATATGTCTCTGAATACCGTCTACTCTGGAGTCGATCATGTTGTCTTTGTTCAGAATGAGATAAATCAAGAAGAGAATCAGCACTGCCAGTAGAACTGGGGTGTAGTTGTTTGGAGTCATTCCCACTCAGGTAGCGAGCCTTTTTTTGCTGCTAGAACAGTTCTCAAAGTTCCGAGCAAAAAGCTATCAAGCTGTAAGCCTTTTTCAATATAAGAATGGGAAAATAGGAAATTAATTACTTTGTACAAGGAAATATAGTAATTTGGAGTGCAATCAAAGATAACGAGCGAACAAAGGAGATTATTGCAATGAAAGTTGGGCGGCGCCTAGACATCAAACTCGCGATAAATGACGTCCAAGCGAAAAGTGATATGCTTTGCAAATAGCAAAACTGCTACGTCGCTGGCAATGTCCTTTCGTGGTCGTTTTGTGGAATAAACCAGCGCCTTGCTTTCTGGGACTCATAGGTACCTATTTTGCATACGATTATAACTCCTATATGAGTCAGAAAAACGTGAAAAAGCTGTTTTTTTTTTTGAGATTCTATTTCAGTAAAAAAAGGGAGTTATTTCTGCTGTGAGACCAAAAGAACACATGAAGTTCAAATTTGAAATACGTATCATGGGTTAGTGAGAGACAGGAGAATTATCATTTTCACATATACGTAGCGACCGCAAAGCCCCGCCCCTTTTCGCGATGGAAAAAGGCCATTTTTTTGGTATTCCGTCTTTGATTGTTTCGTACAGCCGATAGAAACAATGAAAAATGATAAAAATTTCAGCATACATGTAGCAAAGGTTCCTCTTTCCGTTGAAAAGGTTTTAGGTACTTTCCATGTGTTTCAACGGAGTGTCGTACGAAATAGTGATACGAGTTCGAAAAATAAACTTAGTTTTGCGTTTTGATATTCATGTAGGTCGCGGACAAAGTTGATTTTTTTGAAAACTACTTATAAACAGTAAATGAAATTTTTTTAAGCCAAAAAAATAAAAAAATTCTATGATCGCCGAAAAAAATTGAGAGGCGCGCAAAAGTCAAAAAAATTGTTTTCTCGATTGCAATGCAGTATTGGAAGGTTTTTTTATGCTTTTTTTCATATTGAGAAAAGTATTGCTCAAATAATACTTGTGGACAACTTCAAGCAAACGTACTGTTTTGAGTGCTAAAAAAGCTTGAGAATTTTTTGCGTGTTGTTTTGAAACATTTCCCGATCGAAGACACGCGTTTTTTCTTACTCATGTATAAGAACTTTTAATTTTCAAACAAATAGAGCAATAAAATCGAAAATTCAAGATCGCCGAAAAATTTTTTTCAACAAAAAAGGTGAATAAAAGTGGGCGGAATTACATTTTCATGAGACTCAAAGAGCACTGTAGGCTGTATTTGTGCAGTCACTGAGACGAAAGTGATGGTAAAGTGGAATTAATTCTCGTAAAACCTTCTCTTTTGGCTACTTAAACCGTGCCGCCCTTGCAAATAAGAGTGCGCGCAGATTGCATGAGAATTTGCAAAACAAAATTTTCAGTGCAAAAAATTTTGCTTTTCGATTGCTTTTAAATATTGTTTTCTCCTCTTATTCTTAATATTTTTCGTTTTTCTTTTCTGTTTTCGCATACTACATGTTAAAATCATTATTTCTATAACAAAAACGAGAAGCTAGCCTGAGTTCGAAAAATAGGTCTGTGGTCCCTACATATACGATAGAAAAGTTTTCGTTCAAAAGCACAATTAACGCGTTGAGTTTGAGCTTCTTAGGCCGCGTGGCCAATCCACACAAAAAATGGTCTTTTTGATTCTGCCAGCGAGCTGATGCCCTATAAAAGTTTTTATAGCGGACATCTGCACTTTTTTTCCTTCTCAATTCCTTCACTGATACTTCAAGAAACGTTTTGTGGTATTCAAGGATATTCAAAAATCTCTTCTGTTTGTTTATTTTTTCAAGAAGTTAGATTTGAAGTGTTTGAAAGTTTTTTCAGTGCATCAAAATGAACATGAAATTTTAATAAATCAATTTCCGTAGCAAGAAGGAATTTTTGAAAGATCGAAGATTTCGTCACGTCTTTCTTTTCTATGTCAGCCGTGAATGACCTAAAACTCTAATTTGATTTTCTAGCTCACAAAAAAATAACAAAAAATAACTTTCGATCACAAAATTCTCACCGAATAATTTTTTTTACGAATGAGGACAGTGAAATTCTCCGCCCTTCTGAAATCATTGAAGACATCGGGCCAACCATTTTTTTTTTTCTTTAACCTGAGGGATCTTGAGAAGATAACTTTTTTACACCTACTTTAGGATGGATTGGGCTGGAAAATTCAGGAATACGAATATAAAACACAATGAGCCGTTTCCAATGGTCTCCTGGTAACCACGGAGAAAAAAATTTTTCGGGAGGAACTCCACGAAACATACATTTTGAAACGTTTCAGGTGCCTGCAATGTGAAACGGTTTTTTGGAGATTTTTTCTATTGTTCCCGACTTATTCGATTTCATTTTTTAATTGAATAAAACTTTTTAAGGCATTCTTCTTTTAGAGCTTGCTTTTTTGATTAAAAAAATACACGGAAAACTATATTTATTTTTGGCGATTGAAAACGGATCAAACCAGTTGAGTCGAATACTTCTCATTCTTAGAAACGGAATGAAAACAAGAAAACGAGAACGAAAAAAAAGAAGAAGGATTGCAGTACGTTCAATTCAAAAACGACGATCCGTCAATTGGAGTGCGCAGGATTCGAATTGAGACGATCGGAAAGAGGGCGTTTTTAAATAGTATTCTAATGTGCCAACTTTACTGACTGTATAATTCAATATTATAACAAAAAATAAGCTGAAAACGATAACTAAAGTTCCAACGGAGCAATTTAGTATATTTCCGCTAAGTAAGGGGCAAGCAGAACTGCTTCGTATCGGGCTGCGCAGTCTGGATGGATGAAGGAGAACTCGCTGGCACTCAGAGAATTGCCGTTGACTTCGAAAAAGTACAGAAGATAGCCTCTCCTCAAATCAAGGCGTTTGAGACTAAATCCAAAAAGATACTTTGCAACTGCCACCAAAATTTGCAACATCTCGCCTGGCTGCCCGTGCAGCTCGATAAGAATCTACGAAAAATCAAGAGCTTGTGATTTTTGATACTTCTCAAAGAGCAAACCTGACAAACCCGGTACTTGGCTAGGAACGGCTCTAGCGCTAAGTTTTCGGCTCCTTCGATATCGATCTTGAAGATTTCTGCGTAACTGTCCCCGTTTTCTTCGAACAACGTCTCTACAGAAATATTATCGCCTCGCTAATTATTCACAGATAATAACCTATCGATTTCGCCGAGGTGTTGAAGTTCGTCTGATTGGAAATTTCGACTTGGCCCACATTCCCGTTCATCGCAGCATATGCTGTTTTCGTTTCATTGTACTGGTAGTTCTGGAAAAAGCATTGAATCTCGAAATGTCGACGGTACGCCCGCAGCTGATGGGAAGCTGCTTATCATACCACGTCGTATCCAAAAAGGCGACATCCATTCTTCGTGAACTGCTGGACCTCCTTCTCGAAGGAGACCTCGTTGTTGAGTCCCAGGGAATAGACACTAAAGTAGGTTTTTGAATTATGAGTCTAAAAGTTGTTCTTCAACCCAGCATGGTAATCGACTTATATGAAAACACATTCACCTGCAATTTCCTCGTGGCAAAGCCCAAGGATTACAGATCCACTTTCCTCCATCGTTCACGTTTCCTATTCGAACCATATCTGGGCAATACATCTGGAAGTATTCGTTAACTAAACTTTATCACTTTTTTTGAAAAACTTTCTCAGTAATTTAATTTTCCAACCTTTTTTTTAAAAAAAGTTTTTAAAATAGTTATTTTCAAACTTGACCTTTAGTTTCTTTCAACCGAATTTGTTTCTTGATTGGGTAACCAACCTAAACTAATCGGAATAGCTCAATTAGCAACACTCCCAATGAACGCCTTTTTTCGACTGGGAAACGATTATTTATGGAAAAAAAGTCGAACGTTATCAAAAAAATAAAAATAAAAAGTCTGTGAAAGTAGTTTTTCAAATGGTAATTTGATTTAATCGAACGACTCAATTGAATTTTTGCCTCGAAAATATCTCTTTTTAGTATTTTAGTATGATAACCATTTATATTCAATCGTTTTGTATAACCGCTTTACGAATTAATGAAAACCTCAGGAACTATGGCGTTGTACAAAACAGCGTAGTACTGATTGCCCCTAGCGTACTGGTCGTTGATCGTCTTTAACAATTGGACTCGTTCGTCTTTCTGTTTGCTTTAATGTTAGAATGCTCAGGTAGACAGGAAAATTGCCTGTTTGGAGAAGTATTCTTGGAGGACGTCGATTTTTATTTCTGGATTGCGAGGCTTGTTTGCACTTTCTGATTATCATTTACGGTTTTTTCCATTTCATCAACATTTTCAGGACCTCTCTGCCAGGTGACCTGTCCGTCGGAACCGATCGTCGGCTGAACGGAAACGCCTTTTTTCTGATTTGCGAGCTGCTTGGCGATGAGCGAGTTGATTTCTGAAAGTTTCGGAAAACTTGAAAAAATGGAAAAGAAACCTTCTCTTTGGTATTCTGGAGTTATTTCGCGTCTCAGAACCAAGAAAACCAGCAAGAGGATGATAACGGCGAGCAGAACAAAAGTGTATTTGTTTGACGCCATAAGGCCTTTTTTCAAAGGCTTTCAAGTTCCTTAAAAACCAAAAAGCTTCCTGAAACTCATGGGAAAACTCTCAATCAATTTGATAACCGACCTATTGAAGTTCAAACAGGAGTACTTTTTACAGGAATCAATCGAAAAATTTTAGTTTGATGGATAAAAAATGAAAAAAAAAATGAAATTGTATCTTTCTATACGTGTATAACGTGTACGTGTACAATTTGATTGTTTAATTATCTTTTTTTTCAAACATTTTTGGAAGAAATTTCAAAAATATTTATCTGTCATTCAACGCTGATTGAAGAAAGTTGATTTTTTATTGGAAAAATTAATCATGATATGAGCGATTCAAACCATTTCAATCTTGAGATAGGTATTTGCCGTAAATTTCGTTTCGGAGCTTTTTATCAACAAGCTCCTTCATTATCGTTCTAAAAAATGGTTGATTGATTCTAGGGCTATCCAAACAAGTCGGACTGCTTTTTGGCTTTTTTTTTCCAAAATTTTAAATTTGAGCATTAAAGCTCCTTATCTTTCTTTTGAGACTCGAGCGGTTTGGTCGAATGCTTGTGCCATGGTCCATTTCTGCCTCTCCATAAAAAGCTGCGAGAAGATGTGCCCGGACGGGTTGTTTTGCCGGTCGGCGTCTTGGCCACCGGCGCTCTTGCAGTTCAGAAGACTGGTCGACGTGTAGCAACACGTGTACAATTACGGTACGACGTCTTCGCCGACGAGAATTCCGCCGACCAGAACCGGTTTGCGCGTCGCCTTGTCTCACCATTACTAACTGCCGTCGCGCACACAAAAGCTTAATTTCCTGGTTTCGGCTGAATTTTTGCTGAACCAACTTTTATTTTCATGAAATCGAAATCTGCTAATTTACTTAGTTTGTAGGCTAAAAATGCGCTTTGAGATCCTTTTATGTTTTAATAACTTTTTTATTGATATGTAAAGAAAAATTAAAGATTTTTTGTTTGTTAGAAGTTACTTGTTCAGATCAACGTCAATATTGGAATGCCAGTTTAGCGTTTTAGTGCTAAAAATTTTTAAAACAGCACTTTTCGAATAATCATCTTCCAGAACTTTTTTCGAAGATGAAGAGCAGGTAGTCCCATGAAAGTTGAAAGCGGAGTATTCCATTTTCCATTTACTTTGTCAATGAGGAACGGCCGGGTTTTGAAGATATGACCTCCAAAGAAAGTCGGAACTAGACATGGAGTGTTCAGGTCTTCTCGGTCCGAAGACCAGGAGGAGGGCGGATCTGCGGTTATCGTTAGGAAGGCCCTGCGGTGTTCCCCGCAGTGGACCGTCGATCCGCGCGACCTTGTCCTCCTTCCTCTAATTTCTTCCTCCATTCTCCAAATCTTTGTTATTTCTTTTTTCACGCTCATTAACTAGTCACCAATGCACTTCGATTGAGAAGGAGCTGTATCTCAATTATTGAGATTTCGTCTCATTTTCGGAGTTGCAGCGCAAAAATTGGAAGTAAATTTGCAACTTATTTGTTATTATTGATTGAAGACGAAGGCCGTGAAGTTACCTTGTTTTGTGCGTATCTCGTGTCTAATTATCTCAAAAAAAGCTCGAAAGTTTTCAGATGAGGGCGATTCTGGTGCTGTCGGCGCTGGTCGCCTATGCCTACTCAAACAAAATGGATCAGATAAAGGATATCTACCAAAACCCCTTGTCTCACGGTTAGAAGACGAGTCTGTTGATGATCAAGAAAGGAAGTTCCAGGCTTCGGCGAAGACATCGAGTGGGTCAAGTGGGAAGACGCCATTGAGAACGCCTTGGACACAAACAAGCCGATTTTCCTTCTTATTCACAAATCCTGGTGCCACGCCTGTAAAGGTCAGTTTTAGTTTTGAAAATGAGAGTATCAGATATAAAAGAAGAGGTTTTTCAATACGCTTTCACAAAATCTGTTCATCTCACCAAAAGTGTCAATTGCTCTTCTTTTCCTGGAAACTTCGATCGTTATTAGGTCGCCACCTTTTACGTTTCACGCTCAAGAACCGTGTCAAGGATGCGCGAAAAAAGCTTTTCAAGATTTCTTTTTGGTAATTTTAAAGTTTTTCTCAAAAAAAGAAACAGTTTTAAAATTTTCTCAAATGTTTAAAGAAACTCTAAATTCAAATATCTCAAAGCAAAAAAAAATTTACAACTGTATTAAAATGTTCAGGAAAACAAAAAAAACCTAGCTGGTCCTATTTGAATTTTAAAAATAATATTTTTCTATTTTTGAAATCAATTATAGTGTAAAAAGTGGACTCGAAATAGTATTCATATTTGAAAAAAAAGCCTTTCTTTTGAACTTTTTGAACGTTAAAATTCTTTTTTGAGGAAGTATTTGAGAGAAATCGAATACAAGAAGGATGCCACCCGACTCCTAACCTAATTTTTTTCGAAAAAGTGAATCTCAAAAAAATTTTTTTGATTAACTTTTTTTAAACTTCGAGTTATTATTTTTCTATATTTTAATTTCAATCGTCATGAAAAATGCTCTACTCGAATAGAGCTGGGGATTCAAAAAAATATATTGTAGTTTTTTTAATGATTTTCAAATGATATCATAAAAATTTAGTGTTTCCTGAAAAAATTTTTTGCTGAAACGAACCTTCCAATTCATTTTTTTATGCCGAGTAGTACTGTATATTTCTCCCCCGCTCACAGCAGAGTCTGGATCTCTGCCTTTTGCACACTATTCACAACCCTAACTTATTTCACGTTTAATTTAAAATTCAAAAGTTTGAAAATCGTGTCTCGAAGACTCTCATTTTCGTTATTTTTATCAAGCCAAGTTTTCACACAATTCCAAATCTTTCTTTCACAAACACTAACATATTTAATTTAGAATCCTGATTTTCATTCAACTTTTGCAGCGTTGAAGAAGACGTTCCAGCAGTCGAATGCTCGCAAGGCGTTCAAGAAGCTCAGCGAGTACTTCGTCATGGTCAACACCGAGGATGACGATGAACCTTTCGAAGAGGAGTACCGGCCGGACGGAAAGTACATCCCACGACTCATATTCCTTGGTATTTTCTTCTTTCATCTGGTTTTCATACGATTTGGACGAGGACGTCTCTCACGCTCGAAATGCCTTTCAGACAAGAACGGCGATCTTCTGCCAGAGTTCAAGAACAAGAAGGCCGAGTACAAGAACTACGCCTACTACTACTCTTCTCCAGCCGACATCCTCAACTCGATGAAGGACGTCCTTCGACACTACGACATTGATGTACGCAGTTCCCGAAACGGAAAAAATACATCGATTATTAAGGTCCCGGAACTGAAGAAGGGCGAGAAGCTGAAGCCGAAGAAGCCTGAACGCAAGGAGAAGAAGGAGGAAAAGAAAGAGGAGAAGAAGAAGGACAAGAAGGAAGACAAGAAGCAGGAAAAGGCCGAACTCTAAATCTCCTCAATCAATGTTTTTTTTTCTTTCTTCTGGAACGTGTAATTAGTTTTTGTTGGGTTTTCGCCTTTAATAAATTATATTTTTCTTATGATACATTGGTTCAATGAAAAAAATTTCATTTAGATTCTTCGAGTATATAAAGAAAAGGTAGGGATGAATTTAAATTCGTCCAATCCTCTTTCACAAAGAGAAGCGTTTCGATGATGACTGTTAAGAACATTTTGAAAGTTGGTATTTTAATCACACACCAATTTCGACTAGTTAATTGAAAAAAATAGCTGAAATTTTCAGGTTTTGTGAGCGTTAATAACTTTTAACTCTGAGAGCTAGAACGATCGAAACTCACTTTACTTCAATTATCGTGATCTATACTTAGGGACCGCCAAGGTCCGCCCACTTCGGGGTCGCTTTTTTTGCTCAGTACTTGATAATGAATTATGTACGCTGTCGAGTATGATTGAACGGTTGGCAGTTCTCCAGGTGCTCGTATAAAGCAGATATTTTATGTTTAAAATTAACTGTGAGGTTTTGTGAAAATGAAATGAGTGAGTGAACACAATAATATGAGAAAGTTAAGATGTGAATTAACGCGCGGTCGTTTCGGGTTTATCGAAATAGAATAAGAAAAAAAATTCCATCGAAACTTGTGAACGTTAGAGTAAAAAGGAATGAAAAGGACACCCAAAACACTTTTTTTAAAAACTTAATTTTCAGTTTCAAACATTGACTGACAACGATTGGACAAAGTGAAACATATAGATGAGCCACTTCTCTATCTTCTGGGAGTCAAAAAATCGAAAAACGAGGCTTGGCTGCGTTTGGATAAAATAGAATGTCGAGAAAAAAGGGAAAAAAAATGAGAAGCGTATGCAGTTCTACGAGGAGGTGCGTGCGGGAGCAACACGCGCGTAACAAAGGTTTCGATATTTTTCAAGGACAATTTCAATGTTTTTTTTTGTTATTCATACACTTTGAAATCGTTTCCATTCGTTTGACTCAGTTTTCTTTCCTTGATGAAAATTTAGTACATTAAAAAGCTCGAAAAATAACAAGGGCGGAAAGGCGCGCACGCGAGTTGCATTTTTTTGCTCCGCCCATGCAACCCTGCCTTAACAGCTTTCAAGCCAAAAATAGTTCTCAAAAATGCTCTTTTTTATCATTATTTCCTTTTTTTTTTTTCGATTCTTCTAGTTTTTTTGGAAACTGATCATATTTTCATTTATAAAACCCAATAACGCCCGTTTGAATCTTGAAATTACACCAATTCATGTCGTCAAAAGGTAGGAAAGATGAGTTTCTTTTGAAACGATGGATATGAAGGTAACCAATAAGCAATAAAAGTTTTACTAAATCATTTTTGGAACCACATAGTTCGTGTAGGAGAGCTTCCGGGAGCGACGAGACATGCGGAGGCCGGAGACGAGGTCGAGCAAACACACTTCTCCGGATTCTTCGTCTCGGACAGTCAGATGTCCGTCCACAACTTGATGCTACGTCACTTGTTCCTTTTCTTTCTTGCAACTTTTCCTCATCCCAGTACTTCTCACGCCATTCCAGTCTACGAGTATTTGAGAGGTACGAAAATTTGAGAAAGTACGAAAAAATTACTTCAAACTGCCACAAAAAGATAGCTGCTACGGTCAAAGGACGACGAAAAAAATTGTAGCTAATTGTGAAAAAATGCTTTTAATAAAGTTTTCCTGGAAAATCTTTTCAAAATGTGTCGATAAAGCTGAAAAACGGTTTTAAGCCCCTCGAGTCCTCTAACCTGGAGCCACTTACCAAAAAGTTCTGTAGTTGGACTTTATAGAGTACACTCAAAGGAGTTATGTATTCAAATCATGATTACAGGACTGTGTCCAGCTCCCATGATTCCGTTGACGAATAAGCGCACCGTGAGGACGTGTAGCAACGCTGAATGTCCTGCGGGATCGACTTGTTCCCAGGGAATCTGTTGTATCGAGCCGCCCATGTGTCGCCATCCTGTGTACAGGTCCGTCACAGTGCACCCACCCCATTTGAAAGTCGTCGTGCAGAAGCAGCACTGGCCATCCTTGTCTTCCCAACATCAAACACAATTGTCCCAACTTCTCAGTTTGCGTCCCAAGTTCAATCGATGGGATGAATGTTTGCTGTTCAAGCAAAACCGAGAAGTGAGTTTTTCAAATGTTTAGAAGCTGGCGAAACGTGGAAATTTTTAAGAACTTTGCCTTCAAAGCCAAAAGGAAGATCCTCTTTGGCCAAAGAAAACGTGTGCCCAGGTAGGTTCAATGATTTTGAATTTCACCGTCGAACCTAGGGAATTTTCAACATGATATTCCAAATTTCGATTTAAAAAATGTTACATGTTAAATTTCGAAAATATGAAATTTCTTATACTCCGGTTTTTAAAAACTTTTAGGCTTTTTTATTCATACTGTAGAAAAAGAATTTCGTAAAATACAATGATTCTGAAGTTTTTCCCTTGCTTGCAATTTTTTTCTTTTAGCATGTTTGAGATATTTCTTGTCGGAAAAATTTTCAATTTTTTTCAGCCTCTCATCCGGTGGTGGCCAACGATGGAACCAAACTCGTCTTGTGCGCTGATTGCAAAAAAGGGTTTGTTATTCCGAAGTGGACAAAGAAGAAGTCGCTTCAGAGTTTGCGCGCACTTCCGCGGGTCCAACGTCGATGTGTGCTGTCAGTCGCACGAGCAAGTCTGCGGGGTCGGGAGCACTGTCCAGATGGACGGCGCCATGCCGAGGGACTGCTCCAAGAGACCTTGTGGCCCAGGGTTCCGATCAGCGTCGCCTCATACAAGTGAACTGAAATCTTCCAGCTACGAATGCTCGTTGACGTCCATCGGAACTAGAACCTGTTGCTCCTTGGCGACTTGTCCCAACGGCCGAAGAGCTCGAGCAGTTTGTGCCGCTGGGTGCAGAAGAGACGAGAAGTGCGAGCGCGTACAAGGCCAACTGTTAGTCGGGCACTTTCTCTCATTTTCAAAATTCTTGCAGGTGGTGCTGCCCTCAGGAAGAACGCCAACTGCGATGCCCTCGTGGCGGGATAAGGTAGGCTACAAAAGTACTACTATCAAGATTTCAGCAAAATCGTAATCAAATTTTTCTTGATAAAAACGAGCTATTTTTTGTCCTATCCTGTTATCCTAGGGAAATTTTATTCGCTTGATTCGAAGAGTGGGAAGTTCTTCAATATATTTATTTATGGATTGTGTGAACGCTTCATGAGGAGTCCAAATTGAAAAGTTCTCTCCAATTGCAGTACTGGCGAAAATTGTTTGCCGAACAGTAGCCTCTGTCCGTTTGGAACGACATGCGAAGAGAGTGTTGGCGGAGAGTCTCATCTCTGCTGCCGGCCTGCGACTTCGACTCCGGCGCCTTTTGTGCTCACCTTCCCGCCCCCATCAACGCAAACTCTGAAAAGGAAGTCTGAGCTTCAATCTTTGCTCGAAACTGCTCAGAGCACTCGACCTCCGTTGTCAGTTCAAATAGCAGATTCTGAGTTCTATTGCCTTTTTTCTTACAGTAGCATTTACTGTAGAGATGGAGCCTTGCCGCTGCTGCTCGATGGCTCCATTGTGACGTGTCCGGAGGTAGATCAGCCATGTCCGAAGGTGAGCCTTTAGAAGAGTTTCGACAGAAAATCTCTCTCCAGGCGGGCTTCACTTGTCAAGAATCAGAGAACGAAGATGATTTTTTGTGTTGTCCAGTCGAAGAAGGACCCACAGAAGAGCGCTCGAGACCCTCCACAGGTGGAATTGAAGTCTGAATGAATGGAAAGCTGTTTTTCAGATCGAACAGCTGAAACGATAAAACCAAAGTCACACAAAATGCCCACCTGTCCTTTTTCGTACTCAGAAACGAAAAATGATTTGAATAACGATATCAAGACTTGCCTTGGATTGTTCACTTTTGAGTAAGTCTGAAAGACTCAAAAAATCGAATTTTTTTTTGTTTTAGTTGCCCTTTCGGCTACACCTGTCTGCCTTCATCAACCACCGACAGCTATTTGTGCTGCATGAAAAAGCCTCTTTGATTGAAAAAAAAATATAACTTTTATTTCAGAACTCACGAAATTCAGACAGATAAATGTGTTAAAATGTCTACAAGGGGAAATATTTAATTGAGGCAGTCGGTGGACTCTCCAGAGAAAGAGCCGGCCAAATTGAGCTCTCCGATGTCGAAAGTCTTGGCTGGTGAGTCGCCTTCGCTCACAAAGTTCTTCGGGATCTTCACTTTGAGTTTTTTGAAGCAACGCTGCAAATATTTCTTCGTTTTTTTCAGAGGCAGCTCGACCAACTCCATCGTAGTTGCATTTGTGGTAGACGTTGACGTGGGGATCGATGGTGGTGAATTCCTTCTTGCTGCCTTGCATCGTGAATCTTCCTTGTCTGTCCGACGTCTTCTCGTCCAGAAGAGTGTCCAGAACTTCAAGCATTTCTTAGTTTTTGGGAATATTTAGAAATTTGGAAAACTTCCTTTTTTTAGAGATATGAAAACTAAAATATAGAGAAAGGTCATTCTTTTCGTCGGAATTTCTTGTAACCGAACTCCCACCTATTTATTTTTGAAGACAGAAAGTTCACTCACCAACTTCTCGCTCGTAGAGCTTGACCTTGACGTTTTCGGCGGGAGCGCCGTTGCAAGTCAAAGTTCCTGTGACTTTGACGGACTGGACGCTGCCGAGGAACGGCAACGCCGACGCAGAAGCCACCACCAACAGGGCCACAAGCAATGTTTTCATTCTGAAATCGGTCATCTTAGGAAAAAGTGAGTGGATGGATATGGACAGATGTTAAATCGAAGATTCTTATGAAGTCTGTTCGAGAAGCTTGCTGAGCGACTTCAAACCGCATGAGGGAAATTTCTGAGCTGGTTATAGTAAATCTTTCCAAAACTTCTGTGGTTCGATAGAGTACTCGTGACAAAAAGAATTCTCTGCTAAGCGCCAAATGATGCCGAAAGAAATTTGTACTGAAAAATGTTCGAAAACTGTTTTTCTTCATATTTTTTGAGAAAAATTTTTTTTTCGGGGTTTTTTGTTTTGAGACTTTTCAGAGCAGTTTTTTTCGGAACTGCAGAGAAAGCAATTTTTTTTAAAAATTTCTTCGGTTGCGACCGATTTTTCGTCGGTACCCTATGGCACTTAGCAGTAAACTTTTTTTTTTGAGACTCATCGAGAAATTCCTGTCGCAAAATTTTAGTGCAGATCTAAATTTTAAACCTCAGGAATTCTCATCATCAACGCCAAAAAAGGCAATGCGTTTTCAACTTTTCGAATACGAAGAGACAAAAGTTGGCGGGTCACTATTTGATGACTTATAGCTAGGGACCGCAGACGAATTTTCAAAAAAATTTTTTCAGCGTTGAGCTTTGTATGGTTTGATAGCTGTTTCGATTCAAAACTCAGAACCGTTTAGTTTTTCAAAAAAGATTGAGGATGAAAAAAGTTATGACGGAACATGTGGCGCGCCGCGCACCATTTTTTTAGTACTGAAATTTTGGTATTGTCCATTATTGACATTTTTCTCGATGTTTCTTCTTGAACAAGTTTTGATACTGGTCTATTATGATGTGACAAATCATAATAGAGTGCTAAAATGATAAAAATTTGCTAGTTTGCCGAAAAAGTCGGTATTTTCCAGAAAACAAAAAACTGGCGCTTGCGGGCATCGAACTCGCGACCTCAAAAAGAAAATTCGCAGCGCACGCGCTGCGCCAAGCTGTTAGGTCTAGCGAGGAGAGCTTCCATCCGCCATATCCTTGAGCCGTTTGAATTGCACAGATTGCCTATTTCAAAAAGAAAAACTTGAAGTAATTAAGCTGTTTTTATCAGAATATGATCGCAAATCTTTACTCAAACTTTCCGTGGAAATTCACTTTGAAAAAACTGTTTTTTTTAGTGCTTTTTGCCTCGTTTAACGATCGCTGCATTAAAACGGCCCCGTAAATTTTTGGCAAAGACGAATTTTTTATTTTATTATTTTAATTGAAAGATTTCTTACTAATAAATGTATATAATCGTTTAAAAAACCTGCGTTCGACCGCTTTCTGTGTGATAAACGCCGCTAATTTTATCCTCTAGTTTCAAGAGCATTTTTGCGTATTAAACAACTTTTTCAAGCACAGATGCTGTAGAGAAATATTTAAGTAAGCCCATTATCTAAACTTAAAAAAAAAAAAAAACTCGATTATATTCGCTTATTAACGATATTTTTGAATTATGACTTTCGGCACTCCCTAAAAATTTTTGGCAAAGACGAATTTTTTTATTTTATTGTTTTAAAATTACCGTTACTTGAATCAAAATCATTATTTAAAAAAAGAAAGAGTGCGTTCGACCTGAAAACACATAAAAAAGTAAAAAATGACAAAATTTTTTAGTTACATTCACGTTTTTGTACGACATTCCGCGCGAACGCATCAAAAAAGCGTGAAATATTTTTTAAACGAAAGAGGAAGCTTTTCTGTACATGTGTGTCAAAATTTATTATCCAGTTCCTCATATTTTGCAACTACAGCAAAATTAAAGTTGAAAACCAAAAAAAAGCCACTTTTTCTATCGCGAAAAGGGGCGTGGCTTTGCGGTCCCTACTTATAGCCTACTCCGCGCCAGCTTGTCACGTTTTTCTTTCCGCCAAAAATACCGTATACCAAATTAGATCAAATTTCTGCTTTTATAACGGCAAGAAACAAAGGTCTTGAAGCGAAAGTTGGTTAAATTTGACCTGACCTTTTGGCGGAAAGAAAAACGTGACAAGCTAGCGTGGAATGGCCTATACCGGAAAGACTCGAAGCACGTTTTGGACAGAAGGAATTTGCGAAATTCACAGAGTAGTTCGATTTAATAGGTGGAAAGGTGCTCCGTTTGTAAACTTTATCGAAATGACGGAAAAAAATTTGGAAATAGAAGTAGAAAGATCTTACTTAAAATATTTCTTGAATCTTGGTGCTTTTATACAGGTTTCAAGCTACTTGCCAAACAGTGACCCGGAAACACATGAGTCAGCGCTTGTTTTTTTCGAACAATTTCGATTGGCGAATTTTTTTGAAAAAAATAATAAAAAAATTTCGAGAAAAAGAATAAGCCTTTGAAAGAGGAGGAGGAAGTTTTTTTCTCAGTCGGAGGAAAAATAGGCCGAAGGAATGTCTCAGCCAATGAAAAAAAGAGAAAAAAAGGGCGTTTGGGCGGGTTTTGTTTTGGAGGTCAAAAAAAGGCTTGACCCCAGTGGCTTGTGTAATGAAATGCAACCGTCTCCCAATAGGCAAACTTTTCAAAGGTCTTCTGAAGTTTCTTTCAAAGACTTTCTTTGATTTTCGGAGCTGAGAATTGCTGCAAAAGTCGGATTATCGAAGTTGTGACTTGCGAAATTTGTTATTTTTCGATATTGGACCCTCCAAAGTCAAATTTTGCTTGTTACTGTGGATCGTGCTGAACTAGGATTTTCCGTTAAAAACTATAGGTTTATTCGTTTAGATATCAGGAGAACAAAAGTGAACTCCCTCTTGAGCCGCTGCTGATTTACTGTATAAACATTTAAAGTTTTTTTTTAATATTTGAGAATTGGGTGGAAAAAAAAAACGAAAAAAAGGTCCTTTAAAAAAACATTAGAATTAATGAAGCGAGAGGGATTTTGCCTGCAGTCAATCGAGCGTCGATGGATCCCGGAAATAGGAACCAGTCGATACAATTTTTCGCTGAATCGTCTTCTTTTTCATAGTTTTAAATGGTCGCTTTTTTTGTTGAATTGTTTTTTTGAAATGGTTTGGAGGAACAGTTTTTTTGTCTTTCCGGTTCTTTGTTGTCGAATTTCGCGCAGTGGGAGAACAAAAAGCCTCGAAGAAATGTTATTTAAAGGAAGTCTTACAGTGGAAACTTCGAATGAATTGAAAAAAAGTTTGTCCCGTGATCAAAGTGATTCGCGGAATTCAGAATGGCTGTCAGAGAGTGAAATAACTAAAAATTTGGAGAGTTAGAGATTGTTTTGCATTTATCTGAAATTACTTTAGACACGGCAATATAATATTTTCAAATTCGATAATCGTTGATCCATAACAGGTGGACCCCTGTCACTTATGAGTAAGTGACTTATCATCGAGAATCGTGCGAAAAATATTTTATCTCGATTTGCATATTTCTCAAGAAAAAATCCCTTGCTCTTCCGCTTTGTGGCCACCGCCGTCGGTCTTTTTTGTTTTGCCGCCGGCCCGAAATGACGTGCTCTGCCATTTCGCGTACCAGAGCGTTCTGAAAGGAATCGCGACGGTGGGAGAAAGTCCTTCTTTCCTTCGCCCAATCGATATTTCCATCAGTTTTGCCCCCTTCGCTCCGTCTTCGACGCTTCCGATGACCGCCGTCGTGCAGCCCAAAAACGCGGTACTTTCCTTCTCTTTTCTTCAAACGATCAAGTGAAACGAGAGATAGAGGATGAGGGACAGACTAATCGTTTTCTTCAATGAACCGCAAGTTTTAGATAAACTGAGAAGTCTGCTCTAGTTTTCACGAAAAATTCTTTCAGAGTCGCTATATTTTATAATCCACCATTCATATAAAAAAGCCTGTCTTATTAAGAAAAAAAAAGTGTTTAATATAGATTAATTTCACGGCTGTCATCTGTCTGCATCTTCCGAAAACCTGTGAATCAAAAAAAGGCTTTTTTTCGTTGATAAAAGTTGAAATTCAATAATTATATTCATTTCCAATGTTCCTAGATTATGTAATACATATTTTCACAAGACATTTGAAAAATTTTTTTGATTTTAGTGATTTCAAAGTATTATTCCAATCAAAAAAACAATTTTTGTTTTTTTGAAAAATTTTTTTGACCATTTAAAAAAACACCTCTAGTGAGTTTTTGCACTTTGAATATCCAATTGGAGTTTGAACGAAACATTTTCAATAACTTTCTTTGCCGGAAAACCGAAAACGTCTTTATTCTTGACCATCTTTTCCTTAGTGGCTGCGTCGCGTAGTGCCCCAGCTGTTGCTTTTGTTGTCGTTGTTCGTCTACCACCTCCTGGGAGCTGTCACCTACCGCTGCCTGGACGAACAAATTGCCAATATTACCTTCTCCGAAGTCCTCTTCTTCCAATTCGTCACACTTACAACCATCGGTATTGCTCTTCCGAAGCTCTTTGGACTCTGAGATTCAGGCTATGGCGACGTGGCTCCAACTACTGACGCCGCTCGCGTCTTCACTATCGCCTTCTCCATCATCGGAATCCCGCTTACCATGCTTCTCATTGCCAACTTTGGCAAATTCGTCAACAAAGCCTATTGGATGATCAAAATGTCTAATGACCCGGTGAGCAATTCCGTATCCAGAACTTTTACAGTCAATTTTTGGATGATTGACAAGGATGAAGCGTTGCGTTAGCGACTCGGTTCTTGGCGGGGGACTCGAAGTCGAAAGTAATCATGAAAAAGGGAAAATATCTTTTTAAAATCATATTTATAGTTTTATTCGTTAAAACAAATCTGTCAAAAAAGGGAAAAAAGGCGGCTCGCGTTAGACCACAAGTTCCCCGTCAAAAGCCGCGTCGCGTACGCAACGCTTCACATTTGTCGATCTACCCATCTCTAAGTTATGACAAATTTCTCGTTAGTTGAGAATATGAGCTAGAGAATGTCTGAAATTCACCTGGTTCAGAAAATCGCTCGGTCGAAACTGGCGAGCGACGCGGACATGCCCATCAAAACCATCCTGATTTTGTACCTCTGTACTCTCATTGTAGGCTCTCTGGCCGTCCCTCACAATGGCCATCGTTACACCATCGACGACGTCTACTTCAGGTGCCTTCCCATGATTAATTGCTCGTATTTCGAACCATCTTCTCAGCTTCATCAGTTTCGCCACTGTCGGCCTCGGGGACAAACTGCCTGAGCTGAAAAGCAAAGTTCAGTCGGTTTTCACGTGTCTCTACCTCACCTGGGGAATCATGCTTGCGACAGCCCTTGTCACTGCTCTCAACAGGAAGTTCAGCACGGTCGGTTGTCCAAAGAGTATTTGAGTAGAAAATTGGAAACTCAGAGGCCGTATGCAATAAAGTAGAAAATGGTTTTCCGCCGTTCCTTCGAAAATAGAAAGACCTGAAAATCGCTATCAATTAATTGATTTCGACTTTTTCTTATGTTATATATGAGAAGATTTAGATACGGAAGAACACAATTGATTCATTTTAGAGTTTTAGAAAAGTCGCGGAGAATCATTTCCCACTTTTTTTCATACGGCCTCAGGCTCGCCTACGCCTTCTTTTTATAGCCCTATGAATGAAGTATTATTTAAAATATAAGAAATAGGCTCTCTATGTTTACAAAAATGGTTTTGAGCGGTGTTTTCGTGTTATAAAGCGGAAAAGGCAGTTTTAATTTATCCTTTTTGCATAATTTTTTTCTATGAATTTTTGAAATATTTCTGAAATATTTGTTCTTCGCTTACAGACGGAATTCTTTGGCTTAGGAGGCGCTTCTTTCCACTTTTTTTTTCGGTTCGGATCACTTTTTCCAGATTGAAGAGTTTCGATATCGAAAAAGCAAACCTAGCTCAATTAATTCAATCTGAAGAAAAAACACTACTTTTTTAAAGCACTTTCGACGACAACTGTTAAAAAAAAACAAAGGTGTATTTTTGAAATTGATAAATTAACAGCACGAAAAGTTTTAGATACATTACCTGGGACGGAGATTCAAAGCCTGTGACGTCAACGTATGGATGGGCGACCACTGCTTCACCGTCAGCCGTCTCGTCAGCATCGTCGCCCAAGAATTCGATGTCAGTCCCACTTCTGGAGTACCTTCAAACATCTCACATTGCAGGCACCACCCAAGGAGGTTCGGAAAATGCTCCAGGAACTGGACCAATTGATTGGAGAGGCCACATTGCGCAAGCAGATGAGCGAAGAACTCGCTCCTCTGGCAAAAATCGACGAAGGCTTCGACGAGGTCTAACCGTCCATTTCCCGAAACAACTTTGCATATTATCTTTTCAAAATGTATTGACTGTGTTAATAATTTTGAATAAATCGGAGAATAGCTTTGCAATAACTTTAGAAATGAAATAAAGTAACGCAAGAAAAAAAAATAGTTGGAACGAGCGAGCTACGCGTTGCAGTCATTTCATTTCTGGGGGTTCTTCAGCTGTCGTCGTCTTTCGGACTCTCCGCAGCCTCTGTCGTCGTCTCGAGAGTGAGTCAAGCCTTTTGGACAACTCCAGTCGGATCTCTACAGTTCAAGTCAAACAACTGCTCGACGGGTCAATCACCAACTAGATTCTGAACATTTTTCAACCAAATCGCTTCTACAAGCCGAATTCTAATTAAAAGTGTGAATTATTTCAATCAGTAATCCTGTACGCGACCAAATTTCAAGAAAAAATGAGGTCCTCGACGGCAAAACTGAAACAAAAACCTTTCAGCTCAAAATTTTTTTATTCAACAAAACTGAAATTCTGAAGATGAATCGGCGCGACTCGTTGGTCTCTACGCCAGGAGCCCCGGCGCAAAACCTTCAGACGACGTCGATTCCTTGGCCTCACGGCGCCGTAGGAGACAGCCGTCCACACAGTCACCACAGTCACGTTGAAGGTTTTTTTTAAAACTTCGTCTTAATTTTCAAAAGTGAGTTTATACGTGCTTATTTTGTTTCTTGCAGAAATTTCCTCAAAACTCGGAACCTTGTCGCATCGTAGTCCTCTCCGTCCGGTGGTTGTTTCAAAGGGGCAAAAGCTCTAATATTATCGGCGTGTTTAGAACCCGAACATTTCGCGAGCCTCAAGCAGAACAGACTCGCCAACGGTCCCTCCGAGGAACCTCTACCAGACGCCCACCACGCCGCTTCAACCTTTCGACGTGCGAAATCTCTTCTTGGTCCACCCTAATCTCAGTTTCCAGAACTGTCGCAGCGCACAGCCAGCCGCCCCAAGCCCTCTTTTCGGACGCTCCTCTCACCAACATCACCACCATCGTCATCATCAACAGCCATCGTCACAGCATGTCCGGACTCCTTGCGGCGCTCCGCGGCTGCCTAAGCGTCATATCGCCCTCTACACTGAAGCGTTTTTGCGTCGCAGCATCGAGGTGAAGAGCGACAAGAAGCTCGGCAACGGCAAGTACAGCAAGGTGTATCCAGCCAGAGACCTCACAACAGGGCGTATGGTTCGTAGGATCTTCTGATAAAAGACTTTCTGTGAAATATTTTTTTCAACAAGTTACTTATTTCACCAAACTTTTCGAAAATGACTTCAAAGTTTTCGAGTATCTGATCACTGTGTTCTCTCGCCGGCGAGGTAAGTGAAACATGGAAATGACACGTCAACTTGAGAGAGTCGCCGAGAGACAAGGAGGGCGCAGGGAAGTTCGCCCTTTCAAGTCGCGAAAAACGGACTATACAACAAATATGAAATGTTCCTTGTCCAAGAAAGCAATTTTTGATGTACTTCAACCTAAGCGCAGCTTTTTGGACTTGAGTTTTTTATCTTAACGCATCACAGAGTATTTTGTCAAACTTCCAGAGAAGTCTCGATTATAATTTCTATTTCGATTTTCAATTTTGTTGGACCGCTTTTGAAAAAAGCTAATAAAACAGTATGAAGAAATGTTCTTCTAAACGTTTTTTGCTTGTTTGTAAGTTCGAAAAATTTCAGCTCGCGATCAAGGCGATCGACATGACAGAACTGAGCGAGGAGGTCCGACGCAAGTTTCTTCCGAGGGAGATCGAGTGTTGGAAGTCGTTGCGGCACAAGTTCGTCTGAGTTCCCTCCGAATCTCAGAAACAATCTGCTCAGGAGTATCGTCACGATGCATGCCCAGTATGAGTCGCCTCACATGATTTTTCTCGTCATGGAGTACGGCACTTCCGGAGATTTGGTGGGTAATAAGAACAGTACGAGAAAACTCCGAGATTTGACAAATGCTGCGCTCAAAACATCTTTTTGACCGTAAAGTTCCACTTTGAAGCTAGAAATGGTCTGAAAATTCTGACATGTTGCTAATTTATTTTATCGCATCAATAAGCCCAATAAGGTGAACTTTCTGACTAATACAAATTTTCAGCAGTAGATAATATATTCGAAAACAGTGAAAGATGAAAAAACAAACGATGAAATCCTTTCACAGTAATAATTATTTTCAGAAATTTTCCCCTCCTAAGAAGTTTTTTTAATTCCTATTTTCTTTATTGAAAATTAGCTGCTTCTTTCTTATTTTTATTATTACATAAAAATTTTGTATCGCAACTATAGTCTGTTCAGATTTTTTTAATGTCAAGCAGCTAACTCCGCCCCCAAGGCTACAATATCTTTCGCGTCAATTTTTTATCTACAGATGACGATGTCCCTTTAATAAGGCTGCATTTTTTTGACTTCTTTTTTTCTATCTTTTTAGATCAAAAAAAGATCAAAATTAGTCTCGCGCGATAAAAACATCGACGCGAAAAAGGTACCTTCTCAGCGGGGGCGGAGTTAGCTGGTTGACATTAAAAATCTGAACAGACTATAACTCACTCCGGCTTAAACTCCTTTTTTCACGCAGTGGAGCGGTTAGAAAAAAAATTATTTAAAAAGAAAAAATAAGTTTACAGTGAACTTTTTGAGTTAGGATGAAATTATTTCGAATTCGAAAAAAACTTGTTATAGTCCGTTTAGATTTTGAATGTCAAGTAGGATGACGTCATTCGAAAACGCTCTGTGGATGGCTCGCTCTCCAATTGGTTTATCACGCCATTAGAGGGCGGAGCTTGAGCGAGGACTTGACATTTGAAATCTGAACAGACTATATCGCATACTGTGAACTGGAGCGCCTAAGCCTAAAGGTCTTATTTGACAATTCTTTTGTGGGCGAGACGTAGCTCTGGAAACGCCATAGTTATCGCACTTACTCTTTTGTCAATTATTGTGTTCTTCATGTCTACTAGATTTGAGGTCCTTAGAGTCATTAGTTTCCTGAAAGTAACATAAATCACACTTTTTAAGACAGTGCTACGGCGGTCGATAAATTTTGCGCTGACAGTTTTGGAGTCACAAAATTCTTTTAAATGTTTTTCTTACTTGTAGCTCGTTAAGGACCTATTTCTTGTGGTTACAAGATAATATACGTCATAAAAAGTACACAAGTATCCATTTTATTACTGAAAAGCCTATCTTAACTACCGTAATACGGCCGGCCACCTCAAAAAGGCGTGAAAGAGGTTACGAATAAATATTTGATAAGTTAACGTCAATGAGAGCGCCAACTATGTTTTGAATTTGCGTCTTTCATTATAAAAACGGTGTGGAAATTTTTTTTTGATCATTCGGTTTCAGCTTTCGTATGTGCAAAAATTTGGAGCACTATGTGAGTCGAAGGCTGGCCTGTTCTTGTGCCAAATAATCGAAGGTCTTAATTACATGCACTCAGTAAGGATCTTCCTGATTGCTCCTTATTATTATTATTATTATTTTAGAAAGGAATCGCCCACAGGGATATCAAACTCGAGAATATCATCCTTTTCGAAAAGTGTGTCAAGCTGTCTGACTTTGGATTCGTCACAAAGGTTTTCTGGGGAATCAAATAAGTAATAAGGAGAACTCAGATGGGAACATTTCGACCTTCGACGACGTTTTGCGGTTCTAAGGCCTACTCGGCTCCGGAGTTGCTCATGGGCCAGCCCTACAATCCGTTTCTTTCAGACATTTGGTGAGGAGATCGGGACAAGTGTTTGCATTTTTGTCCTAGGTCCGTCGGCGTCGTGGGTTTCGTGATGGCGACAGACGCGATGCCTTTCGACGAGTCGCTGCCCAACAACATGATCGTCGAGCAGCAAAAGTTGGTCGAAATTCAGATGTCCAACTTCCGACCTCTTCTCAGGTCACGTTGCTATCGTCGTTGGTTCCGCGAATATTTGGCGCCTTCGCAGAAAAATCGCGTCGTTCTCCCCCCGCACTGTATTGAGACTCTCGAACGCATGCTCATCTTTGAGGTGAATTTCATAATCTATTCATCGCTAACGTGAGAAGGATAAGCATGATTAAGAAGGAAAAGAAACGGAATATCTTCTGAAAAGCCTCAACTTTTTATTCTAGTTTACTTAGTTATGCAACTGTGTCTGACTACGAACTTTTTGTCATTGGAAAATAAAAAACGGAAATCTTTTTTTTGGCGCTGACGATGCACATTTCTGAGGTGAAAATTGCAGGTCTGCACTAAATTTCTCTGGTCTTTTCTCGGTGAGACTAATCGAAAAATAATTTTCTTCTAAGCTATTTCAAAAAAACTCTCTGAACAATTCTAATAAGAACAGCAAAAAATTGTTTTCTGAACAAAGATTTTTTTAATATAAGGTAATATTTAGTTGCATCTGAAGCTTGTTATTGCGGGTTTTAATTTCTTTGAATATGTTTAGAATTTTTGGTGTGTTTTGCTTCATTGGAACAATGAAGAATCTATTTTGATTTTTATTTAAAGGACAGAAAAGTAACTTTCTCTTGACAGCCAAACGGCCGTCCGACAGTTTCCGAATGTCTTTCTCTGCCATGGGTAGCTCCTTACTGCACGGAACCTCAGCCCACTCATTCTCTCAGGTCCGTTCTTAGAAAAACAACCATTTAATGTGTGAATTCATTGAAAATAATCAACTCAGAAGAAAACTTTTCATCTTGTTCGCCCCTTCTTGAAACAATGACTTTTTCTGCGCTCTCTTTCCCCTTTCAGCGGCACTTTCTTGTTTACGATTATACTTGATGTTTCTATCCCCGTGCTGGTGAGGGAAAGAGAGTGCAGAAAAGCTAGAACGGCTCAGGAAATGAAGATTTAGGTATATCTTTCCGAGTATGGTGTTTTTCTGACGCAAGTTTTGTGATTCCTCAATGCAGTTGGTTTCAGAGTGACGCCGTCGCCGTCGCCGTCTCATGCTTGAACTGCTTCTTCCCGAGCGCTTTCGTCAATGGAGTGGACTTGGAAGAAGGAACTTTTCTAACTCGCTGCAAAGTTTCGGAACGGTTGTCTGATGGCAAGGTTTCTTTTCTCGCCTTCATTCCTTGGATTCGACGCTGCTTTCCATTCGTTTTTGTCTTTTTTTCCATTTTCTCTGCTCAAATAAAATTTTATAATGCACATGAACTCAAGTTTTTATTTTTCAAATTTGAATCTCTGTCCTCGGTTTCTTGAGACTTTTGATATGTAAAAAGTAGCTTGTTTGTGTATCAGAGTACGCAGCAATGAGTTATTTTAGGCCAATTATTCGGCTCATCGTAGCTATGGTTTCAAGCAGCAAATTTGCCATCTTCTCCCAATTAAACATTCGAGCCGTTGCAGTGGTTTTTGTTCGATTCCTTTAGTCCTTTTGCGCATCTCTACGTCCTTCTTTTCAAAACCTTTATTTTCAAAATGGCTTTATTAGAAAAGATTCCTCGTTTGTTTAAGAACTGATCAAGGAAGATTTTTTATTCCAGTGAATTATTGCCTATATTTCGAGAAAGTAACCGTTCGAGTCAAGCATGAAACAAGTCAACCATCTTTGTCAAAAACGCGAATTTTGCGCTGTACTAATGTTTTTTTTTTAGAAAAAATGCCTCTGTCAGAGCAAAAATTCAGCAGATTCGGCGACCACAATTAAGTTTATTTGATTTATTATTCCAGGAATTTTCGAGGCTTTTTAAAATTTATATAGGATTTCTTTTCTAAATCGTTCCTGTTAGAGATTAATATTTCGGAATTCCACAGAAAAAAACCGAAAAGTTCGGATTTCTGGTCCATTTCCGTACACTTTCCAACGTGTCAAAACTTATAGACTAAGTGTTCAAAAGATGATAACAACTCTGTTCTGTAAACTTTTTTTTTAGTTTCATTCAAAGTTTGAATTCTGAAATCATCAAAGTTGAAACATTGATCGTTCTCCGGTTTTCATGCAAATGTTGGGAGCTACAGGCACGCTTTTGAAGGGACAAGAAAGAGTTGTAACGATTTGCGTGAACATTTGTTGTTGTTGGATAGACGGTGAGAGTGCGGATGTGTTGATTTCTGATTTGGGCGTTTTTCTTTTGACCAGGAGCTGCCGTGGGAGTCGCGGCGCAACCGTCGCCCCCATTATTCCCTTCTTCATTTGGCTCTCCGCTTTTTTCTTGCACGCCGCGCGTCTGATTTTCCACTCCTATCTTTTGTCCGCGATTTGCTTACAACATTGCCGTCGAGTATTGATTTCTTTCTTCATTTTTTGTCTGACAGGCCATCGACAGCTGAAGCACTGAAAGTTTATCTTCCGACATTTTCAACGGTAAATTCTTCGACTATCCTATATCTGTTTGAAATTTCTCATTTTTTGATCTTCGCAGGGGTGAAAGGTGCTTCTTTTTAACTACATTTACACGAAATCGGTAGTTTTATCTAGCAAAAGTTGTACTCGAGTACAAGGATTCTTGCCATCGTGATTGCTAGATTGAAAAAAGAAAGACTGTGAAACCGTTAGACACGAGAGCGAGAGGCGCGCTCAATATCTGTTCTCGATTTGTGAAATGTTTTTTCTGTAGCTGTTCTGGTGGCTGTTAAAATCATCGCAACCAATCTTTCTTCTGACATCCTCCGTAGTTTCAAAAGAAAAGAAAAATGAATTTAGGTTTTTCATCGACAGCTTGAAAAACTGTAAAAATAACAAAGTGCCGAAAAAGTTGTTTTATCAAAAAGAAAAACGCTCGCTTTTTGATTTTTGAAATTTCAATTTATATTCTCTGTGTATCAATTCATTTCCAAGCTTATAAATCGCAAAGCCACGCCCCCTTCTATTCGATGCCTCATCAATTTTGTTTTTTATTCAAATGCAAACTTCCTTTTTGACTTTCACGGATATAGAGATGTAATATTAATTCTTTTCAATAGATGTAACATTAATTCCACTTCGCTGGCAACAGAAGAACTCACCTGGCTCACCGTATCATTCCCATTTTATTGGATCAATAAATTCAGCGAAAACGAAGAGCGAGTAGTTCAAAACACGAAACTTTCTTTTCCTAATTAATTGATATCCGCTTGTCTGCTCAACTCGAAGCTCAGCACCAATTAGCAACAAACGTTTTCTTTGTCTCTATCCAAAAGGTTCAAAGATTTTTCCTTCTCTTTGTTATTTATTCAAATCATGTGATGTGTTTAGAATGTCGGATTCGCCACCACCGAAACGAGAGAAAAAAAGTTCACCAAAGAGGATGACGTCATCGCGGCTCGCGCGCCACACCTCCCTCAAGAACCAAAACAAGAACCTTTTGAACGAAAAGGAAGAGCTTCTCAATGACCTCACGTTTCACAAGGTTTACTGTTTTGGAATTCAGTGATAAGGAAATCCCAGGTCATTGATTTTTTAAAGTATTAAAAGGATATTGACCGTTGAAAAAGTTTCAGCATCAGGTGAGGGTCTACAGCCATATGAACCAAATGGTTACTGAGAAGTTGACCAAAGCAGAGAAAAGAAGCGAATATTTGGAGGTATATTTTAGTATATCGCAATTCGAAACACTCACATTTAAAATCCGGTTTTCACAAACTCAGATAGGATTACAATTAAAAAAATCGCAACGAACAATTTTTTTAACTTTAAAATTTTTTTGATATAACTGTGCTATTTTTTTAAAAACATGTCAATTGGAACATAAATTTTCGAAAATAGGAAAGTCCCTGGAAGTTCGCGGTTTTCTGAGTACCGTTCAATGAAGTGGAACTTGGAGATTCGGATCTCAGTAACTGGAAATATGCTTGAGGCTTTATATGCTCCTTCTTTATTAGGTTCAATAGTGCTCAGGAAAATGCAAAGATTCAATTGAAATAGTTTTTTGTAAAGTTAAATACTTTTGAAAATATTAAAAAATAAAAAAATTTCAGTCTCTTGTGCATCAACTCCAAATGCAACTCGGAAGTACCGTCCAGGAGGTGAAACTGAACCTCGATTCTGACCTGGTCGACGAGAAAGAGAAGCCTAAGCCGCGTAACGGCCTCACTGCGAACTTGGAGGTGGCCGAGACGCACCGCTCCACTCCTCTCGGCTTCAGCCGAAAGCTCAGCGTCGAGAAGGTGCACTCCCTGTACTTTCCGCACAAAGGCCCGGACATCGAAGAGACCAAAGTCGTGATGGGAGCCTGTCTGAACGAGATCGCCATCGCCGCCGACGTCGTCGCTCGCCAAGCCGCCGAGGTCTTCTGCGACATGCCTCTCGGCTCTATCTGCGGCGTCACCTGCAAGATGCAGGTTCACTGCGAAAACGTCCCCGATCCTCGTCTTTAGAATTGGGTTTCTCTTGCAAGAGGGAGCATTTTACTTTGAACTCTGTAACTCTCTGAAAGTTTGCTTTCGATGTCATGCCTGTTCAAGGCGGCCAGTCTTGTTGCGGTAGTTTAGAAATGTCTTTTTGTTTGAAAATAAGAATTGAGACGAGATCACTCTTGTTACCACGAGAGATAGGTTATTAAAAATCGAAAAAAAAAGAAAAAAATTCACAAAATTTTGGCTCCCGAACAGACGACGCAATATTGGCCGGCCGTCTTAACACTGTCTTTGAAATGCGTGATGTGAGTCCTAGAAGTTAAAAATAATTCTTATTGTTTGAAAGAAACACTGAAGTTCTCACAAGATTCGTGCATCTGTTCCATTATATTTTTCTTCGACTTTTAGACGTACTTTCTCAGGAAAATTTTCGTTTCTAAAAAAGTCTTCAGGCAAATTTTTAGAAAACTACAGAGCAAAAGTGGGATGACGTCCCTTGTTGAGTTGTTTTTTTTTTCGTTCAAACCATTTGTTTTTCAATCGTTCCTTGTTGGGTATCACAATTATAGTCTGTTCAGATTTCGAATTTCAAGTCGCCGCTCAAGCTCCTCCCCTAATGGCGCGATGAACCAATCAGAGAGCGAGCCATCCACAGAGTGCTTTTGAATGACGTCATTGCACTCGACATTAAAAATCTGAACAGACTATAATACCAAAAAAAACTTCCTTCTCTTTTGAATTCATGGAAACTGATCACACAGTCTAGAAAAAATGGTCCAAAAATGCAGAGAAAAGTTCAGATCATGCTTTTCTGTTCATGCAAATATATTTTTTTTTTTTTGATTGTTTTTCGCGAATTTTTCCGGAATTCTTACATTTACTTTCTGACGTTTCTTGCTCATTTTTTCAAAGGCTGATTTTCAATGTTAATTAAATTTTGAATGATTTTTTTTGGCCTTAACATCTAAACTAACACTCAGTTGGTCTATCAGTAAAGTGGCAAAACAGTATATTTACAAGGAATTTATTCGATGTCTATTAAGTGGATGAAAATGATGCAAGCGGTGGTGTTGGATTGCCATTTCACGTAGTGCGTGCCTGAAACGCTTCTCGAGTTTTCTTTTCAGAAGTGGAAAAGAAAAAAGAAACTAACTGTCGAAAGAAGTCTGCCAGTAGCACATGTTGGCCACGCTCAGTCCGGTATCGTTTCCAATTGGCAGCAATGTTGAATGAACTGGAAACAATTCAAAATTAAGCTTCTATCATTCCTCTATGTTCAATACCGATAAATTTGCGAGGGTCGCTGCTAGCGTTGAGCTTTCTCGTTAAATTATTGATTACCTAATTTTTTTCGAATAATAAGCTTGAATTGTTTATTTACGAACCTTCACGTTCCAATCCTTCGCTAATTTGTAATTGAATTTTATGTTCCCAATAACTTCGTCGAGTGTCTAGACTCATCAGGTTGATTAAAAAAGAAAGTTTTTTTGAAAGTTTAAAAGTTCCACATCGTTTGTTCACCGCTTTGAGAACAGGGTCGTATTGTGCAGGCGGCAGCTGCCAAGGTCTGACAGATGTGGCGCAGCGGGTATGCTCTTGTTTTCAGCCCACGCATCGCGGGTTCGAGACCCGCACATGTCGTATGAAGACCAATAGTTATCCCTGTCTGACAAGAATTGAGGACAAAAGCTTATATTACTGACGACATTTTTGATTTTGATAGTTTATATAAATTTCGTAGTTTTATACTCGACACTTGTGATAAGACAAGGAGTACTCACGGAAGTCACATAACGCTGGATGACTTGGTCATCGAGATGTCCGGCCGTCGCTTTCTCAACGTCGTCACCTTTTGCTGCCTTAGAAGCAGCTCTTCCAGACGCCTTCGGCTTGACAGTGGGAGTAGCTTTCGGCTTAGCAGAAACTTCGGACTGCGGTGTCACGACGTCTGAAAAATAATACTTTCAACAAACAATTTGAACTTATATTTATCAAATTCTCACTCGGAGCTACTTTGACCATTGGATTATGCTGCTGCTTTTATTTAAATAATGAACTGGGATAACATACTTTTTACGTTCAAAAGTTTTTTTCGAGTTCAAATTTCCCGCTACGTTAGATCTTACATAACGTTCGCAATTGAAAAAAAAAGGTAGATTAAGGTCAATTCATTTCATCGCCGTTTCTTGTGATTCAATGTTGAATTTTTGTTGCTGAAGTTTTTTTTTCCACAATCTTAGCGAAGGAAAAGAAGGGTTTTTATGAAAAAAAAAAATGGAAAATGTATTGAGAACTATTTTTATCAATCAAGGTTCCATTTTTTTCGAAGGCTTCTGATAAAGAAAAAAGGTTGGAAAGGTTCGAAGAAAGGGCGAATCAATCAATGTCTTTGATAAGAAGACAAAGGTGAAAGGTCTGCGGCTTATCCCGTTTTATCAGTCTGAAAAAGTTCGCCGAATCTGGCATTTCTAAGTTCCTAAGGAAAGCTTGATCTCAATAGTTGCTTTTTTTAAAATTCAACTCGAGACATTTGAATACAAAAATTTACGTTCAGCGCTTGTTTGTGGAAAAAAGCCCACATATTACCTCGGGGTTTAAAGAAAAAAATTGGTTTGAAAAAATGCAAACTTCTAGGAAAATAGTTTGAGAGCTCTCACAGCTTTGCTGAAACTGTAGCCTGTAATCAGGATGATTGGACAGGTTACAGCTGGAAGGTTGTCAGTCATTTTTGGCAGCCGTTCGGATGCAAATGGCAGCGACGGCGCCTATTTGTGGCTGGGCCGATGCCAAATTGAGACGAGCCGACAGTTTCCGTCTATTCGCGCCCTGTTTGCTCGGCGTCCATGCGAAATTCGCTGACAGTCGAGCCTTTTTGACACTTCAAGAGACCGCCCCGCCGTTTCCATTTGCAGCTTTCCTTTTCCCTTCATGATCCCCGGATACAAAAAGTCTCTTTGATTTTTGCCATCTCGTAGATGACCAACGTTCAGTGTTCCCACAGTGAACCCTCTGCTGTTTGGAGGAGCTAGGTCCAAAGCTGCTTGGCTAAATTCAATAAAATTAAAGAGATTCAATAAAAAGCTTGGTGTTCGTGTACTTTTGTGTTTTCGATTTAATGCCGTCTTCAAAGTAATTCTGCGAAATTCAAAATAGCCTTCAGAAAAAGAGAAAGATAACTAAATTTTGGAGGGTCAGAGACCATTTTGCATTTCGCGGAAATTACTTTGAACACGGCATAAGAAAACGCTTCTTTTTGGTTTTACAAAAAATTGGTCTAAGTTTAGACCCTTAAGAAAATTGTTTTTCCCTATCGGTTTTTTGTCTAGGAGCCCTACATTTTTTTTTTCATTAGTCTGATTTTCAGAATCTTCCAAAAATACTTTTTTTGACGGATTTCAGAGTTTACGTGCACTTTTGTGAAGGAATTTAGATAAATTTGAAAAAGAAGTAAATGTTTTATTTGTACAGACTGTACATCTTCCTGGTGGTAATTTTTTGTCAGAAAAAAAGAACCGAGAACTGAAAAATGGACCAAATAAGAGCTAAGGCTTTGAGAATGACGAATTGATTGGGCGTACAGGCCGCACGAGTTCCGTAAATTAATCTGTCGGCGCCTCGTTTGTTCGTTTATTCCTTCCTATCACTTCCTTCCCTTTCCTCTCAAAACGAAGCTTTTCTACATTCTTTGTATTTCAATGATATCTGAAAAATTTCAATAATAATCTCTCGTCAACAAAAGCTGTAAGTAAGAAAAGATAATTATATTTTCTGTCGCTCGGAGATGGCGTGGAACCTGAAAGAATCGACCTTAGAAAGGCCTGTTGACGCCTTAAGCCGCTCGCCGCGTTTGAGTCTTTCTAAAGGCTGAAATCGAGCGGATCAAGCGCCAAGTGTGGTCCACTTGACGGCCCACGTACGTCCTGCGGGCCAGATCTCCGTTGTTTTGCGCTTATCACTCGTTGATCGTATCGTTTCTTCTGTTTGGTCTTCTCTAGCTTCTGCTATCTTTTCTTGAACAGTTCTATCGGCTTTTATATTCCTAATCATCACGAGACGAAGAAAATCTTAAAAGTTTGTGAGCCTATCAAAATACTTCCTTCAAACTTTTGGACTGTTTAACATTTCTTAGTCTCAATGTTTCCGTCTGAATTCGTATTTTCTAACTTGACCAAATTACTATCGAAGACAAGGCAAACCATACGAGATTGAGGAATTGCGGAATCCCGTCGACGGGGGCTGTAAACAGTTTGGGAATGACGGCGGTGGTTGCTCAATTTGCATGGGCCGCCGCTCGACGATCCGTCTTTCCAAGGAGTTTTATTCATCGCGATCCGTCCCTTTCTGTTTCATTTTTGTGTCCTTCGACTTGAGATAATTGCCCCTTTTGTCAGAGACGATAAAAAAATTTCAAAAGAAACTTTTTATTTCGAGAGTTTTTTCCGATTTCTTTTCTCAATGTTTTTGTCTGCGCCTTTTCGAGCTAAAAATATTTCTTATTACTCGATTTTTTGTTATTTATAAAAAAAATTCGAGATTTTGATTTAATCACTGTTGAGTTCCAAAAGTTGAAACTTTTCAGAATCAGTCCTACGAAGGTTTCTGAATGAGAAGTGACGCGTTTACAAATGGAGAATGGATTTTCAAGGATCATTAATTCTCCCAGGCTACCGTCACAAACGTCTCTCCTTCTTCTTTTCCGCATTTGTCACGTTTACCTTGAGCTTTTCCTCTTTTTTGGCTATTTTTATATTTGCTTTTCTTCGGCTGCTGATTTTTTGTCCACTATATATTCGAAATCTGTATTGAAGCTTTTACGTTAAACGAGTAGTCTATTTTCAGCACAAATCTGCTCTTTTTCTAGTTTGGTTTTCACCTACGACATTCGACACACTATTTTTTTATTATTTCTCTTGAATCTCAGTGGAATTTCGTCGTCCAACTTTCACTCGAATTTTGAATTGGCTTTTTGTTTAGGATCAAATGGAAAAGTGATTGGAAACTGGCCAAAATGCCGCCGACGTCGTTGCTGGACCTGCTGGCCCTGCAACACGACGAGAGCACCGCTCACGCCCTTCTCGCCAACTTCTGGAAAAGCGTCAGTTCTCCTTTTTTTGCTATGAAAAAGACTAAAACCGATGGGAAACCTAATAATAAATGAAAAAATTTCGACTTTCAAGCCATGTTATATTTTTCGTCGTTTAATTTGGAAAAAATCGTTTCTTCTCCTTTTATTTTTTCATTTTTTTTTTTGAACTTTTTTGTTAAGTAATGTTGCACAAAAAGAATGGGTCTTTTTTTTTGAGGTATGATTTTTTGAGTTTCTTAGATAATATTCAATATCATCCACAGGTCCGTCGAAGATGCTGAATTTCAATAAATTAATTAAATTAGTTCGCGTTTGACTTCAGTTTAGCAAAGTTTTGAAAATTTTTCCTGTTCTTTAATTATACTTTTTGGTGTTCACCTGAGTGAGAAAAGCGAAACCCTTTCCAATTCTTAGGCAAAAAAAGTATAGAATTTTTTTTAAGTTTCCACATAATTTTCTCAAGTAATAACTTACACAATTTTTTCGAAAAGAGCACTACATTTACTGAATGACTTTTCATTCTTTAGTCGAGGCGGAGATTCCATTAGCGACAGGAAAAATACGACGAAACTCTCATTTTGGGTTGCGTCGCTCGAGGGAAAACGATACAAAAAAGCGCGAGACACTTGTAACCCAGTTCAGAGGATACCTCAAAAAATGGAGATTTTCATCGAGCCCGCCTTTTGCTTGCTTTCTCCTGTATTTGCGTAATCGCTCAGCTTGAACATGTCTGGAATCGCGACTTCCTATGAGGACACTTTCCTCAGTTTCTTCGCGGTAACTTTTGCTTCTCCTTCTGCCGAAGCAATTTGGCTGAACGTTCACATGAACAATATAATAGATTTTTCTTGGTTAAAGGTTAAAACGCCCTTTTTAAGGAGACGCTGTTAGACTCGAGCGTTGTGGAGACGCATGTGGTGAACCAGCCAATTCTCGCAGCGACTTTGCTCCTGCTACTCCTTTTCGCTTGCTTTCTTTTTGCCTTCTCGATAATATTTGTCAGCTGTCGAATGGTTGGGAGATGTGGAGCTCAAAGATATCAGGTAAGAATCTTCGAAGAAGTTCGAAATCTTTGGCAGGCTCACCCAACGAGCGGGAAACACTACGCCTTCCATTTGGGTCTTTTCTCCGTCTCCTGGCTTCTAATGGCCGCCGCGTCTCTCTACTTCGTTATGTCGGGAGCCTCTTTGTGGAACCGTACGGCAGCCTCGCCACGACTTCCCAAGTTAGCAGCCAACTTCTCAACTGACTCGCATCCACTCACCATATCGAGGGTCTGTTTCTCGAAGAACAATAAAAATGGCATTTTCGGCAGAGATTCAAACGAGAAAGAAGTTCTGGGGGCGTCGGGCAGCTGTTCGACGACCCCGACTACCATGGCGATTTTGAGAACGTCGAGCCGCCGTCGTCGCCGACGTCGCCTACGACGCTCCGCAGCATTCCAATTGTCAGTTTTTCCTTTCGAAGGACGAACTTCTGGTTAGGGTCCGCGAGTTTTTTTTTAAATTTTGCGAGGCGTTTCGTGAGTGCCACTTTGCGTCGTTCCAAAGGAAAAGAGAGTCAGTTTTCAACAACTCTGAAATGGAGCGCCAAAAGGGCGCCAGTACTCTTTCTCTGACATACTGCTTCGTGTTTTCTCGCAGCTAGATAACGACGGAATGGTGTATGCCAGCGAAAGAGTTGGCGCTCCATTTCAGAGAAAAAGCGATTCAAAAAAGATTAAGTATGAAAGGATAAAAAGTCAAGATATTTTGACGACGACCGAAATACATGAGGCGACAGATTTGTTTGTTTTATTTCGCGTGCCACTGAAGCGTCATAACTCGGCTTAAACTCCTAATTTTTTTTTGAACTCAACTATACATAATTTAATTTTTTCGAGAAATGGCTCGTGGTGCCTAAGTAAATTATGATTGATGGAAATAATCAAACAAAAAAAAACGGGAAAAACGAAAAAAAAGTATATTGTTTCATTCACTTAGGAGCTTACAATTTTCGAGACGGTAAAAAAGAATAATTGAAGAGAAACTTGTTCGCAGTCAACTTGCGTGGCCGCTAATTTAATTAATGAGTTCCACCAAATTTCTACAACAGCTTTTCCAGAAAAGATTGAAACCGTCAACGACAGCTCCTAGCAGTTCAACAACTCTGAAAGCTCAACCAATAGAAATTCCGGCAAGACCAAAGGCAGAAGTCGAATTTTTGCAGTCAACCAACCGACAGAACTTATGGGAAATTGAAGAGGACCAAATTTCACAAGAAAACAACGACGAATCTGTGAAAAAAGTTGGAACGCATTCTTATCCGATGATTTTTTCATTCAGCTGGGACGTCTGAAACCAGGAAATGACGTTTCGATACCACCTAGTCCATCTTTCTTCCTCACAAATGAATGGCAACTGAGCGATACAGCAAAGCAAAAAAAGGTTTATTTTTCTAAGGGTTATCTATAATAATATTTTATTGATAAGAAACTGCATTCGCTGTCCACTTCCAGCTTCGTTCCGGCAAGCAAAGTCAAACAGCTGTCAAAGATGAAGGAAAAAGCTGTTCTGGACGTTGAAGACGCCGACCTCATCATTTCTTCCAGCGACCCATCTGTCGATGTTTCGGAAAACAACGACTATGAAGTCAGCTCTGTTGACGGAGAGCCGACGGTGGTGCCTGTCTCTAAAGCCGAAGAGTCTGCAGAATACAACGAGAAGCTAGATGAGAGCGACACTCCTTCTCCGCCAATGCTGTTGCAAAGCCACGAGATCGAATACGACACGACGTCGATAGAAGACGAGGCGACGTCTCCAGCATCAACCACGGCAATCAGTCCAACGACAACGACTTTCGCGGCCCCTAGAAGCACTAAAAAAATCGCTCAAACAACAACATTTCACACAACTACCGAAGTAATCACAACCCAACCTGAAACCACCACTAGAGCTTTGGAAACTTCAACGACAGAAGCTTCCACGAAAACTTTCTCGACTTTCGTGACCACACTTACCACCTCAACAACACCATCTGTCCCAGTCAAGAAACCTTCAACAAGCGAGATGATGTACAATGAAACGTTGGCCAACGTTTCTTGGCAGATTTTAGAACCAACAATTCGGATGGTCACCAAAAAAGTAGGATGGAATAGCCTTTTCTGTACGTCAAAGATCTTTCAGATGCAGGAAAACAAGCGGATTTTCCCTTCAGAAGAAGTTGACGTGATCGACAGCTCCTGGAAGTCAATTCAAAGCGTTTGTCTGGATGCTTCTATCGCGATTCCATCCGATTTTAGAAATCAACCAAGAATCAGTACCCTTTCCGCGAGCTGCACACTTCGGGAATCGTCTGGATAAGCCGTTTGGCGTTGATTTTCACCATTATCCTCATCTCATTTGTCGTCCTTCCCTCCCTTTTCTTCGTCATTTCCGGTAAGTTTTCAAAACTGTTATTCCTGGTCTTCATTTTAATATTTTGTCCTATTAATCCCACTTTGAAAACCTTCAAACTGATATCTGTTATCTTATCAAACTTCCTCCAAGTTGAATCCCTGGTTTGTAAAGAATCCATTGTCGATTTTAAAAAGAACAATTAATCGATTAATCGAAGGAACCATCTGCTACGTCTACAGCTACCATCCGATGGATAGGTCTACTCTATCGGACAAGGTCCTCTTTTTCTCTGTTGCGCCTATGAACTGAGACTTGAAGGTAGGGCAAGCTCTGGTAGTTTACTCGGTGGTTCTGCTCTTCTCGATTCCTTGTCTTCTCGTCTACGCCTCCTTCGCTCTCGTCTACACCCACTGCCACGAGGCCTTGTGTCCTTCCGTTCAACTACAGGTATTGAAACAACTCAGAAACCTCCAAAGCTGCCTTTCCAGTATCAACACCAAATGGGACTTGTAGAAAACAATCAGCAGCAACTCATTGAACGCAACGTCATCAACCAGGAGCAATGCCGGAAATCCCTTGCTCCTGTCGAGGTAGAGCACAAGATCCGCGGATCTTTCATCGAGAGCTCTTTTCAGGGCTTGTTGCTGTCCTCGTTGCTTTTCTGTCTGTCAGCCATGCCATGTGTTTTTGCGATGCTCAAGCTTTGCAAGTACTATTTGCGAATGAAGACCGAGTACTACTGGGCCATGGGCGACAACTACGGGATAAACGCCAAAAAGTCTCGCGACGATCCCACTTTCCGGAGAAACCAACTCGTTCAGTTGCCACCACCAACTTACAACGTTTGTTTATGTTTTTGCCTCTTGGAATCGAATCAAACACTGAATTAAATAGGAAACGTAATCAGGCAAGTAATCAGTTTTCAGGAAAATGGGATTTACGGCTCCAACGTCTACAACGAAGAAGACATTTACGGAGCCTACGCAGTTTACGGGCGAATCTAGCCAAACATGAACGCACTGTAAATAATTTCAAATCGGGTCCTAAAACTTTTAAACCTTGACTTCATATTTTCAATTGTTGTTTTTGAAACCGGTATAGACAGAAAATGAAAATTTACTTTAAATAAAAGTTTACAATTCTTCAAGCAATTGTCGAGAGGAAAGGCTTGAACTAAATTTTTTTTCAAATCGAGAACTCGATCAGAAACAGAATCCGCTAATAGAATCGCAAATACCTGATTTTTTATTCACATTTTTCTCGTTTTGTTTCATCAAAAAATGACGATTCGAGAATTTTCAGACAGACGATGTACGTTTTTTAATTTTCAGAGCAAAAACTGAAGATTCAGGGAAGTTTTTGCGAAAAATTGCCGGGTTCGAAGTAATATGTGAATATTAAAAAGAGTTTATGGTACGAATTTTTCAGAAATTCAGAGATTATTCCAGACTTCGCAAAAATTAAATTGAGCGCAGCAAAAAAGTACCGTACGTAAGAAGGACGTTTCATTTGAAAAAGTTCAGTCAATTATACTTTTAATCCTATTCAACACGGGAAGAAAAAATCAGTAGCAAGCATTTGTGCGTCCAAATTTAATTGTTGCTTGCGTCAAAAAAAAAAAAATTTATTTAGAAGTTCGACCCATTTATTTAAGATAAAACCATATGTTTTTGATATATCAAGTTTACCAGTAGTTTCGAGTATTGAGCAGGTTAGAGCATTCGAGGAGGCTCTCCAGCGTTGCGATTTGCGATGACGATGGCTTGGAGAGGGCTGTCGACGCGGTCGTCGTCGAGCTGTCCGTTGCTCTTCGACGTCGCGAGAAGCTCGTTGGACATTAGTCGTCGCGCTATCGCGATCGCCACTGCGTCTATCTCGGTTCCGATGTGGCGAGAAGAGTCGCTGGAAACAATTCGGAAGTTTCTCGAAGAGCTTACTTATAATCAGAAGGTGGACTATTTGGGTTGTGAAAATCCCTACAATGATCTGGTGACGACGATGTAGTCGGACTTGCGTGGGAGACGCGGGAATCCACAGGCGCATTCCATCATTGCATCGCGGATCTCCTGAATTTATATTTAGGTAAAAAGAACTCGAAGCTAAAGGTACTTTATTCAGAGCGTAGTAGACAAATATTCGAGTGGCGCAAACGAAAACATAAAGGACCGAAGTGACGTCAGTGCAGATTTCGTAGATCTGAAATAACGGTCTCAAATTATAAGATTGAGAGATAAAATTAGAAGTTTTGCTGTGTTTAACCGCAATTTTGAAAACCGGTATTTCCAAATAATAAGTTTGAACGGGTATTTATTATGACGATCTATATCCGAACCACAGAGAATGTTCGCAAGAAACTGTTACAAATTACAACTTTCCCCTGGAGGAACCTTAATGTCACCAGAATTTCAAACAGACTTTGATTTGTTATTAAGCCAGATACAGGAGTTATAAAAATATGAGGCGCGACGTAGCGCAACAGGTAGTGTGTCTGTCTACGGTCCGCAGGGTCACAAGTTCGACCCAACCAATGGGTTTAAGAAATGTTCTTGTTGCAAAATCCACAGCTTTGAAATCCCAAGCTGTTACACACCTCATCACTGATACTAGGATAAGACTTCGGCTAATCGACTTGAGGCGCCGACGCCGCTCAAACGGTACAAAGGCGTAAGAAAAGATACAGTGTAAAAAAAGACAGCATCCGTATGGATCTTTCAAAAAAATGCAAATTAAATAGTTACGGACTACTAAAAACAAACCGGAATATGGTTTAAAGGAACCTACCAAGTAAGCGACGCCGTCCTGGGTTGATTGGAAGGCGACGTACTCCCAGAGAGTGACGAGCACATTGATGACGTTGGCGAGCAGATAAGAGCACACGACGAGAACCATCAGCCGAGTCGCCGACCGGATTTTCGACTGAAATCCTTGACTTATTCAGCAAGCTTGTGTCAAGTGTTAGCCCCTGGCTAATGGAAAGAATCGCGAAAAGCTCCAATCTGCTAGCTTTCAAACTGACAAGCTTTTGAGTGATTCAATAAGCTGAAAATGTTTTTTTTTTCTCGACTGTCGAGTGGAAAATCGTGTTGCTAGGAGTCTTAATGAAAAGTCTGTGAAGCCCCAGGAAAAACATGAAGAAAACGTAATAGAACCAGCCGCCTTGAATATTAATGGTTTACCCAACACCTCGCTAGGAAAAACAAAAACTTAACTTTCCCTTACTTCTCCATTCTTTTTCTCTGAATATGTCATTTTCTGATATTATCAAGAAAAGTAGTTCGCAAATAAATCGATTAACATTCATTTTAAATATTTCCGTGTGCATGTCCCCAAAATGTCCTGACGTTTGTTTTTGCCATTCCACAGCCATTAAGCAGAGGTTAATCGTCTTCCAGGAAAACTAAATTAGATTACACCTTTTCTCATGTTTTTCAACTTCCCACGGCTCCAAAAACAATTCTGAACTTGGCGTTATGGGAAAGTTTTCTTTCTTTTGTAGTCCTCAATTAAATACAGCCACAAGAAAAAGAATATTGAAAATCGTGTTCGGTCTAAGAAGAGACTGACTTGTTCCGAAAGCTTTTTTAGGTTTCGAATTCGAACGGTCTCACAGAACTGAGGCTGTAAGCAATAAAGTGGGAAATGATTTTTTACTTAAGCTCGAAAACGACTTCAATCAGTCTCTTTTACTTTGAAATGAGTTCTTTCGTATTTAAATCTTCTTATGAAACATTGAAATTAGAAAAAGCCGAAATCGATGAATTAATGGCGGGTTTCAGGCCTTTACTATTTTCAGAAAAATGGCGAAAAATTCTCCAATTTATTGCATACGGCCTCTGATTTCAAACGGCCTAGGAATAAAGCAGCCTAAAATTCATTAGCGAAATAAAAGTTCAATAAAGGTTATTGAAAAATCGGAAAAGTTCTTTCAAAAATCAAGATTTTACATCCGAAAGAAAAGATTCACCAAACCTTTCGAATAGCGTTCAAAACCGGATATTGGCTATTTCTTGCATTCGGTTCATGTAGAAACGCAAGTCAAATAGTATATGGGTCAATTTTTATTATTTTTAGCACCTAAACTTGATTTTCAAACTCTGCACGAAGAAGAAAAAACTTTGGAAATCAAAAGATGCCTTATGGTCGCTGGAGAGGAAGCGGAACATTTCTGCGGATCGCTGCTGCATGCGGAGCGTCCTGACGATGCAGTAGTTGAGCAGAGCGAGGGTTCCGAAAGGCACGAACACCGTCATGATGTTCCTGAGCGCACGACGTCTTCGTGGACACCTCATCTGCGCTCACCTGATGTAGAAACGGTAGACGGTGCCATAGAGGAAAGTGTGGACTATGGAGTGCAGGTCGATGTAATATTCCGTGAGCCCCGTACACTCGCCGTTCCGCTTCAGCTAAACAAAATGTTCTTCAAAGTCTTCGATTATGCAATGCGGCTGGATTCGCAACCGCTTTTATTCGTCATTATTATTTTTTTCTAGTCGCGGAAGAAGGGACAGATTTTCTCCCACGCCTGCTCATTTTCCATTCAGTGAATTATTGAAGACACTCCACGGGCATGAGTGAGTCAATTTGTATTCAATTAAAAGATAATGTTCTCCGCTCTTTTCATTTCTTCCAGTTGCCAAAGTCCTTTGGAATGATGAGAGAAGAGCAAGTTCCAACAAAACTGTGCAAGCTAACCTAAAGACTTAGAAAAAAAGGGAGACCAGAACTTTTCGGACGGCTCTCTGCTCTTTCGTTCTAAAAATGTTTTGAATTTGGCAGGGGCTAAAAACATAAATAAAAGTCATTTTGAGAACCCGATGTGGATGAAAATATTGCTATTGGCTTTCGGCAAGTTTGAGCCAATTATTGAAGATCCGGGGGGTTTTCACAATAGCTACCTTGAAAGAATGTGTGAAGTAAAACAGCGAAAAATGGATCTTCTTTACATTTTTGCAACAAAAAATCAATAAATCAAGTAAATATAACTTTCACTCGACCTCGGACTCGAAGATGATGGGTCCTCGCATGAGCAGCGCCAGAAGGAACATTCCGAAAGCGGAAAGGCCTCGATGTCGTCTGAAGGCCCCGAGCCAAGAGGACCTCTGTGTGATCAGAAACCGCTCGATCGTCGCCAGAATGATGAGATAACTCGAGAAAGCCATCGACACGCTGCAAAGGCCTAGCAACGGCCCCACGTAGAGCTGGTACAGCCTTGTCAGCCACAGAATCTGCAAAACCTTTGTTTTCAATTCTACCATAATCATTTTATCTTTTTTGGAACATTTTTCACTTCAAAGAAAATTCTACATCATCAATGATAATAAAACAGCTGTCAAGTGTACTGAACAAAGATTTTTCATGAAATATATTTTTAATACACATAACCGTTTTCTGTTGCCATTTCATTCATTTATTCAGATTTTTGTTTTAACGTTTTCATTTTTTCACACTCTTTCAAAGTTTTTCAATGCGAATGAGAAAATGAATCTGAATACTCTCGAAAACGATAATTGAATGGAAATTACTCAATGCTTATTTTTTCAGAGCCATTGCTAATTAATTAGTTTTTCAGTTCTACAAAAGCAGCTCTAATAAGTGAATTATGTCAATCATCTTTCTTTTCTATACAACAATTATTTCCAGAGAAAACCTATAGAGATATTCACATACAGTATCCACAGATGAAATCATTTCTGTCTACTCTAATTTTTTTCTTCCTTCAAAAGTAACATAAAAACTGTATTGATGGTATTTGTATTCTCAGAAACCTCGAGGAGGTAATTTTTTGCACTTACTCTAAACTGAATTCAGCGAGGCAAAAGCTGAAAAAAGTTTCAAAACACGCCTAGGCAATATGAAAATAAGTTTATTACTTTTGAAAGAAGACTTCTCAGTCCTGGAACAAACCTGAAGACGATCTTTGATAATGTCCATAGCTATGACCGGACCATAGTTTATTGAGAGAAAACAGTCTGAGAGAGCCAGGAGACCGAGGAAGAAGAAGTGGGAATGTCGTCTTGAGAGCAGTACCTGAAGAGATCTTCGCATTAAGAGAAGGAAACTTTTATTCTTCGCTCCAGCTTTGGTCAGCGCTCCAAGGGTTACAAAGAAATAATCCTGATTCATAAGTAAAAAAAAAAGTGTCAATTATTAATAGCTGAGAGTTTGAGGAATGGGAAAAAAACTTGAATAAATTAATATCAAATGAAAACGTAAGCGATTATGAAGAGGGAAGTGTGCTCACGACGTTTCGCATCACGTGTTCAAGGAAAAAAGAGAATTCGCATCAACAAAACGAAGAAGATTCATTTACTGTTTCTGCATTCAAACTTCAACAGACCCTGGCGATGATCATGTTGGTGAGGATGGAAACGATGGAGCAGCCGGTTCCGACGAGGGCGAAGTACCATCGACGGTCGTTGCTCTCGATGGCGCACTCATCGACGGCCGCCGTCGACGTCGAAGCGTTCGAGAACCACTCCGACGGCTCCATCTGCGGCTGGAAAGAATCCTGCAAAAAGTGGAAGAATTTCTGAGGGAAACCTCATAATATATACATCGATCGCTTCAGAAAAACGATCTCAAAAAAAAGTTAGATCCTGGAAAAGACATACATTTCCGAGTGGAGGCAAATGGAAAGTACAGCTTGAAATACAAGCAATGTTCCAAAATGTTTTACAAGGAAAATAATGGAAAAAAAATCCTGCAGAAAAATCGTTAACATGTTGGAACTGAAATAGGGAAAAAAACGTGGCCCGAATCAAAAGTTTATTATGAGTAAAGCAGGGAAAATATCGCTTTTCTTGGTTTATTGAAGTAGCTGAAGTCCTTTTGCCGCAAAGAGAAAAATTAAAAACGGTCATATACCTCGAAAATTTTATATTTTTGCTCCTTTAAACATCCCAGCAAGAAGATTCAACCATATCTTCAAACATAAGAAGTTTGAAAGAACACCGAACATAAGGACATGAAATGAACGTTAGATCCTCAGTTGAAGCTTACTTTTAATAATAATGATGTTAGCAGAACAGATATGAAAAGCATATAAGAATATTGATAAGAAAGCAGCTGATACACCGCTGAAAAAAATTATAAAAGTTAGTTTTTTTCTCAAATGAGTTGAGAAGAAATTAGAGATTTCTTGCGTTTCACTGCTTGTTTTTTGCATTTTAAAAGAAATTCGAACTCTTTTGCTGAAAATAAGAGAAGCTAGAAGATTTTAGAAAAGGGCCCTCCAGGCTCGACCCCGATAGAGTTTCTTGGCTTCTTGGTGTTGGAAGTGGTGAGGTGAGAGCTCGCGGAGCAGCCAGCTCAACGCAAAACGAGAAGGCTCCGCAGAAAGTGGGCGTGGCTCAACGATAGCACCGCCACGGGTGATTTTGCACTGGAAGACGCCGATTTCTTGGACCCAGAAGTTTCCGACGGTAGCCCTAGGATAATTGAAGCCGCAATTAATTAGATCTCGGCTAGGCTGTTTTAATTGGAAGAAGGTCTGAGCTTGAAAGAAAAGCCTGGTAATTGTCACGTGCCGGAAGACGAATCGTGAAAAAGTAACAGAAAAGCCAGTCATGCTATGCCAAATTATATTTGATAGGATTTGGTAATTGGGATCCTCATTAAAATAGAGGGAAAGTTAGTTTTTCACGATTATTAGAAATAATCAGAGTAAAGTAAACCAGAGAGCTTGAAAAAGTAAGAATCGATATCAAAACAAGAAGAAATCTTTTTGAGAGGCAAAAACCTGGAAATGCCCAAAGAGGGCGGAGAAATCTCATTTGGCAAGTATGAAAAGACGACATTCAACAATAGCGCCGGCCTTTTTCATTTACTAGACGAGAAAACTGAACCAAAGTTCCAACTGGTTCAGCGCAGAAAAAAGTCTTTAATATAAGCTGGATGAAAATGAGGAATATAGATATTAGAACTAGAAAGTAAATGAGGAAACGAGGAGAAAAGCGACAAGAATGACAATTTTAGAAGAATTCAAGATCCGAAAACAATATTTCAGCCTGCGGCGAAACTTTGTTTGCAGAAGACGTTGCAAAATGAGCAGGCTGGCGGTATCGTATGGAAGTTTAATTCAGGATTAATTAGAGGGGCCAAGGTCGCACATCATTTTGAGATCTACGCTTCATAGAAAAGAGAGTTTATTTATCCGGATCGAGAAAAACAAAGCGTTTAACGACGTAAGTCGACTTCTTCGTTTTTTTCCAATTCATAAGAGCTTTCGCTGGAATTATGAAACTATTTTTTGTGAGTTCTCATTCAATTATTTATATTCAACCCTTCTTCAAATGGTTACTACGTGTCTGAAGATAGTATGATATTCGCAGAATTATCTTAATCAAAAATAAAATTTTTCAACCAATATTTTACCCTTTAGGGATTCTGCCTCGAAAATTTCTCTTTTTAAACTTTTTCCAATTCTTCTCTGAAATTGATCTGTGCGATTTTTCAAGAACAGTGACGCACTGACTGAAGAATATCACTGAAGACTCCTTCCGAACTTCAAAATCATTCTAAACTCGACATACTTTCGCATTTTTTCTTGAGAAAGCACTTTACAAAGCTTTGTTTTATATTTCCGGCTTTTCAAATATTAAAAAGCTTCCTTTAATTTAACATGCCCCGCGTGAATACAAATTATGTTTTTCTCCTCGCTTTCTTCTGTTATTCACCACGTTTTCTTCATAGTTCTTATTTTGGAGGACGCTAGGAAGCTGATCCTCCGAGCTTCACCTGAGAAAAAAAGCAGGACGATAAGACAAATGAAAAAATACACTTCAAACAGAGGAAACTCGCAAATTGGTGTTGTGTTTCCAGTGAATATTCCACATAATTCTCGCTTCTCCGATCGCAGCTCGCCCCGAACCCTTCTAATAATACTTCACGAGTGTTCATTGTACAAATAAACGTCATTCCGTGGAGCACCTTTTGGTCTCCGTGGAAAATTGAATTGAATAAAATGGGTGAAATCACTTTATGTTGTAATTTTGAGAACAAAAAACTCTTCCAAAAGATCTAAGAACGAATAAAGAAGATTATTCTGATCTAGTATTTCTCAAAACTAATAATTCAAGACAAAGCGACCCACACACTATACGAAGTTGGGCAACGAAATTCTGACTTGTTTGGAATCTCTTGAAAACGAGGGAAAAGAGAGGGAAGACAGGTCAGACTGTTTCAAGTTGTAGCGGATGCATTATAGAGTTTTTAGCCTTCACAAATTATAAACTTGTGAATGAGGTGGAAAACGGTTCTTTAGTTCTGTCAGATCTTGAAACATCATACGCAAAATGAAGTAACAAAAAAATTCATCCAAATATAAAACGGTGTTACAAGGAAAGGATTAAATTACAACAAGAAGATAATAATGGAAAAGAAAAAACAAGAAGATTCGATGAATAATATGGACCTTTCAGATTTGATAATCTCAGAATCGACTCAAAATAGATTTAGCGCTCATATGTGTAGTAAGAACGCTATAATGATGGTCTGAATATGAATAAAGTTTTATACATCAAAGTTTTCAATTTTGGTTCCACAAAAGGTTGGTGAACCTTTCATTCTCCAAAACAAAAACACATCTGTTTTACATGCTTTATAAATAATTAAAACTTTCAGAATTAATTTTAAGATTTTCAAAAAAACTTCGAAAAAAATTCTCCTGTTTTCAAAGCAAGTAGTTCGACAATGGGTCGTGCTCGAATTATACGCGACCCAGGTCTCGTCTAAACAAAAGTTCAAGCATTTGAATCGAGGAGAACGGCGTTTGAGCGTCATATGCGTTCGAAAAAAAAAACACAGAATGAAATTGCGTTTGTGAAGCGGTAAACGTAATGCTTCCATATTCAGCCCTATGAAAGGCGAAAAAAGACGAACTTGGGTCGCTCGAGGGACAACGGCCTGTTTTTCCATTTAACCGAAAGTGATTCTGTGTTTTCGAACAGGATGGGTGAAGAGAAAAATCGAGATCGCATAAAAGAAAACTTCCCCGGAAGAACGGAGCAAAGACCACCTCGCCGTGCTTCGCGAGAGTCGTTTTGACATTTCAATATTTTGACTTGTTGAATTTTAGCAAGAGTAGCGTACTTAAACAAGAAAAATCTGAAATCCGAAAAAAAATTATTTATGTGGCGTCGTCCTTGGAATTCGCTTATAAAAAAAGACCTACGAGAAAAGAAAAATTGCGGGTCCGAAGGAAGAAAAAGCGGGCCCATCGTCTCATCCACGTTCTTTTTTTCTTTTTCGAAGCCCATAATTTGGAAACTGAGCCGCAAAGATTAAGGAATGACTCAATTTTTCTTTTGAAAAGTCCACAAGAGAGGCTTGATGAGTTTCACTATCTAAAAGTGTAGGATGAGGTTAAATGAAACCGAAAAATGAAGCCAAGTAACGAAAAAAAAGCTGTCAAGTATCGAACCAGGTCAATAGGAAGTAAATAATAAACGGATCAAGAAGCGCCGATCTGAAAATAAAGACGACAAGTAATTGGAAGTAGAAATGGTGGAAGAGAGTTGGAAGCTCGGCCATCCGAAAAGGGGAGAGAGAGGAAAGGTACACGAAGGCAGAGGAGCCAGGCTCGCGAGGAGCAACTTTTCTGCTCATTTGCTCATCGTCAAGCCAGACGCCGTGACGCCATCGTTGGAGTCACGACGTGACCCGGATGTTGCCATATTTCATACAGGTCAACTATTTTCTGGCTCTCCAGGCTCTTCAGCTTTCCTAGAGACAATCTTACTATTAAACTGGAGATCGGAAAAAAAAATCAAACAGGTTTAGAAAACCTTCTAAATTTTTAATGAGAAAAAAAAAGTATCAAGTCTGAAGCTCGAAAAAAGCTTGGAGAACGAAAAAAATAATCCGAATTACGCGCAAAACATCAAAACGGCTTTGCACGGAGGTTTTCGAAAATAACAATGAAAATGGAAATATTTTGAGTCGAGTTCTCAAAATCACAGTATTATTTCCTCCTTTCCGTTCGCTTCAAACCGAAAATTCAATCCTTAAAATGTCAACAATTCTCATCATTCTATTCATTTTTATATAGTAACCACACGAAAATCTGAATAATTTTCGAAAATTTTTATAAATACCATCTTAATTTTGCACTTAAAACTGTTTTTCACCAAAATTTTGGTTAGATACTTTTTCTTTTGCTTGCAAAAATTTAGGGTTTCGTGCTCTGGTAAATTTTTCCTTTTCTCGTACGACTAAATTTTATTCGCTTCCATTCGAATTTATAAATGGATTACAGAAAAATAAAATGTCGCTTTGCTCAACTTAGTATTAGCCATTCCATTTCAAATTTTTGCTACCTTTCGTGTTCAAAAAGTTGATTTTATGATTTATTAGCAAGGTCAACTTACCGAAAGAGACAAAAAGGTCTCCGAGTTTGGCAGACATACTGCCATTAACTTCTTTCCGGGCCCTTACGACTTTTTGCGCAAATTATCAGCTGTCACGAGAGTTGCAACACATTCTGAATGTTATAAATGTGAGAAAAGTCATTGGGTCCCGAAAAAATTATGGTTCCACACGCGAATTGTAAAGGTTATGGCCAAAAAACGATTTTGGAGAACATAAAAAAGTAAATAAAAAAGCCACAGTAATGTACTCGTGTAAACTGAATTCAGCTCATGAACATTGAGTTCCGTCAGAAATCAGCAAAGGTAGCCCCAAAAAAGGGTTTCAATTTTAATGTATTTCGTGCAAACACGCAGTCCAAAAGATATATAATCATTTATTTTATTGCTTCACAATCACGCAAAAAATGTACCACGTCAAGTAAAGCTGAAAAATATTCAAAAGTTCGAAAAAAAAAAACATGAAAAGCTTTAACTTTTGAGTTTAATGACGTGGTCATATGAAGAATTTGTCAAAAAAATTATACAGTATCACAGAAGTATGAAATATTTTTTTCTCTGGAGCCTCAAAAAAACTGAATAATTTAAGAGTGATAAAAAAATAATTAAAGAGCGACCCATATTGTGAGCAGAAGTCCATGCGTGGTCCCAAAGACAGAAAAAAAGTGATAGCTATTCTAAGAATTAATTTTTGAAAAAACTTTTCGTTCTGTCTTTGAGATGAAAACTGATTTCCGGCTGTTTTCAACTCAACTTTTTATCTTTGTTATGCTAAATTTAACTTCCTTTCTTTTTGAGAGTAAAAAGAGCGTCGAGTTAATAAATCTATTCTGAAAAGTGCGCTTTCCACAGCTTCAGTTATCCGGAGAAGAAGACATAAATTTGTGCAAAGCAGTCCCAGGTGCACCATTACGCGCTGTTCTACACTTGCAAAGTTCCAAAGACAGACTGGTAAGAAGAAAACCGCCGAAAAAGACTAATACGAGGACAAAACCGGATGGTTAACAGAAGTGAAGTGGATCAGAATGTACAAAGAGGAGTTCAGAAGAAGAAGAAGACGGCGAGAAGAAGCAGAAGCGACGGCGTCGAAGCCCCGGAGCCGAGGTCCGAGCGCGCCCATTCGCGCTGTCGATCTCGCAGGATCTCCGCCTCCGTCCTGAAACTCTTCTCATCTTTCAAACGCTTCCAGGAGTTCTTCATGATATGATTATGACGTCAGCAAATCATTTTGGGACGTTTCATGGAAAAGTCTTTATTTTTTCTTTTGAGAACTGTTTTGACTCTATTTCTGGTTTAAAAACGATTATCTTCGAACTTCTTGCCTTCTTATAAAAAAGTCCATGTTGAAATCTTTGTGAATATCGCAAATGTTATATAAAAATATTAGAGCTAAGAGCTAGTTCATCTTGAGAAAAACCCATTGTATCAAGGCTGCCGTTTTAAAAGTATAAAAGTCCTCGAGAAGGAAGATATAATGGTTCCATATTCGAAAATGCAAAAGTACATCCATTCGGAATGAGCCTCATGAATTTGCGACCTCGTGTCCTTGGCGATGTCGCGACCGCCACCTGCGACGAGTTCGGCGTCATCGTCGGCGTCGAGGAAGACGGGCGGAGGTCGACTCTTCTGAGTCGTCGTCGTCGTCGCGAGAATCGCTCGCGATCTTTCCGCCTCTTTCCGAGCCTGTTCCTCCAGCTCTCGTTGCTCTTGCATTGTGTCTCGGACGCTGGGAAATTAACGATTAATGAAAAATGAGAAAACAACAGCTGAATGTTTTTTTTTTCTTTTCTCAATGCGCCAGAAGGTCGTGAAAAGTTATGACAACTCTAATGCGCCAACCAGCCGCGTTTTGCACATCTTTTTGGATCGGGATTTCCGGAAAAAACGACAGTATTAAGTATATTCGAATGAGTTTGGAAAGTCTCGCTTCTAACCCAGTGAGTTGAGCCTGTTGGAGGAGCGATGCCGTGTTGCACATGGGCTCCTTGCAGACGCAGAAGTTCACCATGCCGCTTTTGGTCGTCGCACAGCCCTCCGTGAACTGAGAAAGCGCTATGAACGGAAATGAAGGAACACGAACCTTTTCCTCGGCCATCAACTGTCTCAGCTGCTCTCCCGAAACACAGCCTTTCTCCATGGTGAAGGCGGCTAAAACAAGGATATCGATAATATATTTTGACTCAAAATAAAGAGTGTGAACCGAATGAATGAAAAAAGAGAACACAATGCACGAGTTGATGTACAAAATGATCAGGTAAGTTACAAAGTAACATTTTATATATAGTTAACGAGGAAATGAAAACAGCAATGTTCGTAGATTCAGGGTCTTAATCTATACCACAAAAGTATTTTAGGTATTTGTAACTACTTCCAAAGATTCGAGTAGATTCATTTTCTTTTTAGAGCGGTTTTTGAGATTTTTATGCTGATGAGAAATAATCAAAAGATTGAAGTTTTTTGTAAGCTACATTTCAAGTTTTTAGTTCTGTTTTTTGATGTTTAAATATAATTTTTGTTAAATATATTATGACTTTGAGCCCTAAAGCGCCAAATCTATAGATTATTTTTTAAATTACACATTTGACTTTGATACTGCCGAATCTATATAACAATCGTTTTTCTTTTAAAAATTTTTTTCAAAGCATTCTTTTTAAAGAAGGTCCAGGCCAACGCAAATTTAGACTATTTCATTTATGAATAAGAAAAGCCACGAACTATTGGTTATTTGGGTCTGCTTGGTGAGACAAAAATGTTCGGCGACGCTGCATTCTGTGGGAAAAAGCTGGCGACAGTCCGCTGTCGGATCCGTCATATCCGCTTCGATGCATGCGGCGCAACGCAAGCTTATCTAGAATTGGACAAAAATGAAATGAAAAAAAAAACATTTTGATTACAGAAACTGTGTGATTGACAGGCACGATGGGTGGCGACGCTTCAGACTTGCCGGCCATCGGCGGAGGAGCCACGGGTGGAGGAGGGTTGAATGGCGGCGGCGGTGGCTCCGCGACGGCCGTTATCACTGCTGGAGAAACCTTCCGGTCGGAGATTCCATCAGGCCGGAGCACAGCTTGGTCGAGTCCTTCGGAGGTGGGGAAAGCCGGAGGCATGGGCTGGGGAAGATCCGGCGCCGCTAGTTCAGGAAGTCTTCGCCCTGCGACAGGCTCGATCGTCGAGTACACTTGTTTCTGGAATAATTCATTCGAAACTTGTGCAAACTTTTAGTTGTAGATATAAAAACTCCGCATCTGGTTTTGATATTTCGAGGGAATTTCCAGACTTCTCACTAGAATTATCCTCAAAAATCCGAAGACACATCCTATATAGATGATGAATTAACAGCTTTTTTTTGTTAGAAACAGTGGAACAGACGACTTCGCAACAAAAAGCGACCTCGGCCTGGATTTCGACACTTTTTACGATCATTTGCATAGGCAATTGGTGCATGCTATGCAAATTTCGCGCGCTGTAGTTTGAAATCAGACGTTTCCGGGTCAAAGATGTCTGGAAAACGGGTGGACCTGCTGGGCGATGGAGATCTGGTTGCAGGAGGAGGCCGTACAGGCGCAGTACTGCACACGGCCGCCGTTCGAAGAGCCGCAGCCCTGTTCTCGGGCCTTTTCTCCGAACTCGGCGACCAGCTGTTCCGGCAAGACGCACATCTTCTCCATCGCGAACATTCCTGCCAAAAATCAGAGTGAGAAGGAAAAACTTGCTGAACTCATAAAACTTCTTGCTAAAGACAGAATCACCAAAATCATAAGAAAAAATACCGTATCCACGGCGTGAACTCGAGCGAATAATTTCGAACTGCGCCTCTACAAAAGGCTGTCTATTGCCAAATGATCTGTGGACAGATTCCAGATATTTTGAATACGTGAGCCCGACTCTTCAGAAAGAAAAACGACACGAAATTAACTAAAAGACAGGCAGAAACTAAAAAAGTAACTCAATTTGTATAATCCATTCACAAGTTTTTTTTCCAAAAAAAAAATCCTAGAAATTATTTGAGTTCATTTGTCGCTAGTTTGAAACAATAATTGAGGATCCTCACAAGATTACCAAAAAAAAGTTTAGTTTAGGCGCCTTTGTAGTATTTTTTGTCTCAAGTTTACAAGCCATTGAATGAAGTATAGAGCTTTCGCAACAAAAAAAAATGCCTTTTTTATAGTCTGTGTACCACGACTTGAAATTTCACGGAACGACGTTTCCCTGTGCCGCTGCGCGCCTTTGCGAACCTTGGTCGCGCTTTTTTGTTTCTTTTATTAAGGCACTCTACTTTCATGTGCTCCACAGCAATAACAATCAATTGAAAGCGTGATTTAGATTCGAAAGACGCTTCGCGAACGCACGCAGCGGAACAGCGGAATGTCGTTCGGTGAAATTTGAAGTCGTAGCACACTGACTATAACATTCTGCTAATGAACCACAAAAATATTCAAAAGATATACGTTTAAAAAGTCTTTCGAGAGATTTCGAAATGCTCGTGCTTGAACTGATTGGAAAAAATTTTCCAGCGACTTCCGAAATCATTCAAGCAATTCGAACGGATCCTTGACCCTCAACTAACGATACAACTCCATCAAAAAGATTTCTCCCCAAACACTTGAACCACTTCGAACACTTGACATTTGCGAGATCGGGAGTTTTGTTTTGCGCAGAGAACATTGACCAAAATTGTGAATGACGGGTGATTTCCAAGAAAACTCAGAGAATGTTTCCAAATGAGTTGAGAAAAAACCGTTTCCGAGGTCAATCTGACGGGTGAAGCACATTGATTGGTCGTGGAGACACTCGACTTGGATCTGACGTCTGCAGTCTTCCGAGTCGCTGTGAAGGTTGCTGTCCCCACACTGGACACAGTGCTTCGCCCCTGGATAATTCCAAATTTGGAGCATTTTCTTATCTCTCCCACGGCTTGAAAAAGTCGTCTGCGCCCTCTTTTCCCTCACCGGTAAAGCCATAAAGCATGTGATCTGACATAATTTCAAAGCAGGGCAAAGAGAAAAGAGGGCACAGACGAGTTATAAATTCACGTAATGGTGGATGATTATCACTCAGCAACTTTTCACAAAAAAAGTTCAAATTTCTGAGAGCTGATTCAAAAAAAAAAAAAAACACGAGAAAAACCAAAAATAAAACTTCGACACCACAATTTTCGGTTTTTTATTTTACCTTGCTTCTCCGAGGCAACTCCTGGAGGACTCGCCGGCCGAGAAACCACTACAGGGCTCACTTGAGTGGCCACGCTTCCGACAAAACTGCTTTTGGCCTGACTGGCCTGGGGCAAGTTCAGTAAAACTGTTTCTGGAATGGTAGTTCCAACTTGATTGGAAGGAATATTCGAAAAGGCTACCTCTAGAAGGGGGCGGTTGGGGTGCTCCAATGTCCGATTCGACTCCCCGACTCGGCAGCTGCGAACGTCTTACTTCGGCTTCCGTTGCGGCATTGGCGGCAATGTTCTGGACAGGAAAAATCAGAACATATCCCAAAAGAAATGAGAGACTCTGGGGTCGTTTATTGGAACGATAGCCGGTGGAATGAGCATCGGAGCTGCGAAGACAGGAGGAGGAGGCACATTGGCCATTTGCGAAGCAAGGAGACTCGGATCGGCCAGTTTCAGAGGGGCTTGTCCTTTCGGCTGCTGAGTCTTAGACTCGCTGTCCTCCGACTCTCCGAAAAGCTCCGGGTGTTTCTGAACAACTCTTTGTCAAACAACTAACAAAAAAGGTTTCCGTTAAACATTATATATTAAAAGAACTACAAACCTCTTCAAAAGACATGAACTGCTCGGCGACGGAGTTTTTGTTGCAGAGATCGCTTCGGCAAAGACAATAGGCCACCTGAAGAGAGGCAAGTCGGTGAAGAAGGAAAACAAAAAAAGTGTACCTCTTCCTCTTGGAGGTCAACCAAGTCGCACTCATCGTCTAGTTGGTAGCCTTTTTCTGGGAAAGTCCGATAATGGTCTTGCTCAGAAATGCACTCCTTCATCACGGTGAACGTATCTGAAGTCAGTCGTTCTTCATTCGTGTTTACGAAACCGCATTCAGTTTTCCGTCCTTTCGGTCACACGAATCCCTTTGAAGTCTTTCAAACCCTCACAATCTTGATGATGACAGCAGCTCTCGCTCAAAGAAGTACACTTTATGTGAAAAACATGGGTTTTGTTTTTAAATTTAAACGCTACTTGATAAAGAAAAATTTTTTTTGCATTTGTCGAAATAATTCTAAATATTTTTCGCGTTTGAACTTATCAACTAACTGTTGATACAATAAAAAAATACAATAGCAAAATTTTAACTAAACAAGTTTTCAACAAAATGAAAAACTCTACTCCAAACTTTCCATTTCAATTCTCCCGTTACTAGCCGGGTTTTTAAAAACGTTCAAAATTTATTTTGCACGGACTAAACTTATTCAAAATATTCTAAACCCATCGTCGATCATAATTTTCCCAAAATTGCTTTCGTTCCGTCTTTTCGTGTGTACCATTCAAAAAAGCGACTAATTGAACGAAAGCAACTTCTACCAAACTAGACGCGATGCCGTGGAAATTACAGTAATCATGATTCGCTTCCGAACAAAAGAGATTGGCTAATTGTCTTTGGTTTCTCATTAACACGAGATACTAATTTAGAAGAGAAGGCGGATCTTTCTTCTCGGGATCTCCCACAAATCGGTTCGACGTGTGACTCGGCCAAGCCATAAACGTGCAATTGTGTCGGAAACTTTCGATTGCACAAAGTGCGAGCGGAAATCGGCCGCCAATGACCCCATTTCGGAGGCCGCTCGCCGAGTTTTTCCACTGCTTTCTGATTCCATCAAGAGCGAGCTTTCCAATATTCTCGACTAGTGATTTCAGTGAACTGTTTTTAAATTTTTCAAGAGATTTGAAAAGTCCAAACACAATAACTCAAACTTTAACTTTTTCAACTTTTACCTTTTTTAAGAGATTTTAAAAATCCAATCACAAATATTCAGATCCAAGTTACGCCAGAAAAGACGCATACTTAACAATGACAAGAAAAAAAAATTTTGCAAAAAAAACGTGAAATCGGCAATAAAATGCTTTCATAACGATAATTTTTTGAAAAAAAAAAATTGATTGTGAAAGGTTGTGAAATTGAAGAAGAAGCGTAGTTCAGTTGCTAATACTTAATTCTTGCATCAAAAAAAAAATCTCAATTTCAATTCCTTTCAAGGTTGTCCAAGGCTTCGTAGAAAAAATGGATACTCTGCGGAGAAGATAAAAAAAAGTTATTCAAATAATCAAATTTTGACATAATGACCCCTTCAAATTCTAAAGTAAATATTTCCCTTGTAATATAGACATCTAGGACTTTTATCATAGACGCCGTCAAGCTAAGTGATTCCCAAAGCTTTATATTTAACTCATACAGTGAAAAATCAATCGAATTCCAGAGCAGTTCTCGTTATGGTCTTTTTCACGAAACTAAGAAATCTACACTGATAATGAAGAATTGAAAAGCGGAGAAAGGACTAACTATTCTTGGCGCGATGCCTTGTCGTCCTGCAATATATGCGGTCGGCGGGGCCGAATTTCGCCGCGTAGCTGCCGCAGTCGTACTGAAACTGCGTGGAACATTCGCCGAACTCGCCGAGATTCGTGTCTCCGCAAATATAACACGACAGTCCCTCCGCTGCAAATTGTCCTTTTCAACTTTCCTGATAACTAAATGATAATTGATCCGAAGGAGTTCAGAGGAGCCGTCCCATTATCTGATACTTCGATCTGACACCAGTTCTACTATGAGTTCGGAAAGAAAAACTATAACTGATTTCGGTATTAAAATGAATTATGTCGAAAAACTCTTCTGAAATCTATTCTATTTAGTTCTATATGATAGAAAATTATTAATTCAAGACGAAGGGACTGCAAAAATTACGGTGCCTTTTTTTATCGCTCCTTTGGGATATTTACATGTGGAAAATCATGTATATACCAGTCAAACATGTCTATTTTAAGCTCGCCAAAAAGCGGACAGCGAAATCCAGCGAGTTTTGTGAGGGATCCGCCAGTGTTTGGAAATCGAGCCGAAAAGTGGGCTAGTCTCCGTTTGACCTGTAGGCGCCGCCGTTTCCAACTGTTGCACCACTCATCCCAATGATTTTTACAAGTTTTTATATCCTTGACCTAGAAGCCCAAAGGTAAATAAGACAAAAAAACTGAGTTACAATCTCATTAACTAATGACTAGTTGGAATTCATAAAACAGAACGGTTTTTCATTTTTAATAATGAAAACTCGCTTGGAAGAAGAAATTAATGAAAATGAGAGCGTTTCAACGCAATCTCTACAAATATTCGAAATCACAGTGTGTTGAAATTCTACAACCAAATCCAATTTTTGAAGAATTCAGTATTGATAGCATGAACCCTCGAGATTTGAAGATTGCGTCAAACATAAAAGGAATTTGAAAAAAAGTTGGATTGAAGCTCACCTAGGCCCGGCGAAAGCGCTATCAGAAGCAAAACGTCCCGGAACATTAGAATTTGTGCTTAACCGGGGAAGTTAGTCTGTGGAAGCGTGAGCCAAGACTTTCGTGGATATCTGAAATAAAGCGATCAGAAAGTATTTTCTGGAGTATTGGAAGCCGAGGCAAAGAAGACGTCGAACGAGTGTCGGAGTGGCTAGAATTCGAGAAGGTGAGCGATGCGAACAGTCGTCGCTCACAAAAAGGGGCGGAGCGAGAGCGTCGAAGGGGTGGAAACTCGCCGTTGCCAGTGATTCACTACTTCAGGCAACTGTAATCGTCGCTAGGACGCTTTCTGCGAAAAAGAAACCTGTCAGAATTTAGACCTCCAGAGTTCGCCTTTATAAAACTGATAGAAACTGTTTTTAAATTGAAGTTAAAGAAAACTATTTTTCGCGCGAAGATCCCAACCAACAGGAGTGTTCTAGCAGCCTTGAAGTTTCGTTTGCAAAACTTTTGATCCGTGAAACGTGAATGAATTCTTCTTCGTACCTTTCGCGTATCCAAAAAGAAGAACTGGAGAACCAGATAATAAATAGGTAATGTGGGTTGAGGATTCTAGTCAAGAAAGTCTTGGAAAGGCCTTGATTCAGCTGTTTTCTTACTTTCTCGCCTCATAGATCCAGTCCAGTCTCAAGACGCCATCGGCAAATCGAAAGTAACTAGAAGGAATGAAGCTTCATGGCTAATTAGTGTGAATCACTCATTTCAGAAAATAAAAATGTTCAAAAAAATATTGGAAGAAAAGAAAAACGAAAATGGACAGCAGAAGAGGGTCTCGACAAACAAGCTTGCAACTGTACTTTGGTTCCTAAAATCTTCGAACAGTCAAATGACAGAAAAAAAAACCAAAAAACACCGCGATTTGGTAGCGAAATCAGGGAAAAATTCGTGAAGATTCTTTTTAAAAACGAGGAAGCCCAGAAGTTGGAAAACCAGGAAAACCCTTGAAACGCCATGAATATGGACCACGGGAAGCAGGATGAAGCCGAAAGAATGCCCTGAGGACAACAATCGGCCCAAGAAGATCTCCCAGAAGATTTTTCGCGCCGCTCAAAATGAAAAGAAAACGGTCGAGTGCGCAGGTGAGAGCAATTATATCCGACGGCAACTTGGGCATTTCTGGATTATGCTTTCACAAGACGCGTCCAACCGCTTCTTCTCCATTTTCGGAACAATGCTACTCCAAAGGCATTTCGAAAAGAAAACTCAAGGTTGTCGAGAAACTTCAGAAAGTTTCCTTACCTTTTTATGAAGAGCCGCACCGAGTTCAGATCCAAACATTCTGCAAAGCTCTATCTGGGACAAGAAAGCATAGAGTATTAAAGGATAATCTGCCGGAGGTCGGGTGAAAGTTGACGTTTCACGGAGGCGCTCAACCGAACAAAGCCAGCGCAGATTTCTTTTGTACTTCCAGCGAAGCCGTTTCATATCTTCTTCTTCCTGTACCAGAAAAAAGGATGCGTTGTTTGCCGAGGCAGGAACTACGTGAACAGAACAGTCATTTCTAAAGTGGAGATGGAAGCAAGCGAGAAGACGTCGCTGCTGACAGCGAGAGCGATGGTGACACAAAAGAAGCCGTCCTACGTCGTGGGAATCATGTTCTGCATAGCCGAGGTGACGTCTTCTCACAATCAGGAGATTCTCCAAGTTTCAGCTGTCGATGGCGGCCTGCACGGCTGTTTTCGGACTTTTTCTCACACTTGACACCACGACGACTGGTTTTTCTCTTGCCCACTCTGTTAACCTCGAAGATAACGACTTTTTTGATAAATCTGACAAATTGGTTATGATGTTTTGGATGATAGAAAAAAATAAATATATTTTCAGTCTTCTCATAATGCCAACCATATTGTCTTAGTTATCGTGGTCTGCTCGTTTATCATCATTTTGACCAAAGCAATCACTATTCATCAGGTTTGTTAGCTCCCTCGTTTAAAAAAGATAAAATTTTGCAGATATTTTTTTATGAAGTGTCCCTTGTTTGCAATATTTTCGGCACGATAACTTCCACCATCATTTTCATTCTCGTCTTTTCTTGCTCAGGTCTCTCTTTCTTTTCCTAACCTCCATAATTAATCGACAGTCTATGTCTTTATGGATTCCTTGAATCATCCCAATGACAAGCTGGGAGTTAGCCACGACCGACTGAAGTCTTTCGTGAAGATCATGACGAGAGTCATCAACGAGACCAACACCAAGGAGTACTGGGGCGAGTTCCACGAAGAACTTTCACGCATACATACTACGGCAAGTTGTGTCCCGATTTCCACTTCTCAGCAACTGAATTGAAGCTAGGCTGTTGTGGATTCGAGAGTGTCGACGACTACCACAAAGTCAATCCAATAAACACATACAACGTCAATAACCTTGAGGTTTTTACAGAGACTTTTTTTACCGATAAATAATATGTTTTATTATGAGACAGATCTTTTGAATAAAGAAAAAAATCATATTTATTTGAAAAAGTGTGCCCGCTTGAACTCCTTCATCCCTTCGTGAAAAATTTTTTTACAGAGTTCTAAAACTGGCTTCTTAATTTTACATCTTGAAAAAATTGCGGGACTGTGTTCAGTTTTTTTTTTTTGAATTAATAAAACTTGCGCGTCTTGCACTTATTCCGATAACTTGTAAACCTCTTACCTTACTGGTTCTTAAGGAGTGTTTTGAATCACTATTTGTTTCTAATAAGGACTGCAACGCGAAAAAAGAGGCAGATATGTCTCTTTCAATGTAAGTTTCGTTTTAGTAAATGAAAGGTAGAAAATCTATAAAAGTTGTTGAAATTGTGAAACGAAAAAAATTTAATAAAAAGATATTTTATTTGAGAAACCACCGTTCGGCATCGCCCTCGAATGGTCGACACCGATCAATGGCTCCTTCAAAAACCGAGTCCCGCCATTCTGCACGATTCCACTGAATAACGAGGAAACGAACAAGAAACCCGAGAAACTAGACAAGTGAGCAACGCGTCGAATCTTTTGAACAAATCCTATTCAGAGAAAGTTGGGCTCTTGCCATAACCTTCCATCAATTACCGTGCCTCCGTGTCATCCGAGGAAAAGTCGTAACCCTAATCTTTGGGGCCATTATTTACTCGTTTTTCGGTGCAATGATCTCTGTCAGTTACATTATTCGTCTTATTACGTGGCTCCTCAATAAATAAAATGTTCATTACATTTTTACAAATTAATAGTGAGTACAAAAATAATTCGAATATTTTCTCTTCTCAAAAGGCCTGCTCACAATTGTTTTTGTTGTAAAGAGACGTGTACCTTAAATAAACCGAGATATTGCAAAGAATTGAGAGAACATCGGAAAAACTTTTCCAATCGGGCTGAAAACATACTTGTCTTTTTTCAGTTCTGCCAGTGCTTGCAAGCTTCTCGCTGCCTCCTCCTTGATCGCGTCGATTCTTGCACCTTTTTGGTGACTTTCCGGGAGAGCGACTGTAACGGAGAATTTCGATTCATTGAGAGGAAATCGAGGATAAAAGTCAACCGCTCAAATATTCTTTCTGATCATCGTGAAAACGGGATTCTTTTGCTATGCTCTTTTGAATTTGAGCTATTTGCGTTCTAATTTCTTCCGCCTTTTGACGGAGCTGGAAGTGACGCTTTTCTTCGAGATCCAGCTCGTTCAGAAGCTCTGAAAATTTTTACTTTATTTAAACATAAAATACATCATAACTTTTTTCAATTTGTTGGTCATTTGAACGAATTGAAGAAACTCGTTTGCTAAATTTTTTCGCTTCTTTCACAGCAACAGCAAAATCTTCATTATTCGATAACTGCAAAAGGAGAAGAACTTGAATTCCGACAGAAAAAGGAATAATCAAACACTGGTGAGCTCATTCAGTCGATCAAACAGATTGTCAAGCAATTCCATTGAAGAGTTGGTGCCTGAAAAAGATGAATTAGGAAGTACTTCAAAAAGATATCTAAATAGTGATACAAAATTCAAAAATTGAATGCTTAAAAATGTATCGTTAGAAGTAAAAAAAGGGCCTTATAAAATGCAGAACAACCGAAAATTGTACATTTTATGTTTTCTAAAGTTGAATATTAGAAAAAAAGGTGCGAACCAAGTTTTAATGAAAAATAATTTGAATTAAAAAATGATTTTGGACTGGCGCCAGGATGAACGATTTGCATTTAATCTGACGCGCGTCTGCAATTTGGCGTTCGCGTCAAGACGCCGCTGGAACGGAGCGCTCTGAAGTCGCCTGCGTCAACGCGAATACGGGGCCTTTTTCGTTGACCAGCGATATAGCGGAGCTTCGGAATATTTATTATTTCTTATAATTAGCTTAATTATGTTTAATGTTGCATTTTCGGTTTTTTTTTTACTTATTTGCCTCCGGGCTCCAAAAATTAGGATTTTAATTCGTTTTTTTTAAAATAATTTTCTCTTTTATAATTCCAAATAGTGTTATATGTGTCTTATTTTTGCTTCTATTCTTCTCTTCTCTCCTTATTCATACAATAAGTAGATTGGATTGTTTCGATCTAATTTTATTCATTCTACCCGCACAAGAGATTATAAAATTTGAATATGTCTTAGTATCAATTTTCTAGATGCCTCGAGTAAAGAAGCGGTCGAGTGAAATTTCGCTTCCACCTGCTCCAGAACCCACAAGTGAAAGAAGAAGGGGTCGACCACCCAAGAGGTACCTTGAGGAAGATTTCTCGACTCCTCCGCCTGTGGCCAAACGAACGTCAGTCCCTAAACCTAAAAAGTTTGTTCTTTTTTTTTTAATTTGGAGACTCAACCTTTTTTCTAGACTTATTTCAAAGGAAAAACTTTTTTTAGATAATCAGTAGTAAAAATAAAAGAAAATTTAGAAAAAAAAGGTTAAAAAGAACAATGTTTAGAGAGAGGAAGTACAAATTGCTCTAGGGTAACCATAAGAAGTTTTTCTGAAAAATATATTTTCAATTTTCACTTGATTGAGAAAATGAACATTTTTTGGTTTGAGGGCAATAAAAACGGGAATTGAAACGAAATAGCTATCTTGTGGAGCTTATCAAACGGTTTACTTGAATAAGTACAATTTTGTGTATTTTTGAAGAAAAAAAGGGGTATTTGAATTTTGCTCTGGATCGGTGTTCAGAAAAGTTTTTCAAGTAGCGCAAAATTTTAGACTTGTACTAATGCTTGCAATTTGTGTGGCATTATCAGATTTAGCCGCTTTTTAGCTTCAAAACAGGTCGTCGTTTTCTGAAAAATATTCATCTAAAGACCTTTATTTCTCCGATAGAAAAATGGAGTTAATTTATCTCCAAATCAAAAATTGAAATCTATCAGTTATCACGAATAAAAAAACATTCTATGGCCCAAGTTCGCAAACTATATATATATATTTACAAACAGGAAGTTTTCGATGAAAAAAAATATTTTGGTGACAAGAAAATTTTTTTTTAAAAAATTCAAAAATGGATATCCGCGTTATCTATAGACCGAAAAAAGCCCTCATAGAAGTACTTTTTTTTTCCCCAACTTTGAATCACTTTTTCCAAAAGTACGTTCAAACAATTTCAAGTTTCCCATTGAAAATCAGCGATAAAACCAGTAATTTAAAAGAAAAGATAGTTTTCCATGAAATCAAGTCGCATTTTAGAAAAGAATCAAAGTCAACTGGTCGGTCGAACCGAGCAAAAACTAAACCATGGGATCACGACGAAGATGTTGTGTATCGCGAGGATTCGGATAACACTGATGACGAGGAAGAGGACATTAAGCCAAGCGCAACAGGTTTTTATTCAGATTTTTTGCATTTTTCTTCTCTTTTAAGCTTTTCTGAGGATAATCCTATTATTTTTTATTGTTTTTCACTGTTACAGACTTTCTCTTGTTCAAAACTGCTCCTTTTTGCGAGAAAAACAAAGGTAAAAAAAATGGTGTGAGTTTGTGTTCCTAAAAATTCAGTGGAACTTTTTTTACTGATTTTCTTACAAAAGTCCGTATTTTCTCCATATATTTCCTTCAATGGTAATTGTCTTGGGTTTCAGATCTAATTTTTGACGAACTCGATGAATACGGCGGCGATTTGGATGATATCAAGGCGGAGATTGATGCTGCAGAGGCAAGTTTCACGTCTAAAAAGTCCTCAAGTGTTCCACAGGGTTCTTCGACATTTTGTCCATGGGTTGATCTGAATCCAGACGAAATACCTCATCTAGAACTGCCCGTTGGAAGTTCCGACATACCTTTGCCCACCGAGTTTTTATGGGATGCAATAGAGGTTAGGAGTCAGTATTCACAAATATTGGAATTTTTATTGCAGTTGTATGAAATTTTACGGAGTTTCCACCGAACTTTACGATTGACTCCATTCCTGTTCGAAGATTTTTGTGCAGCCTTGATCTCGCCGGACAACTCTTGTATACTGGCAGAAGCTCACATAACACTGTTGAAAATGTGTCTGCGGAATGACGACGAGGAGCAGGTTCGAGCTTCAGAACGGCTCTTTCGAATCTCGAGAAGCTTGCAGATCCACTACTCGGTGAATGACACGAATAACTCTTTCAATGTGATGGTTCATTGTCTCGAATCGATGACTTACGCCGAGGTTTGCCTTTTTTTGATGGTTCTTCTCGTAGTTTTCTTGTTGATAGCTAAAATATGTTTGTAGAAAATGATTTATAAATCATCTTTTTGACTCAAATAACTGAGGAATGTTTAGATAGTAATCAAAACTTTGGGCGAATAAGGATAATTGTTTTCTTTGAACATGAGGAACTGACAGGTCCTCCGCCAGTACATTGAAGCTTATCCTGGAGTCGACGAAAGCGTCCGCGAAGCCATCAACTCGGAGAACTACCCTTACGTGGGCATCGAGCAGCGACTCGTCGTCCTTCTTTTTCTCGGCTACCGCTTTTTGTACTCGACCGAGTACAAGAAGGTCGTGACTAATTTCGGAAAGAACCCTGTGAGCTCCTTCTTGTCGCTGCCCAACAAGCCGCGGTTTCAGAACGAAGAGAGCTGTCGGATTTGCGGGAAGTCTAGCGGTCAAGTGGTCGGATGCTCTCACTGCGAGGCTTCCTATCACGGCGCCTGTCTCAATCGCGATATCGCCTCCGAGGAGTTCATCTGCGAACTTTGCACGGCCAACTTTGTCTGTTCTTTCCATCATTTGCATCATCCCCAAAGAAAAAATTTTGAAAATGCGTTACAACGGAAATGGTCTTTTTTGAGCAATACCACCCAAGCGTGGATTTTCGAGTTTTGAGATTGAAAAATTACCTGAATTCGAATGGGAGAATTTATTTGTTTGTCTCCTTCAAAACTTCATTTATGAGTTATATCAGGTTTTTTGAGCACTCCTGGAATTTTGACTTGAAGGTGCACGGAGTGTCGGACGCATTGCCTTTCGGCGAATCCAAAGAGAGAGCCTCTCCGGATGTCCCCCATCGGACACGACAGACACGGCCGTCTCTACTGGTTCGTCGTCCGCAGGATTTTCGTGTACGTTTTTTCTTGTCCTTCTTGGCTTTGTATGAATTAATTTAAACGTTTTCTATTGTTTTAGACAAAGCGCTGAAGACGAAAACGACATTCGGTACTACTCGTCGGCGCCTCAGCTGCTGGAACTCGTCCAGAAACTAGATCCGGACTACTTCGAGTTCGACCTCTGCCAGTTCATCAGTGAACACATCAACGATATTTTCGAATATGTCAGTTTCATGCAATGATTTCTCTCCAATTTTCCCAGAACATACACAGGTGGTTGTTGTGGCAGAGAATTTTCAGAAATTAACAAAAGAAGAAAAAGAAATAATGTTGTAAAATTTCAGAAACTTGAAGAAGTTTTTTTTCTGTTTCTATAGCATACTTCACACCACTGTCATTAGTTTTCTAGTACATTAGAAATTTCGATTGAAGGATAAAATTTGAAAAAAAATTGTTCGTGTCTCCAAACTGAAGATCTAATACTGCAGATGTCTCAAACTTTGGAAATTACAACTGAAAGACGGGACAAATCTTTGAAAGAGCTCCAATCGAAGGCTTCTCTTCGCGGAGGGGCCTTCCAACAACCTGCGGAAGAAATCGAGAAAGGCTTTCCCGTCGCCTTTCTCCACCAAGACAATCGTAACCTTTTCCTCCATTTCTGAATTTCATCGAAACGTTTTCAGTTCGTCGGATGTCAAGTATTTTACGGCAATGTGTCGCCAAAGCAAACCTCAAAGAAGAAGTTAAAAAAGAAGAATTAGAAGATGACGAAGAGGTTTTTCTCCCGATTCTCATGTCTCAAAGAACTTCTCTTTTCAGCCAGCAGTTAAAAAGGAAGAAACACTAACCGATTGTATAATATCTTTGTTAGGAATCTACGGCGGCCGGATGCTCAATAATTTTTGGAGCGCCACTGCCGATGGTGAGTTTTTGGAAAAAAAACAAATAACAAATTAAGAACTTTTTTTCCAGAAGAATTAGTTCTTAATTATATTGTAAAATACGGCAACGAACCGTTGGCACCTGAAATCTATTTCCGGATGGGTAATTGCAGAGATGATCTTTTTTTCAAGTGAGTTTCAAGTTTTTTTTTTCTGGATAATTTTCACAATTTTTTGATTTTTGTTCATGTTGAAGCGAGGAGCATTGTTTTTTGTTTTCAAACTCTTCGATTTTTAATTCTCATTTTCCATGGTTATCTTCAAAAAAATATGATGGAGCCTGAGAAGTTTTAAAATGAGTTATTCATGAACAAAATAAACATTGAAAATTTTGTTTCTTTTCACCATACATTGACCATATTATTAAGGGGCTCTCCTTTCTATTTTCCATGAATTGAAATCAGTTCTCCCTCCTGATGTTAAATCTTAGAACTTTTTAAAGTCAACTATAACTTTTCTAAAGTTTTGTTTGTATATTAACATTTTTTTTTCTCTTTCGAGCTTTCAAAGGAGATTTTTCAGTGAATACGTAAACAAGTATTCGTTGAGCGAATTGGCCGAATCAACTCAAATGCGCAAAAAAGCGGCGGACCGCAAAAAGTACATGTGTACGAGGTTCAGTTTGAACGAAGACGCTCCCTGGTCTTTCGAGGTTTTTTTTCGGGTTCGAGGATTTCCAGATAGGAGTCGAACTTTCAGTGGTCGACTGCCAAGGGCCGCGGAATGTACGGAAACGCGAAAATGCATGCGAAATACATCGAGTGGACCATGGCGAAGTTGGCGAGGAAGGTTCCCCTGGAACTGATGCATCGACAGTGGAACACACAGACGAAGACTTTCGACGAGGTACTGCGAATCAGTTTTTGAAAAAAGCTCTCCGATCGGGTTATTTTTTTTCCAACAAAAAGCTCCAATGTTATAAAAATTTTATAAACTGGTTAATTTTTCCTCTTACCAAAATCAAAAAAAAAATTTTTCGGAAAGTTATTTTTTTCGAGTTACTAAAAAAATATGAGCCTTAGGCAAGACGTTCACGCTATTCCTGGTTCGATTATTTTATTTATTTCTCTTGCCTTTTTTCTCAAGTTTCAGTTCATACTGTCACAGAGAATTATTGAAAAAGGGTGAACTCCGAAGATAACTTTTTTTTTTGAAACGTTTGGTTATTAAAACGGAAGATGAACCAGTTGGGTTTTTTAGGAGCTGAAGTTAGCGGACACGTATCAAAAACTGGCGAATCTCCTGCTGCGACTGGACTGCGGGATGCGGCGGACGATTTTCCTGCCGCAGTGGTGGAACAGCCTCGGCCACGCCAGTTTGACCCGCAGCACAGCCGACCAACGAGAACAGCAGTCCAAAGACTTGCAGCGCAAGAAAAAAGAGGAAAAAGTCGCCGATTTTTATTAGAAGTTTTTTCAATCTCTGTTTTAAGGATATTTTCACACAGGATGTGGACGATAGCATGATTAAAGTGAACTACACGAAAGCTGCCATTAGCCAATCGATTTCACGACAAAAGGTTTTTTGCTTACTCAACAAAATATAGAGTTTTCCTTTTACAAGGTTTGAAAAGAAACATCAGAGGTCATACTTGGAATAACCTCGTTTCGGCCGCAAACTGGGGGATGGACTTGACAAAAAAATTTGGAAGGAGGGGGACTTGGCAAAATTTTTTTTTTAGGTGTGCCCTACATTTGCGTCAAGGCGGAAAAGTTTTTCATCAAATCGAAAAATAATTGTGGTTTTCGGATTTAGCGTAGTCGATTTAGTCTAGAAACATGTAAAAAATTCAATTAGAGTCGATGAAAACGTGAGAGAGTCAGTTGGAAGCCGAGGCTGGCGCGCGCCAGCCTCGGATTCCAACTGACTCTCTCGCGTTTAGGAAGCTTCTCCTTGTGAAAATCCGGTTGACACGAACTAAATCGACCACGCTGAATCCGAAAACAGCAACAGTTTTTGTGTGGGACCTCTGCGATCTGAGATATTTCATTAAATGCACTATAAAAAAAAGTTGTTCTTCAAATCGAAAAATCATTGTGATTTTCAGATTCAGCGTGGTTGATTTAGTCTAGAAACATGTAAAAAATTCAACTTGGCTTTGGCTCCGAGGGGGTGACTTGGCTGACGCCAGGCTCACTCATTCCATGTATGTCAGAGGTACACGTGAATGGGAGTATAGGAGCATAATAAATGTTCAAAAAGAAGAAGAGTTTAGAATATTCAAGTTCAATCTGTTTTTTTCTTCCATATAAATTGAGGAAAACACCTGAGAATAATTAATTTGCATCTGATACGCTCACAGGGAGAAACGTATCGGATAGGCGGAAGAGGCGGTTTGGGCGGCTGGATTTTCTCTTCTCGAACTTTGGTGCGAACATTTTTAGATCCTCCTGAAAGACCTCCGCTCGGAGTGACTGCCGATACACCAAAAGACCAGGTTTGACTGCTGTTTTCCTTTTTTTGCTGATAAGATTTTTCTATCAGCTGACCTCACCGTCTATGAAAAAGGCGCATCGACTGGATTCTTTTGTTCGGCGGATATCGGCCAAATCTCAGTCTTTTCCTCAGCCTTTCTTGTCTTTGTGCTACTCTCCCTCTTGTCGTAAATCTTCACTTCAACCGTTTGTTTTTCCTTTTTTTTGCTTGAAATTCTTGGTCTTCAGACTTGTTTGCTGTGACGACGACAACTCTTTGAAGCAATCTTGCTATTCGACAGCTTGTCGATCAAAAAGTAAGAGCTTCCTTTTTTCATAAGAAACTATATTAAGAAGGCTCGATGATACTTTTGAATTTATGAAAAGGAGAGATATGAGTTTGAAAGTTTTTTATAATTTTTTTTTCTTTTGAAGCGCCTCGGAAACTTAGACAATTAAATATCCTTTTCAAGCTTTCTAGAACGTGAAATTTTTTTGTCGAAACTTGCCTGCTCATTTGATTCTTTCCTCAAAGGTGAGAATACTTCATGATGAACCAGAATTGTAAGTCCTGACTTGCACGATCTCCTAATTTTTAAGAAAAAAAAGGTCTCGACGTCAAATAAAACCTACAAAACGCAAAACATTTCCTGATGTTGAGCTTTCATTTCTCAAAAACTAAGAGGTTCCGCAGGGATCTTCATTTGATAGTTCAAGGAATTTCCTGCTAAATTTTGATTCTAAAGGCCAAAATAAAATAAACATCTTTTGTAAGCATAGTTTAATATTCAGATGTTGTTGAAAACGGCGTTCCCAATAAGAAAAAGGACGTGCTCGGCGAGGATTTGCCTTGGCCGCTCCAACGACCTCTCTCGTTCCTCAGTCGCGGCTCGAAGAGGAAAAGCATTCTGATTGTCTCGCAAAAGTAATTTGTCTTTTTCTGAAGTACTACTTCTTTTATCAAGAATTCTTCGAAAGCTCGCAAGAACCGCCGGACAGACCCTCGTCTACGTGCCTGGCTTTTCGATGACCGCCAAAAGTAATTTCCAAGTTTGGAATTATCCTTCGCCTCGACCTTGCTTCGATTTGTGCTGGAGGTGAAGCGCTAATGCCAGGAACTTCTCTCACTCGTCACTTCAGATGGCTGCTCACAAACGCTCGTTCTTTGCACGCCGTCGCCCTGCAGCTGAGGTTGATGTGGGCCAGCATCCGTTGGATCGACATGGAACCCGAAGACGATGTTCGTTTTTCGCGTTAATTCAATATCAAGTTCCCCTCCATTTCATCCGCTTCATCGAACATCATGCATTCATAGCTCTCTTTCTCTCTTCTGATCTCATTTCTTTGACTTTGGCTTCATTAAAAAAAATTTTTCTTTTCTTTTAGTTTCATCGTTCGTGATAAAAATGCAAAAAACATGTGACGCAGAATTGCTTAACTAATCATTAATCTTTGCAAAAAAGGAATTCTACTTTTCATTGAGTAGGAAAATTCTGTCGAACTGCCATCACGATGTTTTTTGTTCGTCTTCTTTTTAATCATTTTGAAATATCTGTTCTGTATGAACGGCATAATTCTCGTATTTCTTCTCAGTCGGTTCTTCGCCTGATTCATTTTTCAAGTAGTCAGAGTTTATCAGAAGTTTCTTTAGGATCCGGACCGCCGTGTGATTAATCACCTACCAGGACATGACGAAAGGCGGTGGATCATTGCCCATAAGGAATTTCCTCCATTTGGAACATATGAACGGTTTCTTTGGAAGTGTTTCTTTAAAGTCATTCCGATTATTTAGCTACCAACTTCGCATTGAAATAATACCGTTAGAGGACGTCGCCGAAGTGGATGACGAGGCTTGGAGCAGCAAAAAAGAGAGAAGTCAGCCGCGAAACAGTTTGTTTCTGGCGTTTTCCGGAAGAAAGAACTTTTTTCCAGCCGTTGTGCGGAAGAGAAAAATCGGCTCGCGCCTTCGGAAGCCGACGAGTCACAAAGAAGAATGGATCGACGGGGTGGAACTCAAGCTTTTCGAGATCAAGTCCGCTTTATCTTCTTTTTGCTGTCATGGAATTATCTCTGAAAAATTGAATGCATGATAATTGAACCAATTCATAAGTTTGAATAACCACTAAAATAAGGATAAAGAATAAATAAGAATTGAGAGGCTGATTTTTAAAAAACTTTGATAATACTTGCCCGAAATTTTTTATAAGAATCCCATGAAATTTCATGTTTTATTTTTCTCCTTGAACACTCTCATTAACTTAAACAGAAAAAAATAACAAGAATAAAAAGTTGGATTTTCATCTTTTTGTGTTCCAGGGATTATTGGGAGAGAGTTGATCAAACTCAACGAGCCAAAGCAATTGCTGCAAAGAGATCAGTCAACGGTTTGCGTTTATTTTTTCTTCAAAAATTGAGATGAGCATATTTTTTTTCAGTTCCGAAACTTGTCCCGCAGGCAAACGATTTAATGAGAACCTACGAAGAACGGAAACGAAGAGCTGCCCCAAGAATCATGCGCGACGACGTCTGTTCCATTTTTATTGTTGATTCGAAAAAAAAAGAGATAGCCAATACGTTTTAAGATGATTTTTAACTTTTCCTCGACAAAGATATTAGTAGTTTAGTTTCTTGAGGGTTCTGTTCGATCAAATCTTATAGAAGTTTTAAAGATATTGTTTTAATGACTTCCGGAAACTATGTGTGAGTTGGTCACAATATATATTCAAACAGTAGAAATATAATTTTTAAAATTATTTCCGTTTAAACGTGATGCCAAATCACCAATAACTGCTCATTTGTGATTTTTTCCAGTTTGTCTACGAAAACGATCCGAAGTACAACGAAGAAGAGTCCTTCTGCGAACCAACGCCGAAACGCACCGTGAGGGCGTTCCCCGCGGCGCCCGCAACGTTGCCGAAAGCGTCACAGTCTTTGAACCGACCTTTCCTCGACGGCTCCACTACGCGAGCTCCGTCGGTCGTTCTTCGCGAAAACAGCGGATCTTCCCAAGTTTGGAAACGTCTGCCACTGACGCAGCCTTTGGGCCTTGCGACGCCGACAAACTCGGCGACGTCGCTGAATCGCCACACCTCCAACGGCTACGAATACCAAGGCAGTCTCATTCGTGGAGGCGGAAGGGTTCAGAGTATCCAAACGGTACTTTCCTCTCATTTTAAAGCCAAATTCATCCACCAGCTTCCGTATTTCATTAGGACAAATTTTCAAAAATGAAACAAGCTCAAAAAGATACTAAAAAAATTAATTAAAAAAAGTTTATTTTAAAGTAAGAAATTTCACGGCTTCATCTAGTTCCTGAGCCGACAAAAATACTAACCTGCCCTAATTCTGATAGTATTTTGCGTAAGTCGTTCTTCCGAATAATTCGAACTGTCTTTCGAAAGTTTTGAATCGGCTTTCTCTCAAAACTTTGAAAAAATTTTGTTCTGCAGAAAAAACTTTTTAATAATAGTTGAACTAGTGAAAAGGTAAAAAAAGAACACAATGGAAAAAAACAGAAATCGGTAAAATATTGGACTACTGTAGCCATCCTCCCGCGCAATCTGCTTACACGCTCGCAGAATCTTGTCGCGTGCGCCGCGCGTCGCGGTTGTGAAAGTGATCAAAAATTTTTTTAAAGTTTTTTTAATAATATTTGTTTCATTTCATCACGTTTCTCAATAATTTTTTTCAGCCGGTTGGGGACGGCTCAGCTATGAGGCGAGTACTGGTGTCAGGTATTCCTGGTCAAGTTGCTGAAGAAGCGATCGCTGCAAATGCCATCGAACAAAGCGATAGCGACGAGCAACCGCCTGTTATTCCTAGGTTACTATTATATCGTTTCTAGGCTTTTCATTACATAGTTTAGGTACGGTATACCGAATGTAACATCTGTTCAACAACGTCAACCAACGCCTGCTCGACAAGTGGTTTACACATCCACCGGAGTGCCGCAGGTTTATTTTATTATAATTATCTTGAAATTCATGTTTAAGAAACAAAAAAATTAATAAATAAAAAGACAAAAAAATATTATAATTATTTCTTTTTGTAAAAATTCACCTCAACCTTTTTTTCAGAATGCGCGAGGAGGAAGTACAATATACGTTTTGAAAAGATCAGACGGGCAAACATCCACTTTACCTGTTGTACTAAGAGCATCCAATGCGGGTGATACAACTCAAAGGTTTGTTTTCTCCTCAGTGGAGAAAAGACCTTTAAGTTGAATTTAAGAATGGAAAATGGGGCTGGCGTTGTTTTCCAACAACCTGGACGAATGCTTACAGTTCGTGGACCGGCTCCTGGACGCCAAGCAGGCCAACTTGTGTTTCAACAGCAGCCGCGAATTGTCCGTGTTCCAGTACGTTTCATTCTCTTTTTCTCTTTCAAACATTTTTTGTAAGGGAAATCTACCGAATCGGCCAGTTCAAAGTGCAATGGGTCCCGTACGAGTTGCGCAAAACGCTAACGGCGATCAACTAGTACGACGTGTGACCATTCAAAACCGGCCTGTATCTTCGCAGGTTCTACCCTTTTTTCTATTGATTTTCATTGTTCATTTACAGGAGTATAACAACGGAAACGAAACTTATGGTCACATTATGCCGAAAAGCTCTTACGTCATCAATCCTGTAAGCATGCAAGCCAGGCAACGTCTGGTTCAGAGAGGAGGCGCCACGATGCAAATGGCGCAGCAGCAAACGGTTTTTTTTTTTGCAAGACAAGATAAACTTTCATCATCTTTTTCTTAAAATTTTTCTCTGTTCAGCCTCCGGTGAGCGAAGTTGCTTTCCCCAAAGACGATTTTCTTGCGGATTACAATGAGTCAGTGAACGGCGCGAATCAGTGAAAGATGCAGCTCAATTAAACTGTCCCCAACCGGCTAAAGCAGGGCTGAAAACCACCAAGCGATCTCACTATCTCACTCATCTTTACGGGTTTCTTTTCATTGTTAAACTTTTAAATTTGCTTTTCTCGTACATTACACTTTGGTCCCTATTTTTTTGTTCCTACCGCTTTTTGTTTTTTAACTATTTTGTTCATACGTTGAATGTCAGCCTTATTAATGCAATGTCATTTTTGGTGTGTTGAGCCGGAAAAAAATAATTCGGCACTGAGTTTGTCTTAAATTTAGATGTAAATTTTTTTATCGTCAAATAAATTTTTTTTATATATTGGGACAAGTAATATGTACGAGACATCGCGATAGAAAAGTTACACAATGTCAAGTAAAAATGTTTTTATTTTGAAAGTTCGTTTGCGGACAGGTTATTGGGATTGACTTTCTAAAACTGGTTTCGCTCCGTTATAATTCTGGAAAAATAATTTAGTATAGGAAGGAAAATTACTAGAAGAGCAATCTAAAAGAAAATAGATGAGAAGCTAAATTTAAAAAAGTATTTTTAAAACTAGACGATAATTATAATATACTTTTTTTTAAACGGTGCATCGAAGTTCTAACTCGGGCAAAACGAAAAATATCCTCAATACTTTTTCTCACCATTTTAGGAGCGTTCAGAAAAACCTTTTTCAGCTCCCCTTCAGATCCTCAAAGGATTATTTCCGTTTCACCCATGAAAAAGATCAGGATTCGTAGTTCTAGGCAATCACAGCATTGAAAAACTTTGGTTTAGGATGGCCGCCGTCTCGTTGGAACAAAAGGAACTCGCAAAGTCACTCACTATCACGAGCTCTTGGCCAACCGCGGAATTGGCGAGAATGCCAAGTTAATGTGCGTCAAAATAAGATCCAAGAAAGCTCTTGATCGACTTTTCAGGTTTCCGAGACCTTTGCTGCTGCCTTTCGAGTTCAATGAAGAAGAAGAACGGGAAATCAGCGAAGCAATCGCTCGCGAAGAAGAAAAAATGCGAATGGAGGTCGGAGAATATCAATTATCCTTGTACTTAAGTTTATTTTAGGAAGAGGAAAGCAACCGCGCTAACATTGGTGAGGCCGGGGGTAAGATTTAAATTTTTTTTAAATGAATGATCAAAAGAATAAAATCTATATAGGTTTCTCATCAGTTTTTTTTTGCTAGGTTGGGCGAAAAACCTGGGCTCTGTGAAGTATATAGAACATGTTTCATCCTTGACATTTGAATCGAAAATTAAAAAAAGAAAGAAATTTTGGTGATAGTTTCTTAAACAGGACGGCGTGAAGACGCTCACAAACATTTTTACTCGTCGAACTTGACGCCGACGGTCAGCGACACTCCGGACGAGAAGTCGATCAAGCAGGTTGCCAGATCTCTCCGCACTCGGATCAAAGACATGATTTGAAGTTGCTCGACTCGATGATTGGACAAGTTTGTCGTTGGGACAAGATGTACGGATGGTCGAAACAGCACGCGAAACGCGCTCGTCAAAGATTCTCCGACATGGAAAGATTCAAGTATGTTTTGGTAGAAAGCTTTCGTCATCAAAATGCATTGTAGCTATCGGAAAGTGCGGATGAACGAACGAGAAATGTTGCTAGCCGAGCATCTGGAGAGGCTCAAAAAAGAGGTGAACAAACGAAGGACGAGGCTGGAAAATGAAGCCGAACACATGTGTGGCCTTCTCACGCCGTGGCGAAAGTCGCGCTCGCGACCTGCTCGTAGTTCGTTTCGTTTTCATTTTCAATCAAAGAATGAAACTTGCGTTTAAAAAAGGATTGAGGGTAAAAAGGGTGAAAGGGCAGAAGCCTTGAGAACGAAGGAGTATTCAAGAGCTGGGCAGAGTTTGCTGACTAGCAAAGATATTTGAGTGAGCACGTATATTGGAGAAAAAGGCGTCGGATGAGAGTACCTTATTGAAGGATTTGAAGTTCCAAAAGGTCTTACATAAACTGAGTCGCATTCTAGAGAAGTACGTGGTTTCGAAGGATTTAGTAACGCTGAGATGATAATAATAAAAAGATTTTTAAAAATATGTAGACTTGACGAAATCAAAAAAAGGAAGGTTTAAACATTTTTTTATTGGGTTAACAAGAACAATCACGAAACGCCGAAGTCGAGAAAGTTTTCGGTCGAATTTAACAATAAATATTTGCGATTCGAACTATCTGAAAAGAGAAAAAAAGTAATTGTAAGTCAATAGAATGTTTAGAATTCTTTCATTGATTAAAAATAATTGTTTTTCTTGAATATTTTTTTCAATGCAACCTCTAATCAGTGCCTCACAGTTCTACGAAACAGCTACGTCTTCCCTTTACTTTTTTTTTTCGAAAATAGAGAAAATGCGATTTTAGGTTTTAGGTACTCACCGGTTTTGTAATGATTTTTGAACTATTTTTTTTAACTTCGAAATGAAAAATATTTCTGAAGAAAATTCAGTTTTTATGCTCTCTTTCGCTTTTTTTGTGGCGCCTAAGGCATTAAACGAAGCTGCAAACTGGTTTGAACGGATGTTTACAAGCTTCTGCCCTTCTGGTCTCAGATGAATCACGTGTGTTTTTGACGAACTCGTGCTCACGTGACCATTCGCCTGTCTGACGTCACTCTGGTCGTTCTCCGGGCCGGTCACTCGCCATCAACAAGACTGACCACTCGCTACGCGCGACGAGAGAGTGTGCAATCAGAAGAGAGACGAGCGTCGAACGCTCCCGAAACGTCGCGAACTTGTGTGTTCTCTGAAAAAGCTGGGCGTGACCAAAACAAATCTGTTGACGGCGTATAAAAGTGCTCCGAATCTTCGGTTTTCCTTCATGAACTATTCATATTCAAATCAAATCATTTGTCATTACTGTATATTCCTTGGACATGCTTGCCGAGTCTAGATGGCTGAGAAGTCAGCCCCGAAGGCCTGTCCGACCTTATATTGCGGAGTGCGAAGACCTCTTTGGTGTTTTGCCCAAGTTCGCGTCGGAAGAAGAGGACTGGCGCTCTTTCGGCTACTTACTTGGCTGTCCTAGTCAGTCTGACAATCTGTCCAGCGAGCTTGAGTGCGAAGACGAAGCTACCAAGTATCTGAGAAAGACGCCGGAACGGAGCTGTAGGCTCGGTAAATTTCTGTCAACTTAGAGGCTTTTGAAAGAGTTTTGTTTTCAACGTGATAATGAAGCCGGTTTCTAGAAGCTGAAGGCATAACTACCTTTTCTTTGAACCACTGAATACTGTTTCATTTGAATGTATCCATTCTTCACAGATAACAAAGAACTTTTCAGCCAAAAACCGTCCAGCAACCCAACTAGCCAATCTTGGAATGGTTAGAGAAGCCAAACGTGCCGTTCTCGATCCGGCAGACATCAGTCTGGGCGGCGACGCCGTCGATTGGACTAAAGAAAGCTCCCCAGACCCTAAATCCGTGAGTCTAGAGGTGTTCGGGCGAGAACTAGCAGACTAATCCAGAAGGCCGACGAGTCTGAGCAGAAGGAAGAGCAGTCGATCGCGACGAATGTGGCCAGACGTCGACGCAACTCGACGCTTTCAGAAGACGACAGCCAGAAAAAGCCCAAAGAACGAAAGGTCTATCTATTTTTGATCTTCAAAACCTAAATTACTTTTTTCCAGTTGTCTGAAAATAAGGAAATTGAGAGGAAAACTTCGCGCCGCCGCACGCCGTCTCACTCAAGCGACAACGGTGATGCTCAGCAGAAGGATGAAAAAGTTTTTCGTCTAAAAATTATATTTCAAAACCTCCTGGTGCTGCAGGAATCATCACGGCCCGATTCTGTGCGCGAAGGAACTCCTGACATCGACACCAGCGTTCCGCATTGCGTCTGTCAGACGCTCTACGACGAAACCAAGTAAATTCATATGAAAGAAGACGATCTATGAATCACAGCCTTGGTAGTCAAAAAGGGAAAACTATTTCTAATTTGTGAATACTTAAAAAAGAGAAGGAATGAAATATTTTAGAAAAAATTAACCCCGATGAACTTAAGCTCACAGAAAAAAAGCTAACCAACTTGGAAATTTCAGCTCGAAAATATTTTCGCAAAAATTTAGATAAAAATTAAGATAATTTGCAAAAATGATCATTGAGAAATGAAAGATCATGGTGACTCAACGAAACATTGAGATAAATGGAAAAAAAACTCAAAAAAACCTTAAATATTATTTACGCTGTTGTTGTAGTTGTTGTTGGTGTTCATAGAGCGCATTGCATTTTTTTTTCAAGACTTTAGCTCGCTGAGCCGTTAATTCAGGGATTGAAACTTCTGAAGAAGTTTTCTCGGCTGTTTTGTTAGATGATTTCAGATTGTTAAGACTTGAAATTCATTAAGATTCTACTTGATGTGCGACACGTGCTCGGGCTGGTTCCACGGCGACTGCGTCGACGTCACCGAGCGGATGGCGGCGCGGATGAGTTCTTGGAACTGCAACGCGTGTCTCGAAGAGTCGCGTCGCATCAAAGACGCGCCGCAGCTCTACTGCATCTGCCAAACGCCCTACGACGACACCAAGTACCTATCAGGGTTTCTTCTGCGCGTTGAGCCAACTTGTTTCAGATTTTACGTCGGTTGCGATTCGTGCGAGGGCTGGTTCCATCCGAAGTGCGTCGACATTACCCAAGAGTTCGTTCCCATATATTTTTTTTGTAGGCAATTTTCCGCTACAGGTTTTCCATCACTGATTTCATGTTCAACTTTACTTTCTCAATTTTATTCGGTCACTTCCTCAGTTTTGGCTTTTATAGGTGACTACATTATACAACCGCTGCCTAAGAGCATAGCTAACACTCAAGATTTCTGATTAAATAGGATCATAGAAGTTAAATTTATTTGTAATTTTTTTTTCAAATCTGTATATTTTTCAGGTTAGATGATAATATCATTATGAGTCCAAAAAGAACAAGAAAGTCAGAAAATACTGAATTTAGGGTTGTTTTATTTTTTCAAACTTGCCGTGTTAGGAAGCAACTTTTTTTTCTTCATGTTGCGCAGCTTCAAATCCAAGAGCTTTCAGAGCTGCTGAAGAAATGGCCGAGTACATTTGTCCGTCGTGTGCTGAGCAAGACGAGGAAGGAAAGGAGCAGGGCTACGAATCCTCCAACAGCGAATACAGTGTCGAGAGTTTCGAGAGCTCCAATCAGCTCACGTTAGTTTTCCTCCGAGTTTTCTGAAAAGATCCGGAGGAATTTCAGACGACTGGACTATCATTTTCTGTGGCAACTGCTGGAAACGCTATCGGAGCACAGAAACTCGCATCATTTCCGTCAACCTGTCGACCTTGAGCAGCACCCCGATTACCTGGACGTTGTTTCGAGCCCCATGGGTCAGAGAAAACCTCGTCCAATTTGAACTTCTTCTTGTGTTCAGACTTGTCGACGATCTCTCACAAGCTCGAAGCCTTGGAATACCACACGTTGAAGCAATTTATCGGCGATGTGACTCAAATGTTCGAAAACGCCAAAGCTTACAACCCAAAGGTATGTCTCTCCGATGTAAAAAAAACAGTTTTCTCCTCAAAATGCTGGAAAAAAGCTGAGAAGAATCAAATTTCAAATGAAACGCGATGATTTTTGAATCACGCTCATCAGTGTTTCCAAGGCTGAATCGGAAAATTTCACAACAACTGGCTTTCAGAACAGCGCCCCATATCACTGTGCGGAGACGCTTCAGGAGGTCTTCGAGAGCCATTTGGCGGAGGCGCGCGCCTCGATGCGCGCTCGGGCCAACGTCGACCGACGTCACATCTCCGAGAGCCGCACTCTTGACGGCTCCCTCGACATCGACACCGACCAGCTCATCACCAACCAGATAGATCCTACCATTCTCGACCGCTTCCTTCAGAATTCCGATGGCCATCTCTGATTCTTCTCAATAATAATTTTTTCCTCCAGCTTCCCCATTATCAAACCTTTTTTAGTATTTCTGTTGTTTAAGAAAAAAAGGCCCAATCGATTTTCAGGAAAGATCGAAAGAACATTTAATTTTGTATCATATTGATTGTACATTTTGTCATTTTGATTTTCGCTCTATATTTTTCATTATACTTTTTTTGCTCCCTCTTTTATTTCGTCCTCAAAGCTTCTTCTCAGTTTTTAGCAATTGATTCTTCAAAGTTGAAACCTCAAAAAAATTTCGTTTTATTACTAGTTTCGTTTAGCAAATATTTTTTTCATCGGGTTCAATCTTTTCTAATTTTTATAAGATTCGTGAGGAGTTCAGTTCATTTTTAAGCTTTGTTTTTCCGATTTATTTCTGTATATTGTACAATTTCGTTGAGTTTTTTTTTCATCTCGGTTTTGAAAAAATATTTGAAACTCGTGAGACTAGTTTTGGTTTTGATGATTTTTTTTTTCTTGCTGATTAAAAAAAAAGTAAGTGCCTTCGTTGCAAGACGCAACCCGTGAATCGACAAGAGAACTTTTTCGCGTGCAAGGAATTTTGAAAAGACTAGTCTGTTTTATTTTGAACATACTGGTCTGTAACATATTTGTGTAATTTTCTGTTAATGATGCTCCGACGTCTTGAACAATTTCGCTGTTTTTTCTGTGGTATTTTTTTTTTCATAATCTTGAATTGTTTCGCTTTACCCTGTTTTCTAATTTTTTCAATAAATTTAAATTTTAGTTTGAATATTCTCCTCTTTTTGATTAGATGTGTTTGTTCTTTCAATATAGGTCATTCCGCGCCAGCTTGTCACGATTTCAGTTTATTTGAGCTCAATAGCTTTTCGGCGCTTCGCTTCGATGCTCTCGGTGTGCCCCTTGCGTGCGCCTTTAATAAAACTCATTATTTCCGAATTTTTAGAATTTTTCTTATTTTTACAAAAACAGTTGTAACATTAAATTTTTATATTAAACTAACCCAAAAAAATAATATGCAAAAAAAGCTCGAACAGTCGGTTTCATTAATAACAATCAAAATTAATGAATTAATCTTTTTGATTTTTCTACAAATCCAGCACAGAATCTGAGTGTGTATAGTTGAAGCGAAAAAAATGAAATCAATCAAATGAAAAAAACCTCGTAAATTAATAAAAAGAGATAGCGGAAATTGAAGCAATATCTTGATCAGAAATAATGTTTTATTAAAGGCGCACGCAGGGGGAACACCGAGAGCATCGAAGCGAAGCCCAGAAAGGGGTTCTGTAGCTCCGAGGAAAATTAAAATCGTGACAAGCTGGCGCGGAATGACCTATATTAATATCCATTTTAAATGCCAGAATTTAACGATAATTATTCATATTTATTTGACACATTGAAGGCAAGTACACATATTAAAGCAAGGGTAAAGCTTTCTGGCCAATTTTTTGTTTTTTTTTTCGGAATCTTGTGAGTAGTTTCCCACGAACCTTGTTTTTCTGCTTAACTTCCAAAAAAGTATGGGAAAACATTTCAAAAGAACAGCGGTTGTCGGCCGGAAGTTCAGTGGGGGATGGAAAAGGTGAAGGCGACCTGTTCGCGAGCGAGTTGTGCCCTGCGCTGCGGCGACACGGAGGGCGTGTCCGGTCGATCTGACCAGTGCAGGACGATCTCCTGAAGCTTCTTCATGAAGACGTGAAAAATAAGGTTTCTCAAGTTTTTCAATGTAAAAGTGGAAAAGCAGGAGGTTGGCCGCGTCTGAGCGTTTCTTGTTGCTCCCTATTCTAAGAAATCGTGGTTTTATCAAGCCTCGAAGACGTTAGTCAAAGTTTCTCTATTTTTTCTGATAATTACAATTGATATCATTAATATATTATGACGTGTTCATCCGAAAAAACGAAAATTGCTTCGAAGCGCAAAAAAATGCTTCAAAACAAAAAATAGTACTGTTTTGGAGCAACTTTGGCGCGCCGATGAACACGGTTTTTCGTTTTTCGTTCATGTTCCGTTTCTCCGATGAACGCGCCATTAGTTCTTTCTTCAAAGTTCTCTCAATTTTTTATCGTGTCAAGGTCCTTTTTCAAAGGCTGAAGCCGAAGAGGCTCGATCTTTCGTTCAACCCCCGATGGAATGTCAGTAGCGAATAATTCACTAGAAATAAAGGAATGTGGCTAAAAATAAAATAACAGGAAACGGGATTTTGTCATAATCTTTCGGTGCAATTTCCTTTCTCTGTTTTTCGGCTGTATTTTTTGCTTAAAAATGTTTTTAAAAAAACGAAAAAAACAAATGGTTGTTCGAAATGAAAGATTTTCGAGAAAGATGACGTGAGAAAAATAAATATGACCAACGATTGCAAAGCTATAATCAAAATTTTAGTGGAATAAATTTTTTAATATCAAACGATTAAAATAGGAAAACGGTCGATGTTTTTTTTTTCTAGTCCCATTTTTCACCTGATCAGAAGGACAACTGATCCGGAAGATCTCCTCAGCGTAACCGTCTCTCAGGTATCGCCATATGAGCTTTAGCTCAGCTGGGATTTCGTAGTTCTTGAGCTCCTTCAACCAACTAAACAGCTGTTCATTTCCTCCCACTCACTGACCTTGGCAGCGATACGAATTGAATGAAGCCTTGTGAGAACGAGGCAGTCGATGTGGCTGAGCTCGTCTCCGGAGAGGAAGCGCGACTCGTGAGCCTCGAGATGTTTCTCGATCCTCAGAAGTTCCGTGTTCAAAGACTGCAAGCTAACGAATTCTTGTTCTCTGCCATTAAGGAAAGTACCTTTGGATCGTGGTTGACCTCCTTGATGTACCAAGCGAACTTGGAGAAGAGGTCGGCGGTCGCGTCTTCGGCGTCCATGTCAGCCTTGTACACGGGTTGAAGGCGGTCGATGAAGTTGAGGATGTCGTCGACCTGTTGCAGAGGCTCTTCGTCAGCTACCTCGAGACCTGGCGGCTTCCGAAGACCTGTCTGCAAGCCGTCGCTCTCAATTCGTTGAAAGGACTTGCAGAACTAACATTCTTGAAGTCCTGTGGAGGTCTGTTGTCGTTGACGGTCTTGACGTCGAACTTGAGAGAGGCGTCGTGTCGTGCGTGGAACAGAAGCCGCATGAAGAGGTGGTGGCCGGCAGGATCGCCGCTCACCTGAACGCCGTCGCTACCTGCTCGCAGCCACAGCGTCACTCGGGACATTGTCTGTAAACGTCTTCTGAAGCTCTTTTCGGATCTTCAGTGTTTTGGAGACACGAAAAAGAAGCCAGAAGAACTCGAAGAAAAAGACTCGGAAAGTTGAGTTCACGATAGTCAGCCTTAGCAGCCGGGTTGTCTAGTGGAATCGTGCTTCTCGGGAGAAAAAGAATACTGTGATTTATTACATTCGGAAATTGAAAGATAAAAGTTTCAGGAGAAAAAAATTTTACAGTTTCGAAAATAGGTCTATGAGCTTCTCGTATGTTCGTTCAAAAAACTTTTTTGTGGTGCTTTAAAAGTGTAGAAAAATGTAATTTTTCAAGGTTCTAAGACGAAGAGACATTTTCAGTGTAATTGAAGGTCAAAATTTTACCTTTTTCGAAAATAAAGGTTTGTTGAACAGACTGAAGTTGAATAAAAATCATTCAGGAAAAGGGTATTTGATAATACCATATAAAAAAATAGATTACTTTGAAGAGATTTGGCAAAAAAATGCTGAATGAGAAAGTGAAAAGTGAAAAGATAAAGCCGGAATGCGATAAACAAAACGAGAAATGACCTTTGATGTAAACACGTCGATTCCTCAGAAATTTGCCACGTAGGTCTTCATTTGTTTTCAAATCGGAAAAGATGAAGAACTTCGACGCATCGGGCAAGGAGAATCGTGCAGATGGAGTGGTGTGGCGATGAAACCAATTAGACGCTCATGCAGAGGCTCAAGGAGTGTAAGACACATTCCAAGCATAATAAAATGAAGGAAATTCCACAAAACAGCTTGTGGAAGACTGTGAATCACAGGGAAAGTCAGCAAAAACCAGCGAAAAAGAGGCCGCTGTGATAAGCACCTCCGATAAGGCTTGGTTCGAAAAGGCGGAATGCGTGTTTTGTTAAGAACGCCTGCGTGGAACTCCCCCATTGAACCAGACCAAAAGCGGTGATCCATCTCTAAAGTTTTTGATTTCTGAACTTTTTAAGTCTAAAACAATTAGAATCTATCTTGCTTTTAAAGATTCTCAGAGAATATAATTTTCAAAATGGGGTTATCAGAAAATTCATGCTTCAACTTTTTTTTCTAGTTTTTTTTTGCCAAAAATGAAATAAAAGTTGCGAAACAATCAAAAACAAGGCAAATCGCCCGAGGCTCCCAAGAGTCCACGGCTCCCAGTAATCGATAGCCAGCTGCTCCCACAAGTGTAGTCCTCAGCGCTAACTATTTCGAAAACTCTTAAACTTTCATGCAAGTAATTCAAAGTATATAAGTGAATTAGTATAAAACATCACTAGGCGTATACTCGCTGAGCAATTGAAAGAGGGAAAGGAAAAGGACAACGCGAATAAAAAAAAGAAAAATTGAGAGGAAAGCCCTTGTCGTGCTCAAAAATGCAGAATGTTGCGGTAGAAAATTAATAACTAATAAGCTGTTGCAGCCGACGTTAGCTCTGTTATTGGCACCTTTGTGTGCTCTTTTGTTTCCGGCAAAATGTGAGCATAATGGATTAAAAGCTGTACGCGGACCGGCAGACACGCACTTTCCGTGCTCGACCAACTCCAGCTGCACGTCCAAGAAAAACCCAAGGAAATGAGGTTTTCCAAATGGAGGACATCTGGGATACCCACACTTCCAGGTCCGATGAGAGGATGATCATCGTTCCCCATAGGAGGCGTTATCACGCTTTCTTTTTAAATAAAATGTCAGGTAACCGTTTTTGTTTTTCTCTGGTGAAAAAAAGCAAAAAAAGCTTAAACTAAAAAAATAAATCAAACGTTTAATGAAGAAAAAAAAAATTATCTTGCCAAAGTGGAAAGGTCCCAGTAAAAAAGTCTTTGGATTTTTTTTTATAAACTACAAGTTTTAAAAGTTTTAGGTTTCTCGGCTCATATACCGTATTCCCCTTGACTTGAAACAGTCTGAAATGTCTTCTTCTCTTCTGTCTCAGCCTTCTTCCTAATCTTATACTTCCGAAGCTCCTCGTTTGTTCCCACACTTTTGCAGTATGAAATGTAAATCTTTGATTAGTTGATTTTTGAAAAAAATGAAAGTTAATTTTTTTAATTAATTGGGAGAAAAAACAGGATCTGTGGATTTTTATTTCGAAGAGATGATGTTTAGCCAGCGAGGAGAAATCGGGAATTAAAAAGAAGAAATTAAAAAAATTGTATCAAAAATATTATGTTAAAGTTTCAATTAACAGGATTTGTAATAATATAATTGACAATAATTTCATATATTGTCAACAAACAATCTCCAAAGTTACTGTAACTTTTAAACGTTCAAAAATTCAAAGTGAGTAAACCTTTCTCTTTTTTTTCTGCTGAAGCTTTTCTGCAGAGCCTGTTTTTAGTTTGCTCTTTTTTTCGTCCATTAGTTTTTACTACATTTTCAAGTGTGAATGTCGGAAGTTTCCAATTATCCTTCAGCTAAACTTTGGCCTCGAATTCTCAAACAATCTCCAGACTTCAAAAAAATGTCTATTTTTTTCTCACTATTTTTGTTACGATACCATATTCACTGGGGAGATTTATCTGCCTCATGAGCAATATTTTTATGAATTTTCAATTGATTTTTGACCATTAATCTGAACTTTCTGTGAATCAACTATATTTCATTCTTCGCAAGCTTTTGATCGCAAAACCTTTTGGCCTCAATAAATGTAGAAAAGTTTCGGCCGAAAGCCTTTCAAACTATTTTTTAGAAATCTAGTTTCCTTAATTAAACTATATTTTATTTTATTTTTAACTTTTTCATGTTCTCAAAATTTTTTTATACCTAATTCGTCACAGTTTGTAGCGTTTCTGCGCTCTTATGTATATTAATCAACTTTTATTCTGTCAATATTAAAAAGAAAAAATATATTCACGGCAGCCCGTTTTAAGCTATAAAGCGCAATTGGTGAAGGAACTAGGCTCAGAAGAGAGTTCTCAATAATTTTTAATTTCCCTTTTAATTTTTTTTTTTTACCAAAACCTCACTCAAATTTCGATTAACTCAAAATTAACGTTCAATTTTTCGCAATGGCGACAGTAGCCGTATTTGAACGTTGTTTTGGTTGGTTTGAAGAGTGTTTTGGGCAGAGGAGGAAGTGCCGTCGGCAAACGCGGAAGTGTCGAGAGAGCCCGTCAGGGGCGGAGAGCACCGACGGCCGGAGACGCTTTTTTCGCCGAGTCCATCTGGGTGCCCTTCCCTCCTTGTACTCCGGCCAACCAGATTATCCGTCTTCTGTTTCGAGTTCTTCTAATTTCATTTTCTCAATTGTAAACTTTGCAAGAATCCTTCTTTTTAAGGTCTTCCGGTAGAACCTAGGAAAAAAAGTACCTCCCTTCCCATTTATAGCGAAGTCTTGTCTTTCATCCCTTTGCGAACTAACAGAGCCGTTTAAATCATTTTTATCTATTTCAAAATTGTTCCCAACGTTCAGAAAAGGTGCAACTACCGTTGAAGAATGATTTGGAATTTGGTATAGGAAAAAGTTCTTGCACCCCTCAAAAAAAGCTGTAACAGGTTTTCTTCCTCGAGAATAGGTTTTTTTTCATGAAGTTCCGCTTTTCCTTCAATTTGTTGAAATTTCGTTCTCCATCCAGCTTTTCTGCTGCAGAAAAGGTTTTTGATCCTGAAAATGCGGAAGTGTCGCGAGGTCGTTAACTTCAGTCGCTCTACCGCAGGGTGTAATGTTTCGAAAGACGCAAACTTCCAATTATCTCGATTCCTTATGTGCTAGTAGGAGTCTTCTTTTAGTCGTATGCCGAGAAAATAGTTCTGTCTATTTGCAATCAGTAAAACTTGCAAAAAGGTGGCTGGAGGCTCCGCCCATTCAGGGTCAGCTCGCAGGCAATTTCCGGACAACGGAGTAGCTTCCGCGTTGTGTTTATTGTGCTCTCTCCTGCACATTTATCCCTTTTTCTGTTCTCTCATACTACCATATGAAAATAAAACGGCCGCTTTGATCTCCTTTTTTTTGCAGAATTTAACAACAAGGTTAATAAAAAAAGCTCTACTAAAGTCTCACCGCAATCGAAAGTTTCCTTTGCTCACTAGGCGTTCCGATAAGTGTGTTTTGTATATTAAAAGTGGAAAGTCAATATATTCCTTGTTTTAGTTTCAAAATGGTCATTTCTTTGAAAAAAACATTATGAGCAAAAGCTGAAGACACGTTTGGCTCATTGTAATTTTGATTTAAACAAAAGAAATTAGTTCAGTGCAAGGAAACTGCTGACGTAACTATGAAAAACGTTTTCTAAAGGAATAAATCATCGTACAATGAAGTTTTGAATCTAATCTGCAGCGAGCGGATTAGAACTTGCGTCACACTGACAACACTACACAAACCAGTCAGCTCGAGAATTCCATCGAAAATGGTCCAGATTGGAACTTTCCATGCTATTTTCTAGTTCTACCATCAAAAAATACTTTCCTAAACATTTTTTCAAATTTTTCTTGCAGTAATTTAGGAGTATTTCAAAATTTTTGATGGCTACTTTTGAATCGTAATCTATGAAAAGTAACCTAACGAGCCATTCTTGTGTCAGATGGAATCGAAAAAAGGCCGCAGTCCGTGTACGTACTTTGACAGATGCCGCAGGCACTTCCTCTTCCGCATCTATTTATGTGCCCGAGGGGATTTCGGGATTTAATTATTCTACTATAGTTTGCGCGGAAAAGTGGCCTTTATTGTAGCACGGAAACAAACAAAAACTCGATTTGAATGGAAAATGTAGGGACCGCCAGATTACATTCTCTCGTCAACTAAAAAATATAGCTACACCTTCCAACTTTTCTGTTGCTTTACGATAACGAATGAAACAAGTAGCTGTAAACGAAACATAAAAATGAAATATGACGTTTTTTTGGTAACGATTTTGGATTGAATGCTGCTACAGATATCGAAAAAAAGTGTGTGAAAAAATTTTCAAGAATTTTTTTTTAGTGGTTCGCTTCGAGCCAGCGATAAAAAAGAAAAAGTGGAAAATATTTCAAAACTCTCAAACTATGTCTCAGTTTTCGAGCTTTTTTAAATAGGTCAGATGCCCTTCAATAGATCGAAAAATGGAAAGACAGCGTTAGTAATTGTAGCTTAAAACTTTTGGAAACTCGCCACAACTAACGGAGACTTTCTATTGATCAATTCGAAGTTTCGAAACGAATTAACGAGCTTTCGGCTCCTGGAGCTTCGAAAAGAAAGCGATTTGGGCCATTTGGCGTTTACTTCCGGCTCGTCGCCTCAGGGCACCAGAGATCGCAGCTCTTTTTGGCTGTCCAATTGCCTCGTCGGCAGCACTTCCTCATATTGTTTTCGCTCCTGCGTCTCTGCCGGAGAATGCAGGATCGCGTGCATTCCTGATTGATCACTTCCTTCTGCTCTTTCCATTCTTCCCTTCACTGGGAAAACTTCTTTCTAATCACTGCACTTAATATATTCTCTCAACAACTTTTTCTGTTCAAAATTCTCTAAGAAGAAATTTTGAGTCACTCTTCAATACAACATCCCTGTGGAATGTTTCTCACAACTGATCTAGGGCTGTTTTCAAAAAGGGTTCGAATTCCGGCAATTCACGACTACAAATAGAGAGTCCTGTGTTCAAGAAAATTGAGAAGACATTGAAGAAACTCTGTCTTTGACAAGCCGAGTCATCGTTTTCATCTCTTTTTTCTTGAAGCTCTACATTCTGCATTTTTCTTTTTTACTTTTCTTTGAAACCTATCCAAATTCTTTTTTTAGAGCCATTATGGGAAGAAAGAATCAAAATATACACGTTTTTGGTCAAAAGCTGGTTAAACACCTGCCTTTGTGAAGTCTGTACGATTTAAATGAAGCGTTACAGCCGCGACGCAGTTGATCCTTTCAGCTATATGTATCTTTCTATTAAGCTGTAACTTTTCTCGATTCCCAAAATCTTATTGTTTTTATCGTCCACCTGGCTATAGACAGGAGTTCTAAGAAAACCTTTTCAGGTGTTATGCTGCGGTTAGCCTTGTTTCTCTGTTTGGCAGCCATCGTGAAGACGGATCTAGTCAAGACCGTGTACTGCAAAAGTCACTGCAACGACTATTTGAGGATACAAGAGCCAGATATTCCGCAGTGTCTCGAGGAACATCTCCAGATGAACCACTGCGGAGCGAGTAGGCCTCTTTTCTTTTGACGTCTGTGAAAAGTCGACTTCAGTAATCTCTTGCTCCTGGGCCGATGTCGAAGCCGAAAAGCAGAGGAAACCGGCCAATTCTTCGGAGGTTACCTGCTGCTACAAGGTCGTTTTTGTGAGTTCTGTATCTTTTTCCTGGATAAAAAGTTTATTCTTAAGAAAGAAAAAGGAGATTGCGACGTTCAGTCAGCACATTTTCAACAACAGCAACAGCAGAGATCTCAGGTAACAGATTAGAAAATGTCGAGTAGTGACGCAAAATTTTTTTTCTTGAAAAGATCGGCAAGTGGTCACTTGAAAGTCCAAGCTCACCTGACCTCATTCCTCGAAAAGGAAAATGTTCGAAAAATAGGTTTTATAGATATTATAAGTTATCCAATTATAAAAATTTCCCTTTTTATCCTTTTATCATCTTTTTCCATTTGATCAAAGTTAAAGTTCGCGAGAAAAAAAGTGTTTTTTAAAATTTTTGTTCATTGCATCTATTTTGATTCGATTTTGCTTATAAATATGGAATTTCGCTTAGGCCTTTTTCATTTTGTAGTATAAGGCTCCTCAAGATGTGTTCCCTTCGGAAACCTCATTTGCACATACCAATCTCTTTCCGAATCAATCTCGTTTCAATTCGAAGTTTCAGTCGGACGAGGTGACGTCACGAGCGGACTGCAGCAATCCGCAGCCGCTGTTCCTGCTCATCGGCGTGCTGACGCTGCTCGTCGTCCTCATGGTTCGTGTTTGAAGCCTCGGATCCGCTGACCGATCTAATTCCAGTCTTGTTACATTGCTTGGATGTCGATGAGGAACAATGTCAAGACGCTCGATCCGCACCCCTACAGCCCAGTTTTCGCGGCAAGACCAATCCGCGAGCAACGTCTTCTTGAATCGGTGGCTCTCGCGTAACTGTCTTCTTTACTTTTTCGACTGAATATTTGGCTTTTATAACTATTTACCGTGACTTGAAGCAGTCTGACTCGTCTGCGCCCTCTCTTTTCTCGGTGGCGCGGTTTTCTCATAACAGCTTGAAAATATTACGTGAAACAAAAGAGATTGGACCGAAATTTGATTTAAATTCCGAATGTCAACGTTTTTAACATTTTTTAAAAATTTCTATTCGATTGAGTCATCAACAGTTAATACTGTGGTACTCGATTCTCCCTAGTTCAGAAATCAACTGAGTTTTCCCACCATTTCACTCCTTTTCGCGGCTTTTTCTCTTCGCTTTGACCTTATCATCTTGCTCATCTTGCTTTCTTCTTTTGCGGGTTTTTTGTGTATTATTTTTTTTTCCGTAAAAATTGATTTTTTTTTTCTCTTTCTCTCTAGAGAATAATCTGTTCTTGTTTTTCAAACACAGGGGCAAACTTGGACGTTCGCAAGATCTCAATTCTTTGCTAATCTTCGTTTTGAGCTTTTCTTTCATTTTCGACTTCAGGAATAAAATTTTTGATGTGCTAACACTTTTTTTTTCTTCCCATACAAAACGGTAAAAAGTATTAGATATAAATGTTTCAAAAGAAAAATATTCTAGCAAGACATTTTGCTTCGTTTTTGTTTATTGTTCGGACAAAAAAGGATTTAAAAAAAGTTTTTTCTCCAATTTTTTGAGGAGGGCTCGGGAAAATGTCTTCTTTTTATTAATTTCGAGAATCGTGGAGAGCTGTCGACAGGAAGAGTGTCAAACTCAGGTTCTGTTGAACCGGACTTGAACCTGATGAAAGCGGCTTGGTTTCTGCCGAAAATAGACAGAAGTGGAAGACAAGTATTTGAAATAGCGTTTGTTGCTGAACCAAATGTCGTGTTTGAGTAGGGTCCACTCGAGAATCATTCTTCGGAGCCCCATAAAAGTCGGACGGCGCCGTGGTTGGAGTCATCTGAAGCCACAAACGACATGAAGTCCCGAATTCTGGCAGTACTTTGTATTTTATCTGTGATTTGCAATGATGCCCTCGGCTGTGGCTTCGGCTGGGGCGGATATGGACTCGGCATGGGTCTCGGTGGCTTCGGAGGTTTTTTCTCGTTTTGCAAGTACTTAGCTTTTTTTGTATCTTTTCAATCGCCTAATTGAGTATTTTCTCCCATTTTTGTGAATATTATGAAACTAATGTAGCTTGCTCGTTTGTGAATAACTCTTTGGAACAAGAAATATGGTTAACGGACGAGTGAGCGGGTTAATTATCGTTTGATTATTATAATTGATAGTCAATTGGACTTGCCATTTTATGCCAATTCAAAAAAGATAACTCAATTAAATTTATTTTCTTAATTTTATTTACTTTTTTAAGTCCAGTACGAAAATTCTTACTTTTTATCTAATGTAATTTACTTTATTTTATTCAGTTTTTACCATTTTACGATGGGAATTTTTTTTTGCTGAAACTCAATTTCAAGTATGGCTCCGTAGACTGCCAAACATGGATAATTAAGATTTGTTATTATGCATTTTTTTTGAAGCTTTTTATGCCCTTTCTGAGTTTTTGTTCATATTTCTTCCAGGTTGTGGTGGAGGATACGGCGGCGGACTGTTCAGCGGTTACGGCAGCTATGGAATGGGCTACGGTGGAATGGGATACGGTGGCTATGGACTCTTCGGAGGATACGGTAGGTTCTTTGGTTCAGTAGTTGACCCTTAAAGATCTTCCCGGAACTTAAGAACTCGTTTTGAATGTAGAGTTTGAAGGACCTCCCTTGTGTAATAGCCATCAAAATGTTGAAAATCTGCTAGGCCTAGGTCTTAGACCACCGGTTATGGTCCCTAGTTATGGGACTAGTTCTGTGAGAAACCAGCAAACAAATAAATCTTTGCACTGACAAAGACTGAGATTCAGGCGATTCAGGTGGATACGGGTGCATGGGAATGGGCGGCTGCTACGGCCGCAAAAAGTGATCCTCTTCTGACAACAATGCAAATGTTGAAAAGAGCTCTCGATATATGTATATAATGAAATTTCTACGTGTACCCACCTGTTTGTTTTCGCGCAAAACTCGTTTCGGAGATGCCGTTCGGCGTCAACTGTGAATAGCGGTCGAGTAGCCGTTTTGGCTCAGAGAAATCTGACCTGGAAGATCTCAGATGCTCAATTTCCGACAAGTTCTTCTTGGCTAAAAAAAAACGGACAGAAGATGGAAAGATCGACGATTCACCTTTACGTGTCAAGCCAATTTTAAAGAACAAAAGAAGCTTCAAAAAAAAAGGTGGTAACAACAATATTGACCTCCTGAAATCCAATAAAAGTTTTCGGACCTCATTAACGTGCTCCGGACGTTTTTGAGCTGTTCTAGGAATTACTTTAGAGTGCTGACACTACTAAAGTGGTCACTAGAACTACCCCGATCCGTCCGTTTTGCGTTACTAATGTCCGAGTTAAACTCACAGTCTTAACAATTCAATTCAATTCAATTTATTCAGACATCAGAGAAATCAAAAAGGCTCTGCTGAATCATGGTAGATTTGAAGAGCTCCTTGTTGTTGCGCGCAACGGTCGACCAATTCTCCCCAAGAACGCTTCGGAAGTCATCTCGCCAACGTGCTTGTGGTCGTCCAACATTTTTTCCTAACATCAGAAGAGAAAAGGATTTCGCCTTAACAGCTCAAGTAAAGTTGATGAAGCATTAGGTTTTTTGAAAATATTCTCAGAAACGGTTTTTCAGTAACTATTTTCAATATTTCTCTGTAACTAGTAGCTTATTAACGGCTAGCTTAGGACGGAAAAGGCGTGGCCTGTCTGCGCTCTCTAATAACCAGGCACTGTCTCTGGTCTAATCGTGTCAGGACCGTATTTTTGATGTCTCAAGCCAGCCGTAAATTCAACACATCTCTTAATATTTAAAAAGAAAAAGCAAACTAGTTCTTCTCAATCGACTAATTTTCTAAATGAAATGAGCTATATTCTGTTCATATTTTTTTTATGTCAAGCAGCAAACTCCGCCCTCAACGTCTCTCTGTGGATGACTCGTTCCTTGATTGGTTTGTTTCATATACGCATAAGAGGCGGAGTTTGATCATTGACTTGACTTTCAAAATCTGAACAGCTATCAATTTGCATACTGTATAAAAGGCGTGTGAAAAGTTTGATAGCACTGCATGTAACTGCAAACATTGAAACACACGCGCGCAATAATCGATGAAAATTTCTTGGTCGTTTTTTTCTGTTTTTATGCCGTGTTCAAATTCTATATTTTTTTATATTATTATTAAAATATTTTGATTGCTGCGATTTTTCTAACTATTTTTTTATTTGTTTTTTTAATTCTTTATAATTAAAAAACAAAAAAATTTTTGAACAGACGATAAAGAAGTTCTATAATTTTTTTCCTATTATGTATTTTTGAAAAAAACGAAAAATTTATTCTGAAAAACGAAAATTTATTCAGTTAACGAAAAATCACTTTCAATTATGTTCATTACATTTTTTTAAATTTCGAACTTTTTTTATCTACGGACAGAGTCTCTAGAAATCTTTCCAAGGCTCCAAATGTTCATATCTACTGCCATAATTTTCCTAAAAGGCCCTGACTCGACGATTTGGATGTTTACCCTGCAGGTACCGGTAGTCCGTTTGAGAAACGAAAAGCCGCGCGAAAATCGCCAGCCAGACAACAATGAGTTAGTCGGGGTGGTTTGCGCCACGGCATTGTTTCGCTGGGGCAGCTTCTTTTCACATTTTGGCGCTTTGGATATCAAAGAGACCAGCCAAAGAAGCCCTGTCGGCAAGGCTCAAAAAACAAAAAACAAAGTCTGAATGTTAGGAAAGGGGAACGAAACCGCTCCAAGATCATTTTTGAAACTGTTGGGCAGATAAGTTTTGGAGGGCTCTTGTTCTTCCACTTCAAGCTAGGATAAAGAAAACTGTTTATTTAAATGAAACGTGAATATATATGAAGAAGAACGTTTAGAAGTTTCACTGTGAACGGCCATGAGAAAATTTAATTTTTGGCTCCACTTCATCTCGAACACTTCAAAATGATCATGATCACACTATATCGAAAATTTGCGAACACCGCTCGGAAGCCAAATTTGCGGATGCGAACTCCCGATTTCAATTTGTTTGCTCAAAAAATTCGTTTTGGAACGCCGCACTTTTTCGATCTGACTCATGAGCAAATATTGGCACTTTATTTTAATAAAACCCTTCTTTTCTGTCCACTGTAAAGGTGTTAAATTCGAATGTTAATTATTTATTGAGTTTTGAATAGCCGACATTAACTCTTTGATTAGTTGTTGAAACGTTCACTCGCTGAAAAAGGCAGATAAAAATTTTGGCAATTAAAGTGGGACGAAGGATTGTTTGATATGAGCGCCACGGGCAAAACAAAAAGAAAAAAACTTGTGACGGTTTCCGATGCAGAAGAAGTGGAAAAGCCTTGAGAGAGCGATTAGCCGCTCTACAAGCTCCCTTGGAGTGTTTCCGCCTGTTCTTGACCGCCGAACCGTTGCATCCGACGAGCAGCTGGTTTTATCCACAGGACAAAAACCATTCATAACTGTCAAAAAAATTACTTTTCATAGCCGCCTAAAAATTTTCATACATTTTTCTGCTGGATTTCTAAAAAGAAAAAAAAGAGCTTGGTAGACTATTTGAAGTCCATATAAATGAAAATCATGAATTTTTCAATTTTTTACGCATTTCATGTTGTTATGGAATGATTGAACTCAAAATCTTTTTAGCAGCTGCATTTAGAAGCACATTTTTCGTTTTCTCGTCTAACTTTGCAGAAAATCCGATACTCCGTTGAAAGTTGCTTTATTTTTAGATACAAAGGTTTAGATTTTCCGACTGATATAGCTTTAAACGGGCTTTCCAATGAACATCGTTTCAAAGAAAAATCTCAGTGTTCATTTTTTCAGTGATTCTGGAGGTTATACGCGAATGAGGATGCACGTGGACACAGAAGACCATGTGCCTTTCAAACATGAGACGTCCGGTCGGTGGTTTGCGGCGGCAAGCGGAGGCGGGCGCGGAAAGAATGCGCCGTCCGTTTGTATTTAAGCTGCCAGACGCGTCGAAGCCATACGCAGAAACTCACGACGACTGCTCTCGAATCCCGAAACGAAAGTTGCGAAAATACAGTATGCGCCCCGTGTGCTCCTTGATCCTACTGTTTTGTCTTATCGGCGTAGCCCATCAAGTGAGTTTCTACCTATATTTATTTCTGGGAATTCACTTCATTTCATAAACGAATAGAATTTCTTGAGTTTTGGAGTTTCATCTAGATATTCTCACACAGGAACATATTTATTTTAACTCCTTTCTCTGTTTAAAGAGTAACAGTCTTAATTGAATTTTCTGTGACTCCGTTTTGTGATTTTTCAAACTATGAAATGTTGGTTGAGATATTTTTCTTTTTCACCAGCTAGAGCTATTCATCTTATATCTCTGAATTTGATGCAAAAAAATTTTTTTTTCCGTTTGTATATGTTTTTATTTTGAAATCATCGACTAAAACGGAATGTTCATGATTTTGTTAAACTTCATCTTAAATAATATGTTGAACATCGTTGTCGATATTGTTTAAAAATAGTTGGTCTCACAGGACTTAGAGTAACACTGAGAGCAGTTGATCGCCTAAAAACCGTTGCAAAATATCTAGGAAAGGCTTCGAATGAACTAGCCAAGGATTTTAAAGCAGAATTTTAGAAAATATTTTTGAATTTAAATTTGTTTAATTTTTCTTGAGATTGTTTAGTCCGTTCAGATCTTCATTGTCAAGTAGAATGACGTCATTCGAATACGCTCTGTGGATGGCTCGCTCTCTGATTGGTTTATCGCGCCATTAGGGGAGGAGCTTGAGCGGCGACTTGACATTCAAAATCTGAACAGACTATACAATCATAAAAGTTTTTTTGGAAACTTTGTGAGCTTGGCGATAGAGAGAAAAAGACTAAATAGTTGTTTCAGATTGGCAACTTGCCCGGAAACGGCTGACATTTTCTCTGAAAGTATTTTTAATTAGTTCTCAAGTTTAGAAACGTTTCTTCTATCAACAGTTTTTTTCTAATTTATTTGATTTTTGGGCAAAAAAATGGTTTGAAACAACTAGCGGACTCTCCAGGGAATGAACATAAAGAAAAGGTGTTTGCAAAACGGATCCGACCGATGGTCAAGCGGTCAGATGTCGCCGCGACATCTGATCTTTCTCCGCTTCGCGTTTTTTTCTTTTGATCTTAAGAGCCCAGCGGCTGGTATCGGATCCGACATTGTGATGCTTTTCTCCGTGTTCTCTAAGAAAGTCTAAACAAACCGACTCTAATTGCGGCTGCGCTAATTGTTGGCGAAAGAAGTTCAAAAACCAAAAGCTGTTCAGAGTCTTCTGACGCGAGCAAAACGGCAATGTCCATGTGCCCAGCTGTCTCAGTCCAAGTGCAACTGCCAAGCGGCTTCCGGCGGCGTCCAACGTTGCCAGTGCTCCAACCCTTCGCGTCAATCGTCTTCCTCCTGTAGTTGTGCCACTCAGGTATTCAAATAATGTTTGGGAAGACGAAGGCAAGGCAAATCCAACTACAGGCACAGGCGTCGGTGTGCGAACCGACGTGTCAGAAGACGTGTGTCAGCTCTTGCGTGCAGGCGAACCAACCGTTGCCAGCCTGCCAAAGTACTTGCAAGTTCACCTGCAACAAGGCCTGCAGCAAGATCTTCGGCAAGCAGCAGCCCTCCTCCGTACCCGGTCCGATCCGCGTCGTCGTCGCCCAGCAGTCGAACCCCTCGCGTTGTCCCGCCGCTTGTGCCCAGTCCTGCGCTCAGTCCTGCTCGGCTCAGCTCAATCCGAACTCCTGCAACGGAATGTGCCAGAGAAGCTGCGAAACCTCCTGCATCCAGACCGCTGTCTCCATCAACGTCAAGCAATTCATTCAAACCTCGGTATGTTCGTTTTTTCAATTCGTACTTTTTAAAGTCAACTTTGAGATCAGATATGAGTTCCAATCAGTTCTAGAATTTTTAATTATCGATTTATCAAACTTCTGAACTCTCGAAAAATTTTCATATAATTTCCTTCCCACTATTTTGATTGTCCAAAAACACTGAATTTCATAACCACTCTCTTTTTGGATGTGTACTCACCAGTAAGAGAGAAGTAATTGAATGGAACACAAAACAAAACACCTCAGGAAAAACAAACCTATTTTTGAGACTAAAACTTACTAAATTGCTAGAATATGTTTGGAAAAATTTCGCTCTAGAATTTCAAAAGAACAGAAAATTGATAATAGAAGGAAGTTTTTGCGGGAATAAGCTGTATGCTTTCTCTCAAGTTGCTTTCCGAACCAAAACCTACCTTCATTCAAATTTTTCTACACATCGTTTTAATTTTAGACAAAATTTAGACAAATGAAAAGAAAGTTTTCCCAAAGCCTTTCAACCGACGGCTCATTTTCGCCGAGTTTCAGACAACGACTCCGGCTCCAATCGCGCAATGCGAGCCAGTCTGTCAACCGGCGTGCGAGCCACAATGTATCCAAGCTGCTCAGCAGTACGAGATCGTCATCCAGCAATCTTCCCAACAGCCTCAGCAATGCGTTCCGCAGTGCCAACCGCAATGTCAGCCTCAATGCACGCAACAGTACGAGATCTCCATCTCGCAACTCGCCACGACTTCTGCCCCGGCTTCGTGTATCCAACAGTGTCAGCCGTCCTGCCAGCCGACGTGCATCCAGGCCTACGCAACAACGACGGAAGCGCCGAAGACCTGCGTCCCCGCCTGCAAGCCAGCCTGCGAGACCCAGTGCGTCGTCTCTCAGATCGTCCTCACCATGCAGCTCGCCAAGTCCCAAGCCCAAAACAACGACTGCGTTCCGCAGTGCCAGCCGGCCTGCGAGCCTAGCTGCACTCAGGTCCAGATGTCCTTCACGCTTGCCCCTGTCTTGACCGCCACTGAAGCTCCTTCTCAATGTGCTCCGGTCTGCCAGCCTGAGTGCACCCCGCAGTGCGTCCATCAAACGGTTCTTATCTGTTTATTTTCAAGGAAAAATAGAAAAGTCTGCTCTAACCCCGCACGGATATGGCTCGAAAAAAAATCCCAGTGTCTGAAAGGAAAATTGGATTGTTCCTTTTTTATTGAATACGTCATGAACGAGAAGAAATGTTGTTTCCAATGAGATGATCAGGTTTGCAGAGCCCGAGCAATTTCCAGTTGAACGTTCAATTCCAACAATCTCAGCAAGTAGAACAGGTCTGAAAAAATTCATGTATCCTGTAATCGAAAAATTCCCTTAAAAAAACTCTCGCATTTTCAAACTTTAAAAACTCTGAATCCAGCCAAGATTTATGAATAGAATATAATGAGAGTTTTAATAGATATTTTTTAGAATAATTATAAAAATTCTCCTTGGCCTCTTGAAGTATGCGTACCAAATTCAATGAGTTATAACAGTAAGAAGGTTGAGAAGTTAATGTGAAAAATATTTGAATTGAAAACTTCCTTTGAGTTATATTTGAAGACTTCTAATTGTGTTCAGTTTTTTTCTCTTTTGTTACAAAAAAGGTTTTTGCAGAACACAAACCAATGCATTCCTCAATGTCAGCCGGCGTGTGAGCCTCAATGCATCCAGCAGCAGACGCAGTTCCAAGCGGTCGTCCAACAGACCGCCACTCAAGTGGTAGTGCCGCGACTCCGAAACTGTGAATGTGGATATATTTTCAGCAGAAAGACTGCATTCCGCAGTGTCAACCCGCCTGCGAACCGCAGTGTCTAGAACAACAGGTCGTTTTCAAGTTCGGAATCCCCGTGCAACAGACCCAGTCCTGTGTCGCAGCGTGTCAGCCGGCCTGCGAGCCCCAGTGTGTCCAGCAACAGGTATATTATCATCGAGGCATCTTTTTCGGTCGAACAGGAAAAGGGATACAGATTGAATATTTACCCATAGAGCGATCATGTAAAATCGTTTGATCTTTGCAGTCAATATCTGAAAAGTTCTGTATCGAATTGGAAAATTTCAGCTTTGAGTAGAAATTCGAATTGAAGTCTGTAACTTATGATCTCAGAAAATTCGTTCGAAATGATCCAATTAAAAATACAAAATGAAAAAGCAACCGTTTCGGCCTTCAGAGCTCTGACTGTTCCTTTACAAAAAAAATCTGATTCTTTGCAAATAATCGTGGGCACTTGAACAACACAAAAGTAGCGAAAATATCATAACAAAGAGGCGAAATAAGAACAATAATTTCAAAGTAGTTTGATATGAACTGTGGGTACAATTTTCTATCAGGAAAAGGCTTGACCGACTAATAAATAAAGTTTCTTTTTTTAGAAGTTTTTTTGTAAGGGTCTTACAGGTTTTTCTTTCTAAATATCACTACGAACGTTTGTAATATTGATTTTAAGTCCGATTTCCGTTTGCAGGATCCTCAGTTCTCCGTGCTCATCCCCCTTAGCTTGCCGACTCAAAACGACCCCTCCGACTGCGTTCCACAGTGCCAGCCGGCTTGCGAGCCCAGCTGCACCCAGTTCTCCTTCCAGATGACCACGACTGCGGCTCCTTCTTCGCAGTGTCCATCTGCTTGTCAGCCCGCATGTGTCCCGCAGTGCGTTCAGCAGTACAACAGCAACATTCAGCAGGTCCCAAAAAACTCCGAAAAATCTGAAAAAAGACGCAGTTTATTTCTAGGCTCCGTCTCAGAGCAGCCAATGTGCTCCCCAATGTCAGCCTGCATGTGAGCCTCAGTGCACTCAAACCTACTCTACTCCTCCTCAACAGGTAGGAAACAAGTTTCTTACACTGATAGAGCAAAAATGAAAAAAGTTTCGTTTCTATTTTCTAGGCATGGTAGGTAAAATAAACAAAAGAATAATTGTTAAATCTGAGATTTTTTCAAAACAAGCTTCCAATTTTTTCTAAATCAAAAAGCGAGTATAAATTCTTATTCCGCAAAGTTTAAAAATCTGGAACTCTAGTGACTGAATGAACTATTTTAAAAAAATTATATCACTTTTTAGGTTAAATAAAAAGTTGAGATGCACCTTAAATTTTTTTTGCTTGTTCGAAAAAAAGCTCAATCGAAACTTTGCTTTTTGTTTTGCTGGAGTTTCAAGTTTTCAGGCGAATTGATAAGAGAAGAAGTTTATTAGAGCGAACTATATAAAAAGGGAAAAAATGGATCGGGAGAAAAAAAAAATGCAAGTCTCGAAGTTTTCAATGAAGAATAATTTCTAATGATGTGATTTATTTGCATTTTTACCAAACTTCAGCCGCCGCAGCAGCAGTGCGCCTCGGCTTGTCAACCATCTTGCGACAGCAAATGTACTCAGAACTACCAGTTCGAGATAGTGATCCCCCAGGTAACCGATCTTTGAGACGAGAAGTAAAAGCGCAACAGGCGATGCCGGACAACGGCTGCATGCCGGCCTGTCAGCAGTCGTGTCAGTCTTCCTGCGTCCAACAGAATCAGCCGCAACAGAAATGCACAGTCGCCTGCGAGGACTCGTGCCATGCGACCTGCGTTCAGATGGCCGCTTCTACCACCCCTTGTCCCACCTGCGCTCAGTCCCAGAACGAGTTCCGCCTCGAGATCATCCTGCAGGATCCACTTGAGGTGTCCTAACAAGCAATTGGAGTCAAAATGAGAACGATTGCAGGAAACGGTTACCTGCGCTCCTCAATGTGCCAACCAGTGCACGCAACAATGCAAACAACAGGTAAGAATTCTGAAAAATGGACTGGAAAATACTGATTTTCGCAGGTACTGAACGGCGAGCAGTGCGTCAACGCTTGCCAGTCTGCCTGTAAACAGAATTGTCCTCTTCAGGTCCGTTTCAACGGTTCTTCCGGATGATTGAGTCAGTTGTAGGTTGAACCATGTCCTCTCCGGTCAGGAAAGTGCAGTTGTCAAAAGAGCTTCACCGCCTGTGGAACCAATCAGTGCTGCCGTCGCCGTCGCCGATGACGTCTCCAAGGATGAATCTCCAACGTGTCTGTAAATATAACGAAAAAACCAAAACATATTTATAATTTATAATAATCTATTTCATAAACTTTTTTTTCCCAATTTCTTTATTTGTTCCTCATTCGTATACAAACAATCAATGATAGTAAGAATGAAAGTTACCATTTAATGTGAAAAAAACCTATTGATTATTGAGATTCGCGAGAAATTTTTGTGAGGTTTTGACGGGAAAACAGAAACGACACCACGATATCTTGTATTTTTGAAGTGCTGTACAGCAAAAGTCCTTCCAATGGTTGGGAAGATCATTTGATGAAATCGTTATTGAAAAATGAACGCTGCCGTACAGAGTGTATAAAATGAGCAAAGAAGTCATTTGCCGTTTATCGTTATTACTTTTCGACCAAACTCGACTAGAGAATGGCCGAAATCCAGGAGAACGGTGCACCTGACGCGCCTCCCTCGGATCCCACCAACACGGCGGTGGCGGGAACTTCTGTCCGCACAGCCGTCCCTGGCGGTGTCGGTCAGGAAGCTACCTTTGCCGACGTCACTCAGGTACGTCCCTATTTCTAGTCTCTAACAGCGAGAAGTTCAGGCTTACACGACTTACGCTCAAGAACTCCAATCGACATTCGACGGATTGCGCAGAAGAGCCGTTTCGATTCAAGAAACTGCGCCGCAGCAACTGAACGAACTGCAGAGCCAGCTGCAGCCTCAGACCAGGGAACTCATTGAGGCCGTGACGGAGACGGTGAGTTGGGGGAGAAGAAGATGAGTATGGAAATTCTGCAGCAAGCCCCGGTTGCGACAGGCGTCGGCTCCGTGGTGAGCATTCTTTTGTGGTCTTCGGTTTCTCTGTTCGCGGCGGGAATCGCCTCGATCGCCGGAGCATATCTGCTGTCGCCTATCCTCGGCGTCTTCTTGGGCCGTTTTGGATCTGCCCTGCTCTCCCTCGTTGTCATTCCTGTCGCCAGTTTCTACCTCATCCAAGCTGTAAGAATTAGTTTTTTAGAACATCTAGTAGAGCAGAAAAGTTGGAAAGACAGTCGAGATTTTTGCTATGCGGATTTTAGCGTTGATCGGTTCCTAGAGAACAAAAAAACTACTCAATTACTAGTTGACACAGCGATATTTTTTAAACCCTTGTCGCTGTCATCAAAGAAAAAATTAACGTGGATTTTTGATTATTTTTCAATTGCTTTGCTAATCGTGTCTCAAGCTAGAAGCCGTATGCAAGAGAGTGTTGAATTTGTTTACTTAGAAACAATCAAAAATGGTGCTCGAAGTTGCACTTGTTGCACTTCAGAGATCAAACTATGTCATTTTCTTGCATATACGGCATTGATGAGATAAGAAAATGAAACAATCTCTTGCAGAAACAACAAGCGGGCGAGACAGACACGGACATTCGGTCCCAGCTGCTGTCGATCGCGACTGTTCAGGGACTGCTTCTAGGTCACGCCGTCGCCTACACTCACATCTCCGGACAGCCGCTGGCGTTCTTGTCGCCCCTTGTGATCGCCTTTGCCTACTCGTTGGTGTCGCGACAAGTCGGCGGCTCGCGAATTCCCTTGCTCGGCGCGACTCTCGGAGCCAGCTTCGCGGCTCTTCTGCTGCTCGGCGCCGTGAGCGGCCTGCTCACGCCGGCCTATTTTGTGCTCGCCACGCTGTACACGGCTTCTGCCGGGGCTGTCCTGCAGGTCGCCTTCAGGAACATCCAGACCAACACTGTTCAGGTTTTTTCGCGCTTATGATGGTTCTTTGACTCGCTGTTCAGGTGCATCTGTACCAGCTGGCTCTCGTGTCGTCTTTCCTCTTCTCGAAAGGACTTGTTTTTGCGCTCTTCGGAACCTCTGCTCGTTAGAGACCTTGAACCTTGGAGAATAAACGGATTTTCTCATTCATTTCATATTTTTAAGTATGGGCTGAACACTTCCTAACACGGGGAAATTGGCCGTCTTGAAAATCGTTTTTTTTTCGAACCCGATAGTAGCCAAATCATACCCACTTCGAGTGAAGAGTTTTTTTTTAATATTCCATTTAGGATTTCTATTTTCGCTTCGTTTATCTCAAATTTTTAGATCGTGAAGAAAACTAATGTGGAGAGCTCATACAAATCTACCTGCAAAATTTAGTTATTATTCGTATGATGGTTTACGGTAATAAATTTTCGTGTAAGTGTCTGCAAATACGCGCGCGCGAAAATTCATTTTTTTTTTTAAATGGCGTGTTCGAACATGAACGTTCATCAGGGAAACGGAACATGCTTCAAAAAGAAAAATCGTGTTCATCGGCGCGCCAAAGTTGCTCCAAAACAGTACTAAATTTTGTTTTGGAGCAATTTTCGTTTTGTCCGATGAACACGCCAAAAAAAAACGTTTTTTTTTTACCAAAAACAAGTAATTTATATAATTTATGCGAGCTTTAGATGATATTTGGCTTTATTTTTTTTTAATATTTTCCGTTCCGTGAAATTATTATTTTGCGAACATTGGAAACAAATAAGCCCAGAAGGACTTTTTGAATAAGTATTATACCTCAAAAAAAGTATCCAAAAAGCCTAGGCTAGCTTTAATGTTAGCATTTTGTACGTCTTACTTAAAGTTATATTTCTTCAACGGGGTTATAAAAATAGTCACTTTTTTTTAAAATATCTTCACAACTTATCGTTTGAAATGGTTGATTTAGTCAAGGGACTCTCATAATTCTTCCCTACTAGAATAAAACTTCTTAATCAACGAATCAATCTTGTCGTTTGGTTATAGTTTTCTAATAAACAAAATTTTTTTTCGGAAAAGGACGATGCCGACCATTGCCAATGACGACCTGAGCCAGGAGGACCCAGGAGGAACATCAACGCAAACAAGTCGAAAAGAAGATTTACCTTCGGATTTTCCTGACGGAAGTATTCTGCAAGTTAAACTTCACAACTTCCTGTAACTAGGATAACTTTTTCCAACTCTGAAAGAAAAAAAAATGTTCAGGACCTATGAAAATGTTATATGCCGGACAACGAAAAACTTGAACTTAATTATCGGTTACAACGGATCTGGGAAAAGTTCTCTGATTTGTGGAATTTGTCTAGCTCTGGGTGGAAGCCCCAAGGTTTTTGATCTCTGTTTTATTATTATAATGAAGATTTTTCAGCTGCTGGGTAGATCTGAGAAAATTGGAGATTACATTCGACATGGCTGCACCGAAGGATCAGTCGAAGTCGTCCTGTGAGTTTTTCTCGGAATAACCAATGTGAGATAATCAAAAAGAGTAGTAGTTAATTATTACTACGAAGGATAGGTGCTATGAAATAAAAAAATCAGCGAAATTTCTTGCGGCGTCTTTTTCCGATTTTTTTCATATCTCTAGGGAACTTTCCGACTTTTTCTCGATAAACTCTTCATTTGAGTTTTCCTACATAAAAATAGGTAGTTGATTCATGATTAAAACAAAATGGAAAATGATTGATTTGTTTTTTTGATAGATAAACCGAAAAAAATATAAGAGAAAAAAAGTCGGAAGTTTCGCCGTTCGAAATTTCGCTGGTGTCTTTTATACCACAGAAGGATAAAACTCGAAGGAAATGTACTTAATAAGCTGGTAGGCGATTTTGGCTCCTGGAAAGTAGGACAAATTGCTTATTACAAGTGTTCTTTCATAAGTTATTAAAATGGGAAAAAAAAACATGTTTTCATACCTTTTGAATATTACCGCAACAACGGCGATCGACAACCTGATCATGAGCTTTTTCCAGAGCCGATGAAAAACGAGGTCCACAATCAATGAAGATATATATTCAGTTCAAGAAATGTCCAGTGTTCTATATGAATGGTAAATTGAGCACCCAGTCGTCGATCAGAGAGCGTTGCCGAGAGTACAACATTCAGGTTTTAGGAGTATCACTATTTGTAAGCTTCGCTTTCAGATTGATAATCCGTGCGCCTTTCTGGCTCAAGACAAGGTGAAAAGTTTTTCGGAACAGTCGGCCATCGACTTGTTAATTAACACACAGAAGGTAAATGAGGTCTTCTTCCGGAGAGCGAGGAACAGTACATCACTTCTTGGTTCTCCAAGTCTCAAAATTACATTCTAAAAGGCAGAATAAGCTTTTCTTTTTTCTTTTCTTCATATTTCATTACCACAGACGTCTTCAAAACACGACTGGAAACGTTTTGAAAAAGAATGGGCTATTTTTGTCCCCAACCTCTTTATTCTTTCACCGCTTTCCTGACCGCGGGCTCTGGATGTGTCATCATCGTTCACATCTGTTCAGGCGGCATCAATTGAGCTCTTGGAGCAGCACGAAAAGATGAAGCAAACGCGACAAGAAAGTCAGAATTTGGAGACAAAGTTTGAATCGTTTGAGGAGAACATTTCTCGGCTCCAAGGTACTGATTCTGTCTTATTTCTGTAGCTCGAATACTGTTTTCAGGAGAGATCACTGCACTTCAGCCTCGTTTGGACAACTATCGAAAAAGAATCGCCATGGAAGATCGACTACGGCTTTTGGAGAAGCGCGCAGCCACCAAGGTTCCGTCGAAGCTAATTTCTTTGAATTTATCTTTTTTACAGGGGTATGAGCACGCTCTGGCAGAAAGCGAGTCTTTCAGCGACGATTTGAAGAAGAGAAAAAAGTCGATGGAGGCTCAGCAGGCAAAAGTGAACAGGATGAAGAATGACACAGCAGCGGCGAAGGTCCAACTGGAGGGACTCGAGGCAGCCATCAAGAAAGCGGTGAGCGGACCTCTGTCGAAAGCCTCAGAGGGAAACTTCAGAAGTCGGCTACGAAATTGCTCCGAGATCAACTCGACAACCAGATGGACTTCAACGCCATCAAATCACAGGTTCGCTCTTTTTGCAGCGAACTTATCGATTTAAAACAAATATCTACTGATATGAAGTAGTTTCTTGTTGCAAAAAAACTTCTCTCGACTCTGGTCAGACATTTAATGAGTTGTCGAAAACTATATGAAATATTGGATATCTTTTTCTTTTTTTGAATGTCCGCTTTTTTTTTCAAATTTCTGCTAACGTTAATGTTTTTCAACTAATTAGACACGAAGTTTTATTTTTACCATTTTTCAAGCTACGCGACGCTAAAGCGAACTACGAAGCTCAAGTGAAGAAAATGGAGAATTTCTCGACGAATGAGAAGAACTATATCAAAGCGATCGAATCCTTGCAACAAAAACTTGACACCAACAGCGCCCAAATGAATGGATATGATGTTTTTTCTGAAAATAAAAAAAACAGTTTCATATCAATTGTTAAGGATTTTATGAAACGATATGACGAAGTTAAAATCAAGCTGAATGCAGAGAAAAACGCCTTGTCCAATGTGGAAGACGAGATTTCGAAGAAGAAGCGCAAAATGGACGAGTTCAGAACAAGTATTCCTTTTTTTGCATTTTCCAGAAAGTTGCCTGTTTCCAAGTTCATTATTTTTTATTTCCAATTCGCTGAAAATGCAATAATTGTTGAACATACATATTTTATTTCAGAGATACAAGAAGAAGAGGAGAGAACGAGATACACGGCACAGGAACGTCTGCGGATGGTGGAGCGCATCTCTCGAGGGGCCGTCGCCTCCTGGCAGTGGTACCAGCAGAACCGCGACCGTTTCCGCGAACCCGTCTACCTTCCGCTGATGCACGTGAGCCGTCGTCGTCCGTTCCAAGTCCTTTTCCCCTCTTGCAGATCGTCCTCAAGGACAGATCCTACACGCCCTTCGTCGAGGACGTCATCCCAACACGTGATCTCTGCATGTTCATCTGCGGATGCAAGGTTTTCTGGAAAAAGCAAACGAGCCTTCTCAAGTTTCATTCCGGGACATGTTAGGAAAAAACGAGGCCAATCGTCGCTCAACTCGTGTCAATTTGTTTCTTTTACTTGTCTTTGCAAGTTTTCGCGTACTTGGACACGTTTTCACGCACTCGAAAGCTAGTTATTTGATAATGAGCTTTTCCAGCTTTCTTTTCTGAAGCCACTAAATATCTCATTTATTGTTCTAGTTCTTCCAAATAGGAAATTTTCTTTTTCACAGCCTTTTTCCAGGAAGACGAAATGCTTCTGCAAGAGAACGGCACGGGGCTCAGTACTTCGGTAGTTCCTCGGAGTAGTGTGAGTTTAAAAAAAAGTTTGAAAAACTAGTTTCCGTGTATTTAGGTGAATAAAGATGTCATCAACGCGAAACTTCCTGAAGATTTGAAGCGGAACGAATTTGTCTGCCTGGTTTCTGAAATGTTTGACGCGCCTGGCCCTCTGAAGCAGTACATTTGCAACATCACCGGCGTTCGTTGCGGCCCTTCAATTCATCTTTTTCCGCTTACCATAGGTCCACAAAATCCCGATGGGAACTGCGAATGAGCGGACGATGCAGAACGCAGTCGAAGCGGCGACAAAAGCCGGGTTTTGGAAGATTTTCACATCTAACCTGAAGGTTAAATTTCAACCTTTTCAAGAAACTTTCTGATAACGTATAAGTCTTTGAGAAAAAATAATAATCAAAGGTCAAGAACCGGATATAGAGTATTATGCTTTTTTCGATTGATTTCGTTTTCATTGATTTTTTTTTTCTGTCGTCCGTTATTCGAAGTAATTTCGGAGTTTAGGTAACGCTGACGAGGTCCAAGTACTCGGGCGAAACGATCCAGAAACAGCAGAACTTGTACCGTTCGGGAATTTTCTCTGCCAATGCTTTTTTGGCTGGCGTCGAGTCTTCCGCCGCCAAAAACCGCTACGATCCAGAAATAAAGGCGTTGGTGAGTTTTTGTAGAGATAATCTATTGTTAATGGTATTCCTGACTAGAACTCCGAACGGGAACGTATAATTGGAGATTACAAGGCGCGCCACTCGGTATATTCCAAGGAAGACGAGGAAATCAACCAAGAACGAGTGAGATTACTTTGTTCATTACTGCAACTGTAGCGTTCATGAATGAAACATTGAAGAGATGATATAAAAAATAACTTTGAAATTTATTCCATGTCTGAAAATAATCTTTTTATTTTCTTCTAGCTGCAGCTACAAAAAAATGGGGCTCTTAGAGCAGGCATGTGGTCTTCCCGAATGTTTTCCCCAAAAATACGAAACCAGCGAATGAAATTTCAGTCGCGCTGGCGAGAAAAGAGCGAATTCATCAAAATTCTGAAGAAAAGCCTGGAAAACGAGGAGGAAAGGTGAATAGTTTCTTGAATTTTCAAGGTAGGAAAGAACTTTTGAGGCTGGACAATCTCCGGAACAACGTGCCAGACGTGGACGCGGCCAAGGAAGCCTACGAGGAACAGAAACGGCTTTCAGCGCAAGACGCACATAAGAAAATCAGCCATCTTGTTCAAAAAATTGGACGTAGTTTTTTTTTAGACTTGTTCACAGGAAATGCTTCGGAATTATTTCATCCCACAAAGCGAGAACCGTGCACTTGTTTTTCAGAATCAAAAAAGGTCTTTTGATTGCAAAATTCGCTTTTGCGGGGATGGGTGTAAATCTTGGGAAGATTTAGAGTTTACCTAATAAATCTTCTCATCTAGAAAATTCATTTTGAAAAGAAATATACTGACTGGTCTTGTTTCAAAACTCAAATTGAAACTATTTTTTTCTGAGTTTGGAGTCACAGGAATTAGCATTTTTTTTTCGTGAGAATTCGTTTGAACAACTACCTACTTTCTCTTCTAGCCAGTTAGTGCTCTAAATTCAAATTCATTTCCAGTTTTCTTTCCATTATTTATTTTATTAAACTAAAGTATAATAAAATATCAGACATAAATGGAAATGTGCTAGATTCTCATTAAGATTTCTGAGAACTGTTGTGAGCTCCCCAATAAGAATTAATGATTCCATACACTTGATTTATTGTTTTTATCACGAGAAGGTGGAAGATGTGTTCTGTTTCAGGAAAAAGATTTGGAACGGCAGAAAGAAATCGTTGTGTTGAAACTTTACCAACGGGAACATCAAAACCTCCTGAATTCAACTCTTTTGGAAGTCGAAAACGAGTTGATAAGTCTCCAGGACGCGCAGGTACTGAAAGACTATTTTTCGTGTGCTATTGGTCTTTTCTACAGCAAGTTTGCGTGTATGCGTCCCGGGACCTGGAATTGGCCAATGATCGGTTAAAAGTCAAAGAAGATTTGCTGTTCGAGAAGTGCGGTTTCCGAAGTCTCAAGAAAACGGCATTGAAACCAGACCAAATAAAGAAATTCGACTTGATGATGAAGGTTTTTTTTTTTTTGATTACTGGATCTTTATTGGCTCTGACTTTCCAGGAGTTTGAGGAAAAACAAGTGCCGGACGACTTCGAGGAGCTGGAGGAAGCCATGTCTAAAGAACGCGCGAAAATAAGAATCGCAGATGACAGCTCGGAAGGCAGCGCAGATGTTCCACACTCTCCTTCCAACTCTCTCTCATTCTCATTTTCTTGCAGGATGAAAGGAGAATGATGTGGCTGAAGGAGTCTCTGCAGCAAGAGGAAGAGGGTTTGAGGAACAACGCGAACGTCAAGAAAAACATCGAGAAGGACTTGGCAGAGGTGCTTCAGTATGAATTTCTTTAGATTTTTTTTTCCATACTTACAGGCTATCGAGAAATGGAGAGTGCCTATTGATGATATGATAGGCAAAATCAACGAGAGCTACGTCAAGTTCTTCCAACAGCTGGGATGTGACGGCGAGGTGCATCTGGAGGTTCCCGAGAACAAAGTTTTCAACGAAGTCTGCTCCGAAATCTGATTCATATTTTTCAGTTGGATATTCATTTGTACGGAATCATGATCATGGTGAGCTTCCGCAAGGGAGAACGTATGAAGAGACTCGATCAGAGGGTGGGACTCTCAGAAGTTCGTTGAAGGCAAGGGTTTCAAGGTGCAATCCGGAGGCGAACGGAGTGTCTCTACGATGCTCTATCTGCTGGCCCTTCAGCAGCTTTGTCCGGTGCCTTTCCGCTGTGTCGACGAGATCAACCAAGGAATGGACCCGACGAACGAGAAGAAAGTCTTCGACATCATGGTCGAGACTCTGAGCAGCGCTGGTCAACTCGCCAAGACTCAGTACTTCTTGTGAGTTTCAGGAGCAGTCATGAAACGCTACCGAGTCTGAATAAAGCTTTCGAAGGAACTTTGAAAGTAGTTTTAATCTCACTGAATATATAAAAAAGCTTTTTCGCATCTTGTTTGTTATCTTTTCATTGGCTTTTCAGTCTTTCCACACATTTTTTTTTCTCTAAAACGTCTCGAAAAGCCTTTGAAGAAGCGTTTAAATTAGCGCGATCGTTTCACTGGACGGAAGATTTCAGACTCACACCGAAGCTTCTGCGCGGCCTCAACCTCACAGAGAAGGTCTCCGTTCTTGTCGTTCACAATTTGATTCCGAAAAATGTTTGTTTTCTTCCAGTTCGTCTTCAAGCAGGTTTAATTTCCCAGGATCTCCGCGTGAGCAACTTTGTCAAGAGTTTGGAAGACTCGCGAGCGCGATAGAAGTCTTTGAACTGTTTACCGGTATTACACGATACTCATACCTGTGCCATTTTTGTGAAACCTTTTATTTTGATAAATGCTTTGTTATTGAGTTGTTTGCTCAGTTTCTTTATTTATCCCAAAGAACAATTTTCGCTATATCTTTTGAAACAAAGCAGCTTAAAAAGCGCATATCTTTTTTCTGTTTTTTGGTTTTCAAGACTAATAAAGGTCTCATCTGCGAAAAATTGGTGAATATCATCATAATTTTCAGTCACCAAATCCAGTGTAACTGTATTGAGGATTCTTCAAATTGTTTTTTTTTTCCTTTTTGTTAAGAAACTAAGTAAACAATCTAATAGCACCGAATACTTTAAGGAAATGAAAGACTACAAAAACGCGTATCAAGTCAGTATGAAGCGGAGAGAGGAAAGCATAACTAGAGCGCTGAAAAATGCTCTAGGTTTGGCTGAATTACAGTAATCCGTGCTGCACAGACACTGGGAGTTGCGGTAGTCTGTGCAGTTGCTCGTCGGGTTGAGGGCGAACCCGGGCCGAAAAAGCGTTGACAAGCAGCCACGCATGACCAGCGTTTTGTTGGACCTCGAGTTGCGGTTGTCTTCTACTGAAATGCAGGAAAAGTCATAGTTTGACTGGAAAGTGCGAATTTCTGATAGTCGAAAAAGAGGTCGAAAAAGAAGGTGGGACGAATGACATGATTGACAAGTGGAAGTATCAAAAATAGGTTTTCAAAGATTTGTTGACTTAAAAAAAAAGGACTTAATCCGGATTATACTTCTTTTCGTAAGTAGTTATTTTCAAAAAAAAACATTATTGGCAAAAAAAGCTAAAGTTAAGCCTATAAAATCTTTGAAAACGAGAAAAAAAAAGTTTCCAGAGACATCCAGAAACTTATCAACTCTAACAGAAGCAGTCATACGTTTGCTCTTTGGAATTTCGTCGGAGATCGTACCTCCGGAAACGATACGGACGCAGAAGTCAGTGTCGTTGGCGCATCTCTCGACGGCTACAGAGCGAAAAAGGACGTTGTCGCCTCCCCGTAGACATTCCTTGTGCGCCGGGGGCACGTTGTATCTGCGCCCGCTCTTTATTGAAAACTCACCTTATCAGTTTATTTTTGACGGCTGACCAAAGGGTTCACCTTTAACGGTTGATTAAAAAAAAGCAGAAAGTGTAATTCAAAAAATCACGATAATACAACCCGAAATTATCTTAACTGGAAGGAGGTTTCTTGTCGCTATCCTATTTCTTGAGTATGCAAAGTTTTGCTTCCTTCAATAGGTATATCGTGAATGATGGACTCCTAGCTATTAAAGTCTATCAATCTTTCCAGATTATCAGAAAAAGGGAAGAAACATCATCGAAGCTTTAGAACCTGTTGAAAAGAGCCGTTTTGAGGGCGAAACGTTCGTGGTCGTTGGAATCGGCGTCGTCGATCTGCGAGACGCAGTGGTAGCAGCTGAGGGACGCCGCCACGCCGACGCCTATCCAAAGTCCGAAGGCCACGAAGACGCCTCCAGTTGACGTCATGGCATGTCGGCTTCAGAAGAGGTGGATTAGCCCTTGAGCCAATAGACTAAAGCTGGATTAGTCGCGCCGGAAATAAACGCGGTTGCCAGGGCGATTCGGAAAGTGTTTCCAAATTGCCGCCGCTTTTTCTCTCTCTTTTTCTTTGGCTTCTTCCCCCATCGCTCTTCAAGCGATAATTTTCACGCGAAGAAGTTTAGTCGATTTTCGCGTGATTCGCGCTCATTTAACTCCGTCGATGGCCTCCAAAGAAAACGGCGACCCTAACCTGGTTTGAAAGAGGAAAAGAGAGAGAGAGAGGATGGAAAGTAAAAATAATAACCAAGAATGAAAAAAACTTTGATCTCATCAAAATTTAAGATTTAGAAACTATTTGTTCAAATGTTTATTGGATTTTCAAAACGTTCTATATTTTTTCCAATCCTTCCAATTTCACTCTTTTCCTGGACTGGAAGTTTTTTTGAAGCCTTCCTCTTACAATTAAGAGAAATGAAGTCAATTAAATGTAAAAATCAATTGTACAATGTATAAAAATGTATAAATCAATCAAATAGATTACTGAATTTCATTTTTAGGTCGAAAAAAGACATGAAATAACTGTTTTACCCTTCAAGCTTTATTTACCCGAATATTATGAAGTAGATCTTCTTAAAGCCCCAATGTAAACAGTTTTTACAGGGCGGATATAAGAAACCGAAAATTATGGCTTTTCGTACTTTTCCCATTGCTTCGGTACATTCATCCGACTCAACAGCATTTGGAACATATCATCTGGAGTTTAGACGATTCTCAAAGTTTTTTTGGCGATAGTATCCATCGGACAGATTTCGACGATTGTCGCTTTGCGATGGGGCAAAATCCGCAAGTGGAAAGGTGTAAGCTTAGGTGGTATAAAAGAAAACGGGAAATTGTTGAAGGAATGTTTGACGAGAAACACCAAATAGCGATCGACTTGGCTGAAGGTCGCGACTGGATGGTCTTCGCCTGCACGGTTTTCGTCGGCATCTGCTTCTGGAAATTGGGCTCGTGAGATTTTGAAACTTTCATTTGGATACAGGACATATCTGCCGACATATTAGGATGTGAATATTAAGAGGAGTTTCGAGTCTTCTGTTGGCGAATCGCCACCAACGACTTATGAACGCACTGCGAGCCCAGACGCGCCAAAGACACTCGGCCGCCGTCGCCAACATCCATCGCGACTTTGAACTTCGAGCGGTAGAGCACAATCCACTCAGCTTTCAGTGGATGTATTTTGCAGAAAATGTTTGCCTCCGAGAATCCCTCAGTCGCACCGCAAGTTCTTCGCACTGTGAGTTCTTTTTGAAACTTCCGCCTTTTTCTTTGACTGAATTGAAATTTCAGATTCCAAAAGAGATTTCAAAAGCTTTGCTTGTGCACGGAACACCTCGCTTCTGAAATTTTTCTTTTTTCTAACGAAATATAAATTATTTTCACTAACACTCACTTTATACACGTCGTAGTTGTTTTCCTTTCTAGAAGAGGGCAAATTTTCCCGTCAGATTTTTTCTTTTTTTTTAGGATTGATTTGCCGAATTCGACGAGAAATTAGAGAAAAAGGTGAATATAGGCACCACACAAAAGTTCGAATCCTCGAAGATATATTTTTTTCTTTTTTCATTAATTGAATTAAGCGGAACAGATCGAAATTCAAAAAAAGTGTTAATGGAGCTCTCACTCAATTTCCGATGAATCGATTATCTCAATTTTGATTATCAATTTCTTGGGTTGTTTTAATCTGTTGCATTATAATTAGGCCACATACGAGTATCATGGTACATTGAAAACGGTAACGAAGTGAAGAAGAGATATTTATTCAATCAGTCAGGGTGATTTCTCGAGCTCTTTCGAGACCTTGGCTTCGAAGTCGGCGATCGTGGGGACAGCTGTCGACTTCGGCTTCTTTGGCTTTCTCCTCAGCTTTTTCGTCGTCACAACAGTCGTCGGCTCCGCTTTGATAGTGGTTGCTTCTAATTTAGTGGTCTCCACTTGGACTTTTATCGTCGCAGGCTTGTTTTCCAGAGGAGGCTTAGCGGCCAACTGGAAAGTTGAATCCGGATCGGCAGATTGGCTTTCTTTATTAGCGGAGTTGGCCAAGAAGCGTTGCAGGAAGGAGCTTTTAGTAGTCAGTAGTTCGGCGCCGCTGGAACGTTTTTTTTTGTTTGCCTTTAGTTTTTCGAAAAACTAACGATTGGGTTGACGTCTCGGAGTCGGAGGTTGTAGTGGAAGAATAGGTGAATTTGCCGGCCTGGCGCATAAAATCCAGCAAAAAGTAGCCGATTCCGAGGGCGACAAGGCAACTGGCCAACAACAGAACGAACGCCAAAATGCAGCAAGAAAGCATAGCCTTTCACCTTGTTCTTGCGCTTTTCTTCCTAGAGCAACATAAAGTAGGCTTTTCCTTAGACGAACCTCTTCTTTGGACGCGCTGCTGTGACTAGTGCTCATTTCTACAACAGAGTCTTTGCTGGGCTTCGTCGTCGAACTCGTCCTGAGCTTTTTTGTTCCACTTGTCTTAGTCGTGGTTTTGGTGTTGTCGGACTTGATCGATGGCGACAGGTTGATATCATCCTCTTCACCAAACGGAGCCGGTCCACTGAAAAGAGATCATGTTGAAAGCAATCTGATGCAACTAGAATCGTTACTTTGAATTTGGGTTTATGGCTTTCTGAACCTGGCGGTGGCGGCGGTAAAGCCGAGTTACTGGCGTTCAGTGGCTCGTACTCTTCCATCTGCAAGAAGACTTTCAAAGTTCATTCAGTCCAACTCACCTCTGTTAGTTACTATAAGAGAAATGACCACAGTCACATCTCTCCCGCTTTCTCGACACTTGAACGTCATTTTCCCGAGACTGCAAGGGGTTACATGTCTACTTTTTGATCTGTTCGCTTTCATCATTTCCAAAAGGCATGAAAACTTGGAAAAAAACGTGTTTGTACATGTTTTGCACAGAGCGATCATACTATAGACAAAATTAACACCATAAACAAAAATTTCATTTTCTGACTCGATTCTATTTTGAGAAGAGTTGAATTACCCATAAAAACGCTCTTCGAAACGGGCTTCTTGATAAGAGTTGGCGTCCAGGGAGCAAAACCCAAAGCGTCAACATTCAAACAAGAACCTTTTTCCCTCTCTTTTTTTTTTGCAGTGGTGACTGACCGACTTTATGGCTCTCGGCGGTTTTGCAGAAAACGCCTATCAAAACATTTTTCATGGAAAAGTGATGCTCAGCTGAATGAACGTTCAGTTCTTGTTTTCGGTTCGGTTCAAAATAGGTTTTATTCTTTTGAGTCTCACAGCTCACTCCAAAAAACATTCGAAAGATTCTAAGAAAAAAACGAAAAGCCATGAACTTTTCACGAAATATATATATGAAGGACTTGCTTCTAAGAAGTATCTCCGACTTCGAAATCATTTGGAGTAGACCTTCTTTTCAGAAGACGGTCTAGACTTTCTTCAGGCCTTTTCAGTGACCTCAAAGGCTCGTGCTCATCATAACGTGGATTTCACAACTCGCACTGTCACCATAGGAATGAGGAGCTTGATCCTGTCACGTGCAGGAGCTTTGCTCCGCGTTGACATTCAAAGATAACGACTGGCCCATTGTTCTCAGCCGCTTCGAACTCAAAAGAGCACCAGAGTTCCTTGTTTATCGCCATCTTTTGTTGACGAGATTTCATTCTTTACTTTGATTTTTTTTTTTGAGAATTACCACTCGAAAACCCTCGGAGCAACCCTAACTCTTCGTATAACAGTTTCTCAAAACCTCACCGTTTTTCTTATTTCAAAAGATAGTTCTGCGGAATTAAATCAAACTAATAATCAAGTTTATTACCTTCTTTTTTTTCTTTTTTTGAGAAACTGAGCACTTTTTATCCCTACTCCGGAAGAAGTTGATAAAAAGTTATCTAGATCGAAATTTCTGAAAACTGTTTCTTTTTCTTTTGTAGAACGTAACAACAAATTCTTAGTTCGCGAGGTTTTTGATCGAAAAACCCAATCTTGGTTATTTTGAGCTCTTGCTGTCATAGGTAATGCTTTTTTTGGAGGAGGCGGAGCTTCGATAAGAGCCGCTGCTTATCAATTCCCTTTAACCCTCACGACTCGCCCATTTCCCAGACCCGGTTCCCACGTTTCTGCCTCTTCGGCCTGAACGAGACAGTTTCAGAACATATACTTCCATGATATTCGGCAAGAAAACGACGCTTTCCAGCCCTCTTTCAGAAGGTTTTCAAAGATTTCCCATTCGTTCAATTTTCACCAACACTGTTTCGTTGATTTCTGTAGAGAAAATCTTTCTTGAAAAGTTGTTTATTTTTCTGGCTCTTTGAAAACCGCCTTTGTTCTTGGCATTTCTTATCAAAAAAAAAATTGTTTGCATTCTTTTTTGATTTTTGAGTTTCTGAAAGCATTATGAAACATGTGACATTGTAAAGTTCGCGACAAACTTTGATTGAGAGGCTCGCAAAACCAAAAATAACTTCGTTGTTGATCATGCCAAAGATATGTAGTTTGCTCTTTGGAGGGTTCTAAGTGCAAGCAAGATTTTCAGAGGTGCCCAAGAAGAGGAAGTCCCTGCTTCGGAAGCTGTCGGTCCTCTCTGGGCTTTCCTTTGACTCCTCGCCGTCGTATTCCGCGTCCTCGTCGCCCAGAACTCCTTCTCCTCGTCATACCCTGGACAACGTCCTTGTCAGGTAGCACAACCCAAAAGGTGAAAGCACGAAAACACTAGTTGTTTTCAGATGTGAACTGACGCTTTTGTCGGCTCTCCAAGGAGCACACTTGACTTGCGACGAGCGACAAAACTGCGCCGCCGAAATCGAAGCGATGACTTTTGTCGAAAAGCGTCACCTCATCGATTTCTTCCATGGCGAGGTCAGCAAACACTCAATATTTGACTTGTTTTCCAAGCACAATATCGTCTGATTTGAAGAAAATAAGAGTTCAAGCTTCTCTTTCCAGAACAACGCCGCAATCTGCGCCTTGGAGAACAACGCATGCAAGGCGTTCCTGTGCTCGACGCTGGCCACAGACGTGCTTCTCGACCATCCTGAGGCGAGTCTTTCTAGGCTATTCCCGAGTTATTGGCGATTTTCAGACGGTCTGTCAACTTTGGTCGAAGCTCTACCACGAGATCGTTCCCGCCTTACAGAGCATGTGCTACCCTTTGCAGGTGAGTCATTTCAAGCAAATTCACATCATTTTAGATCTTTTCAGGCGTTTGAACCGTCTTTCGATGTGCAGAAAACGATTTTGACGGCTTTTCGCGATAGAGTTCTTTCCAAGGTAATTTCATCGCCTCTCGCGTCATTTTACGGTTTTTTGATTGTTCTCACCTTTTATGATGACATTCCAAAAGCGAACAAAAAATCGAGTTGAAAAAAAAGAAAGTATGGGTGAATGAGGGATTCAGGAGAAAGGAAACAAACATTTTTTTCGTTTCTATGAAAAAAGAATATGTTTTTTTCATAAAACTTTGGTCAACCTGATTCAAAAAGGAAATCGAAAAGAGATTATTGCGTTCAAAATAATTGAGTCTTCTTCTTACGCCTTTGTACCGCTTGAGCGGTGTCGGCGCCCCAAGTCGATTAGCCGAGGTCCTATCTTGATCAGTGATAATCAGTGGACTGGCTCCAGTGACATATCCGTCCTTGTGTGTGACGGCTGGGGATTTTGAAGTCGTGGTCTCCCACTACCAACATTTCTTAAACCCCTTGGTTGGGTCGGGGCGGGGGTCGAACTTGTCGAACTTGTGACCCTGTGGACCGTAGACAGGCACACAACCTGTTGCGCTACGGCGCGCCCGTTCAAAATAATTGAGTGCTCTGTTTAAATACGCAAAAGTTTGATTTTTCAGCTCTAATAATCTTTGACAGAAATTCTTGAAGGTTTTGTGAATAGGCTATATTTTCCAGGGAGTCTGACTTTTCTCGAAATTATTCCTCACAAGGACCCTCCTTTCTAACCAACCATTATTGCAGCTCTTGCGAGACGTGCAGTTTTCGATTCCAGAAGTGCACGGCCTGCTGTTCACCATCATGCTCGAGACGGACAACGTCCCAGCTTCTTTCCGACAACTCGCCGACGTCTGCATGGGCAACACTCAACATTTTGCGGTTCGTTTCTTGCATCTTCTGTATCCTGTTCATGATCGAAGTACAGAGATACCGTGTGAAGCCGATCCGCTCCCGGACATTACCCAATGAGAGCCGGAAAAAGAGCGTTTCTTGGGTGGACGCCAGAAAATCGGCCACCTTTTCCACCTAATTACTAGTGTCTTCGTCGTCGCGGGTTCAAACCAAACTTGTTTCTGATTTCTGTTCATTTTGTTGTTCGTTCTCTGATCTCACCGAGCATTTTTTTCTTGCCGAGCTGGCGCCATTGGCCAATAAACTTGATTTCCCTGACCGTGCACTTGAATCTCGAATCTACAGCATTCGCAACACGATAAGACTTGTGGGTGCAACGTTTTCGTTTCTCCGGTCAATTGAGATATCAACTCTGAGAAAAGTTTGAATCCAGAAACTCATTATAATTTTTGGGAACGTCTTTTAAAAAAAATATCTTTTCTAATTCTCGAGGAGTTGGAATCATGCAGGCAGATAAAAAAATTCAAAAGTATTATACAGGCGTCAGTAAATATACGAGTGAATAACTAAAAAAATTATATTTTTTTGAAAAATCAAGCGGCATAAAAAAATTTCTTGTATTTATTAAAATTAAGAAGTTGAATAGTGGAGCGTGAAAATTCCTGCCTTGTTCTAAATTCGAAAAAAAGTTAGCCTTCAGGGAGTGAAAAAATAACTGGATTTAGGAGAGCCTGAGAAAAGTTTGCATTTACTTTGAACACGACATCAATTTTTGTTGGTTTCATTCACCTTTGTTCGTTCAACTCTTCTTTCAGAGTCACGAAAAAGGCATTGATAAAGCGGATTATTTTTGCTGGCCTTGCAAAGAGTATCAGGCACAGAGTGACACGGCCGCATCGTTTTTCCAACCAATCAAACCGAAAATGGCTGAGATCTCCATGTTCATCGATAATTGCCAAACTCAGTAGGACTACAACGTTTGGTTCTGACTAGCTCTTGCCTGCGCGGTTTGGAAAAAAAAGCAGCTGACGTCGAAAAGACCGTTCTGAGATAAGAACATGATAAGAAGTAAGCTGCTGGGAAATCGGGCGGGTACATGTTTCGCGCCACTTTCTCCTCTTAATATCTTGATTGACGGATGGGAGTTAAATTGATGTGTGGACCAAGTAAGTTCAAAGCAAGGACGAAGAAATTTATGGGAAGAAGAGGCAGAAAATTGTCAGTTCGATTGTGTTTTGACAGAAGGCGTGGATGCAGCACTTGTGTTCTGAAAGATTTAGTTTTATCGTGATTCTAATTGAAGTGGGTAAAATATTGGTGAATTGAAGGAAGGAAGATTACTTACGGCGGCTGCGGGGCAGGGCGTATTTAACGGCAGACGCATCAGGAAGTTCCCAGAGACGCAGAATTTCGAAGACAAACGCCCCGACGAATAAGAACTGCAGCATCTTGAAACTCGAAATGAGAAGATTCGATCTGGAATGAAATGAATTATCCTTGAAACGTGGTTTATGATTAGGATAAGAACCAAACTCATTTCTTCGCTTTTTTCGTCTTCAGGGACAATCTGGTCATGGTTAGCTCTAGGCCCAGACGAAGCCAGTGTCTTAATTAAGATCGAATTGATGTTCCTTTCTCGTTTTCCTTTGTGTTTCAACAGCAAGTGAGAAAGATATAAAGCAACAAAATGTGATTTCATTTTTCAGAGGCGGCCGATCGCCATGTTCACGGTCATGAACGTGAGAGCAGTTTTTTAACCAAAGACAAAATCCTTTCATTATTTTGATCAAATCATGTTAGTTCGAGCGTCTCCTTTACATATTTCCTTCGATGAGGGCGTTGAGCAAAAAAAAGCTGTTTTGGAATGGACTTTTGGAAGAACCGAAAATGCCTATGTTGAGAATATACGATCGTGGCGACGACGTCGCTGGTCATTTGCACGTTATTCTTCTTGTTCGCTGTTTTCGTGCTCGTCTTCAATGTCCGTCGCGCCATCAAGGTCTGCCGCCGTCGCAAGCTCAATTTCTCCGAGATTCGTGTCAGTAATCTCCACTTTTTAAATTTATATTTTGTTTTGCCTTGAAACTCCGGTGAAAAGCAACTCTGAGTGCTCTGAGTTATGAACTCAGTTCGCAAAGCTTCGAATTTAGGGCGCAATTAGCTTTTTATGAAAGAAAAATAAACCTCTTTTCCTTTTTCTCTCTCCAAAAACTTTTTCAGCCCAAAAAAGCATCTGATAACTTTTAAAACTCTTTGCAGTCACTTTTTTGCAGTCTTTCTCGTAAATTCGAACAACTATTTTCCAGCGAATTTTTTTCCGAATTTTTAGAACGTCTTATATATTTCCAAACATTAATTTCGTCAATTGATTTCTTCAATCAATAAATCATTTCTTTGTTATTTTTTTCATAAATGCAATCGACTAAGCGCTGAGCAGGAATTTCTTAAGCTATAACGAATATAACCGCCTTTGGCGAACTAGAAGTTCAAACGTGTAGTTGATCTAGTTAAAAACGGCGTTACTGTCCTTCGCCTCTTTCTTCTGCGGCCACTTCGAGTTCACACGGAAGATGAAAAATCTTGCGTGGTAATGATGAAAAATTTGGATTTTATTTGAAGAATAATAAAATTTTGTGATTTTAGCAAGTCGACTACGTCTCTGTCGTCGGGAAGAAGAACACGGGCAGAGGTTTTCTTTGCCACTATAACACAATATTTTTTCTTTCAGACACTACCGACGTGTCAGTTGTCAGTTCAAATCAAGGGGTGAGCATCGTCGACTCGAAGATAGAATCGGAAACCACTCGCTATTAGGACCTATTTGAACTTTCTACCCAAATAAATTACATTTTTTCAAAAACTGTGTATGAAAAGCAGATTTTTTTTTTGCTGGTTTCGCGTCTTAAACGGGCATCTGAGTATTCTTCTATCAAGTTATTCAGAATATCCTACAGTATAGCTAATTCACGACTTACTTGAGCCATCGAAAAAAGGGTCCTGACACGATAATAAAGAGACAGTGCCTCGTTGTTGGAGAGCGCAGACACGCCATGCCCCTTTTTGAATAGTCGGTGGCGTTTGAGTTGAATTCGTGCCAAGAACCGCGTACGCACACGGTACGCCTCCCGCCTTCTTCGCTTCAATCGCCTTTCAAGTCGAGATGGATTGACTATATACTTTTAGTTTTCTTCGTGTTGAGCTTGTAATGATTTATTTTAAACTCATGGCATAAATCAAAAAATTGTTCGACCTAACTTCTCCGTGGAATTTCAATAAGTTCATTTTCTAAAAGCAACTTTTACACAAGTTCTCCGTTTGCAAAATGAAAATTGAATGTCAGTTTTCTGCTTTTACTCTAATTTGAAAGAGTTTGTTCTCAGATTACGACACAGTTAGTCTGGTCGCCATAATCGTCTCAGCAGTATCCTTCCTGCTCTCCCTTGCCGTGGCCGTCGTTTCTGCTCTTCGCTTTCGCAAGAAGTTGAAGCGCCATGCCCGAGGCTTCGGCTACAGCGCCAAGGTGTTTCTTTTCCACATTTTTGAGCGTTTATGTTTGAAAAGGCTCGCTGGTGTGTTAGAAGACACTTGAGCGAAGATGATAAAGCTCTTGGGTAAGGAGCCTTTTTCGGACTTATTTATTTCCGATTCCACTTAAAATTCAAGTTAAATAACGCGGTTTCGCTTCGCTCCGCAAAGTCTGAGGACTGTATTCGAATATATATTTTACTGGTTTTCAGGTTGTGGAATTGCAAAATCCGAAGAGCGATATGGGTTTGTGTACTTCTTTTTGTATGATTTTAGCATTTTTTTTCCGCAGATGATACCAAAAACAAAGTGCAACAACAGCAAATTCCGGCCAAAGAGAAAACTCCCGTACCGAAAGATAAAACAAAAACGAAATAAGGATTTTACTATTTACATTTTTATTAATTGAAAAAGCTCTCGAAAAGCTTAACAAAGATTGCAAGTCTTGGCGCAATATTTTTTACGGTCGGCCGGTGAGTAGAAGGGATTGGTGCAGAATCCGTTGGCCGCCCATTGAGTGCAGCTATAAGTTCATTTTCTTGAGATTCTGAAAAGGCGAAAGTAGGTTTTACTTCGGTGTCGAATCGACACACGGGGCTGCGGTCCCGGCGGACGTTCCTCCGCTGCTTCCACAGAATCCGCAAGTTGCCGGACAGTATCTTCAATGCATTTTTCTTTATTTTCTCGAACAAGTTCCGCAATTGCAGATCGCGAACAATCCCACGAAAAAAACTTTTTTCTTTGATCCCAAACATTTTCTGATGGTGATTAAACAGCAATTTGCAAAAATGTTCAATTAAAAATGGAGAACTTATTAGAATGATTAACTCGCTTAAAATTTAATCTTTCGCTCTGAAATTGGAAAAGATAATTGAAAATCCAAGCAAAGCAAACGCTTTGATGAACGTCTACAGTGAAACTTAGAAGCAAGTTCTGATACTATTCCACGTCTAGACGCGCGAGTCGTATCGAGTCTGATGACCACAACTTCTTCGCTAACATCGAGCCAAAAAACTTCATAACTCACTGCTTCATGAGCGGCACATATTGAGGATTCGAACATTGGGCTTTGAGATTCGCGCAGTTGGCTGAAGGAACATCGGCGCAAGACGAGGCTGAATTTATTTTGAAAGTTGGAGATTCGGTGGAAATGTTGACTGACCAGTAGTGGCTCCGGAAGCTCCGGTCGTTCCTCCAGAAGCAGTTGATTTCCCAGAAACCGTGGATCCTCCACTGGGCGTAGTTTTCCCGGATGGTTTTTCAGTCGTTGAGGAACTGGAACCAGCCCCAAAAGCTTAAAATAAAATTTGAAGCCCGTTTTTTTCTCAATAGTGAAAATTATTGAAACATACCGGAAGCAACAAGAAGAGAAATGACAAGAACTGCGAGTTTCATGACGAGACGAGAAGCAGTGTCGTGCTTTATCTCATCGTTGTTTTAAGACAAGGCCTTAAGCTGCTTTCAGCCTTATCATTCCGTGTATGACGTGTTAAGTCTTTTTGTTCGGAGGATGAAAATGTTCAGAAGAACTTTTAAAAAAAAAGTGAGAGTTTTCGTACTGTGAAAACTGAAAGAAAAGGAATATAAGTTCATGATACTATATGCGAATTGGAAACAGACTGAACACATTCTTTTGTGATTTCTATCTTTTTTTTTGGTTTCCAGTTTTATGAAAAAGTTCAGTTCGAAAAAAAGTGAAATTTGAACAAAGAATTTCAAGCCAAATTAATAATTATTCGAAAATCCGAGAATTTGCTTAGCTCAGCTTTCCCTACTGCCGCACTATTTCTCCTAAAAATTGAATCAGAATTATCTTATTCGAATTAAAATTGAGAGGGATGAGTTTATTTTATTTTTTTAAATTTAGTAACTTCCGGAGAATCGGTTTTAGAATGTTCAAACATAAAAAGCCCCGAACTGATCAAATGAGAACTTAGAAGATGAAACTTGTGTAAAACTCAAGATATATCTTGATGAAAACATTTAGGAGAATAAGGAATGAAAAACACAAAATCCAAATGAAAACTGAGGAGCACCCAAAACGGTCAAAAAATTACGCGCCCGAGTCTATTCTTCGACTTGAAATCATTATGTTTATGAACTTAATGAAAATAAGGCTGTTTGTGTTAATTGCGCGTTATTCAACTCAAACCGATAAACTGCGCCTAAAATAATTTTATCATGAGAGAAAAAATTCCCTTGATCGCCGATTATTCATTTGATTTTTTTTTGTTTGAATAATTCATGAATGTTCTCTGATTTTTATAAAGAAATAAAAACGGAAGTAAAATGGGAAAATGAAATAGTTTCGAACGACTTCAACAAAGATTACAAGTTTTGGCGCAGAACTTTTTCCGCTCTTCTGGCGAGTAAAAAGGGTCCGTGCAGAAACCGTTGCCTGCCCAGGCCTTGCAGCTAAAATTCTGGGATCACTCAAGCGTTTCTCCAGTTCACCAACTTGTTGGTCGTGTCGGAACATGGGAGAGGAGTTGTAGGTCCGCAGAAGCCACAAGTTTTCGAGCAGTACCTAAGAAGCATAGCAATTTCGATGGAAAAGGTCAAATCCTTCGTGACGAGCGGTTTATTCGGTTTCAACTCTTGATCATTGATATGAGTTAAATTATACTGGGAACACAATAGGTTCGTTGAAGTATTTTGTATCATTCTGGATTCGCTAAAAATAAACGTTTTTTTGATATCTTACTGGTGGAGCATTGTCGAGTACTGCGGATTCGAGCACTGCGTTTTTAGACTGTTGCAATCAGCGCCCGGTTGATCCTGGCAAGTTGGCGCTGAATAGGTTTTTGTAATATTTAATTTTCCAAAAAATTACCTGTCGTTGTTGGACCACAAAATCCGCATGTCAAAGGGCATTCTCTGCAAAACAAACAAAGAATATGTCATTTTTTCTACTTTTATTCAATATTTTCACTTCAAAAACCAACTCTCTCATGATCTGCTCCATGTTTTTGTTGGCGCAGTAGCTCAACAAAGTCGAACAATTGGCGGCGGGGTCGTCGGCGCACGGTTTTTCTGCAAAAAAAAAAGCCGTCGTCCAATAACCGCAAGCTCAAGTTACCTGTAGTCATCGGTCCACACAAGTTGCAGGTTTTCGGACATTTTCTAAAACTCGAATGTCTACAGGGAAACAGAGCACAGTTACAGTTTCAACAGAGGCTGCAAATTCCCGTCAGAGCACATGTTGGCCATATCCTTGCAGTCTGCGAGTGGATCATCTTCGCAATCGGCGGCTGAGTTTTTATGATTTACTTGAGAAAAGAAAAGATGACCTTTTCCTCAAAATCATCTGGGAATTTCGACTGGTATATCAAAAAACAAGTTATTTGAAACTTAACTGGAAATAAATCGAACTATTCGTTCAAGTTCAAAAAAATTGCGTACTTGTTGTAGGGACTTCCGTCGTGGTAGACTTGTCGTCTTTAACGGACCGACCTGAGAAAAATTTCTTCAGATAACATTTTATTCATCACAAATCTACTGAAAGCTTTGAAACCAACCTTGGGAGATAATGAGCAAAAAAAATAAACAAGCCGATTTCATTACGATGAATGGTAAAAGACAGACCTTATCTTCATCGTTTTTCACGCTTTAAAACACCTTGTTAAGCTTCTTTACTCCGTATCACAGAAGGAAACCTGCTTACTAAGAGGCTTCGTCTTGTATTCTCATCATTACGTTTAAATCCATCAAGATAATCCGATCGAAAAGACCACTCTAGACAGAAACGCTTGGCAATGATTTGGTACGCCCCCGCCGTCTGTTGCCAGCCTGTTTGCTTGGCCGAATGCAAGTGAGTTGTGCTGTAGTGCAGAGCGTCGCGGGTTCGCTCCCCGTAGACAGCCAGTGAAGTTAAATTGAGCATATAACCTATTATTGATGAGGATAATAGCGATCTGAGGCTTTTGCCCTGCAGCGTTCTGCTTGTATTGTGATTTTTTATGTTTAGAAATAAATTTTGAAAAATAGGCGAAACAAAGTTGCATCCTGAATCGCTCCTACAAAAATCAACCTTCGTCCGATTTTTCACTTTTTTAAAAATTTTTTCATTCCATTTTGAAAAATTTCAATATATTAAAAACTTTGAAAAAAACTTATAGTCTGTTCAAAAATTCCTTTGCAGGGTTATCCAAAAAAATATCAAAGCGATTTTTTTGTTTTCGGCATAGTTATTTGGTCTCTACGCATCGAGATCTTTATACTTTATACTTCTTCATCAGTCCAATATTGAATCTCGAAAGAACTAAGATTACACACTTGTGACCGCGGTACCGCAAAAATTCTATATGCAAAATTTTTTTTTAAAAACAAACGAAAGAACATTTTTGGTGTCGCTGTGCATGGTCGCTCCAACGTAATTTCTAGAGAACTCTTAAGAGAATAACCAACTCTCAAATGACTGCTAGGGAGCCGCTAAGCAGTGTAGATTTACGAAAAACTTGTTCAAATTTGGAAATTTTCGAATTTCAATTTTCAGTTTTTTTATATCTAAGATTTTCATGAACTTTAAATTCCATTTGATGAAAGAACATTTTTTTTTCTTCGAAAACTTGGTTGCTCCGAATGCTCGTTATGAAAAATGCGTTTTGTAAAACGAAAAGTAAAGCCACCGGTATTTGTACAGATTGCCTCACGGTAAATCGACCCCAGATTTCTCAACGGGGCGCGCTTTCTTCCATCCCATTTTTTTCTTATTTATTTCTTCATTGCAAATATGTTTCTGTTCTAGTTTTTTTCTACTCTTTCTATTGTTATTCATTTTTCACGCTGTCGTATCGTACTTTCATAGAGCTAATATTCAATTTTTTAGATTTTCGAATCAAATTTTTCTCAAAAAAATTTCGGAGTCAAGGTATGACCTTTCGAAGCGCAGCCGCACACAAGAGAATGCGCGCGCGGTGTGGTATAGTCTATTCAGATTTTGAATGTCAAGTGCAATGACGTCATTCAAAAACACTCTGTGGATGGCTCGCTCTCTGATTGGTTTATCGCACCATCAGGAGCGGAGCTTGAGCGACGACTTGAAATTCAAAATCTCAACAGACTATATTGTGATCTGGCGACTGCCGAAGCAACGGCAGCGAGAAGCAGTGGCATGGCGGCGGATCGGTACTAGCGAGGTGGATTTTTAATGTGCCTTTACAAGACCTGGGAAAGCCTGTATTTGCAAAGGAGGAATATACGTTTGTCCACTGGTGAATCGATAGGTAGATACAAGTAGGTACCGGGTAGCGACTCAAGTCAATCGGCGAATGCTAATCGGTGGTCATTTGTATGCGACCGGGTACTATCTCACCTTTGTCATGAGCTCGAAACTGATGAAAACGAAACCGTTTGAAAAAATTTGTATGCTTAGAATTCGAATTTTGTAATAATTTCACTGAACGAATTAAAGATCCAAAAATCTCAAAAATTAAATCTTAGCTCTATGAAAGCACGATACGACAATGGGAAAATGAATAACAATATATTGCAAACTTGCATCCTCCAACCGTTATAACTTTTCCGCCGTTATAACTTTTTCATCAGGGCACAATTTATCGCATGCCAGTTTTTCCACCCTTTTCAAAACGCCGTGCAATAGAAAGAGTAGAAAAAAATAGAACAGAAACACATTTGCAATGAAGAAACGAATAAGAAAAAAAAATGGGATGGAAGAAAGCGCGCCCCATTGAGAAATCTGGGGTCGATTTACCGTGAGGCAATCTGTACAAATACCGGTGGCTGAAAAGTAATACTAAAGAGTTAATTTTTACAGATGTCAGTAGAACAGTTCATCAACGATGAGCTGCTCTCGATTGTGGGTATCAGCGACCGAACAATATGCCAGTTTGTGCATTCTATGGCGAGAAGAAGTAAAAGCGCCGCAGATCTAGTAGAAAAATTACAAGATGGAGCGTCCTTTGACATAACTCCAGCAGTAAGAGCTTTCGCTTCTCAACTCATGGACAGAATGCCAAAAGCTGGTAAGTGATTTTTTCTTGATGTTGTCAACACAATCTTTCAGCGCCCGTATCACAGAGAAACAGAGGACCATCGGCTGCAGAACAACGCGCTTTTGAAATGAGTCGCCTAAACAACTCCATGTCTCTTTTGGATGACGACGCTTCGAATGGAAAGCGTCGTAACGTTCGGAAGCGCAAGGAAAGCAGCAGTGACGACGAGGTGGAAAAAGAGTGAACGAAATTCGTGTAGCCCCAATCTTACAGACAGCGGCAACTCGTGCAACGACCTCGAAAGCGCAAAATAAAAGAAGAGACGAGGAGTCAGAGGATTCAGACATCGAACAAATTGAGGGTCGATTGGACGATGACATCAGGTTGATAAACCCAAATTTGAGGTAAAAAGGGCTTTTTTCTCAGGGAAAGAGACGCATTAGCAGCACGAATCAGACAAAAAGACAAGGATAAAACGCGGAATGTCATGGAGAAAAAACGCGACAATAACAAGGTTCCAGAAAAAAGTTTTAAAAAAATAGCAAACAAAAAATCAGGACAAAGAGGAGATGCCGATAGATAAGCTGCGTGAGGAGTCGCGAAGGCTTTACTTGGCGAAACGAAAAGCGGACAAGTTAGAAGAGCTCGAGGCGATCGTCCACGACGACGAGACGCTTTTCGCGAATGAAAAGTAACTGAAAAACCTTAATCTTGTAATTTTATTTTTGAGGCTCACTAAGAAAGAACGAAATGACATGGAGTACAGGAGAAAGGTTCTCGAGTACGCCAAGAACCACGACAAAGCCGCCGATGTGATGAAGATCAAGAGGTACGAGATGTAGACAAGGCTTCTGAAAACGTTTTTTTGTAGATATCACTTGCCTGATGCCACTTCAAGGGCCATTCCTACAGATTACGTCGAAGAACCTGACGAGTTCCGTGTAGGAGGTGAGCTTTGATTCTAAACTGAAGGAAGAATAGAAGTGAATTATCTTGATTCAGTTGAATATTTCAATGTGAGTTACGGAAAGGTTAGAAAACATTGTGAGGCTCTTCTGAAATCCCTGTCGATGTGTTCAAAGGCGCATAGACGGGCTTCATAAATATCATTAGACTAAAAGTCAAGTGTTATTTTTGTTCTAGAAGGTTTTTACCTCTTCAAATTGAACTCTTGCAATCTTCAAGGCGATGTGAGTTACGGAACTTTTTCAAACGAATTATTCAAAAAGCCTTGCAACTCATTTTTTTATGTTGATTCTCAGGTGATGGCGCTAAATGGGAGCAGGAACAACTTCTGGCTAGTATGGTTCATTATGGTGCTAAAGACGCGAAGCAGGTTTGAGCCGTGAAATGTTCCATTGTGGTTGGGTTTGAACTTCAGAACCAAGAAGAGTTTGAACTGTTGCTCGATGAGAAGATCGACTTCATCCAGGCTCTTCAAATGCCAGGAACAGAAGAAAAAGACGAAGTAAATAGGATCTTCTTTGAATTAATAAGTGAAGACTTGAAGAAAGTGACCGAGTCGGAGAAACGGAAAATGTCCCTCGAGGAGACACGACGGTCTTTGCCGGTGTACGCCTTTCGCGAAGCCTTCATCGAGGCTGTCAAAGAGCATCAAGTTAGAAGTTGAGGCCTCGGAGTACCCAGCAAGCGATTTAGGTACTTATTATCGAAGGCGAGACGGGATCTGGTAAAACGACGCAGCTTCCGCAATATCTGTATGAAGCGGTTCGTTTTGAAAAAATCGAATAACATGATTGAAATCAAAGTGATCATAATCTTGAGCTATCCTGCTCTCAGAAACAAAGTATTCTGAGATAGCTAAAAGCCTTCTCTGGTCTTATCTTCTGACGCTTCCTTTTTATTGCAAGAAGTTTGAAGGGCTTCTGCGAAGGCGGCAAACGAATCGGATGCACGCAACCGCGACGAGTCGCCGCCATGTCGGTCGCGAGTCGCGTCGCTGAAGAAGTTGGCTGCAAACTCGGCACTCAGGTTCGAGAACTTCAAAAAAGAAGAGGACCGAAGTGTATATCATTGTGGAGAGGTTCAATGAAACTCGACATTTTGAGCCAAAAATACATTCACTAGTTTTAAATGTATCTTCTAGAGAGGGAATTATCATTAGCAGTTCGTTTTCTAATTTTTGTAATGTTCACTTTTTTAATCTTTGTAGATGCGGAGAAAAAATTTTTAAAAGGTTGAAACTTGAAAAATTTGATAATGAAGGAAATTCTCTCATTATCAACTTCAAAAATTATAGAAACGTTCTCAAAAAAAATCTAAGAAAGTCTAGATAAAATTGTCTCCAACTACACAGATTCTTAAGCTTCAACGAAGAGCTTTCAAACTTGGAATATTTTCCATTCGTAGCTTCAGATTCATAATAAATTTAATAAAACTTTCAAAGTTCCGACAAAAAAGACTCTCTTGGAAGCTGTTTTCGATTTTTATGAGGAAAACAAAAACCAATCTCAGGGACGTTGCAGGTCGGCTACAGCATCCGATTCGAAGACTGCACTTCGGAAAAGACGATGCTCAAGTACATGACGGACGGAATGTTGTTGCGAGAGTTTCTCAATGAACCCGACTTGGCCAGCTACAGGTTGGTCGTTGAATTATTTTTGGAAAATGAGCGGTTCATAAAATATAATATTCCAGTGTCATGATGATTGACGAGGCTCACGAACGTACTCTTCATACAGATATTCTTTTCGGTCTTGTCAAGGATATTTCGAGGTTTAGAAAGGTATTTCAAATTTTGTTTTGAATTCCGTCTGAGCTTCAGTAATAACTTTGATGGAAAATATATTTGACTTGAACATAAAAGAGCATACATTTTTCGAAGCTTCGATAAGAAAAAGGAAGATTTTCAAATTTCGTAGCTCTGGTTCAAGCTTCAGGCTTTTTAGAACAATTTCAATGACCTTTTCGAGCTTTGTGAAATGTCTTTCTTTTTTATACAGAACGATTTTCTTTCGAGTTCTATGAGGGGTTTCTCATAATATCTAGCAGTTCCTCTGACATTCTGGTCTTTTTATCAAGAAAAATATTTTGATAGGTTGTAAATAATGATATGAGAAGTAACTGCATGGAAATAAATAGAAACCCGAATTCAGTAAAATATTTACGAAAATATCTTGTCTTATGAAATCATTGGTCAAAATCTACAAAGCTTGTAGTTTCTGGACTTTAACGAATGCGTAGTAGAAATTTCATTGCAGGACCTGAAACTGTTGATCTCATCGGCGACGCTCGACGCGGAGAAGTTCTCTTCTTTCTTCGACGACGCACCCATCTTCCGAATTCCCGGCCGACGGTTCCCCGTCGACATCTACTACACACAGGCTCCAGAAGCCGACTACCTCGACGCGGCCATCGTCACCGTCATGCAGATCCATCTGACCCAGCCACTGCCAGGAGACGTCCTCGTCTTCCTTTCTGGTGGGCCCAGAAGACGTCGCCGCGTCATCGCTCTTTTCAGGCCAGGAAGAGATCGAGTCCGTGCAGGAAGCGCTCATCGAAAGGACCAAGGCCCTCGGAAGCAAGATCAAAGAGCTCATCGTTTTGCCGGTTTACGCCAACCTGCCTTCGGACATGCAGGCGAAAATCTTCGAGCCGACGCCGCCAAACGCCAGAAAGGTGGGTTGCTCTCCAGGCTGTTTGAATTTTCACCCTTTGTTTTTGTTGGAAGAGGAGTTGAAAACATACGTGGGTTAGATCCAACCCGATGGCGAACGAATGACGGTACATATTCGAGTTTTTCGCGCACGAAATTCTGTGCTGGAATCCATTTTTGAAAATCTCCTTTAGGTGGTTTCTGGCGACAAACATCGCAGAAACATCGGTGACGATTGATGGAATTTCGTATGTCATCGACCCCGGATTTTCTAAACAAAACTCTTTTGACGCGAGGAGCGGTGTTGAACATTTGCACGTCGTCACAATCTCCAAGGTTTCGCCTCATTTGAAATTGTTAGCATAACGCCAGAAAACGTTAAAAAAGTTGTTAATAAAAAAAAGATTTTGACTTCTTGAAAATAGATTATTATTATATGAGACAGAGACGTATCAGAGTTGATAATAGACGGAAGGCGACCACCGGAGGCTGGGCAAAACCAAAGCTCTTCATAAAAACTCGAAAAGAGATAATCTATAAAAGCCCTTATCGAGCTAAAATGAGCAACATTTTGAGGAGGTCATAGGGTATCGCTCTCGTTTAGACTAGAAACGCAGGAAATAGAGGCCAATGAGAAGGAAACAGGCTTAATGTCTGAAAAAAAAACTCAAGGTCGAGTTGTAACTTTGAATGGGAGTTTGAAGGCAGCTGCCAACCAACGAGCTGGACGAGCTGGACGGACGGGACCCGGCAAATGTTTCCGGCTCTACACGGCGTGGGCCTACAAGCACGAACTAGAAGAGCAGCCCATTCCTGAGGTTTTTTTTAATCTTTTTTTTGTTTGTTTTTTCGAGTATTGATAACTTCTTGCATATTATTTTTTTTCAGATTCAAAGAACCAACTTGGGAAACGTTGTGTTGATGCTAAAATCTTTGGGAATCCACGATTTGGTCCACTTCGATTTTCTCGATCCGCCGCCCCAGGTTACAAATGAAAAAAAAAGACGCATAGAGATAGCTTTTTTCTGTATTATCAACTTTACTTGTTGATTTTAACCCAATTTATTTGACTCCTGTCATATTAAAAACAACCTTTAGAGACCGAAAAAGGAAGAAAAAATGGGGTTACTGTGATTAAGTGCATCATTTGATTCACTTTCTTTTCACAGGAGACGCTGGTCATCGCGTTGGAGCAGCTTTACGCGCTGGGAGCTTTGAACCATCGCGGCGAACTGACGAAACTCGGAAGGAGAATGGCCGAGTTCCCGTGCGACCCTTGCATGAGCAAAATGATCATTGCCAGTGAAAAGTCGGGTGCAAAAAGTCCTCTCTTCAATACAGTAACTCTCTTCAGATACGAATGTTCTGAAGAAATCATCTCGATCTGCGCAATGCTTTCCTGTAACGCCGCTGTCTTCTACAGGTCAATCACAATTCATATTTTTGTTTTTTTTCATAAATCGAATCCTTTTGGACAAAAATATAATTTCAGATAATGGTACCTGTAATCGATCTTTGTATAGACTGAAATTCAAGTGATTTTTATTATTTTTCTTAAAATACTCTTTTAAGTACAAAGAGGAATAAAAAAATGTTTAATTTTTTTCAAGTCACTTTATGAGGGAAGGTTTATGTTAGTTTCGAGGATTGAGAAACAAGACTATTGTTCCAAGAAATGCCATCGAGATCAGAGAAACAGTGAAGCTCAGTTCGAGAATTCACATTTTGAAAGTTAAAGAGGGTTTTTTTGGTTAGCTCCAGTTCATAGTTGAGAAAAAAATAAATTTTTTTTTCTTCTTTTTTTTTGTTTTTTTAAGAGTTATATTCTGAATCTACAATGAATAGGAGAAACTGTCGTTATTTTCAGACCGAAAGCGATGGTGATCCACGCGGATTCCGCCCGAAAAGGATTTTGGAGTCCAGCCGGAGACCACATAACTCTTCTCAACGTCTACAACAAGTGGAAGGAGACCAATTTTTCGCAGCAATGGTAAAGGTTCCATTCAAATTTTGAACTGACAATTCTTCCAGGTGCATGGAAAACTTCGTACAGCACAGAACCATGAAACGAGCCAGAGACGTCCGAGATCAACTCGAGGGGCTTTTGGAACGCGTCGAAATCGATTTGGTTAGATTTTTTTTTTTCGGTAGCATGGAAGAGGCTCAGGAGATGAGAAAAGAAATGAGGGAAAGCTAAGTAAATTCTGAGAGGCGAGCCAGCGTTTGAGAAGGTATCGTTGAATTACTGCACGAGCCTAAAAAAAAAAGAAGTCTTGCGTCGATTTTCATTGACCTACATTAGCTTGAAACTCTGCAACTTTTTATCTGTACTCAAAAAAAGCTCTGGTGAATCGTGCAATCAACAAAAAAAGTTTTTTCGTTCTGCGGAATTGTTTAGAGAAGATTTTTGCAGAAGTCCTCCACGGATACCATCGCCATTCGCAAGTGCATCACCGCCGGCTATTTTTTCAACGTTTCGAAGCTCGATAACGCCGGTTTGTTTCTTATGATTCACGCAAGTTTTCTTATGTATAAAAAATCGATTCAGAATATACGTCCTATTCAAAACGCGAGAAATATATTTTTTTTTCTGTTGACGAGCATATTCAAAAACTCAGTTATTCTCAATAGCCTTGTGATTTTCGTCAGAAAAAAATAGAAAAAAATAAAGATTTTTTTCTGCTCTTTTTATAGTTTTTGCTGTTTTGCTTACCAACAGTAAGTGTAGAAAAAGTTAAGTCTAAATACTACACAAAAGTTCAAAAGATTAAAGATTTTCTTATTCAATTTTTTGGAGATATCTCTTTTTTTAGAGATCTTTTTGTTTAGCATTAATTTGTTCTTATCTCAGGTAAGGTTATCTGAGAAATTTCTCCTTTTAAGTAGGTTCGGCAATTTTCTGTTCTTCGGCACACAAAGTTTTTAATAGATTAAATGAAGGTCCTGCGCGTCTCAGTATTAGAAATTTCTTATTTTTCCAAAACCGAACCCTTTAAAGTTTTTTTAGAAAGTTCTCTCATTTCGACGCGTGATGTATTTTTTTCAACTTTGAAGCTTTTTGAAAACTTTAAAAAAATTTTTAGTTAGTTCCTAGTCAAAAAAATACGTAGACCAGTTTTCGGAATGTTTTAGCAAGTAGTGAAAAGACCTCACCATTGTGTGAGTAGAGAACGCCATTTTCCGAGATTTTTTTTCTAAGTGGAAAAGGACGCCGTTTTGGAAATGTGATGGAACTTTTCTGGGATGTGTTTCAGAGAAAACCCATCTCCGACTAGAAAAAAATTTTTTTTGCGTTTTTCCTTTTTGCCGAGCTCAAAGCTTTTTTTTTCTTGGAGAAAATATCACATCCCACAAATGGAGAAACCACTTTCATGATTTTAGAACTTGCTAGAATTATGTCGTCGAAACACTTTTAATTGTACTGAATACAAACTTTCGGAACTTTTTTTTTCAGAACTGGCGCCTTTCAGTTGAAATTGCCTTGGAAAAAGCTTTATTGACGGAAAACTTGAAATTCTTTCAACGAACAAAAAATTTTAGACACTGAAATCCTCAGGATTTCCTCAAAATTGTGAGAACCTTTTAGAACAGTCCAGTTTCAGTGCAATAGTTTTACCTCAACCTCTGTTATCAGTTCTTGCGAATAAAAGCCAATTGCAGGACACTACAAGACGGTGAAACACAAGCACACAGTTCATCCGCATCCCAACTCGTGTCTCTTCGAAGTTTTGCCCAAGTGCGTCGTCTACTACGAACTCGTTTTCACCAGCAAGGAATTCATGCGCGAGGTCGGTCCTTGCCTATTATTCCAACTGCAAGCCTCGACGTGACGTATTTAATTATATTTTTGAACCTTGTTTGGTTAGGCTCAATTGCACTTTCCTTGAGATATCCACTTAAAATCGTCTTACCGAGGAACACTTCAGTAATATGATTCTGTTTGAGATATTCTCTTGATGACTAGACTATTTTTTTTTTCTAAGGATGGGGGTCCGTCCTTTTTTTTCTGTTTCCGTCCAATTAGTCTCGAAAACAGAAAAATGAAGCGTTAATCCCATATAGAAAGCTGATTGGCTTCTTTTTGTATTCAATTCGTTAGGCATAGAAAAACTCTCTTGCTGAAAAGCTGTATAATTTGAGTTCAGATGTCGGAAATTGAGACGACTTGGCTGGTAGAGGTGGCTCCTCACTACTACAAGGGTCGGGAGCTAGAGGACTCCAACCGAAAAATGCCCAAGCAGCGGGGAAAGTCCGCCAAGGAGCTCGAGCGATAATCATCAACTCTTTCTTTTTCTCCTTCTGTTGATTGCGATCTTTTTTTTGTCTATATTAGTCCTTTTGAGACGAATCAATAGTTCGTAGCTTTTTTTTCGTGGCGAGACTTGAGGGCACGTTCTAGCCATTCAAAAAAAAAACATGGAAAAAAAGTTTCGCCGGAACCTTTTTCGGCGCAACAAATAATTTTTGCTACCCTTTTGCTATCCTTCCACCTTTTTGTCAGTTTGTTTTATATTTTTCGAACTTCGAAGTCTCTTGGAGCAAAGCTTGTTATCATAACGATCGTTCTCTTAGAGTTCAGTGACCTGCTGGACATTTATTTATTTTCTCAGTATACCAAATGTATCTTTCTGAACGATGCTCCAGCTGCTACAAGTCTTTTTCGACTTTCGCAACATGTTCAGATTATCTGTTAATCGCACTGAACGAGGTATTTATTGTTGTTGTGTTTTTCCCCGTTGTTTTCCATTTTTACTTTTCGTGTAGAAAATTTAATTTTTCAATAATTGTTTCCATAAAAAGTATAACCATTTTTTTATCGTTATAAGTTTGGCCAAAACGTATTCACAGGTAGGCGGATTACCAATGGTTCTGAGAAGATCCAAAACGATAAGCTTGATCCGAGCCGTATCCTGAAATTTTCAGCAAAGGATTGCTATTAATGGATAGCAGGTCGACTCGCCTCTGTAGAAGCTGTTTTCGTAGGCATCTGGAGCCGACGAATCTGCGCCTCGTACACCTCGGTTGTAGAGGCTTTCCAGTGCTCGTGGCATCGCTGAAAAAAATTCTTTCATTCTTTGCGTTTTTCGGGAAAAGGGGATTATTCATCAGGCGGTTTTACTTAGCCGTTCTTAGTTCATTTCAAAAGTATTCAGGTGTTGGTTTGAAAAAAAAAACTAACCGTGTGCAATCAGAATACAGGCGAGAAGCACAACGAGAATTTTTCCCATCATGTCGGTTCAACTGAAAAAAGCTTCTTAGGGATTTTTTTCATTTAAGGAAGTTAAAAGAGAGCAACTTTTATGGCGAAATAGAACCTGAGAAGCTGTCAAATACTCTCTAGCGACCTCTTCAATCTAAAGCGAGTCTCAAAATTAGTTTAGACGCGCCAAAAGATCAACTAGATTCCTCAAGCGAGAGAATTAGTCGAAATTGGCTTCTCCGGTGCGACTCTACAATTTCCGCACACTCTTCCCTTTTCGGATCTTGTTGATTTTATTTGACGTCCTACCAGCCGTTATTTGGGTAATTCTGGGTGCTGCGAAGGAAGAGAATTTTTAGCAGTAGAGTCACGAACCGCTCGACTTTCGGAAACATTGGCTGTTATCCGACTAAGAACTTTGCTCTAGCGAACTGGGTCAGGGAGTTCAACTTTTCAAAAGGTTTCGAAAAAAAGCAGGTCGAAAAGGCTCACGTCATTTGATTGTTTTCTGATGTTTAAAAACGTGGGAAAATTCAGTTATGGAATGTTTTTAAAAGGTCTTACAAGTGCACGTCATGTCAAATAGGATTAGTTAGATCTCTTCAAGAATTCAAGAAATTTGGTTGGTTTCAACAAGTTCTGATTCATTTTATCAAAAATTTTGAAGAAAGGTTTTTTTTTTCAAAATGTTTTTGAGAACCCCTTTTTTATCTCAGACCCACAAGTTCTACTTTTTGAGAAAAAGTTTTTAAATGCACTTCTGTAACGTTATCATTCGAAAAAGAAAGCTGAATCTTCAAAAAAAAAAAGTCTTAAAAAACTCTCCCCTAACTGTTAAAAAATGTTTCAAAAATATATAGAATACCTATAAAGAAGGTATAAATTGAAAAATAAAATGAAGATTTGGTGTAAAAGAAAAATGAAAAAAGGAGTCCAATAAAGGATTGAAAAGCTGGAATAAAAGCCAAAATGAGGCCTGGCCACGCCCCTTCCGACCGCCCACTCAACGGTTTTCGCCTGACGCCGTCAAAAGATGCATACAATATGCCGTGGCCATCTCCCTTCTGCAAAAAAGAGAAATCGTGCGAAAGGACGTCTGGAAATTGAGTTTTCTTCTCGCGGATTATGCAACTCACACGTCTATTCTCGTCGAAAGTCGTTCAGAAAGATTTTTTTCAGAGTTCATCCAATCCAAAAAGCTATCAGATTCGAAGCAAAGCTTCATGTAAGGCTTTTTTAAGAATTGCAGCAGCTTGAAAAGGAAAATGTGAGCAAACTTCTTCAAATTGTGGAAAATGACAACAAAAAAAAAAGACTTGACCCAAGAAAAAGGGGAAAAATATCCAATTATTTAATTTATTAATTACTTATTGAAATTTTTGGAGACGAGAACATTTTTTTGATACAATTTTCCAAATGTTAAAATAAAAAGTTTTAGCCGTCAGAAGCTACTGATCCATATCAGTTCTCAGAATAAGTTTTTTTAACCTGTTGTAATTTGGAGTTTAAAAAAATTGAGAAATCTAATATCCTAATTGGATTTTTCGTAAGCTCCCTTTTTGGGTTTGTTCCATTTTGACAAAGGCTTGTCAGAATTATTCATTGAACTTTCCGTATTTCCCAAGTTAATATCTGAAATTGGTCATTTCCGCTCTTTTCACGCCCCCTCGTTCGGCGAGAATTTCTGGAGAAAAACACTTTTATTGGATACCTTTGAGTAGGAGAAAAGTCTCTTGAAACCCACATAGAAGCCGAGTCTCGATTAGTTGTCCCTCGGGAGGATCAAGAGATGATCCAGCTCAGCTGCACCTCGAGTCAATCCGAGAAGACACCAACATTCGGCGCGCGATGTTCCTCGGAGTCGGACTTCTTCTCAACGTCTTCCAGCTCTCAAGGGCTCACTTTAGGGTCGGAGTTCTCGGAGACTTCAATTTCTCTCACGAAGCTTCTGGTGCTTCAAACGGTGTTTCAAAGTTTGCAGTTATATTTTTTGAACTAGACTCAGTAAATAAACTAATTTAGATTCAATTTTACAGATCTACCGTTATCTTGTAACTGGTTTCGAAAGAAAAAATGGAAGAGTTCAGAATCTTCGCGAAAGACGTTTGCAATGGTTCGAGTTTTGCTTCAATTGTTTCTTCCGCCGATCTGTATTTCGAATCTGGAGTGGATCTTTTCCTCGTTAGTCAATGCGTCCGAGGTTTCTCTTTCAAAATCACAAGTAGCGAAATCTTCGTCAAAACAAGGCAAAAAAGCAATGTTAATGACGATTTCTCATATATTCGAAAATGGTAATGATGGATGTCGTGTTCGACACCAATTTTCAGTTCAGTTAATTACGCTAAAATGCGTCTTTTCTCTCATATTCTTTATTGTTTTGCAAGCTGAGAGCGTCTTTTGACATGCGAAATCTGTCTCAAATTCCAGCTTTTATTAGCGTTGACAACTAGGAATTTTTAAATATGGTATGAAATCGGAAGAATTTGAGAGTTCGAACTGCTCGCCAAGTTGGCGGACCACTGGAAAACGCCCATGGTATTCTTCGGACTCAATCCAGACTTGGCTCGAAAGTTGGAGCCATCTTCAAAGTGGAAAAATAGGCAATTGAACTTCGCTTTGGCTGAAAGTTCATGGAAGTTCTTAGCGGCGCTTTGTTCACTTCTTGTCAAGCGGAATTATCCCTTGGTGTAGCATTTCAATGCCAGGAACAATGTTCAATATTTTCAGGTGCACATCATTACAGATGACAGATCGACGCTGAGAAGTCTCCAAATGCGGAATTGTCTATGGGAAGCTGGAATTAAAACGGCTTCAAAAAGTTTCGAAGAATCCGAGGAATTTTTTTCGGATAAAGACGGAGGTCTTTACCCCTTTCTTCTTGTTAATAAAGATCGTTTCAGTATACGTCATAACTCTTTCCGATGATGATTACACTAGGAAGGTGGTCGGTACGATCCAAGGGGTGTGTTTTTAAATTCGTAAAAAAACTCTACGCGAATTCGGTAGCGATATACTTCTCTTTTCGAAACAACTTCTGAATTTCAAAAACCCAATTTATTATGTTCTCCCAAGAGGAAACTGTTCGATATATCAATAAGAAAAATGCTCTTACTCGTTAAATAACATTAAAGTTCTCGGGCTCAGGCACGCCCGACGGAAGTTTGGCTCTCTTCGGTCTCTCAGCCTGCGACGATCTCTTCTGTCTGTCCGAGATGCATCTTGCCGGTCCAGTCGAAATCAGGAACCTCCTTGAAGGTAGCGTCAGATATGCATTCCAGAGGTGTCATCTTCATTAGGAATCCGTGAAAGATTCGGGAAAAAGTGTTCTCCATGCTAAATGCAAAACATTCCAGGAAATGCAGCATCTCCGAATAAATTTCCCAAAAAAACTTTTTCCAGGATGATCTCATGGATGTTTTGACAATTTTGGAGCGGCCATCGGATGACTCCTCTACGATTGACGTCAAAGACCAAAAGTCGCGGAGCAGTCGAGCTCGAGAAAGTGAAGAAGCCATGAAATTCAAACTCAATGAAACTAGGAATTTCCGAGTTGTTGGAGAAGAAACGTCATTTCACAGCAACTTGGGCTCGCAAAAGTGGCCCTATCGCCAGGGTCAATTGTGTCGACGAAAATTGCCGAGAACCTGTACTTTTCCAAGATTTGTTTTTATAAAACTCTGCTTAGGAAATCACCGAGTTAGAAGAAGATTTTTGGGAAAAGAGGATACCAGAAACGACGCAACTCGACGAAAAGTTGGTTTCTGATTCTTTTCTCCCGACATTCCTGAATTTCAGAAATATCGAAACGGCAGTTGCAATGGTCCTTCTGACCACTTTTGCTCTGGCTGTCTTCTTTCTCACTGTTTTCGTGCACAAAATTTTCACTTTATGGTTTTTTAACGAGACATTAAAAGCAGTAACAGATATTCAGTATGCAAAAATCGCTGGGCGAGATCAAACTGGACTGGAATTACCCAGCAGAGAGTTTGAGAAGTCTCAAACCTCGTTCAACAGAAGGTGAAAACTTTTCGCTCCGAAGAAAGTAGGCTCGATACAACTATGGGAAGATAAAAAGGTTAAGCCGCGCCGTTTTGGCCGGCGTCGAAGGAAAGTTGCTCTACAGGAAACTACGACTACGGGAACGACTCCGAATAGAAAAATGCGACTTGAAACTTTTGAAGAAGGTATTTCAGTCTTTTGAAAAGAAACATTTGTCCAGATGAAACTGGTAAATCATGAAAACGTCAGCAGTTTCGTTGGAATTTGCGTGCGTCGGAACGGAATCTTATTTCTTTGGAGTGACTGTCCTCGTGGCACGTTGAAGGTACCTTTTATTCTCAAAAAGAGACTTTTAAATGGATTCAATTGTGAAACTTTCAATTTCTTTGATCCAGGACCTCATCTACAGTAGCAAGTTCACAAGGAATCCGAAAGTCAATGGATGTCTGCTCCACGAAATTATCACCGTGAGAAAACTGATCATTTTCTCTCTCTCTAGGACATTTATCAGGGACTGGAGTATCTTCATTCTTCTCCCACAGCTCATCACGGGAAATTAACTTCGACAACTGTGGTTTTCGATAGAAACTGGACTCTGAAGCTGTGTGACTTCGGGGTAGACTTTTTTGAGAATAAATGGTCCGACGGGAAAGAGAGAGATCAAGACCGCTTGGGTTTGTTTTTTCGGTGTCATTTTGGGAAGTATTTATTCGCAGAATGGCTGTACGCTGCACCGGAAGTCAGAAAAAAGAAACGGAGTAAGAAGAAATCCCTAGGAAGTGTCGAGGAAAGACAGGCGGCCGACATCTACTCACTGGGAATCGTCGCCTACGAAATATATTTCTGTAGTTTACCATTTCCTGACCAACAAGACATTCTAGGTGATATAACTTCTGATACATTTTCCTGACTTCTTCTCAGAACTGGCTAATCAAGCTTACGAGGGCCACGACATCGGGAGACCGAAAATCAGAGAAAGTTGGAAATTCGACAGTGTTTTGCAAAACATGATCGAGGTAGGCATGGTTCACAATCTTGTTAGATGGAAAGAAATAGAAGTGCTGGTCCGAAAAGTGGATGATACGGCCGAAGGCTGAATCGGTTCGCTTCCTCGTTGATTCTTCCATCAAAAGGTGAGTCGACTTCTTTTGACACGTTTCTCTTTTTCGTTGTTCATGATTCTACCTAATAATTATGATACTTCTATCAATCACACATAATTCAGAGCAGAGAGTATTGCGGATGCCATGATCGACGTCATCGACACCTACACCAAATCTTTGAACCGAAGGCTACAAGAGACAGACGCCTTGAAAGAAGAAGCCGTGGACCGTGCCGACCGATTGCTCCAGCATCTCGTGCCGAGGTTAACACTCCGGCAGTCCCGAGTCAAGTCGTTCAGAAGCTTTTTCGCGGAGATGAAGACGTCCGGACAAATCTCGCCAAGAACAACTTCCAGTTCATCGGTCTTCTACAGCGACTTTCAAGGATCAAGGGCCTTTTTCAGAAAATTCTCACCTACAGAGGTTATGAGAGGAAAAAATGTTTTCAGTTTCCTTTTAACTTTGCAGATGGTTATTTATTTGAACAAGATTTATTCGAAGTTCGACTTGCTGGCCAACGAGTACAACTGTTCCAAGGTTTTCTTTGCTGATATCTCAGAAAACAGTGGATCATTATTCGAAGGTTTTTCTCAGATTTCGGTTGTGGGCGACGTGTTTCTAGTGGCTTCGGGGTTGCAAGGAGAAGCAGGTACCAGACACGTGGCCAACATCGCCAACTACTCCTTGCAATTCCTACGAGTTTGCTTCCAACCCCACGAATCGCAAACGCTTTTCAGCTTTTCCAAGAAGGCGACTGGTTGCTTCGAAATGGAGAATCACTAGCAGTGCGAATTGTCTTCTCTACAGGGTCTTTGACATCGTGCCTGGTGGGAAACTCGAGCCGAAAATTCATAATATTCGGCGAGGCGGTAGACCTTTTTTAAAGTTAGAAAAATGATTGTGAAGAGCTCATCAAGGTATCGCCGTATGAAAACGCTTTTTTACAGGTCTTCTGCGCATATAAGATGCTCAGAATAAGCTCTCCTGCCGAAATTCGCATTGATGAAAACTCTTACAACATCCTAGAGCACGACTATCCGTATTTTCTTCTCGAAAATATCGCAAAACCTGAAGGGGTCAGCTTTGTAACCGTTCGCCGAGAAAGTATATCATTCAGAAAGAGCAAAGTTATTTCCTCAAAGACTACCAACGTTGAAACTATCTCAGAATACATTCAATTTTCTTATGAATAAATGTTTTGCAAAAGTTTTGTTTTTGCCGCTTCTTAAATATAAAACCGAATGTTGATCGATTGTCAGATTTACTTGATGCCGTGTTCAAAGTTACTTTTCGGGATCAAATATATTCCTGATTCTGTAAATCTTTTTCCCTCCATAACAGTTACAGCGAATTTCACGAAAATACTTCAAACACGACATGAACCTAAGTTTACCAACAATTTTGAAAAAAATGCCTTACTGTAGTCCACAAGGGTTCATTTCTTTCTACATGGTGTCAATCCTAATGCACAAATTCACATTTTTTGCGAAAATTTCGTGCCCTTTTATTTTTTGGTTTGGTTTCCTTTTTTTTTTCTTGCTAACTGGTATATTTATGCATTTAAAGTTCTTATTCATCACTTACTAAATTCCAGGCTGACTTTCCTCGGTTCTTAGAACTCGAAGGAAATGGGTGATAACCTAGTTTATGCTGGTTGGTTGAAATTGATGACTATTCCGTTATCGTATCATTGTTTTCAGTTCGCGGCAGCACTGGCGTCTCTTTGAAAAGAGGTCTCAGCGGCTCTGCGTCAACATTGTTCGAACAATCTCAGTAGTGTTGAAGGTTCGCTCAGAATAATGTGATTTCTTTGAGGACCTCGCGGGATGTTTCGTGTGATGTCTTTCAATATAGTAATAGCGGGCGATTTTTCGCATATTGCGACCGAAAATTGTTAGCAGAACTCTGAAGTCCTCTTTCATTAACCTTTTTTTTTTAGAACACGTGTATTGGAAATTGCGACGGGTAAAGAAGTGCTCTCAGCCGAATTAAAAAAAACAAAGCGCATTTTGTTTTCTCCAAAAGATACTCTCGTTTTCACTTTCGAACAGTACGCTATTTATGGGCAAAAGGTTTGAAATGAAATCGAAAAATTTCATTTTGTAAATTGCGTTTTGTATAGACATCGCCTGATCAAAAGCCGGATCCAAATGTTCGTGTATTCAGTCTAAGCGATGGGAAACATCTCCACACGTTAATCGCTCATAAAGAAGTTTGGAATTAAAAAAAAATAAAAGTTTAAGTTTCCTTTTAAAGTCTTCTTGGGAACCTCAATGGAACGAGGACGAGTCGATTGCGGTCAGAATGGTTGGAGGAGAAATAATGTTCCATTCCAACAACAATTTCGGTATTTTTTTCAGTCCGGATGTACGGGATTTCGTTTTCAGACAAGTACGACAGGAAGATGGTAGTTCCTGGAGCGACGGCTTTCGCCTTAAGTCCGGCTACTTCTCCCAGCTACATCGCCGTTTATGTACCTGCCAGTGGAGTTAGTTTTTTTTTTTTTGGTTCTTTATAATGCCGTGTTGAAGAAAATTTTGGCGATTTGGAATTTGACGATTCATTCTTTTAAAAATTATTACTTGGATTACGCAAAGTTGGCTATTTGAAAGCTTTTTTTTGCCGAAATCACTTTGAACACGGCGTCAGATTTTTTGATAATTTTCTAATAATTCTCCTTTTTAAATTTTTTTTACTTTAAAAATATCGCTATCTCAGTCGAACCCGGCTCACGTCAGAGTACACCGGACCGACGACAACTTCACGGTCATTGCTTCCCGAACCTTCTTCAAGTCCGATATAGCAACTCTTCATTGGAATCAACGCGGTATGACTTATTTAGTGAGGAAAATAATATATTAGGTTATTAATTGATCAAGGTACATATTTAACAGTAATTTATGGTTGATATAAAAGTTTAGGAAGATCTCGGAGCAGTAAGAAGCCGAAAAAACGCGCTAATTCTTCAAAAACATAAACTTCGATTTAGAGCTTTTTCCAGCTGCAAAGGTATGAAAAAGAACAACGAGCTCGAAATTGATTTCTAAAAAAATTATTGGCTCTGAGCGAATTCTCTTTATTTCTTTTGCACGGTTATAAACAAATTTATAAAAATGTTTTATGATAATTTTTTTCAAAATCGTGAACAGCATCTATAAAAAAATTTCTGAAATTTCGACATTCAGGAAATGCCCTTTTTGATTTTGGCCAGTGTTGAAGTCGATGCGAGCAACCAATCGTACTACGGGGAACAGAGCGTAATAAATATCTGTCTGTTTTTCAACCAGAAGGCTTTTTTAGTTGTACTTGATAAACGTGCAGTCCGATGAATCTGTACTGGTTCCATTGGCCAAAAATGGTCCTGTTTACTCGGCGAAATGGAATCCCAACGGTAAAGAGTTCGCCGTCTGTTATGGCTATATGCCGGCCAAGGTTCATTCATTCTTGCTTTTTTTTTCGAAGTTATTTTATTCTGTTCCAGGTCACTTTCTACAATATGAAAGGCATTCCGACGTTCGACACCCAGGAAGGACCGCGCAACGATTTGTACTACAACGCTTTCGGAAACATTCTGCTCATCTGCGGCTTCGGAAACCTCAGCAGAGGAACCATGGAGTTTTGGGACGTCGAAAAGAAGAAACAAATCGTCACTGTCAGTTTTGTTCTACTTAATTCTCAACTGAATCAAAAAGTTGAGAGCTTTTTTCATCTCGATTGAAAAAAAAAATGTTTTGACATTTTCATAGGAAACTCTTTTTTTTACGCCAATTTTCTGTGAATAAAAAACAGTGAAGTAAAAAAGAGAATCGTGAGTATGGTTCATAAGACCAAAGTTCCAGATCGACGTTCCAAACACAACAATTTTCGAGTGGGCGCCGGATGGTCAGCACTTCCTGACGGCGACGACGGCGCCACGACTTCGTCTCGACAATTGTTATCGGTCAGGCTTTGCAATTGGTCAGCTCTCAAAAAGTTTTTTCAGTTTCTGGCATTATTCCGGTCGAATGTTGCACGAAGTCGAGTTTGAGTCGCCCAAAGAGTTGTGGGAGGTTTGATTTTTCATTTGGAATTGGTCTCATTTTCCCACCTAACCGGTTGAGAAACTGTTCGCATTACAGATAAGATGGCGGCCGATGAACGCCTACAACAAGTTCGAAGTGCGCGAAATGACGAAAGCCGACCAGATGGCCGCGGGCTTGCCAATCAAGAAAAGGGTCAGAGTCTCATGACTTATTCGCATTCAATTCATTCTGGGCTATGAGTTGAACTCAGTAGAGAAGTCAGAGGAAACAACATTTTTTCGATGAGGAAGGTCAAGTGTAACGAAAGAAAATAGTTTTATCGGCACAAACATGGAAACTTCCAATTTTATTTTTGTATTCAGCGAAATTTATTTTGGAAAGTCATACCTAAAAACACGATTAGTATGAAAGATTTCTTTTGACCTCCTCAGAAAAGTTCTAAAACCAATGATCTCGTGAATTTTTTGAAACTATTTGTTTTAAAAGTTTTCAAAATTTAGAATTTGCTGAAATTTAGAGACTGAAAACATACATTAAAAAATCACAAATCAATTATAAATATGTTTACTTTCGGAATTACTTCTGCACATTGTCAACTTTGCCTAATAGTTTTTTTGATTTTTTGAGCCCGAAACCTTCAGGATGCCTCGCATCCGTTGAACAATGTGCCTGCAGGGGCTGTCAAAAAACAAACAGCTTACGTACCTCCTCATTTACGGAAAGGAAACGGTAAGAAGATATTGTACTCCGTAGTCCCACGGAGTTTCATCTTTAGTCGGAGCGATACCGAGTTCAAACGGCGGAAACTCGGCTTCGGCTGTCAAGCCGCAGCAGAGCGACAACGAGAGGAAAGTCATGAACTTGAAGAAAAAGATCGACGACATCCAAAAACTGAAGGTGAAAAATAATTTCAAGTTTTATGCATTTCTCTTTCATAGAAAAATACTCTCCAAAAGTTTTTATATTGGATGAAACATATCCTTTTTGATTTTGGAAATTTGCAGGAGCGGATAAAAAACGGCGAAGAACTGCAGGTGAATCAGTTGGACAAGGTGAAGAAAGAGCAAGAGTTTTTGGACGAGATTAAAAAGTTGCAAATCAGTTAATTTATTCAAGTTGATTATTCTATTTTCGTGTTCAATTGAATATTTTTGTTTTCTTAGCTTGTTTTTTGTATTGATATTGAGTAGAAAGGCCTTGATTACGGATGAGATGTCCCGCGTGCTGCTGGTTTTCTTCGGTGATTTTTCTACTTGTGTTCGCAAAAGCCGTATTGTTGACTCCCGTTGTTTTTCTTCTTCTGCGTTGCAGCATGCTCTCAATGAAACATTAGAACTCTTTCATTTATTTGATTCTCTATTGCTTTCAGAAACCCGTTAAAAAATCAAGAAAAGGCAAATGATACAGGGTCAGGAGTGGCCTGAAACTGATTCCCGCCGCCGCAAATAGTTTGAAATCTCAACGCGAAGCTTCGGGTTGCACTTGGCGTAGATGAATATTCTGATGGCCGATGAGACCATGTAGACTATTGACACCATATCGGATAGCACTGAAAAAAAAAACATCAAGTTTTCAGTCTATTTCGAGATCATCGTTGACACTGAAAACGCAATTTACCATAAAATTTCTCATTATTGATATTATGTTTGAAAAATTACCTATATAAAAATTGCTAGATTGACTCTGATCGTCAGACTCGTAGAGCACAGAGGATTCAAACCGTTCCAGGAACGTCAGGAAAAGGTGAATTCCATTACAAACTAGGTAAGAAGTTACGATGGCCAGCATAGTGTAGATGGCGTTACGAAGTTGTGAACGTTTTGACCTTGACGACCTGGAAAAGCTAATTCGTACGTGTCTGGATCTTGATTATTCAAGGCGACCGTCACAACAATTTCACAGACGAAAACGAGTAGAAGCTAAAGGGAAAAAAGAGGGAGAAGACGTTGACGGCAACTCACTCCTTGAGCTCTATAACGACGTCTTGGAACATACTCTGGCGGCGAGAGTTCGCGGCCGGCGCCAATGACGATCGCTTCGAGGAGTCGCTTCAGAAGATTTTCATAGTTACACAAAAAGCGATTCAGCAATAAAAAAAGCACTTTTTTCCTTTGACAAAAGGCGCAGCGCATTGCTTTTTGTCACTTTTTCAAAGTTCGCTCTTGCGAAAAAAAAATCTCTGGTTGGCTTCTCTTCTTCACAGTTTGAGGCGAAGCAAGTCTAATGCAAAAGCATAAAAAGCAAAAAAAGGCCCTAAAGCAGACAATGGAAGTACACGAAGCGTTGAGCCGGACTCGATAACTGCTGTCACCTGTGGAGCAGCGACTCGCGCATCACTTCAGCAGCCACTTCGAGGAGAACGTAATTCTCCGGCAAGTTTCCTGGTCCGAACGACATTTTCTTCGTCGCCAACGATGACGTCAGCACCCCGCCGCTGCTGTTCATCGTCGCGTAATCCTGAAAAACTTTTGACTGAAAAAGTCATTTTCGAGAAAAAAAAGTGACCACGGTGATGCTTCTAAGGTTTACTTGACTTGTTCATTCGTCCGTAGCTCGTCTTTAATTGTCATTTTCTCTGACATAAATTGAAGAAGAAGAAAAAGCAACGTCTTTGCCATCAAGATGTACGTTCCTTCTCTCGAAATTTCAGTAGGGAGAAAAATTCCGTGTTCGCAGGACGCTTTTTGGCTCGAAATGCGGAAAAAAAAACTTGCTGTCAGTTTGCCGCAAAATTGGAAAATTGAAGAGCCGTCCCACTTACGTGCTTCTCGGCGATAAGCCGCTTGATGATGACGAGGTTGAGGATGAGCAGAACGAAGAACGGGAAGAACATCTGGACGGCGGTGATGATCTGGAAGTCGAAGACGCGATACGCGTAGCTATCCTTGGCCCAGTCCGTCGGCGACACAGATTCGCTCCGGAAGTAGTCGTCGCACGCGGGATACTCCTTCACCTGCAGCTCTGACTTGCAGGAAACCTAGCATCATGGGCGCGTCAAACGACAACTGATTCTATGTCATTTTGACAAAACAGAACTACTACAGATATCAAACGCAGTATTCTCAAGTCTAACAAAGTTGTTATTTAAAACTTTGGGCAACTTACTAGGAAACGTTTTTAGCCCCTTTTGATGAAACTTTGCGGGAGTTTACTTTCGGACCATCTGATTCCACAATAAAAGAAATTCTCACATTAGGTCTGGTTTTCGAGTTAAGAGGATTCGAAGTTTACAAAATTCGTAAATTGTGACAAAAAGCGCTAAGGTTGTGAAGTGTCTTACACGAAGAAAAAAACCTACTGCGAGAATTTTTTTATTTTTTTTCTGGAAACAGGAGGTCCTAAAGTACACTTCAGAAAAGTTCTATCAAAAGTTCAATCGGGAGCTAAAAACATTCACTGATTAGGTGGGAAATGGCCTTTTGCGGTGTCTTCTGACCTTCATTTACAGAATGTTTAGATTGCTATTTGTGAACTTAGAATGTTCGCCGTATAAATATACCAAGGGAAATTTGAGAAATAAAAAAAAAAACAAGACACGTCTTCACAGACCTGCCTTTCCGTTTGCAAAAGACGTGAACCGAGTCAATTGACGTCAATCTTTGAATTAATATATAAATATTATACAAAAACAAGAGAAGCGATAGTCTGGTGACCAGTGCTTTCTTCATTTTTCGAATTCATAATAAATAAGCTAAAAAAGGTCAGTGAAGAGGGTTGGTTTTTCGATTTTCAGTCAACTTATTGTTAAGATCAAACGACACCTTTCTTGGTATCTTTTTATGGAATAGTTATCTTACTTCCTTAGATTATTACATTGCCTTAGTAAGGGTCATGAATTCAAGTTTCGAAATGTTTTAATAAGTTTCCGAAGAACCAACTCTGCCGTAATTGCGGGAAAGTATGGCAGAGGCGCAATCAAAAATGAAGAAGAAAACTACTGATTCCCTGGGGACACGCCTCCGAGGCAGAAGGTCGAATCCGTCAAAAAGCGGTATTGGATAAGATAATCGGATACAGCCAGATGACGAGGCCCCAGGGATTTTTTTTTTCTGATCTTTCGAAAAACTCGTAGCAAAACCCGATGCTGTGAAAAGAAAAGAAAAACCTGGGTGGCAAAGAGGACAGGTACTCGTAGAACGACACTCATTACGAAAACAACGCAAATCGTTATATTTCGTCCTTTTTCATCGAACACAACAGCGAACATTTGTCTGAAATTTCTTCTTTTCGGGAAAGAAGACAGGAGTGAAACAACAATGAGCTCTGTTACTTCTATTCCAAACTATTCTTCCTCCATAAGGCTTGTTTTTCGAATAAACCTGGTTTTTTCTCGTGTCGTCCACAAATATCTTTCAAACGTGATGAGAATGAGGATGAAGGGGATGGCGAATTGCACGACTTTGGCCATGAAGAAGACAGGAACAATGTACCGGTGATAGAGGAAGAACAACGTCTGCAACGAGTTATTGGCGTCGAGAGGCCGTGGCTACCGTATTCCTCAGGTACACGAAGCCGGCATCCACGCCGAAGAGAAGCAGGTAAGTGAGGCATATGAGCAGGTCGCAGCTCGATAAAGCGAACAGGTAGACCGAGGAGCCGAGAGTTCTCCGGAACACCGCCATCAGAAGCTGCAAGTCACCACTATAGGGTTTCGCAAAAAATATTTTGCTCTCTGTAAAACTAGTGATGGGACAGGGTATTTTCACAATTATGAAGTTTTCTGTGATTTTGCTCTTGAAAAAGCTGTTTGATATACTCAGATTGAGAACCTGAAAGTCTTGTTTAGACAGCAAACACTTCATTTTTTTTTTCAGTTTCTTGCGCGCCGTTCAGGAGAGCAGCCTTTGAAACATTGTTCTCAGAAAATAAAAACATGAGCGAGTTGTGGCTTCATCAAAAGTTGAATTGAATATCAAGTTGGTAAACTGGAAATGAGCCTTTCCTCGAAAAAAAAATCATGTGATTATTATGCGTTTTCTGAAATTATTGATTCAAACTTCTAACTCTCCAAAATTTAATCGTCTTTTTTACTATACATCAGCTATATGAAACTTTTAAAATTAATTTGAACAGGTCATAATGAAAATTAAAGTGCACAAAAGATATAAAGAATATAAATCAATGGCGTTGTCGACAACGTATTTCCAACGCGACAAACTTCTGGAAGTTTATTTTATTGTGAAAAGAATGAAAATCAGAAAAAAAAGAATCATTTCCAATTAACGTAATTCATTGAATGACTTCCCGACCAATTTCAGAGTTTTAAAGTTTCAAGCAAAACAATTTTCCTTGAATTAAGACCTTAATCACTTCAATTCCAATTTTTGAACGATTGGTTGTTCGACTTTACCGATTCTTCATTGAATTCTGAATAAAGCTTTCGGCTCAACGTATGGGTCAACAGTTTAGAAATTCACGGGTTCGCCCAATAAAGGAAGTGGGTAAATAGACTGAATGACGTTTTTTTCTTTTTTAATTAGAAAGTGCACATATATGGCGATAGACTTATGATACAGAATAGTGTTTCAAAGAAGAGATTTTTGAGAAACGATACATATGAAGAATAGATGAAATCAAAAAGAAAAAAATTAGGTGCAGTATCGTAAATATTTAACATTCATTTTTTTCAATTCATAGACAACTCGGAAAAAGATTTTTTTAATTTTTTTGATGAGTTTTTTTGTCAATGATTATTTTGATGATGATGAACCACTTCTTGCAAGCGTTTCAGTTCTATAAAAATTGACAGCTGACGAAAATCTTGACTAAAAAACTTTAGTTATCATGTAGAGTAAGCACATTGCTTCAACACTTTACTCGAAAAATCAAGTTTCTATAAAAATTAATTTAAAAAGGTAATTATATCAGAGGAAAACCGTTGGTGTCATACCGCATTGGCGATGACGCCGAAGAAAGAAAAAAGCGAGAAGACGGAGATGATGACGAAGCGCTGCGTGGTGTAGCCCTCGAAGTAGCCGCACAGCTCCTCGGCCTCTTCCATCTGCCAGGACTTCTTAATTTTGAGTTCGGTAGAAAAAAATACGCCTTGAAAGGTTTGCATTGGAGAGTTTCAAACAAAAAACACGTCATACATCAGACAAGCAAGCAATCAGCATGATGAGAGGCACATATATATCTCCAGAAATGATGCTTCCTCCCTTTTTTCCGAGTTCTTTATGACTGACCGCCAGAAGAAAGAAAACTGAACTTTCTCTCGAATTTACGTATTCCACCTTAAAGCCGGCCAAAAACAGATTATTTGTACTTTTCTTAAGTTTTCTCAAATCAAGAACAAAACGCTATGCCAAATATATCATTTTATAGTCCTACTCCAAAAAAAAACGTTCAGCCTGTACACAAAACAGAGAAAAGTGCGGTCAATGAAGGAAGGTGCGGCGCCGTGAGAATCGGAACGATGGCTGGGTCTGATGGGATTGAGCCGAGTTGTCGCGAGCAAAAAACGATGAACTCATGGACCGGCGGGTAAAGGGGCGGCGCCTTGGGAGCGATGAAGTCATAAAAGTGAAGAAGAAATCCGAGAGTTCTCTCAACGTGTTCCAGAGCCGCCGCCGTTCTCCAGACGTTTTTTTCTTTTGAAGACGAAAGCTATATAAAGACATAAAGTGAGAAATGAAAGGTTCTTTTGTTTTAGCAAACAGCCTTCTATAAGTTTTCAAACTTTGAAACGTCTATTTGAAAATGGAGATAGGAAATTGGGAAATTGGAGACCTTCCAGTCATAGCCTCTAGAATTTTTCTTGACGTTCCTCAATAAGGAAAACTGAAAGGCGTGAGCTATAGTGAGATCCAAGCTTCTCATAGAGATCGTAAACGATTTGAACTAGAAACACATTCTAAATTCAGTTGGAAGAGGAGAGAATCAAATGAAAGCAAGAAGTTTGAAGTTTCAACAGTTTCAATAAACTATCTGCTTTTCACGAGACGCTTCTGGCCTTTCATAAATAAAGCAAAGCCCGAAAAAAATTGAACTGTTTTTTTTAAATTCTATAAAATAAAAATGAATTTGAAATAATAAAGTATGACATTTTTTTGCTTTTTAGAAAAAAATACACGACTTTTTATAATTCATTTTTTTCAAAAGTTTTCTTCAAAACCAAAACTATTTGAAAAGGACTTTATAACCACTACAAAAGGTCGACCTTTTTCAAACGAAACATTTCGCTTTCAGAAAAAAATTATTGTGTTCTCATAGAAATCTATAACTTTGTAAAGAACTTTCTCTGGTATCAGTTTATAAAATTCCTGCTTTGAATTGCGGAGTTCTTAGTGGCAATTTCCGGAAAAAGACGGCGGAGCGGATGTCCCGCGGTCGCGTCATGGATTTCGAAGAGGCGGCAGTTAAATATTCAATGAACGGCGATTTATACACGTGCCGTGCACAGCCGATGTTCCAACTGACTATTTGCAAGATTTTAAAAAAATAAAATAAATTTCGAGTCTTTTGTGAATTGCGAAAGAACATAACCTAATCGAAGTATTAGTTTACCTACTAAAAAGCAAGACAAAAGAAGCAAAGTGACAACGGATATTCGTGGGGCGAAAGCTTAGGAACCTCGATTCCATTCAATTTTCCCAGAGAAACGGTAGGTTCCTCCATTTGCGGCTGTCCGCTCGAGCTGTTACAATGTTGTATCCTGTGTCTCGTTTGCGTCAAAAAATACCTTGGAAAAAACTTTTTCATGAAAAATAACTTATTTCGACCTAACTTCAAAATTCACTTGTGTCGTTAGCCAAAAAATGAAGAGATAAAGAAGAAAGTGTGAAATAAGAATGAATGGAATATCAGATTGAGAGCGGGAAATTAAAAGAAGCAAAACATGCGAAAAAAAAAACAAGGAAAGAACGAGATATCAGGAATTTGGAGGCACCTATCGCCTAGCGACGTTCCTTTGGTTTTCGCCGCTCGGCCGACGTTCACCTTCACAAAACTTTACATTGCTCGCAGGAGAACTCCACTTTTTTCGACTAGTCGGAATATCCTTTGATGAGAAAAAAGACTCGAGAACAACTTCAACCCAATATCATTTTCTTCGCGAACACATTCCGGCAATAGGTAAGCGTCAGATGTTCTCTTCAAGATGATGTCCTAATTCATTTTCAGGTAGAAAGATAAATTCCGAATTTACACGTATTCTGGAAAAAGGTTTATTCAGGAGAACAATTGGCGGTTCGTTTTCGAGCCCATAGAGAAAAGCAATTAGTCTTGACGCCAGACAAAAAGCAAGTTCTGAACTAAAATTAAGAACTCGATTATAGGGTATAAAATCCGAAGAAAGTAACGAAAATAAAAAGAAAGATTTTTAAATGCGAAAGCAGTTCACTGGTAAACTGTGACCACAGAGAAAGATGATTCACTTAGTTGAGCCTCTATTATGTACCTTTCAGTTGCTTTTCGTGAACACTAAAGACGTAATTTAGAACTGTTTGTCGTTTGCCGCAACAAAAAAGGTCGAGGAAATAGATTACAGTAGAGAAGGCTTTGGGACGAGATTGGGTTGGACAAGGACAAGAAAAACTGCAGAAAGCGGAAAATTGAGGGCGAAGAGCTGTCCCCAGCGAATTCTTCATTTACCACCCAATTTTGGTGGTCTTCTAGACGCGCACCTAATTCCCGAAGACGTTGCTTACCGAGCCGCCGAAAGAGTAGAGGACTTTTGAAAGTTGGAAAGGTAGGGCCCAAGGCACAAGTTGGGCTTTTCAGGTCTCCGCCGCTTCCAGGGCAACGTCGGCGTCGCCAATTTATCATTCAACCAACTGTCCTATTTTTTCTATACTTTCCTAGAAAACTGAAGCTGCCGATACGAACTTTCACGGTAAGACCAACTCGTAAATGAATTAAGAACTTAAAAACTCAACAAATTTACTTGTACGGCTTTCGTGAAATATTAGCGCCGAAGAATTTCTTTAAATTTGCTCAATTACGTAACGTAAACTCTAATGCAGGATGGTTTGGAATTCAATAAGAGAACACGAAGATTCGCCTCGCAGACAACATTAATCAATTTAATTTAGTCGAAGTAAATGTCAACCCTTATGAATTTTTAATATTGCCTTGAACTACTTTTTCTCTTTTCAAGTCTAGGTCAAACACGGCTTTGCGTATTTTTTTTTTTGAAGCCAAATTTTTGCGTTTTTTTTTACTTTCAACGTTTTTTTTTATGAAAGAGTATGAAAGTGGAGATACGTATTTAATATACGCGCAATTTTTAAATCTCAGTTTTCCGTTGAAAAAATTGATTTTCTCAAAAAAAAATTCGTGAAACCCCTTTAGAAAACTTTCAGTGCATAAAAACAGAAATACAAAAAATGAAATCTCGGTGATTTCAAGACTGTTCAAATTAGCATTAAAAATATTACCGAAAAATAGCGATTATCCTATACACAAACAACTCAAAAACGTAGACTTTATATGAAAGCTCATATCACCACTACCTTTCAAACAGAACCTTCACAACAGTAAAAAATACTTTATTGTTTTTCATATACACAAGAAAGAAGCCTGATTTTGACCTAATGAGCTACTTTCAACTTCAATGTGATTGTTTCCAATTTAAAAAAAAAATTAAAGAGGCAGATTCTTTAAGAATGATCCTCAACATGAAAAAACATTTTTTGAGGTGCTCAGGGGCTGAGCATAACATGGAATTAGTTCAATAAGACTCGTTTGATCTGACTGACAAACTACTATTGGAGGACATTGCTCCCGTTTCCGGTTATTGAAGGACAAGCGCTCGGGAAGGAAAAGTTCGAGAAACAGTGGACCTCTTGAGATTTTCTTTTATAAGCAAGTATGGCCAAATGAGCAACAGGAGAAGAATATCAGTTTTCGGTGAACGGACATCCGAGCAGCGCCAAGAGTTGCGTGACGCCCCTTTTTGCATCTTTGCACTCAAGGCAATTAACAATGTGGTTTTCTTCATAAAGACTAATAATTGAAACCAGATTTATGAAATACGAGCTGACTAAAGTTATTTTATCGATCAAATGGAAGTCCGGGATTTTTCTTCACTTATTATGCAAAAGGTCAAATTTCCTCAGGGTTGTTGAAATAGTAAAATCGTTGAAAATGAAATTTTTTATGCGTCATCACGCAAATAACCCCTTGGTTTCTCTAAATTCGATTCGAATCGAAAAAAAACCTTTAATTCTTTTTTTTGAGCGGAAAATTTGCTAGAAAGGCGATCCCCGCACATCTCCAACATGAATATTATGTCAAAACGCTTATACCAACCTCAAAACTCAAATTTCCGAAAAAAAAAAGATGGGCGTAAAAACACGCTACGTAGCTGACAACTCTCTCGATTTTCAATCAACCTCTCATTGAAACTGTTCAATTCATCAAAGACCCAAAAGGAAAGAAATATATAAATCACATTAAAACTTTCACCCAAAAAACTTCATTTAAGGGATATGTAGATTCGTGCTGGATCTTGAAATTCCTGTTTGAAAATTTTTGTTCCTAAAAGATTAGAAGATTTATGCGAGAAAAAATGTGAAATGTTTCCAAAAGCCGGGCCTATGAATTTTATTGGGTCCAATCTAAAATTTGACCGCGGACCTCGGAACAAGGTTTCAAATTCGTGATGACAGGAAGAGGAGCTCAGCGTGGAAAAAGCGAGAAGGATTTGTGTTCGGCGGCAAGAGCAATGAATGAAATATGGAGCGGCAGGCACACTATTTTACGGACGAACAAATTTCATTATAATTTTTTTCTCATCTGTTCCCGTTTCTTCATTTCTTTCCTTGAGAACTTTTCCAGGATATTTCATGGTATGCACTTGTGCAAACGTTCTCAACGGGCGCAAGGGACGAATCCCATGTAGATTTCTTTTTTTCCGAAGAAAGTATTCGATTAATAGCTCCATTCCCAAAAATGATCGCTTTGTGAGAAAAGTTCGACTCTGAAATTGTTCTTTGGAATCCGCTGACGACGTTGCTTTCAAATTTTTCGGCTTTTTGAAACGTTTATTTCTCAAAACGTCATCCAAAAAGCCAGACAAGCTTGGGAAAGAGCAAAATCTACTCTTTCTCAATTGAACAGAGCGGTTATTGCACAAATAAACTGAAGTTGGACACTTAAAAAGAGAAGAAAACTTTTCTCGATAGTTATGACTCCACGGAGCTTCATTTTCACATAACTGGTGCCCTGAAAAGCATCAAATATTGTCTTTCAAAAGGGGATCATTTGAAATGCAATATTTGAAGTGACAGTCATAGTTAGAAAAAGCCGTTTTCGATTTCAGTCAAGAAACGCGACAACTGTCTAAATTGCCTAATTGCCGTGCCGTTCTCGTTGTTTTGCCCCCAGATTTCACTCTTCCGACTCGCCAAACACAGCAACTACCAGACGTGGCCATGAAACACCAAAAAAGGTCGAACGCTGATAGGAAAGATACCTGGATTTTGGCCTTGGCTCAGGTAATTGCATCGGTCAAACCACAATCTATTTTGGTAGTTTCGAGAACTTCAAGGAGATGATTTTCTACACGATGGTCATTGCCGTCAAAGTTTCTGCAAAGGTTAATACATGAAAACATCGAGTTATCAGAAAAAAAAACAGTGGAAAATGACTAACTACGCTTGAAAGGTCCAACAGCTCATTATTCTAAAGGAAAAGTCATAAAACACATAAAGAGAAAAGTCATCTGGCAGTTTTCAAAGCTTTCTTCGCGAAGCCGCACTATATTCATTCAAGGTCGCGGTGAAGGGAGTTCATAAAAGGAGTAGATCTCAAGTTTCACAAAACATTCACAAAACTTCAAAAAAAGCACGTTTCGAGCTCACAAAGGGAATTCGTTTAGATCCTTTTGGTGGATGGCAACGGCGCCACCTCTTCAAACTCTTCAACCTTTTTTCTCACATCACTGAGTTTTACTCTCATTCAGTTCAAAGGGAAGAATGGAGTTCAGACTTGTATTTTCATTTAAAATTGTTCATTTTAAACAGTTTGAAAGGTCTGATTTGGAGATATTTCCAGGTTTTCGTTTTACTGTCCACTGGATAGGCTTGAAATAAAGATTATTGAACAAAAATCCCGAACAAAAACGGCTAAAAAGGTGTAAAATTGAACGCATTCTGTTTTCTATTGGACTGGAAGAAGATAAGAAACCAATTCAGATTTCAGAGGAGCTCCAAAAAGTTCAGAAAGGAATAGATTCAAAACATTTTTTGCCCCGCTTCAGCAAAATAAAGCTCATTAAACGATGATGCCGACTCATCCGTCCGTACCAGGATCCCGTCACCTTGGTATTTAAAAGAAGTTAAATAAAATGTTCATTTCGCAATCATATAAAAAAGGAAAAAGCTGCATTCACTGATAATCTTTTCGGTTGTAGGCAACGTGATAATATTTGTTTTTGAATTTTAATAAGTTATTTTCTGACAGAAATTCAAAAACTTCGTGCAAAATAGCAGAGAAAAGCTTGTTAATTTCCGGATGAGGCCCGGAATCCTTCCATTGTTCAATTAGCGTTCCTCTCTTTCCAAAATAATGATATTGAACCTTCGAAAAATGTACACTGAGAAGATCTCACAACTTTTCCTGCCTAAACCCTTTGTTTCGAATGAAATCGAGTAGCCGAGTCACGGAGCGACGCGGCTAAACGGTCGTTTTTCCACTGCCGCGATTGTGATGTAAATTGTGGCGAAGCTGGACGACTGATTGTTGCAAATGAGATGCAAAGAATCTAGGAGGAAAGGCCAACGGAATTCATTCAGTCAGAACCTGTACCTTCGTTAATACGGCCTCTCTTTACAACTTATAACAGAGATGACGGAATGAAGCACATTTTTTTTTGTTTTGAAGAGGATTTTTGTGAGATGACTTATTTGGAGGATATCAATTCAAATCTCGCCATACTTTTTTGAACAGTTTCAAGCTACCCAGACAAAACCTCATTCTGCGACAAGCTATCTTCTGTCTTTCTTTAGACAAACAATTTGATTATTGATTGGAAAGTTTTCGAAAATATATTTATTTTTCAAAAAATTAACTGAGATAAAGTTTTGCGTTTCTATTGATAAAAAAAAATTCGAAAAACCTTTAACTAAACTATTATCTGCTCGCCTGTCCCTAAATAGGGCGCAGGCCAAGCCTGCGCCTAACCTTCAACAAAAAAACCTTCTCACTTTAAGCGAAAATTGACAAGAAAATTCACCTACAGTATAGTTAAAAAAAGAAGGATTCAATTGAATAAAAAAATTCAAAAATTGATCAGCTTCCTTCAAAGCTTTTTCCGAGTGAATCCCAACTTTCCTGAAATTTTCTGAAATAGCAGAAAGTGAACTCTATGTGAAGGTTGTTCGTTCATTTACACAAAAACCTTTAAAAAAATATATTTCTATCCGAAAGATTTTTTTATTTTTCTATAGCAACGGATTTGAATGAAACTGATTGGGGATTGAAATTTTTGTAATTATACGCGCAGCCATCTCGAGTCTAAAAAAATTTTTTTAACTATACAGGCGCGATAAATGAAGTAAAAAAATAGAACTTCGAAACGAAGTTTAAAAAAGGGAAGTGACTACTGATCAATGGATGGGATGAAAACGATTCGGACAAAAAAAGGATAGTCAGACGTAGAGCCAAGTATAGCTGAGTTGAAGTGAGTCCTACTTGAGCTATTTATTCTATTTATAAGTTTTTCTTGAGATCAAAACTTGACCTTATGAATGAACCTGATTTTCATAATTTTCATCAGAGAGACTTAATATTCATTTTTCGGGCAGCAGTTCAAGCGATCTAATTTTCATTCTACGAAGTCTTCTAACTTGGAGCAACAGTTAGAAAATCTCACAATTCCTGTCGTTATATACGATTTTCCAGAGAACTATACTTTTTTGCGGGGAAAATTTCATGAAATTAAAACTGTAGCCGTCCGTTTCATTATAAAGTTTGGCGCGGATATGATTATTATTAATAATGACACATTATCAGTCTATAACGATACTTTTTTTTCAAAGTAGCTGAATCGTTGCGCGGAGAGCTGTTAAGACCTCATACTTTTTGCTCATTTTGAATCACCTTAAGCCTTACAGTTGGACAATTTAAGCCAGTTTTGAAACCTTACTGCACAAAACTTTTGAAGTCCAAAAACACCCACCGATCAGAGGTCAGGATCTTTAGAGCTCAAATGTACTGCAGGTGCTAATGTCTCTATTGAAGGGACCAGGTAATCCAGATCAACCACAAAACACAACAACGAGCTATTCACATCTGGAAATCGTTTCCAAGACTTGGAAAACATCAAAAGACGTCTCATTTGCGTTTCACCTCGAGTAAGTCCCTTAGAGATCGTCAAGAACGCAAGACAGTAATAACAAGGACATGTAATTTTGATTGACACGTGTCGGTTGGTGAAAAAGAAAACTTTCCCTGGGTGAACTCCGCCCCTGAAACAGAAGTCGTTTAAATTGGCCGTGGGCTTCTGCTTCTTGGCAGAATTCCGCCACCTGTCGCTAATAATCCGCGGCGTTCCTCAGGTAAAGCTCCGCCCATCCGTTGTCGCACTCCCTGCCGCGGCATTTTCTTCAGTTCCGTCCTCTTCTTAAAATTTATTTCTATTTTAATTTATAAAAAATCATCAATCCGTTTAACAAGCGCTTTTAGAATGAATTAAGATACTTGGTTCTGAATAATTGTTCAACGGCTCGAGCGTTTTTTAGACTATCCGCCTTCCATTCATGTTTCTCACAAAGTGTTCCTCGAATTTATTTCTTTCATTGCATTCAAACAGAATTTTAGAGACTTCTCGGAAATATAGCCTTCAATTCAAAAAAGGTATACTCTTCAATTAAATTATTACTAATCGTCTATGGCCTCCAAGAATCTTTATAAGGGATTTTCAAGAAGCTTTGAAACTTTCACAAAAAAATTTCAGATAATGCTCTGAAAAAAATCTTAAGTATAAACTGCCCAACACCAATAGAATTGAAAGAGAAAAACTAAATTTGAATATTTTATATCGTCGTTTAATTTTTGTGCTGCAACTTTTTTTTTGTTGAATCTCAAAAAATAGTAAATCACTAATGATCTAGCTGTTTCAGAAAGAAAAATGTTACTTTTCCTTGGATTCCAACTAACATTCATGTTAATTTTTCGAGTGCAAGCCGCTAACATCATTCAGATGAACAACGCGATTATTGGTCAGTTTCTTTTCTTAAAGAGTCTTGTTTTCATCTATTTTTTTTTCGTCTCTGGTTGGAAAGAAGGAAAATAATGCGTTTCCGAAGCGGCTGGAACCAAAAGAAGTCGGGGAATGTGCCGAAACAAAGCAGATGTGTACAGGTGCCAAGTCGGATCGCGCACTTTTTGGAGGGACACGAATTACATGCGCACAAACTCATAAACGCGTACCTGTCGTTTTTTCTCCGGCTTCTCAGCTTTTCGACGGCCTTGTATAGTTGTCTAATGGGGCCCATTTCGACGCTGGTCGTGTGCCGTTAAGCTTTCTTTTCCGTGTTTCAACCGCCCATTAGATTCCGCCTGTAACGGTGGACAAGCGTTGGCATCTGCCGGGCGAAGCTGTAAATCTTCAATGTGAAAAAAACACGAATTTTTTCCTTCTTGAAATCCAAATTTGAAGAACTTTCAAAAGAAAAAGTAAATTTCATGTAGCGATGGATAGTAGAATCTCGGAAAATTTTATTGTGAAAAGCAAAAATAAAATTACGTACCAAATAGTTCTCAAGATCACCCAAAGCGGAAATTATGCACATTGATTGAATGCAAATTCTTCTTTAAAAAACTCAAAATTTTCAAACAGACATGAAATGAAAAGACATAGTAAAGCACGCATGTTCAAGTCGGCCGGTCGTATTACGGTAATCAAGTTAGGTTTGGTTAATAAAAGGAAAACTTGTGTACTTTTTGTGACGTAACTTGTCTTGTAACCTCGAGAAATAGTTCCTTAACAAATTGCGAAAAAAAAATTTAAAAAATTTCCTGGCTTTGAAACTGACCGCGCAATATTGACCGGCCGCCGTAACACTGTCATAAACACGCGTGAAAGAAAAGATAAAAATTTGTTTTTCGTAATTAAAAATTGGCGGATTTAATGCGACTGATATGTCCTCGTCAAGTGATGGTACGACAAAATCTCAAGTCCGCAAATCTCGAGGACCGTAATCTTGTGTACGCAGATCTAAAGTCCCATAATCTTGGAGACCAAAATCTTGGAGACCAAAATCTTGGAAACCACAATCTTGGAAAGTAAAAATCAACGCTTTTGCCAATAGATTTTATCAGAAATTGTATTCGGTGATCCAAACAAGAGAATATAAGTAGATAAAGTGCAATAAAGAAGACTAAAAAAAGGAAGATGTTTGCTTTCCAAGATTGTGGTTTCAAAGATTTTTGGTCTCCAAGATTTTGGTTTCCAAGATTATGGGACTTAAGATCTGCGTACACAAGATTACGGTCCTCGAGATTTGCGGACTTGAGATTTTTGTCGTACCATCCGTCAAGTATGACGCTTTTGGTGTAAGCCCTAACGCAGAAAAAGCACGCTTTATAATTAAAAAAATATTAATTATAATTATAATTTATAATTGAATTCGTTCTCTTTCTCTTTCTCGTTTTTTTAAGTTATAGATTTTTCGTAAATTTATGACGCGCCTGTTTTTCTATAAGTCTTCTTTTTTTCGTAACGTTTCTAATTAGTTTTAAACGATAATAATTTATTTCTCATTTTACTGTCTTGTATCTTTCTTTTTAACAATTGTTCATATAAGTAATGAAAAATCAAGAACCAATATCGCGTCGGTCAATAAAAACTTTAGGTATGGTATAAGTTGTTCTAAACTTACACAACATTGGCTTCAGATTGAATCACGTTGATTGAAATGCTGGGTTACCGCATTATTTATTGTTACATTTCAGGCAATCGAGAGCGAAAATTGTTTGTGAACTTTCGGAATGATTGAAAAAAATTTCAATGCGAGCAAGAAATAGAATTCAAAATTACAACACATAACTTCTAGAAGTTATGTGTTGTAATTTTTTTAGAAAGAAAAAGAAAGTTCAACCTTCACATTTGAAATTTTAATTTCTAAATTGACGGATCTAATTGAGATTTTTTTATTTTTGTAATCAAAAAAATGTTACAATCAAGAATCCTGAGAGTAGTTTAGACGGTGGAAAGCTTTTTATTTAAAGGTGTATGGGCAGTTAAAATGTACTTTGAGATGAATGTGCAATTTTGTAAAGCTTGTTATCGCGCGTTAGTTTGATATCGATTGAGATCTTTTAGAATTTGGGAGTTTAGCATAGAGATAAAGCTTCTAATCAATGAGGATCTCAATAAAGGCTTAACTAACAAGTTCCAACTTTTTTGACGACCCAATGGAGAAAATGTCAATGAGATCACTCTGTGAAGTGAAACGTGCAATTAACGCGTTAGTAGCCGAGAGTCGGAGGTGACGGTGGAACCGCCGATGGCATTCCAGTAAATGAAAAGAGATTTTTGTCGCGAAAACGAACAGCTTTCTCGGAGACTGACGCACGCACGCGGAATAATAACCGTCAGTCGGCTTCTTAAGAAAAGACAAAATCTCAGACTCATAAAGATGTTGCAGACGAGCCCGAAGTGCAATGCGAAGCGAGTTCGATTTCGCTTCTTTTCAAGACCAAGGCGCCTTTTGGCGGCAAGATCTTTGTCAAGGTGTCAAGCGCAGAAACTGGCGATAATGGGATTCTTGTCAGGGTTACGTGGCTGATGCAGAATGCGTTCAAGTCGGAGATTCCGTCGCCACGTCTCATCGGTTCGACGTCGCCCACGACGCCTGCGGTGTCCGTCGACAGCGAGAAGTTTGTCTTCGTTATTCCGATTTTTATTCTTGTTTGGAACTATTCGTTCATCTAAACGTTTTCATCAGAAATCAAAGAAAAGTTTACCTTATAATATTCAATCAAACAACTTTTACGCCTAATGCGTGTATTTTTTACAAACAAAAGGCGAAAAAAATTAGTTTCATTTCAGCTATTTTCTCGTATCTGTATTCTTTTCATTATAAACAATTTTCAGGTTAACGGTGTGATAATCTCGTCTACAATCATCGTCTCTTTTCACTCGGTGCGTTTTAAGAATTGCAGGAAAACAATATTCAAAACATTCGCTTTTCGGCCGTCTCCCGTAGCGCTTTTATTTTTTTTTTCGGATACTTTTAGAGTTTCCCTGAATTATTGTGAAGGGGCTTGAACATTGCTCTAGATGGTAGATGGCATTTCTCTACTTCCCGCTATTATTTTCCCAATAAATTTCGAATTACCGTCTGCTAAGAACTTCAGATCGAAAATTTTCTCACTGATATAACGCACTTAGGGAAATGCTGACGTCCATTTCTAGTTTAAACTCTTCCATGATTCGAATTCCCTCAAAATCAGATCTTCATCACGAAAATCGACCGCGCCTACCGAGTCTCCTGTTTCTACGTCGAGGCCAACAAGCGCGTCAACAACCATGTAGACGTCGCGTTCGTTTTTTCTTTCAAATCAGTTGCTCAGAGAACTTTTCTCGAGTTTGAAGCCGTTAGAGCTAGTGCGAGCTTGGACTTCTCGGAAATTAACGTGTTTGAGACGTCGGCAACGCTGTTATTACCACTTTTTGGGGTTTTCTTTTGCATCTGCACCTTTCGCCTCAGTGGAGAAGGCTGCACGCAAGAAACCAGTATCCTACTTTGGCCGCGCAAATTCGCCCATGGCATAACGGGATCGGCACGCTCTGTCGGTTCCCGTCTTTCTGTTTCTTCAAAATCAATTTGCCTAAAGTTAGAAAGTCGAAGGAATCAGTGAACCTATCAAAGAATTTCACTTTGCTCTGTCCAGAAATTTAGAAACAAAAATAAATTCTCTCACAATTTTTTGCTTTGTTCTGCCCTTATCAAACAGTCAAACAGAAAATTGGAGTTCCAAATTTTTATCAAAATAGCAAAGAAAAAAAACTGAGAAGTGCTGGTGAAAAGATTGAGAGATGCTAGATGAAGTGATAAACTTAAAGAAAACAACACCTTATGACTTTTCAATAGGTCTTTTACTTCCATTAGTTCAGATCGCTCACGACACAAGTTCTGGAAGGTCAAACTCAACTTCCTGTTTGTCGGTACGACCTTTCTGTGGAATCGATTTGAAGAGAATGTTCAGCTACGAAATCCTGAACGATCCCCAAGGAGCTCCGATAAAGTACGCGCGAATCGGCGAGACGGTCTTCCACCGCTGGTCCTGCGAGTCTGAGCTGGACGACGTCTACTGCATGCGAGTCCACACTTGCACTGTCTACGACGGCCAAGGAGGACCGCCCGTCACTGTCATCGACGCCAACGGGTCTTTTCTCACTTTTTTTTTGTTAAAAAAAATAACTTCCTGAAAACTCTTTACGTTCATCTGCAGTTCGGAAAAAAAAGTTTTTGATTTCGAGAAAATCGGCAAAAAAGACTATATCATCAAATTGAAAATTTTTGAAGCATTAAAAGGCCAAAATTTTGTGTCCGGTAAAATTCTCTGAGAAAACATTCAATTTTTGCAGGTTATCTGATTTATTCACATTTTAAAGTTCTCACTTTCAGATGCTCAGCTGATGGTGTGATCCTTCAAAATCTTGACTACAGTGGGGATCTCTCGGCAACCAGAGCAGCCCAGGTTGTTCTCATCTTTTTTTTCCTAGATCAATTTTCTTTTTCAGGTCTTCAAGTTCGCCGACAAGGCAGGCCTCTATTTCAACTGCCAGATCCAACTGACGATCAAGGACCGAGCTGCCGGCTGCCAGGCTTCGGTATCTTGAAAAAGAAAAGAAAAGTTTGAAAAAAGAAAGTTTAGCAGCCAAAATGTGTGGCGCAGACTTACGTTGAGCCTTCGTCCAAAACGACAGAAGTCTCTTCGGAATACAATAGTGTGGAAGGACACGAGTCGGGGTATCCGACGAAGCCGGCGTCCAACGGACCTCTCGACGAGGGTTCCTGTTTCGAGTCGCACTTTTATCCTAAAGGGTGCATTTGAGGTCGTTCCCCACAGCCGCCATCGTCCTATCCGTCGTCGCCGTCGCCGCCAGCGCCACCTCCGTTTGCCACGACGGCCGCGCCAGCGATCTACGTCGAGACAGATCAGAACAACATCGTTCTCAAGGTCCTTTCCTATAGTTTTCTTCAAATTTCTCATTCCAACAATTTCAGGTAAGTTCAGCGCCGCCGGACGGATACGAAGCGCAGAACGACACTGAAGAGGTTGATAGAACGAAATTAAAAGTAAAATCAGAAAGTTTCAGCCTTTCACAACAACTTCGGCTTACACAGAAGATGGAATTTATGGTCGTCTCATAAAGAGAAATGTCCAAGGTAATGATAAGGCTTACTTTTTTCGATTCATTATCGACTGCAGCTGAACAAAAGCGGCCAGTGACTGTGGCCGACGTTGACCTGCCGGAGCGCGGAATTCTGGTCTTCGGCCTGGAAGACGTCGATGGCGACGACTCTGGCGCAGCCCTCCATCGGCCAGAAGCCTTGACGGAGAGAACCTGCTTCAGCACCTGTGAGTTTGGCCTTATAACGGTCGCGTCGTGGGTCTAGAGTTCAAAACGTGGAGCTCTACTGATTATATCCCATCGAAACGTTTCAATTTTGAGCTTCAGTCTTTTTCAACGACTTCCTTTTCAGCACGGCTCTACGCATCAGCGACGTTGTTATTTTTCGCCGTTCTGTTCGTCGTCTCCGTCTTCTGTTTCGTAGTTTATCGACAGAGAACTCTCATCTCCACTACTTTCCTCAAGCCGTGATTTTTGCTCTCAAAAGTTTAGTGAGTTTTAGAATTTTCTGTTCATCTGTAGTACTTATCTTTCTCATATCTGTGATATAAGTGTGCCTTTTAAATTCTTGCAGCTTCGACTATAGAAATTTCAAATATCGACATTTTTCAGCTGCCCATGACATTTTTTCTTTAATGTACAGTTTCTTTTTTCATTATAATATCTAATAAGGCTCACTGAAGAGTTGCCGCGTGCAATGATGACCAGATAATAAGTTTTTTTTTCTGATTTCGCCGAAATGAAGTTTTTCTCATTTTTCCCATTGTCATACAAAAAAAAATAAATATTCATTGTTAACATTTAAAGTTTTGCTTAACCCGCACAAGTAAATGCTTTTCGGTGAAAAGAGAAAGGCTAGTCGTACTGTCGGAGTCTCGGAAGAAAAACGAGCCAAAGCAATGCTCCCAGTGACATGACCACGCCATTGATTAGCCACACCGATGAGATTCCGTAGGCTGAGAAGAGGGTTCTGAAAATGAGCTTGACCGTTTTTCTTTCCTTTTGTGAAGGACGCACGATGCATAGATGGGGCCCAAAATGAGGACGACGTCTTCTGCGACGATCATGGCGCCTTGCATCACGCTCTGCAATTCTTTCAACGTCATAAGGAAAAAGGCTGAATCTGACTTGGTTGATGGTGCCGAGGATCTGCGAGTAGATGGCATCGAGGGAAACGAGCGCGAATGGGATCCCGAGGCCCATGACGACGATGATGACTGCGAGGAAGACTCCGGCGGCGGGGACGTAGCCCGTTTCGCACCACGAATAGTCCGCAGACTTGCAGCCGATGTCCGCCGTTTCTGGAGAGGTAATTGGTCAACCGACTCCTGGGAATCGCCTACCATTGTATGCGGCCACCGGATGTCCTATGGACTGGTATGGGTACGAAGCGACAAACATAAGCACGAAAACGAGCATTCCGAAGAGGAAACCATACCGTTGTGGCACTCTGAAACCGTTGCATCCTTCCAGATCGTCCAGGATCTTCCTACACTTTGCCGAGTTTGCAGAAGAAGAAGAGAAGGGCGACGACGATGGACAGCGCTCCGACACTTCCCATGCAGATCGAGACGACCATCACCGAAGTCTGACGAGTCCATCCGTAGTCCGTTATGAAGATGATGGAAGTGAGTCTGAAAAATCATCTATTCTCATTTCAGTCATCCAGCTTCTCCACTCCGAACTTCTCCAATTAAAAAATCTTGTCTCTCTAGAGGATTGATCAGATTTAAAATGTTATCAAATATCATCTTCAATTCAGTTACATGTCCCGGAAAATAGTATATAACACTGTAATAACTGAAATTATCCGATTCTCTCTGCCGCTCCAGATTAGAAGACTTCACAGAAAAACGCGAACTCAAATGCTAAAGGAGAACTATTCAAAAAGCTTTTCGAAGTACTTTTCGAGCCTAATTTCGAAGTAGAACCTAACGTTTTGCCAAAACAAAAAAAATTTTGGTCCATTGGTGACTATCTTCTCTTGGACAAAGACTCGTGGACCTACGTTGTGAGAGTGACGACGGACAAAGTGGCGATCATCTTCATGATCCAGCAGACGATGACCAGCGGCCAGTTCATGTCGATCGATTTTCAGCTTCTTCACTCGGGCCTTGAATCCTTCCAGAGTCATCAACGACGGCGATGTTGCTGTACATTCCAAGTGAGTTCATTTTTGAAAAAGGTCCTACCCAATTTTTTTGCTCTTTTCGGTAGTTCATCGAGCATGAAGTAAATGATGGCAATCGAAATAAAGTTGGTGACCGCGGCAACCCAAATAGGCGCCGAGTATATGTGGAATCGCACATTCGGGAAGATCTCATAGCCCGGATAATCGATTTTTGTAAAAGCTATTTGAATAACTGAACTCTAATTTATTTGAAATTAGTCAGAAGGTGAAACTTACTAGGTCCCACAATGATGGAGAGCATAGTGGCGGAAGTTATAGTGGAGTAGGCCTGAGGTCGGTCTCGTTCCAGGGAGACGGCGGCGACGTAGGCACGGAGAATGGTCGAGGAGCTGCTGGCGATTCCGAAAAGAATGTAGCTGACCATCATCAGATATCGGCGGCCGTCGGTTATGAACTCCACGCAGAGGTACAAGACGCATCCAGCGAACGCAATGAGACGGCCGGCGATCAACGGAGCTCTGGAAATGCACAATCGAGGCAAACGTATGAAGACAAACATTCTTCTGGTTCTCTCTTTTTTTGTGAGTTGTATAATACATTTTGTATTTTAGCAGGCTTATACTATGATAAATTAAACAAAATATTATCCACTTTTAAATCTCTAAATTGAAAATTGCGGTAAAATTGCTAAAAATTTCAGAAATGGTGATCGCTACAAATAATGATTGAGTCGAAGCCATTTTTGAACCTCATTATTGGAAACAAGTTGCGAACTTGATGAACTAAGCCATTATATTCGAATCAAGATTCGAACTAGTCTTGGCATATGGTCGAGTATAATTCAGGAAGTCTCATCACCGTTTTAATAAACTTTTTTTCAGAATTTTGGAGCCACTCTGTGAATTTAAAAACACAGCGAAAAATTCGAAAATACCTGAAGCATTGAAGTCGAAAGCACCAGACGGCAAAAACGAGTGCGAAAAAAGCATGGCCGGCCTTGGAAGCGGCGGTGGCGGCGCCGAAGAACTGAGCGTCGGCGACTTTGTCGATCTGGATTTCATCAGAAAACGTTCTTGTGTCGCGGAATACCTCGTTCATATAAGCCCATTCGCTCATTCCGACGACGGTGTTCTCGACGGCTGCGATGAACGTGACGACGCCGGCGACGACGATCGCTTTCCAATCAGTCGCCGCGACCCCCGACGTCGAATCTTCACTCGCAACATCTGTTTTCCATTTCATTAGAAAATAAAACAACTAAGAGAAGCTGTCAAAGCCCACAGGAGGAAAATAATCGAATTTCAAACGTGTATTATTCTACTCCATTAGCTGAAACACGCAGGCAAGTGATAGTGTTTCGTTGCGAATGAGTTTTCTCGATTGCTGAGAATTTCTGTTTTTGGAGAACAAGAAAGATATCTCAAAAACATTGTTAAAAAAGAAAATATTTTATTTTTTTAAAGGTTTATTAAATTGATTAACACTCTAGTTCATTTAGTAAAACAAGAGAATTAATCACTACTGTATGACTAAATGAGTTCGTTGCTTTTTAAAGGTCCCAAACAAAAAAAAAACCAACTTTTAGTGAATGTGACTTGATTGATGGAAGCGACTTCGGAATACTTTTTGTCGGGCTGCATCGAATTGGCTCTCTGAGGTCAGAAAAAGATGGTCAGTCGGAGTTCGAGTTGGAAAACAAATAGAAAAGCGAGGCGGATGGACAGCCGAGTGCGGAGTGACAAAAGGCGGAAGAAATCGCAATATTTCAAACTTAGCAAGATCATTGAGAGGTAACTTCAACGAGCTTTGTTTATATAAGATTATCGATACCTCCAAGCTTCCTAATTAAAAAAAAGCAAATAAATAGACTCCCTAGAGTTGATATGAATTGAAACTATGAACATCTCACTCGGAGGGAAAAGTTTATAAAGAAAATTGAAGTTGTGTTCCTTGGTCTAAATCATATAAAAAAAATAAAAGCTGAGTGAAATTGTTTACTAAGCCATAGGATATTGTACTGAAATTTCTTCTCTCTTCCACTAATCCTATTCCAATATTGACCAAAACTATGAAGATGTTAGTCTGAATTTAAACCGGTTAGTTTTGTTTGAGAAATCGTTTCAAGCTAGTCAAACAAGCCGCGGAACAGAGGTGTAGACCATTCTCTTCGGAACATCTTTTCCCATTTTAATCTGAATTTTGGTCACGTTCTATTGTTTTTTTACTGCTTATTCTCAAGAATGTGGTCGTCCGTGAAACTGAACTCTTGTATTGGGTATTTGCTCATTGCTTTTGTTTGTTTATTTGTTAAGCGCTACTCGACTTATGAACCTTATTTTGGCACGTGGCTGGGTAAAAATGAAGGGAATCCATAGTCAGCCTAAAATCTTTCAGTTGACGCGGCCTGTAGTTTATTTCAAACAAGAAGTTGTTCCAAATGAGTCTCTTTATCCAAACACCGTGTGAATGGACAATGAAATGGTTTCATTAATATCTATTTTCTGCTGCTAATGGGATTTGTTATTAACAGTTTTGTCAGAAACATATGAGTAGATGAGATGAATATTTAGTTATATAGACTTCAAATGAAAGATCGCTTTCTCCACTGAATCATAAGTTTAGTTGCACTTTTTCTTTTTTATTCATGGAGTTTGAACTACGAGACAGCTCTCTTCTGAAAAAAAAATATAAAAAATGTTAAGGACCACCTGAGCAGCAAAAATTAGACTCGGATGAGTGCAAAAGAGTTTGAAAGTGCACAAGACCTTTGTGGGAAGATGTGTGATCTGTGATCGATGAAACAACCTGAAGTTGTAGAAAGCTGGAAGAAATGGAAAAGAAATGATATTTCGTCACGAAGTCGGATTTTCCTGAAGCAAATGGGTGCGGCCTTCAAAAAGCAAACACGAAAAATGAAAACGAGAACGAACGCATAGTTTTAAAAATTCACAAAAAATCTTCAGTTTAAGAAATAAAAACGAGTTTTTTAGTTCCTATCAAAATATTTTCTATCACGAAAAAACCGTCCGTTCAGTTTGGTTAGCGTGTAGTTGATCATCGAGCACACGAGGGAATCAAAATATGCACGCAGCAAGTCGAAAATTATTTTTGAGAAATGGGCAAAGTTTGAACGAATCACGAAGAACTGAACGGGTCGCAAATCCGTCCGATTTCGGCGAATTTGTCATTTGCAAAAGGGAGAAGATGGGTTTGCTGAATTGGACTCGCGTTCACCTTTCCCAAAACGGAACGATCCGTTTCAAACTTGATGGTTTTTATTATTGGAGTTTTAGAAACACAGAAAAGCATCAAAAGAAAAAAATGTGAATTCTGCAAACGGTAAAAAAGACACGTCAAAAACCGGATCTCCGTAGTTTTCCTTGCTACGTGATCCTGTCACAACATGGGGAGGATCACCTTCAATCAGTGGTCAAAGTCTTTCCTTTCCCTTTCATTGAATGAGAAAATGTACTGATTCAAAGTGGAAAAAAGGAATTAAAACTGAACTTTTTTTCCAATGGAAATGCAAATAATAACAAAGGGATGAGGTTGGAATGACTCACGTATTTGAACGATAGTTTTTCCTCGAATCAGCCAAACAGATATGATGTTCTTTTCGGGGCTTCCGCTTTCATTTTTCTGTGAGAAAAAGACCTTCTACATTTAAAAATGTTACCAATCGTTAAAAGTGAAATTTCCAAAAAAAAAGAATTAATCGTTGGATGAAATGATAATGAGGTTTTCTCAAAGCTTTTGTAGTGCTTATGGGAAAATGAAGTTGGTCATAGATGTCTATGAATGTGGGAAAACTCAATTTCAAAGAAAAAAGCAGATTTTTCACAGCGAGAGAGATAGAGAGAGAGAGGAAAAAGGAAAAAAGGTTTTCCGAAAATCGGAACTAGTTTCTGATACATACTTTCTCACCTGATTAAATCTCCAGGCGGAACTTTTTAATTAAAAAAAACCGAGAAACTTTTTTTTTTCTCAATAAGCTCAGACTGGCAACTTATGAACAGGTGCTTTTCTCAGACAAGCGTTTTATAAAACATTCTAATTGCCTTTTTTCCAAATTTTATCTGAACAAACTCAAGAGAATAATTTCTTTTCTTTATTGAAATGAAAAGTTCATTCCGCTCTGAAAATTGAAAGAAAAAAAAAATCAACATTTCCTATCACAGGGATAAACATTACCATCAATCAAAGAGACTGATATCAATTTAACTTTGATCGGCCATAACTTTCCCCAGACTTCAGGAAAGTTCTTTGAGAGTTTTCGTCTCATCTCAAACCTGAGGCAGGTTATTAGGTAGCATATTCACTTCTTCATTTTTGCAGCAACATCAGAATGGCGATTTGTCAAATCTGCGACGGTCAAAACGGACCGAATACTGAAAACAAAACAAAAGAAAAAAAACAGCCGGTTTCCAGACTCGGATTTTTGAAGAAAACGGAAAGTTGCAGTTTCGGACGCAGTTCCACGAGCCAGGAGGCGACCGCGACTTTCGCGTCGTCTCCAGATCGGGCGAAGACGTCGTCGAGTTTTTCGTCGATCCCCAGTTCATGTCAAGACTCTCCGGCTTCTTCCGCGATCAAATAAACTCGGCAAGTTCTTTTTCGCACTTCTTTTCATTTCGCTAATCAAAACTTTTCCGTGCGATTCAACCTGAGACAGGTTTGAGTATCATATTCGATTGCCGAAATGGATGTTGACAGCAAGTATTTTGTACTTTTTCCACACTTTTCACTATAAATACGTAAAAGTAGTTTATTCCACCTGCAAAATGCAAAAGAACGTTCAGACAATAGAAGAACGGCTCTGTTTGGCCGAATTGGAGCCGCGGTTTGTCGCAGTTTCTGGCGCCTGGAAGAATGAAAATTGTACAGATTCAAACATACCCGAATCATTAATTCAAAATCCAAAACTCATGGTCGCACGCGGAATGGCTTGACGCTAAATCGTTCAGGCCGTTCCGATGAAAACAAGGAAGAGCCGAAGCGAGCTGATGAGCATCAAGTCGGTTTCACTTCTTGCCATTCTACGTGCGACTCATCGTCCATATCTGATGTGAATGAAGGGCTCACGAACCGATTTTTTGTTGTCGATTTCTTCGTCGAAGGAGACGGCGGCTTCCGGTGTCGGAATCGCCTAAATTCGTTGTTTTGCAGTAGATCGACTCACTCACGACATAGTTATACGTGACGAAAGCTATCACTATCACGGCCCAACCCGCGCCCAGCGTACACGATGATCTGAGAAATTATTCACGCTTAGTACCTCAAAAACTTTTCTATCACATCAAGTCTCGCAATTGCACTCAAATCGAAAAAAGGTCAATATCTTCTACACTCTTATACTCGAGGCGGAGCGCATTTGCTCAACTCTGAAAAACTGTGATTGAACTTCAAAGAAACCATATCGAGGATGGTCATTTCATCCCAAGCGGATCGAAATCCCTTGCCTTCGCGTACAGTCGACACCGCTCTCATTTTAAATCAGAAATGACTGAGAACCCATTCACGTCATTAACTGGATAATAATCGAAACATTTATTGTCATTCAAACCATACAAAGCTCAATGCTGAAAAAAAATTTTGAAAATTTGTCTGCGGTCCCTATTTATACTTGAGACGAAGTTTCACAAACCTCTTTCATCAAGTTCGTGTCGCAAGATAGTATTAGAAAAAAATGTTTTCAGACGCCTTAAATTTTTTTAAGAAAAAAAATGATTAGTCTTCTGATACCAGAGGGGCAAGATCTGAATACCCTACAAAAATAAGCTCAATCGGAAAAACTGAAAGTTTCGACTTTTTGGGGTTTATAACTTTTTCAAAGCGTCAGTTTTTGAGAAAAAGGTTTGAATTTAGCGTGAAAAAAACATCCAGACGAGCTGGTCTCCTTCAGAAGTCCCACGGCGACCAGAGATCATTCCCTGGTGAGTAACACGTTTGTGTTCATTCGGCGATGAATGGGTTTCATTTAAAACCAATTTATTTCTTCCTTTTTTCAACCAAGAGACTTTCATTTTTTGAAGAGGTTTATCTTCATTTTTTTTTCTTTCTGAAAATTTTTTTTCAGAAAGAAGTTCCGATTAGGTTTAAATTTGTTCGAGAAGCAGTGATACTGGATAGAAAACTTTGAATTTGATAAAGAAATAAATGCTGATAAGATGGACTTTTTTCGAAATTCTTTCAACGGTTAGTTTTCATATTCGCGAACACATTAAATAGAAACGCACAAAAACTGTTTTTTTAGGAATTTATGATAGAATTCATTTGGACGAAGAAGTCAAGGCGTCGGAATTCATGTAGCAAGAGCGGTCTTGAAGTGTTTCACTGCTATATTCGCTCGGTCTCGGTATTTTCAAAGGGAAATCGGAGGACGACTTTACCGTCGGCCTCTCGTCATCATGAGCTGCAACTCGGACGCATCCAAAGTGAATGAAATAACTTCGCAATGGTACTGCAGTAAAAGAAAAAAAAACGAAACCAAAATAACCATACTTTTGCAACAGGCGAAAAATTGAGAAAAATCCATTTTTTCCAAAAAGCTGCCATGTTCCAGCGATCAAGCGGGAAGGCTTCTTTTTATACTGACCATAAGGAAATGGAGTCCCGACAATTCTGACCGACTTCATCGTCGTCGCGTTGTCGATGGCCACAGACGGCACGTTGTACAGCGAGTCTTCGCTCGTTCGGCACTACACAAAAAAATTCAAAGGTTTTTTCTCTTGGAGATTACATCGATTTCAGGACTGCCAACGTCGCAAACACTCTCACGAGCACGACGCTTATTCTCGCGCATCAGACTCACTAAAACCGACTTTCCAGGGTTTAATTAATTAATTTTTCATTCATTCATATAATTAAGATGAGTAGCTTTTCGACACAGTCAATTAAACAGATGTGAAATTCACGGAAATAAACGCGAAGTTTTTTTCATTTTTTTCATTGAAGAGAAGTATTACTTATGTGGTTTGAAACAAGCCGTAGCGTTCATGTGAAGTGAATATGGTTCCGTACGAGAAGGTCATTCTTTAAGAGCACAACCGAAGAAAAAAACTCGAGCCAAACACACAGATTTTCATTTGCTCTACGACACTGTAGAAGAGACTGCTAAAAACAAAGGCCTCGAATCTGAACTTGGTATTTTTTCAGACAAAGAAGGGACAATCTGACACGGATTGGGCTATATCCAAAAAAGAAAACTAACAATTGGGCGAGGGTAGAAGGATGATGTCACCCAAGTCTTCAGAAAGTCCGACGCACTGCGCCTCTGCAAGCCTACTTTTCATTTTTGACCTTCTAAGGCGGCAAACCTGGCCGCTCGGAAACCGCCGTCTTCGGGCTGACCTCCTCCCGTCGCTGACTCAAAATTCGACGTACTTTCGACTTCTTGTAGTCCTGCTCCTTTGCAGGCTTTTCCCCTTTTTTCTGTTTTGTCTTTTCAGGATCTTCACCTTTTGTCCGTATGTAACTTCTTTCTGATGAATAATCGCTGTCGCCTACACGTAATTTTTCGTCTAGATCGAAATTTTTTCTATTCTCACCTGGCCCTTTACGCATATATTTTAAGCAATTAGCAAGAGAATATAATAGAAGAAATTGAATCAAAAAGACTATCGGCAACATTTTTTTTTTCGAAATGAAGTCCACCTTTCACGTCATTTCCTACAATTATTCAACACAGGAAAACTGAAAAAAAAAGAACAAGATTTGAGAAATAAATTGGCGCCTTTTTATAAACACTTTTGGGGTTTTTTGAGCTTTATAGTGGATCCAAAAAAAGATCTCTCCCCATTTATTTTTCGAAAGTTTGTATAAGAGTAATTCTTGATGAAGCAAATTTTATCGGGTAAATTTATTTTTTTTTTTGAACTTTTTCGAATTTTAAACAAAGGTTTGCTTTCACAGAATCAAAAAAAGGCTGAAATTTGGAAAATAATGTTTTTCCGTGTCGTACAAATTAAATTGAACGATCGTCAGACAATGTAAAAACTTATTATTTTTTGCAGCAACATCAGAATGGCGATTTGTCAAATCTGCGACGGTCAAAACGGATCGAATACTGAAAATAAAACGAAAGGGAAAAAACAGACGGTTTCCAGGCTCGGATTTTTGAAGAAAACGGAAAGTTGCAGTTTCGGACGCAGTTCCACGAGCCAGGAGGCGACCGCGACTTTCGCGTCGTCTTCAGATCGGGCGAAGACGTCGTCGAGTTTTTCGTCGATCCCCAGTTCATGTCAAGACTCTCCAGCTTCTTCCGCGATCAAATAAACTCGGCAAGTTCTTTTTCGCACTTCTTTTCATTTAGCTATTCAGAACTCACCCACAGAGGTAGAAGACGTGCGCCCATCGGACTTTCACACGTTTCTCGAAGCCGTCTGCCCTACCTTGTATGGTATTCGACCGGTTCCGATCACAGGTTTTTCTATCTAATCATAAACAAATACACCTGTTTCAGTGTCGACGGTGACGTCGCTCATTGATATGTCCAATAGGTTCAAGTGCGACTCCCTCTTGGTATGTACTTCTGTCCTAGTTTCCTTACATCAGCATGCAGACGGCGTGTGAGCGCTTCCTCATAGGCTTGGACAACTCCTCGCTGACAGGCTCTCTTCTTCTGAGTCTCATCAACGTCTCCATGAAGTCTTGCATCGACCACCAGGTTCTAGCAGACAACCCTATCCCTGCATTGTTCGCCTACAGGTCCTCTGTCGCATTTTATGCCTCTGCATCACGGAGACGCCGCGTCTGGCCAATTCATCGCACGAGGTCAACGGACCGTTGGGTTCTTTTCTGGCGCAGGCCTTGATAGCGTAAGAGATAGATTGACGGAGATCACTACTAGGGGAGTTGTAGGAACTCCTCCAAGCAGTTCCGACACGTGCGGCCAGTCAAGCGCGAGAGTCCGAATCCTGTCATCCAGAAGCTCTTTTCAGACAACAGTCCAAAGCGGAAAGGTGCCTGTGACCATTCCCGAAAATCGTACGTTGGTTTATTTTTCTAGAAAAATTGCTTTAACTTCATTTAAGCTAGAAATTTTTAACTGGAGTTTTTAAATCATTTCTAATTCGAAACTTTTTTTTCGCTTCATCAGTTCACCCCAGCCAAGTAAATGAGAACTGAAAATAGAAAAATTACATTTCCAAAAAGCAAGAAGAAACTCAAATTCAGATTCAAATGCATTCTCTGCTTCCAGTCCGTCTGCAAATCATGCAAAGGTCAAGCCGCATTTTGTTTTAAGGTATGGCTACTTTCCTTATTTTCTCGCATTCTATCAAAAGAAACTTCTGATTTTCAGGCTCTAGACAACTTTGTCTACGAAGCACGAGATCAACTCTGGCCAGACACCTATCAACGTCATCTGGACCGGGATCTTCTTCGAGAAGACGCTATCGACGCCTACATTCTACGCAACCAGATTTTGCCGTCGCAGCCATAATATTTTACTACAAAATAGCTAAATTATATTCACAATACAAATTAATAAGTAACCGAAAAGTTGGAAAACTATAACCGATATTAAATTAATAAAATATATGAAGATTCAACTCTTGCTTTCTAACAATAAAAAACGAACGAACAGCACTGTGAGGCTAAAAAGTCCGCTGAAAAAGGAGAGAAAAAAACGAAAAAGATTCATTTTTGGATTCTCATTATAAGTACGGATTCTACTGTTAAATTTATATTAACCGGAATTTTTCAAACATTATAGTCTATTCCGCGCCAGCTCGTCACCTTTTTCTTTCCGCCAAAAAGACCGTATACCAAATTAGATCAAATTCTGCTTTTATAACGGCAAGAAACAAAGGTCTTGAAGCGAAAGTTGGTTAAATTTGACCTGACCTTTTGGCGGAAAGAAAAACGTGACAAGCTAGCGCGGAATGGCCTCTACTTAAAATTAAATATCTGGCAAAGTTCCGAGAGCCAAAACATTTAAAAAAAAAATTGAAAATTTTGATATATGGGTTCACGTAAATTTTTTTTGAAGTTTGAGGGGTGTGCTTGAAAAATTCAGATATTCATAACTTCTTTTTAAACAATGAAAATTTAACTTTTTCATACATAAATAAGTCGATCGTTGACTATATTAGGGTTGATTTTCGGAAAAAAACTCAAAACTTTATTTTTGTTTTAATTTAGTTTTTTAAAAGAACTTTTGGCTACAGCATTGATCAGAAAAGTTTAGTGTCCTTTCAGTTGATCAAATGTTTTGCTCACTTCAACAAATGAACCACTTTGGAGTGTCACGAAACAGTTGATAAGAGTATATTGTTTTTCCACTCGATCCGCTTTCTTTCTGTGAATTTTATTTCAAAAGGTGAGAAATGAATAATCCCAATAAGATTCTCATATAGTCCACCCTGCGCCAGTTGTTCACATTTTTTTTCTGGCCAAAGTACCGTATACCTTTAAATCCCGGGTCTCAAAGCGAAGGCGCAAAAATTCTTAGGCATTGAAGAAAAGCGTATGAAAAAATCTCTGTATACCGTAGTTTTTTCCTACTTTTTTGGTATTGGCGCGAAATTATTTTATCAGAGCAGCTCCTCGTTATCATATCCACATCGTCCGATTGTAATCTATAGAGGATGAATTTGATGAGCGACGCTGTTTTCCAAGTGATAAAAGAGGAAATCGGAAAGCACGAGGCTGTGAAGAAAATGAAAGGTGTCGTCGAGTTCCGCATAAACGTCGAAGGACAGGAAAGATCAATTAAAAGTAAGGAAAGAACTTCTCTTTTATCGAAGAAAAAGTTTCAGCGATCGACTTTCACCGTTTTCCCGCAACTGTTTCTCAAGGAAAAAGTAGCATGAAGCCGAGTGCGACAGTCACGGAAAGTTTTTGCCTACGCGGATAACTGAAAAACATTTTGCAGATGGAAGACGAGGATTTTGTACGGCTGTGCATGGGAGACTTGGACCCGATCCAGGGTTTCATGAGCGGAAAATTGAAGGTGAAAGGAGACATTCTTTTGATGCAGAAGCTCAGCTCCGTACTCAAAGGTGCCCGTAAAAGCTTACTCTGATAATTTCATCTGATGAAAAAACTTGCGATATAACAATAAAATTTGGATAACAAAAAAGTATGAACAAAACAATAAAGTCTCATTTCCGGTACCTCTTAATCTCCGCTTCCCACTTCTTTTTGACGAATTCGTATAACCTCAGGGCCACTCTCGCATCAATCACCTATCAAATAAGTGTACTTTTGAGAGATCAGTGGAATACCGAATCGTGTTCTCCTTGTTGAATTTCGATTCCTAACACGTCTTTCGCCAATCTTTTTAGCGACGGCATCTGTAAATCGTCTCGAAATGATACAAATGTGGCTCAAGATTGAGAAACAACCTTAGTTGAGGTGGAAAGTTGCCGCAAAACGGAGCATTTCGCAGTATCTCTAGTATTTTTCCGTCCGTGTACAAGTTTCAAAACCTGTAAAAACAGAAATTTCAAAAACCGAATTACTTTCGAACGATACTCGAAAGTCGTTGTGCAATGCGTGTCCCACAACAATTCGGTCCTTGATTATTTTCGAGGCTTCTCTTTGGGCTGTGTCGAACGGAATCGCTGTGAATCCATTTTTGCCCAAAGGTAAAGTAGGCGACTTTCTAACCGCTCTTCAGATGCACTGGACGGACGCCGCTGACCACTGTCCGGAAGTCCGTCACCTTTTCTGTCGGCTTCACAAATTTATCGTAAACGATTTCTCCCTTCTAAAAATTACTATTTTTGTAGAATATTTTCAAAAAACTCACATCATTGACAATAGAGATCCTCGCCAATAAATCAGTGCTTCCATCAGAACCACCGCCTACGTATTCGCAGTCGAGCGCGATCACTGCAGTTGGCTCACCTCTGAAAAATTCCAACACAGAATGAAAAATGTTTTCCTGCTGAATCACAAACCTCGTTTCATCTTTCAAAACTACAGGAATATCGTACGCTGGTTTTTTTGAACCTTCCTCGGCTTCCTTCAAAGCTTCTGCTGCTCTTCTTTTCCTGTTGGCTTTTTTGATAGCACCCTTAACAAAATGTATACACATGAACGCTACCAAAAGTAGAAAACCTTGCTGACGACTTTCTGGAATCCATCTTCCTCCATTTTCTCTTCTTTCTCTTTTTCTTCTCTCGCTCTGTCTTCTTTTTCTTCTTTCATCTTCTGCAGTTCATGACAAGATAGAAAAGAACTTTAAAAAACTCTTATCACCATTTGCAAAACTTTCCAAGCAGGAGATAAATCTTTTGGATCAACTTGAGACGCCGCACCTTTCATATTGAGCGCAGAAAGCCCAAACAAAACTGCAAAATAATTCATCATAATCTTGCTATGACTGTGTTCCAAACTATTGATTCAAGAAAATTAAAAAGAAAACTAGATTTTCAGGAAAATTTTTATTGAATAAAAACCCGTTTGACAAAAAGTACACGAAAAAAAACGAATTTTTTTAACAAAGAAATAAGAATAGAAGTTTAAAAAAAGCTTCAGGAATAAATATCAAATAATATCGCATGTCCTGAAAATTGATATTAGGAAAGCTGCAAAAATCGAAGGCTATTGATAACTGAATTATGTTTTAAAAATAATATTATATGAAGGACAAGAGATTTTTTTCGAAACAAGAAGTGAGCATACATAGATTTAAAAAAAGGAAACTATACGTTTAAAAATTTGAGCCGCTCGAAGAATGCAATTGACTCGAAGGATGAAAATGAATTTTTATTTTAAAAACTCATAAGAATTGAAAAGGAAAATGCGAAAATTTAAGACATTGCTTATTGCGGAATGGTGTCTGCAGATTGCGCGTATAAAAATCATGTCGTGGAAAGACAAACGGAGCGGTTTGAACAACTTCCTCGTCGTTCTTTAATTTTTGACGTTCTATCGTAACCAACCTAAAAAATAAATATCAACACGAAACTTTTTATATCATCTCCTCACTTTCATTTCATCCGTAACAGACGCCAACAGTAGCCGCCAAGCTTTAATGGATTCGTGATTGAACTTGACGACGTCCTGAAGTCAAAAGTTTTTGTTCAATAAAACTTGATAGGAAAAGTTCACTTGAGCGGCAATGACAGAAACGGCGATTTCGCCGAACTGTTCTATCATGGCGCCTGAAGAATCCGCTCTCGGCCATCTTAATTCTTGTTTTTTTCTGAGAAAAAAGAAGATGAAGGAATACCTGAGCGTGTTTCTGACCGTATTGCCGGACCATGGCGAGTTGCTCGTCGACCTGGTCGAGATTTTCGACGATCCGCTCGAAGATGCCCACCATGCACTTGCAGTGGTCATGCTCGGTTCTCACCAGAGTCGGCGAACTACGCTCCCTCGACAAAGAATTCACGAAAGCCGTCGTCAAAAATATCGACCTGAAGCTTAGAATTTCAAAGTGCTTTCATCAAAATGTACTTTAGCGAGTTTATTAACAGAATCACCACGATATCTCTGGAATTTTCAAATGTTTTCAAAAGCAATAGGTAGTACAATTTTTCTTTCGATTTTGAGAAAACTTTATCTGGTGTGATAGTCCTTTCTCAGTGTTTTAGGTCGTCTTTAAACCTAATTTCGAATTGGAATGGTAGACTCGAATCCTATTTTCTCTCGTGAATTTATCTGAAACGTGATTATAACTCCTAAGAAGTACTGTCAACTCAGTTCTTTCGCTACTGATCTCTTTTTTTTCCTTTTTTTTCCTGCTCCAATTTTTTTGACGTCTGTTGATCAGAGGACGGACTGACACACCTCATGTCGGGGAATTTACACTCGAGCCGTCGAAATATTTGTTCCATTAATTTCATGAAGGTTCCGCCAGAATTGAGAGTGTTGAAAGAATTCTGTTAAAATATTATCATATGATTAATTAATTTGCGAGTGCCTTGAGAAGCTTTTTCTGACGCGCAGACAGACAGAGACGGTTGACGCGAACGGGAAGAACGTTCGGTGTGACGTTGGTGTCAGAAAGCGAGAGCTGCCTCGTCAGCGGTTCGCTGAAAAAAGAAAGTCGAAACTGCCATCAAACTACTGTTGTATCTCTCTTCAACTCGATAATATAGGTACTATTGACTTGTGTGCGGACCTGCTTGTAATCCGTAATGTTCAAAGCAGGTCCACCAAAACATCCAACAAATTTTAGTTCTTGCCAGATTTCTCTTCGATAATATTCATCGTTAATAATGAAAGATCCACGATTATTTCCAATCAATCATTATTAAATATGATGGAGACAAAAAAGGAAGTAAACAATTTCAGTAACTTCTCATTTATATCCAGAGATTCAAAATCTTATTCTGATGAAACTCCAAAAAAAGTCAGGGATTACATTCAAAAAGGAATCTATATTGATTTTTAATTTGAAAAAAAAATTTTTCAGAATGAGAGAAAGAACTTACAAAACGCGGAGCATTCAAAGGCGCAAGCTGTAAAAAAGCGAAAAAATGAGCTGAAGATGGACAAAAAAGGGGCGGAGTCAGGAAATAAGAGGGCAGGAAAACAGGCCCTTGACGTTTCTCGATCGACTCACAACTTTTCGTGTTTCAACGATTTCTTTCAAGAACTTTTTTTTCTCCTACCCAAACAAAAATATTAATGCCGTCAACCGCACGTGCTGTGTTCTTCAAACGTTCCAAAATTTTAGCAAAAACAAGGTTTATATAGTTTTATTCTGATGTTTGAAATGAATATTGAAAAAGACCTTTATCATAAAGTACTACATCAATTTCATAAAATTATGAACAACTTTTTCCAATAAAAAAACCGCAAAATTCAGAAAAAAATTTTTTTCTCTTTTATGATGTTTTTGAATTTTTAAGATCGATGAAGAACTTGGTCAGTAAAAGTTCATAATGACGCAACGGAGGATCGCGATAAGTATAAGACAAGTTTTTGAACTTAAAAACGCATGATACGATTCTAAGAGCGACCGCGACGCTTTGAGCCATTCCAATGCGACGAAAAATGTCGAGACTGGAATGATCGAGTATGAATGCCAAACATTTCAGGGCTTTCCAGAACTCTTTCGTTTTCTTTCTTTATATTCAATTGGAATATTTGTTCAGAAACTGACCGCCGAGCCAAGTTACGTAAAGCCGAGAGCATTCTGTCGAATGAAGAGCAGATTTTCAAAATAAGAGGGATTCATCGGACCGAACTGCCATCAAATTGGATTGGGCATGAGTAGGAGCCCAGAAACGAGAAAAAATGGCGTCATGGAAGGTATTTTGCTCAGGTGAGAAAGCTGATTTTCGGAAGGCTGCTTTCAAAAGGGGCCAGTAATTAGGAGAAGATTTTTGTTTTTTTGGAAGATGGGTCCCACTTTTTTCAAAAACAAAGGCAATAATAAGCGATGAAACTTATATAGTTCTCTAAATTTTTTAAGTTGTGGAAAAAGTAATGAAGATGGGCCTGAACCAACATTGAAACAATTTTTAGAGCTCTTTTTGAAGATATATCCCATTTGAAATCAATAAAATCCACTTCCTGTTGTCCTCGTTTTTCGATATCTCAGCTTAAATTTTTGGATTTTTTTTCTCACCACGCACAAGCGCTTTCCGCTGCAGACATTCTCAACGAGATCGACGTTGAAGGAATTATGACGACAAATTTTCCCAGCAAGTTTTTCGATGTGACGCACGCGTCAAAAAAAAAAATAAGGAACGGCGGAAAAGGACATAAAAGACTCCAATTTTCAGTTATTTTTGATAATCAATGCGTATCTTTTTCTGTAAGATAAAGCCTTTAGGCCTAGGATTTCGAGCGTTTCAAATAGACTCTCTCTAGTGACTTCAGTTGTATCAAGTTCAGGGTTGCCAAGCATTTCTGAAACCTCGAGAAAATTTGAGCCCTTAACTACGTGTCGATGTTATTCACAATTTTAAATTGGACCAATTGAGCTCCAACCGCCTCGGTCGCACATGGAATGGCTTCAATTGTTTCTTCTGCGACCAGAAAAATAAAAAAGGTACTGTTAAAAGCTCGCTACACTCATGAATGAATTGAAAATGTTTATATTCAAAGAAACTCACACAGGGATATCGAGGGCTTTCATCTTTTGAACTGAGCCCCTTTTGGTACATTCGTCGCTTTTCCAAATGCGGTTGAGCATCGCCAGTACCTCGCCTCGTCTGAATATCTAACGTCAATTTGAAATCTGGATATTGAAAAAAATTGGAAAAAGGTAAACATCAATAAAAGATTAGTAAAAAGCTTGATTGTGATAGTGAAAGTGCAATTTGGAATCTGAAAGCTCCAATCCGATCCTTGTCATGTATCCGGTCTTTGTCACTAAGAGCGTGAGGATTAATCAGCCACGCCCTCGCTTCTACACGCGAGATGAACAGAAAAAGTCCGTGAAAATCCGATGGAAGGCTCTGAGACCGTTGTCAAAATGAAGAGAATAGGAGTTGAAGTCGAGCATTCGTCACAAAAAATAACATTTTTGTGCCGAAAACGAAAGAAAAATGAGTAATTCACTCTAAAAGAAAAATTTGAATGCGAAATGTCTTGCTCATACTTCACTACTTGAACGAGTCTGGTGTGTCTGCGATCTATATTCTCTCACCAGCGCAGTGATCGGAACATAAATATTTCTGATAGAATTAAGAGCGTTGATATGTTCAAAAAATAAAAGGCATATAAAAATGATTCTGGTCATCAGAATTAGGCCAAATATCGGTCATGAGAAACATAGAAGCCGATAAAAATTTCTTTCGATAGTTTGGATATAGCTCTTTTAAAAAAGAAACTCTATTGACTCAAAAAAGAGAGGCTGAAATTTGAACGGACAGCTCAAGAAGTTTCCAAGCCGAATATCTATTTCTTAAATCTCAGAGCACGGTTGAAGAAAGATCAAACTGATCGTTTTGGCCGCTGTTTGCACCTGAGTAAGGGAGACTCACCGAACGTGGGAACGGCCGAGCGGAGAGATGCTGCGGCTGACGTACGGCTCGACGCGCAGCCGGTCCGCAGACTCGTCGTTGCTTCCGGATACTTCAACCTCCCGCGACTCCTCCAGCCGCACCTCAACCGATTCTTCTTTGCCAACGGACGACAAGAGAAAAGATATTTTGGGTGCAACTTTGAATATTGAGAAAAATTCGTAAGGGGGAGGAAATTAATTTGTCACAAAGAGTATCCATAAATGCATAAGCATGAACGCACGTGTCCGTTCGAAGTGTCCGCTGTTTCAAAACGAAAAAAAAAGAAAAGAAAATTATATTCTCAGTCTAGCCAAGAAAACCTTCAGAACTACAATTGGTTTTTTTTGCTAGGGTTTATTTCCTGAAAAAAGTTTCTGGAAACCTAAATTCAGTTAATATTTCATTGATACAGATTAATAAATAAAACAGTTTTCCGATCTATGAAAAAACGTTTTGCAGATAATTCGAAAAAAGGAGAACGGACGGTGGGAATGGCGGTGGAGCGATGACGTCGGACGTGGAGCGTCGACGGACGCTGACGCCGCAACGGCAGCCGTTCCTTCGACGTCGTTCTCGTGCTGAGAAACGCGAAATTCATTCAAGAATCTCCTCTTTTCGTGAATGGATATAAATTTCGAGGCTCAACCCTTTTTGCCATTAAAATACGTGGAATACATTAAGAAACCGAAGACACGCCCCAGAGGAAATGAGAGCTTTCGAAAACATTCATAAATCTTCGCTTAAAATTATAAAACTGGGTTGCTAAGAAAACTAAAATTATAGTGGCGGGCCGCAAAATCTGTCATATAAATTTGAGCATGGAGAACAGAAAAACAGCGTTATTTATAGAAGAGTTAGAAAAACTGGCCACATCCAAACTTTTCATCTCTCCTTCGCTTGTTTTAATTTTTTTTTTCTTCTTCAAAAGACCAAACTTAAGTGGAGATGACCAAAAATATTGTTTTCTTAATAGAAATAACTTTCAATTTTACAAACTGTTTATCAATATTTATTAAATATAACTTTGATAAAAAAATTGAAAAACACTGTGTAAGTCATCTAAACTCCGGAAAATTCAAGTTGAAAAACGGCCACATTGAAAAAAAGGTCTCTTACGTGCAATATATAGTTCGGTAAAGTTCAAGAAAAGTTTCTCTAAAGAAATAAGAATTTAATGTGATGAGACAAAAAGTCGAGCAGCGAAATGACATGCGAAAACTTGTTTGAACTCTATAGATAATCCGCCGATCTGCATTACATTATGGACCATACTCAGTTATTCAATTTCATAAGGGCTTCCGCTTTTGCTTTTGTTAAGACTTTTCAGCATCTTCAAACGCTGCTTTTCGAACAAACTGTTATGATTCAGTATCTAGTTTATCAGTAGGAAATATAAAAAAAGAAGTTCGAAGAAGCCTGAGTGCGTAGGAAGGAAAATCATTGGAAATAATTCGAATTCCTTGCTTGTGGGTTCTCGTGCCATATGTTAATGACAGCTTGTCACGAGTGGCTCTGACAATTCTTGGCGACAAAAAAACAACAAATTTAAAGGAAACTGAAATTTATGACACAAATTTTATGTTTTCGAGAAGAGCTGGTTATATTTATGCGTGTTCGTCGCTTTGAAAATACGATTATGTCTCTGAAGATGTGAAAAAAAAATGCATATTTAGTGCACCTCAACGTAATTATATTCCCACAAGAGTTTTTATATCGAGATTTTAGATTATACGAAAGAACTTTTCATACTTCCTCGTACAAAGATTTTGCATTATACTCTATACAAACAGGGAAAAATCTGGTGAAACATTAAAATTCGTCCACACAAAAAGAGTCCCCCAAACTTTTTCTGGCAAAAATCCAATGAATTTTCTTACTTCTAGGCCTGTTGCCTAAAAGGCTTTTTACGGCTCATCGCGCATCATTTCTTTGTTTTATAACTCTGAGATTTTCTCATATTCTTCCGAAGCTATTATTAGGGCTTCTTGTTACAAGTTTCCGTACGAATGCATTCTGAATGAAACTTAAATGAATATATAATTTTTTTAAATTTCGGATTGAATTAGTGATTACGTCAAGCCTCGAGAGGAATTTTTTTCAATCAAACTTTAAATCAGAAAATTTGAAAAATTCTCGGGAAGAGATTTCATTTTCAAATGGCACTCGAAGTGTAGGTAAAAATTGATAGAAATGTTTATTTTTTATGACTTTTTTCACGGCCTTCCTCTCTTCTAGTCTTTCGCGTCGTTTTAATTAAGCTTCGTACTTTTCCTTCTCATTTTTGCCTTCGGAAGCTTCGAACGTTGTTCTAAATATAGTCACAAGGGCGAGGAAGTAAGTGAACCGCTGTTTGTCCAAAATATTTCAAGACGTTGGGTTTGTCTAAAAGAAGAAAATAATAAAGAATGTATTAATGTTGTTGGCACACCACTTCAGAACAAGCTTCCCAATATTTCCTTAAAAGGTAACTGTATCAAATGAGAACTTTTGTTATTCTGTACAGGTTCTTAATTTTTATTACTTTTTTTCTCAACACTGAAATTTTCACATGCCTCTCAAAAATTAAAAACTTTTTTCCGTTCAATTAATGAATTTTGTACTTTTGTGTGAGAAATAAAACATTTTGACATTTTGGTTTGAAATTCAATGGCTATGGCTCCGGTTTTGATGAACTCCAGTGAAAAAAAGCTTTTTTCGAGTAATTTGTAAGTGGAAAGGCGAGGAAATAAATGACATGGGAAAAGAAACCTGAGAGACCGACGGAAGACGTGCTGCACGTCTTCTGACTCCGACGACGACATCCAAAGCCTCCTGAAACTTTGAAAAAGGTTTTCCAAATGAATGGCTTTTTTCGGCGAATATGGGAAATATTCGATATCTGTGAAGTTGAATAACTTTGCACCTGCCAGCGAAAACGCATTTTCAACAAGAAAAAAAGAAAATAAAAAAGTGAAAAAAAAACATTGAAATCGAAATTTCGTGTATCTTGGTCGTCAATGATTGAGAAAAGAAGTCAAAAAATAACCCCATGACAAAAAAAAACGAAAAGAAAAGAATGAAAATTTAAGGGCCAACAGGAGCTCCAAGCAAAAAGAGCCCAGGGGCGTGGCCTGCGTTAAGTAATGGTTTTCCCCTACACAAAAACTATTTCTATTTCACAAATTTGTGAGATTGGTGGAAAGAACAAAATTTTTAAAAAAAAAGTGGCTTAAAAAAAGTTAAAAAATTATAGGCTTAACCAGGGGAACTTTTAGAAAAATTTTTTTCAGAACTTTTAGAAAAAACAAAAACGTCATGAAACTCAAAAATTAATAATGGTAGCCAAAAACGCTCAAACTGATCAACTGAGAGCCAGAAGGAGCAAGTTCATTGCCATGCCCACTACGAATAAAGATCTTGCTCTGATCAACGTTTCTACGCCTTTTCTTAAGTTAATGGATGATGTTGAGGAAAATAATATCCATACATCATTTGATATTTATTCTTATTCAGTCGATTAGGCAAGCTTCTATCCTGATTTCAGTGGCTATCACTGACTCTAGTGAAATATCCGTTCCTGTGTGTGACGGCTGGGGCGTGGTGTCCACTACCAACATTTCTAAAAACCCTTGGATGGATCGGGGATCGAACTTATTGCGCACCGCTAACCTTTATAATCTAAGTGGGAGCAAGCAAGCAAAATAAGATTTGTAGGATTCTTCTAGCCTGATTTTGGAAATAGCTGAAGGTAAAATACTTTATTATTATTGCTGTTTCAAATGATTCTAGCTGGGGACGTGGGAACAGCGCCGGAACTGCCTTTCGGACGCAAATTGGTCGAGATGGACGAATAGCCGTGAGAAACCGGCTGCTTCGGCCTGCTCACGGATTTGGTTGTCGGTTCCGTTTTCGGTGTGGGTCGAGACGTGTTCGTCGAAGGCGTCATTCCGATAGGATACTCACTCTTCAGTTGACATACACATCTACAAAATCTCTTTCACTTTTTCAGGCCATAATCAAAAACCTCTCCGATAAACACACAGGATCACCAAACTTTCCGAAAAACCTGGAAAATGATTTTTAAATGATTTTTTTGAGGAAAAATAAATAATAGCGTTTATCTCAATTTTATGTTCATACTTTTTGAAATATTAGATTAATTTAATAAAAAAAGGTCAGATAATTTCAGAGATATCCATATATGACAAAAAAGTAAAAAATGAGGGAAAAATTTCTTTTAGTGACTTTGGAGGTAAACCAAAAAAATATCTTCAGATAAATCGAAATTGAGAAAAAAAAAACTTCGTGATAAGGTTGGCAGAGATAGTCGCAAAGGATACTGGAACTGACTCCCCGCGAATCCTTCCCTTCCGGGGCAATTTTCAGGTGCTTGTTGGTGTAGCATCTTTGGCTCAGCGTGATGTTTTTTTGCAGGACGTTCTACAATCCACTTCTTTCACGGCAAGGTTAACTACAGTTCCGGAACTTTTTGAAAGTTAAACCCATTGAAAAATTTCGACATTCGTTTTGAAATTAATCTTTCAACAAAAATCATATTATCAGAATCATCTTCATAGATGGAAAACAATTTGGAGTTTTCAAATAGTTTTAACAAACAGATGTGTCACCTGAAATTTAGCGGGAACTACGAATACGATTATGTAGACATGAAAAATAGAAAGCAATAAGAAGAACTTCGCCCGCATTCTGGAAATGATTGGATTCACTTAAATACGCGCTTTTAATTTCCAGTTTTTGCGAAATGCGTAATTGAAAGGAAGTCGGAAACAGGTGGAAAACATTTTTATCGGGCAGAACCACGATTAAACTTTGAGAGTTGTGGAAGAGTCGGTGGTATTCCAAGAGTGAGAAGTTGTCTCCGAAGGCGTCGTCGTCTGAGGATCCAGGGTAACGGGAATTCTGCTCTTGAGCCAGCAGACGCACCTGAAGCCGCTTGTTTTGTTTTTGCAGGTTGAAAAAACCTGTTTGAGACACAAACGGGATCCCCATGATGACCGTACCACTGAAACAATTTTTTGAGGCGACCGAAAATATCTGAGAATCACATCCTTTCCCAAACTTTCTCAGCTAAAAATCCAATTTTCTAAACATATTCAGAAATTATGAACTGAACGGTTATTCCCCATTATGGCATTCATTGAAGCTTTAATGTTTTTTCTTTCGAAAAAATCAACAATCGATCACACCTATGACTACCTAGGAGATTCAAATTTCTTCTTTGAGTGATAAATCTGTGACATTTTTCCTTCTGGTTTACCTTCAATATATGTATTCATTAACCTTTTTTTAGAAAGATGTGTTCAGAATACGAAGAAAGAGGCAACAGGAAAGTTTTAGAAAAATCTGAAATGAAACTTCGTGGTAGGGTTGACAGAGGTAGTCGCAGAGGACACTGGAATTGACTCCGCGCGAATCTTTCCCGACAGGTGTAATATCCAGGTAATCATTGGTGTAGCACTTCTCGTTCAGCGCAATCTTCTCATCCTTTGACAAATCAATTGATTCACAGTGATCTTCCCTTTTTGGAGAGTTTTTTAATCAAAGTAAAATAATTAACCTGGAAGGTCAGGTTTCATGGAAGTTTGGAAAGAGGTCAGTTACCTGCGCAAGCGATAAATTTCTGACGGCAGAGGCGAAAAAAATAAAAAACGACCAGAAGAGATTTGTCGACATTATAGAAATGAAGCTTCATTTCGTGTTCTTCATAGGCACGTCGTATTTTAAAAATGATTGGCTTGGATAGAGATATTTCTTTCGAGATAGAGCGAAAATTGTAGAATGGGTTTCTCCTAGAAAAAAATTGCAGAACTTGAGCTTTTCATGCTCCTTTTTATTATCTTAATGAAGGCGTTTTTTATAAGGATATGTGAGAATCCAATTGCTAGCGATCCTGAATTCAAGATAAAAGAAAATCTGAAACGCTTGGAAATAACGTGATGATGACTGCACTGTTCTTTAGAAATTGAATTTAACGGAAAAAGTACTTCAAAAATCAAATGAAGAAGAAGAAATAACAGTGTGGATGACGTCACTGAGTAGCGGTTTGATACTTAACGAAATCTCTCGATTCGCCCTAAATTAGAATATTTTGAGAACCGCAACACTCACAGTTACTTTCCAACGGAGTTTCAAGTCGGGAAAAGGAATGTAGTAAGAAGAAGTCACCACTGACATGAATCTCGGAGAGATGGAGGCTTTTTTTGGTTTTTTCCCGAAATTGTCTATGTGCAAAAGGAAACGTCAACTTGAATTTATTAAAACATTTTGAAAGTCGTACCAAACAAACTTTCACATAAATTTATTCAAAAGACGGGAAAAGAGACGAGCGGCAAAAGCGACGTGGAGAGTGAGCACGTAGTTCACAGCGATCACAAAAAGCGGACGAGCAGAAGTCCCAAAAAAGGGAGCAGGAAGAATGGGAGACGGGGAGTTCCATTGCACAGAGGTCCTGAAAACAGCTTCTAATTCAGAATAACCTTCGATTACTCGGGGAAAACCGTTGCAGAAGCACTGGACGGCGCGGAAGGACATGGAGATGTCGCGTTTGGATCGACTGGGCGCCAAGACGCCGTCGCTGCCCGTCGAAATATTAAAGGTTTGGTCGGTCCATGCGCAGCTATCTTTTTGGAACGGATTCACATAGGCGCAACCACGTTCTTCCAAATAGCGGCCTGAAACTCCGACTCGTCTCGTCATTTTAAAAAAACAACTCGAACCATGTTTTGGAAATGTACCCACAAAAAACGCATGTTAAATTTAAACGGCTCAGTTATTTTCAATTATTTTTTTCTCATGTCAATCTGTAAAACTTCCAGCAAACCGAATTTCTTCCGAAAGAGGCTTTAACATTTCAGCCTCAGATTTAAAACCTCTCCTCGCTTTGAAGCTCTAAACTTCAGTTACAATGGAGCTTTAGAATTCAGGATGGTTTTTTTTGTAGAAGTCAAGGCTAAAATCCGACAATGGTCATACTAAGATCCTTTCAATTTTTAGAGACACACCTAGTTCTTGAAACATCTACGCAGAAATAATGAAGCTATTAAGACGCCATATACCTTTTTGAACACTTTTTATATGAAGCAATGAGAAGAACTTCGACCGATTCAGTTGAAAGATTTTCAATTAAGAATGCGTTAACCATTTTTATAGCACACAAAAAAAGTTAGGAAGACTGTAAAATTAGAAAACAACTTTTCCAGACCGTTTTCCTAAAAGCTCCGGTCATTCAAGTATTCACTTTTTTGTGTTTATGTATTAAACTGAAAAAAACTATATATCAATAGGAATATCATCGGGTAATTTCAGGTCAATCTAGCTGTGATGTAAAAAGGTGCCTCAATCTTAAGACCCCCCCCCCCATCCAAACTGGACCTTCATCATTTCCACCCAGACTCCAGCAATGATTCCATGACTAACCGTTGATTTTCCCTCTAGTTTTAGTGCAGTAGACACCTGCGCAGGTGGCCGTCTTGTCGTCATTTCCGCTGCATTTTCCTTTGCCGTCGAACGACGAACACGCCTTGCACTGCTTCGGCGTCGCTCCTGAATTCATTTCACATCTCATAAACGCTCTAGAGCAGAAAAATCAGCTTTAAAACGTGAGATGTTTAAAGAGCCTTGCAGAAACAAAATCGTAGACTCGCATCAAAAAAAAATTCTGTCATTTTTATATACAGATATATTTTGAACCAAATCTAAGGCCCTGCCAGTTATTTCGGAGTTAGAATTGAAAATATGCGAACTCCTCACTGGGACAGGTGGCGGTAGCGGATGACGAGGACACGTCGTTGCATCCCAAGGTTCCTTCTTCGCCTGCGACCGGGTGGCAGAACGACAGTTTGGCCTGAATAGCTGGTTAGAAGATCAGTTTAGGCCGACGCCTAAAAAAGACTTGCTGAGAATCGAAAACTCACGGTCGCTGGATTGCCACCGATGACGACGTCTGGGACGAGATTCGACTCGCAGATTTCGGGTCCCGCAGCGGCTACGGTCACCGCCAGCGACGTGTCGAACAGAAAGCGTTCGTGACAGCCGCGCACCACTCCGTAGGCGTTTCCTGAAGAAGTGAACCCTTTATCAGTACCTCCTGCTAAAAACTCCAAAAATCAAAATATGACCAATTTTCAATGTTTCAATGTACTTTTTTCTAAAAAGTACTCCGAAAAAAGATCTAGAAATTTAACTAGTTCCAGAAGGTATAAAAATTCGCCTCGACTAATTCTTTTTTTTTATACGGAATTTGGATTCAGATGAGAAACTTTTCTTAAGTTTTCTACCAAGCTCAGAAAATCTGTTTATTCGTGGTTCCATTCTTTGATTAAGAAAAACTTGTTCCGGAAAACTTTTTGTTCTACTTCAAACTATAATATTTAAGGCGAACACCTGAAACACTTACCGACGGGAATGATCATCGCCATGCAGGAAGATGTGCAAGCGTCGGTTCCCGCTTGTTCTTCAGTCAGATCGGTCGGAGTGTGGAAGCACCTGGACAAAGAGCTATCACAGATTGGGCAAGAAATCCAACCGGTCGTCGTAGTACAAGTTGTCAGGACGGACCGGAAGACCTGTGGCGGCCCAGTTGCTGATCATGTTCGGCGTCGCGCATTGGTAACACACGCTGACCGGACGACACGGCGTCAGAAGCGCCAAAAAGCCAAAAAAGGCGAGGACGCGGCTCGCAAGAACTCATACCTGCCACGATTCTCATTCAAACGATAAAAAAAAAGAAACAAAAATGAATAAGAAAACGGAGCTGCCAGAAATGTCGTCTCGCTTTTGTAAGCTATGTTGAAGCGCGAGTGGGGAGAAGACAAATAGAATTCCGCCACATTTACGACTCTTATTCACCTCAAACTGATCGAATAAACTCTTCCTATTCTAAAATTCTTTCTTGGTATTTCGAAATGAAACTTGTTTTCCATATATAATCGAGACCCTTTTGTTTTTTTTTAAATTTATTTGAGGCCAAAACAGTGAAAAGTAACAACAATCGAGAAAAATTCGTAATAAACGTTAAAAATGAAGGGAAAAGTTACTTTTTCCTGTGCTTGGCAAAAGTTTCAGCGACGAGCAGAGGGAGCACGAGAGTCGCTTCGGCGTGCACTTTGACCGCCGAGCCAGTAGGTTTCACTTTTCCCCAACTCACAGCTTCGTCCGGCGCGGCGCCAGAGTCCGATCCGTCGAACTCCTAAGAGCAATATTGAAAAACTGGGAAACTTGATGAAAGTTATTAACCAAAGTATATTAGACGATACCACCAGCAATGAAAGACTATATTTGAAAGCTAGCAAAATTCCGTTCTGACCTGCCCAGTGTTGATGTAGACGGTGAAGTCGGAGCCGTTGCGCATGAGGTTCGCGTTGTTGATGTGGTGTTTGACGACGCCGCCGCCGACGATCAGGGAGCCCGTCTGACGGCTTTTGACAGCCAACGTGTTGATGTGCCTCACGTCTTCGACTATGTCGATCCGCAGACTTGCCGGGCTGCGGATCGAATGGAAGTAGAGCATGTCGCCGAGGCTTCCATCCGTCAGAGCCGGACAGAATACTGGTATCCGATGCTTCGCCGCCCAGTACAAAATCGAAGATTCGTCATTGATCCTATCTCCGAGTCTGAACCAGGCAGATGACGAAATGAAGACAAAACTGTATTTTTTTTTTGGCTTTTTCCAACTCACTCTCAAACTTGATAGGCCAATCTTTGAGATACAATTAATTATTGAAGATCTGAAAAACTGGTAATCAAAAAAGGATTTTAAAAGCATTTCAGTGTTTCTGGAAGTCTCTCATATATTTTAACAGCAAAAGATTTCGGTAAATTGTCTTTTTTGATGATAATAATTTATTTCATTCACAAAAAAATCCTCGTGAAGAGACTACGTCTTCACTGTTTATCTTTTGGTAATAAAAACTATATCCGAAAAATTTTAAATCTAAGTCAATCACCTCGAAACTTAGTTTTTCAATATTTGCTTGCTTCAGATTCCTGAAGCTTGATTTATGGAGAATATCCTGCAGTTCTGATTGAATAAGAGTTCTTTTGGTAATAAATTTGGTTTTATTGCGCGAAAGAGGCGCAAGACAAACAGACGAACCGATGAATCAGCTTGGAGGGAGTCCAGCTGACGTCGCCGCTCTCTTGTTCGGCGAGACATTCGTCGAGAATCGGGTTGAGCCAATCCTCGAAGGCGCAGTAGTTGTCGTTGGGGATGAGGACGTTTCCGGCACGATTCATCCCATTTGACCTTCAGAAATTCATGGATTGAATTGTGTAGCTTAGAGAAAGAAGCAAATTTTGTGCAATTTCAAAACTTTGATAATTGGATTAAGCAGCTAATATCTGATTAAGACAGCAAGTTTATTTAATAGTTCCATGAGTTCTACGTTTCTTCCTTTTGACGAAAACACTGATAGAAAGATCATATCCAACAGCCGATGAATTCTTAAACTAAGTAATGATTGACCTAAAAGTATATTTTTCTCAAAAAACCATTTCGGCAGCGTTTTTGCGTCATTTTTTGGAATTCTTTTTCAAACAAAAACAAAGTTAGGAACTCACTTCTTTTTTTCAGATTAATAAACGGAGTGTAATGCAAACGACAAAACTCTACAAACTTCGATTAGCTCAACTTCTTTTTGGAGGCATTCTTATGACTAGGAATCTCTATGTAATCGATGAACCTCAACGTCTTTCCATCCATGTTGAAAGCGCCGAGGTAGGACTCCTTGAGGCACTTAATCAAGTCTTCCTCGACGCCGCCGGCCGACGTCACGACACAGTCGACCAGGTCGTGCTGCACGATGAACCGCAAGACCTGGGAAGCACGAGTTCGGAGAGAAAACGGAAGGAAGACACTTCTCGAAGACCACTCGTCACGAGATTCGAGGTGTATCCGAGGAAAATCGTGCAGGCGCGTTTTCGACGTCCCTCTGGGTATGGAAAAAACGCGTCTTCTGAATCTTCCAGCTGTTTTTCCCGTTCCTCCAGCATTTTGTTCACTTGCTGAAGTTCAATAATAACTCAGTTTTAATATCGATTCCTTTTTTTGTTAGACCAGCCAATAAATTATTTTGGAACCACCTCGATAGCCAGGGAAAGATTAGAAGCTTGAAAACCGGTGCTCTTGTAAGAGGCAAGCAAGGACGAGAGTGTGAGTTCTCCGTTGAAATCGAAGCCTTTGATGCTTGTCGCATCAGCAGGGACCTTCAAATCTGAGTTGAACAAGTTTGGAATTTCTCGAGAACCTCGCAAGATCGGACAAGAACTGCTCCTTGGGCGTTGAGCAAGTCCTGTATCGCCCCATCGTTTGCACTCATTCAATAAAACTTCCTTGGTACCGAAATCTCGAAATGATCTATTGAATGGCTTGGAGAACGTAAGAAGTTTCGGTTTTATATCCGACTCGAACAATAAAAAGCCCGAAACTATATAACTTTATTCATCTTTCTACACATATCACATGAGGAGAGAACATAGGCAGTTCTCCAAATATATAATTATTTTCTTGGATTTTCACATTTTTGGACGGAACTTGTCCTTCGCCTCGCGAAGTCGTTTCATCCCTTCGATTAAATCCGCAGTTCCAACGTGGTCCTGAAAAGATAATTGACTTTTTGGCTGGTAAAAATAAAACCTGAATTTCTTTAGAGGCGGCGACTCTCATGAATGGATTAATGAGCTTTTCTTCGCCAATTGTAGAAGGAACTGTATCCTTGTCGTTGTTGCGTTTTTCAGTTGCCCATTTTTAGCTTATCGATAACTTTCTAGCCGGAAATTTTCAATGAAAGAAACTTGAATCTGGCAGGAACCTGGTTTCCAGGCTCGACCGACTCAGCAAACTTCAAATTTGTCGCAGTATATTCATGACCCACATAGACCAGTGTAGAATCGGGCAAAGAAGCGAGAATCTCGTTCAAGTTCCGGTGCATTTGGTCTGCCGATCCTCCAAGCAGAAAAATTACTTTTTGCTCGTTATAGAAATGCAAATATTAAACTCTTGAGAGATTGCTAAGACTAGCTTGGACGTGGGAAACCAACTTCAAGGCTACCTAACTATTATTTTAATTTTTTTTAAATATTCGGGTGAAATGCTTGAAGGTACGGTAAGTAATTTTTCAGCTGAAAGCATGAGAATCTCCAAACTTTTATTTAAAAAGCAACCTTCAAAGAACTTTCCACAGCCGGCAATGAACAACGTGTCTCCAGTGAAAACAACGCCAGGACCATTTTTGCCGGAAACGTGGTAACAAACGTGTCCTCGGGTGTGACAAGGCGTCGATAGAGAACGTATCTTAATACATTCTCTCAAAATTTATTAATGTTGATCAGCTATAAAGACGTTTCTAATCCGAAACTTTGAAGATGTTATGTGAAATCACTGGGGAAACTAACTTTAAAAAAAAGTTTGGTTATTATTTAACGTTATCACTAAGAATAACTGCCGAGATAAACGCGAGACGCTGGCGGTACATTGACGAGCTCGCAAACATCTCGCTTTTGTTTTTCTCGCGCCGGTCTCGCACTTTTCTGGGCGCGAGCTCGCATTTCTCTCGCAGTTTGAAAATTTTCTGAAATGCAAGATAAATGCGAGGTCGCGCCGAGAAAAAGGCGAGGTCGCGCCGAGAGAAATGCGAGATCGCGCCTAGAAAAAAGCGACATGTTTGCGAGTTCGTCAATGTACCGCCACCGACCTCGCGTTTATATCGGCAGTTATTCTTAGTGATCAACAAGTTCATAAGAAAATATTCCAAAGCAACTGGATCATTTTGGCATCACGTTCATTTTTGCAATCTTTGCAACAGATATATTCAGACCTTCAACCCCGCCTGTTCGAACTCCTCGTCGTGCTTTAAAATCTTGTCGACGTGCTCGATTCGATCGTCACCTCCGAAGATAGGGACCTGAACCCAGAAACTCTTTTTATCGAAAAGAAAGAAACCTGTTGGCTATCAGGAAACGCCTTTCGGAAAGCAGGAGTTCCACCGGCGTGGTCCCAATGGTGGTGAGTGATTAAAGCACCAACTATTGTCAGCTGAAGCTTATCAGTAGACAATATCGCGCTTTCAGTTAAATGCAAAATCTCCCTTCTTCTTCTTCTAAGTTCAGCAAGAATTCATTGTGATCGAAATAATCAGATCTTCACATAATCTTTACCAAGTCGAAACTTTTGCAAACCAAAACTCACATTATCTTTAACGCAAATATTCTGTATTTTCTCCGGCTCAACGGGATCAACGACAAGAACTTTATCGTCGTTCTCATTTCGGACGATGTACATGAAATTGTCTTCAAGAGCTCTTACTACTTGGACGTGAACCATCCTCCTTCCAATACAAAGACTTTTCGTTGCCAATCTGTACATTCTGTTTCAAAACCGCTCAGTGTCTCGAATTTTCCGCAAAACTGAGGCAAATAACTCGATTATAACGAAATTGAAAAAAAAGTTTTCCTCAATGAGAAAAGTTCATTCACAGAGAAATTTCATTCAAAGTGGGTTAAAGAAAGGAAAGGGAGTTAGTTGAGTAAAATTAAACATGAAAATGATAGCTTTAAAAGACTTGAACCCGTTATAACGTGATGGAAAAAAAAAAGCAGGCAAAGATTTAAATAAAGATTTTTCGAAAATATATTATCTATTGTGGATGAACGTGGTCATTTTCCACTAAATAAAGCATATCCGAGAGGGTTTGTTCATGTTGTTGCTCTTCAGCCCGCAGGAACATACCTTTGGCTCCAGGAGGTAAATGTAGGAATCGAGGGCCAAAGTTAACAGAAACCTTTGCTTCTGCAACATTTCCCATCAAAAAAAAGAAAATGAAATGTGAAAATCTCACTGTGATATATGGAAATCGCTGGATGGTAGTAGCCCGCATGAATATTTTCGTAGGCAACTCCGCAGGACTTGCTGTTGTGGAAAAACTCTATCTGAAAAATCTCCATTCCTGACACTCCTCAAACAGAAAACAAACTCGGCTTCTGGGAAGTTCTTTCAAACTCTTCAATTTATCAGCAACTTCATCATGCACCTCGAAAAAGAGGTTATGTCTATAGTTGATCAACGTGGAGTCCTAGAAAATATATCAAATGAATGCAGCTTTAAATAAAACACACTGAAAATGAGATATTATGCTATCGAATAGGAATTAGGGTATTTTTTTTTCAAGAAAAGCAGACCCTTTTGTTCAACTCACCTTATAAGATTCTGGTAAATAATCTTTAGAGCTGATAGTAGGGATGTTACTTTCGCAGTCTATGGGGAGGTGGATCAAACACCCCAAAACATCTCCTTCCTAAAAGAACATAAAATAACTTGAACCGAATCACGACAAAACCTTGAATCCTCCGAAATGATATTTCTTTCCTTTAGCGTCATGAAACTTAGTTCCGTGTTTGGATCTCCATGAATACGAGAATTTATTGTATCCCGCGCAAGCTTGTAGAACGGCTGAAAAAATTAAGAGAAACTTCGCAAAAATTTTCTTCAAAAAAACCATAAGGTTGACTCCAACCGATTCTGATGTGAGAACCTTCCGGCTGCTCTTTGAAAGACACCTAAACTTGCAACATCTCAATACAGTTGACAAAAAAAAGTCGAAAAAAAAAAGAGTACCTCGTAATACCAGGTTCCCTTGCAGACACTGTGAGTGGCACGCACCATGGCGTAACCTTCGTGTCCCGTCACTTGATAACCTCCGGACCCTGCGAGTGCTTCCACTTGAAGCTGGAATTACCGGTTGGAAACAAAATTTTTCGTGCTCTCCAACCTGATAAGCCTTGTCGTTTTGAGAGAGTCCGACAGTGGGCAACGGAACAACGCGATAAGAGAACGCAGGTATTACAAATGCCGCACTTTCGTCGCGAGAAGGCCTCAAAATGAAAAAATGAGAGAGCAGCTTTTTTTTTTTGATTTTTAGGTCGGCGTATGAATAATTACTCTTGGGAATGTAATGTCTGTACTCCGAAGCAGTTTATACTCAAAAATTAGAAAACAAGTCAACTGAACTCACACAGAGTTTTCCTACTAGTTAAAAGTTTCGAAGAAATTTTAAATACTGTATATTCTGCTCGAAGATCTTTGAATAGTATTCTAAGAGAACTATTCTCAAAAAAAAAAAAAAAAAATCATGATCTGAACCGATACTGGAATGACTTCTCTTCTTGAGACCTTCTCCGTGCTCTTTCGACAACAGAGAATTAAAAAAGAACAAAAGAGCCCTACGGCTACAAAAAAAAATTATATGAGCAAACTACGTTCAATCATCGTATCGAAGTGCGTGCAGCGCAAAATGAAAATGAAAAAAAAAGAACATATCAGCTTACTCAAAAACATTAGGGTCACGTTCGGCTAGAAAGTATCGATAGCCATCCTTGTTGAGCGGAGGATCAATAGAAGTTCCAGCTGCAGACGCTCCCTGGTCGCTCGACCTGGATATTTATTAAAAGGAAAAATGAAACGCAAATTAAATCGAACATTTTTGGTTTTTTTCCGCTTGGAGCGGCTTCGGCATTCCTTCTTTTACTGGCGCCTCGTGTTTTCGGCCCATCAACTGAACCAGCTCCGCTTTCGTCCGTTAACTTGTCAAAGGTGGCGGCGAGAGCAACGGCGTTTGATTTGTCAAAGTTTGACTTTCTTCCGATCTGAAAAAAATAATCTTTAATTAAAAAAATTTTTCTTTTTTTCTCGTTCAAATGAACGTTGGTTCGCTACCAGAAAAGAAGAAATTTCAAAGTTTTTTTCTCAAATTAATTTTTTTAAGCTTAATTTCAAACCTGTTTTACAATTTCATTGAGAGGACCGACATCAGCCAAGTTGGTCTCGGCCAACGCAAAGGAATCTGGATCGTCTGGCTTTTGCTAGAAGATTTTTTCCGTTTTCTCGAGGATTTTTCTACAAACAAACCAAGAACAAATCTTTCTCCTTTGCGAGGGTTTTTTGTAGAGTTGTATGCCAAGTATTCTTTACCCGCTTAGGCATAGATGTGAGAAGAAGCCAATTTTCATTCATGTATGGTATGATTTTTTGAAAAATACTAAAAGATAACTCATTTTTAACAGTTTGAAGCTGCGCTCACTTGAAATAGATCGGCTCCTGTGGCAATGTCGCTGGTGAAAGTAGCCCAGAAGCCGATAAATACTCAGCAGCGAGATTGGCTAATACTGTGATGCACATGTGACTGAAATCTGCAAAATTTACTTTCAAAAATTACTACAGAATGTAAAAAATACTAGCTTGCTTCGCTTGCCAAGACTCTTCTCCGGTTTGACTGCAATCTTTGCAGTGGAAAGTATAACACACCATGAACGCTACCCCATTGCTAAAAAAAAGTTTTATATGGAAATTATACTTTGAAATATTACAATTCTTTGAGGTCCTTCAGGCAACGTCCGTGAAACCATTTGAAAACAATTACAGCAGAACAATTCAAGAGTTCCCAGTTCTCGTCCGCCGTTACTGAAAAAAAAATATTTTTTTTTTCATTATATATAGAACACAACTTTTCATTGAAAAAATATGTCCAAGGCGACTGATCGTACTACGAAAGTTTCGGTGCTTTTGGTCATAATATGCACATGTAAGAACTTACCGAGACAGTACTACTCTTTTTACCTCAAGGAAAACGTTACCAAGAAGTTGCACGAAAGAAATTTCATTTGCTTTTCGTGAACAGACGACGCAATACTTATCGGCCGCCTTCGCACTTCGATGAGTTTGCGTGTTAAGAAATGAACATAATGAATGCTAATAAAACTTACCAATAACATACAGTTGACGGGAGAACTTTCGGAGGTTCAGTTTTTTGGGTGACTTTTGCACTACGCATCAGATGAGATAGAGCAGCTAAATGAAAAATTTGAGTAAAAACCTTCTGAATGGAGATTAGTTATGTGCAGAAAAAAATTATTAGCGTATATGGCATGTAGAAACAAGTTCGAAACTATAGACGTTTAGGAACCCGTAAAAGTTTGTAAAATTATAAAGATAAAAGGCGATAGTGTTTCTTTTAATTTCCCTCATTATGAAACGAATGAAAAGTAACGCGAACACATGAAAAAAATATTTATAAAAATCCAATTTTATATCAATTGCAAATTTAAATATATATGTGCACATGCATTAGTTTGAAATTTCCAATCTATGTGCACTAACGCTCCACTGTACTCAGCCATTTCAAAAACGCACTGCGGGCCGCGACGCGAATTCTTTTCGAAACTCTCCCCCACAATTTCGAAACTCGAACTCCTCTTCAATTGAGCTTTTCGCCTTTCTCTGCTGCCGTTTTTTACTCCTTTCTCGTGCTCAAGAACATCATACTATGGCTGAATCGTGTTTCAGGTCCGAAGACGAGCAAATCCGCTCGCTTTTGGACGACCCAGAATACCCGTTCGTCAAAACCGAGGACCCAATTTTCTACAATCACGAGTACGAGAAGAACCTCCTGATGTCTTACGACCTGGACCTCGGTGAGTCGTGTGGTTCGGATTCAGAAGCAGTCAACCACCAATACAATTGGTACTCTGAAAAGGAGACGTCTCATCTAACTTCTGTTCCAGTCAACCTCACTACCAGCGGACCGCTGATCAAAGTGGAGCCTGCGAACAGCTTGAGCGATCGCCGCGCTTTAAAGGTTAGCCCTGTTGTCGATTTTTCGACATATCAATCTTCGAAGCGTGGTCGACCGTCTAAGCAAACCAGCAACTCAAAAATGGCAAATTACGCTCGTAACTATCGCGAAATGAAGAAAAATCAGTTAGCAACTGCTGAAGTTCATTTGAAAGAGCTACAAGAAGAAATTCGTCTGCTTCGGGAAGAAAATCGCAGGATGCAAGTCGCTTTGGAAGACGCTAACACCGAAATCAGTCATCTAAGAACCGTCATCGACGAGGATTCTTCACTTGCCAATGTCGTCTCACGCATGAACGATCGTTGCTCATTCCCGATCTTGCGTTCTTCAACGGCCAGTGTGTGTCTTCATGTGGGCGAAAATGGTACGACCGTCGAGGTGTGCAAAACCTGCGCCGATAATTCGAAGATGCACCTTCAACAAAAGTACAAGCTCGATTCCATTAAAATTGATCCAGATTTGGAACTTTTCAATGGAGATTTTTCCTCTATTGAACAGTTCATTAGTTAAGTTGTTGAGGTTTTTGTTGTTAGTAAACGTGTATATTAAACATTTTTTTTTGTACGATATTGCGTGAACTTAACATGAATTTTTCAATTTCATATCGTCAATTATTTTGTTCATTTATATTCATCTTTTAGATGTTAGAGACGCCATCTCGAGTCACCGCCTGGGATTCACGCTACGGCATGAAGAGGCAATGATTAATTGACCGCCATAATTTTTTTTGGCTGGCAAAAATGGTGCGTGATGACATCAAATGTTAAATTCTTTTGTTAAAGTATCTGCAGTTTTACCGCGCGAAGCAATTGGTTGCTTCCAATGACACCAGAAGGCTTTCAACTCCGACAATTGGTTGGTTTGCTACTTGTGGGAAAACAGTAAAATAAAAATTCAGATGTCAATGAGTTGGAAAAGGCGGTTCGTACCACGTGGGTCTCCATGTGAACTCCCTACGATGTTTTTCGCTATGGGTGTACGTTCGCGTAGTTCTCGTTTGCGATGTTTTTTCGAATTTCTGCTTGATGAACAGTCCATTCCAAGAATAAATTATTATCTACTCCAGATTTTTTTTCTCAAAAACGTTTAACGTTTGGTTATTTATTTTTTTTTCTTCTAAAAAAATTTCATAGGGTAAGAGTTTAAGAAGAAATGCCGGAATATGAAAATATCGATGAGGATCATATTGTGCCCTGCTTTCCGTCAACCTCTGCAAGTTCTCCTGAGTTTTCGAAAAAAACAGAAGCTATAAGTGAGGCGACATCTAAGAAGCGCTGTGGATCGAAAAAGAAAAAAAGCAATTTTTTTCCAGCTTTTCTCTTGCAGGCGAAAGGAAAAAGGCGATTATCAGGTTTTCAATGTTTTTTTCTTTTCAGTAATCTAAATTTTTTTAATCCAAAACTACCGTTCAAAGTTAGCTTTGGCGAAAAATTAATTTTTTTAGCCATTTTTTTCACGAGAAAATTCATTAGCCGTAATTTTTTTAGCTTTTAATTATATGCCATTTTCGGAATAGTTTCGCGGGTTCAGAAATCGCAGAAAGCGAAGCCTAATTAAAAAAAATTTTTTTCAGAGTGATAAACTTTATTCAAGGTTTTATTTTGGGATAAGCAAGAGGCGGTAAATTAATTAGTTTATCGAATTCATCGAAGTTTTTTGTTAGTTTATGCTATCATAACACGGCAATCAAAGTATTATTTCTCGTATATAGATTTAATTCTATCTATTTGAATTTCCCGTTATTTCATGGCTCTTGAAATCTTATTCAAAAAAAATTTGAAACTATGAATAACATTCTAAAAAAAAATCTACATAGGTTTTATAAAAATTAATTCCGGGAAATTCGAAAAATCCGCTCGATAGTGAGAAAAAAATAACTACATTTTGAAAGACCCAAAATAGATGATGACTTCTGCGAAATTTGAAAAATAATAGAGAGAAATTTTTTTATTAATGTATACCATTTCAGCATTCAAAATTAAGTACTCGAAGAGGATATCGCTTTCTCTGAAATTCCGTGTATGGAAAGCTAAGGTCAGACTTTTCAATTTCTCATTCAAACGAGCCAGTTGTTAATTCTGAGCTTTTGGATTAATTATTGTACTGAAAATACTTTTTTGTAGTTTTTTAAGGTCAGAATCTTTCCAATTGAACACTAAGTGAACAAAATTGCAAGAGGAGTTGCCTACAGGTTGATAAAGAATGCGAGAAAGAGATCGCTGAGCGGAAGAAAAATTTTTTACGACTCAAGCGCGAGCGGGAAAGGCTTCTCACTGGCCAAAGCGAGTTAGCAATGAAGGTTCGTTTCAGAAAATATTCGTTGATCCGTTCTAAAATTTTCAGTGTGAAGCTCTAACCGAGAACACACGGCTTCTTCGGGCTTCTTTTGAACGTCATCAAGCTTTATATTTGCAATCTATAGTTCACAGTTTCCTTCAGGCCAAGGAAATGAGTACATATATGTAATATAGTTGATTATTTCAGTTCCCCTGCCGGAAAAATTCTTTAAACAAAAATAATATACAGCATCTTAAAAATACCTTTGCTTATATTTGTTGTGTAAAATTTACGACGTAATCATTCGCGCTCACTTTTGTCATATACTAATGAGTTTCTCTGGGATTATGTCGATATAGTGCTAGTGCAAATGTTACGGGTGTTAAAAGTTTTTTGCTTTCGAAAAAAATAAATTTTCGATAATGCTTGTTTTGTTTATTTAGTTTATTTAGAAAATTATGCTAAATTATAAAAAAATTTTTAAAAATTCTTATAAATAGAAACTGTTAAATTGAGGCGACGAAATGGAGAGTTTCTAAGTAAAAATTCATCTTTTTTCCAGTGCCGTGTTAGTTGAAAAAAAAACATAATGTAAACGAAATAAAGCAGACAGTGTTTCAATGAAGCAGTTATAAAAATGGATATGAAAGATTAAAAAAAAAGATAATGAAAAATGCAGCACCAGTTCGAGTTCTCCGACAAATTCGGATATTTCGAAAACAGGCTTAAAAAGTAAGCTCCTGCGAAAAAGCCTCCAAAATGATTTCGTTTTGCGCCGTTCATCTCGGCTCTCAAATCGGTAAGGATTTTGAAGACTCAATAAAGGGTGTAAAAAAGAATAGAGAGCAAGAAGGGTCAACATGGGCTGATAAACTGGTACGAAAGGACGCTATGAAGTAACTTTTCATTAAACCTCTGTGAGAACAGTTAACGTTGACCTTATATGACATTTCCGACATTGCTAGCCTTTGTGAAAATATCTCACCAGAAGTTGCTTCCATCCTTGAGACTTTCGGCTTCTTTCTCTCGGTTTTGTCCAAGTTTTTTTTTTCGAAACTCGTTCACGAAAAGTTTCTTAAAATTATAACTGGATCAATCGTAATCTCTAGCTAAACCTTGACGATACTCCTAGAGGTCATTATTTATTTATTTTTTTTTTAGATCGATAATAACCCTTATATCGTTTTATGGCAAACTGATGAAAAAAAAACCTGCATACGGCTACCGTTTCCACGATCTCAAGAAAAGGTGTTATGCCATGTTCAAATTGATTCTGCGAAATTCAAAATAGTCGACAGAAATAAAAAGAACTAAAATTTGGAAAGGCATAGAACATTTTTCATTTCGCGGAAATTTCTTTGAAGATGGTATCAACTTAGTATCTCAACGAAGAACGTCATATTTTTCTGCAATGAAGAATTTTCGCTTCTAACGACTCCAAACTTCAACCGGTTTAACGGCTCGAAGCAAAAAAAAAATCCACGTTTATTTATACACCATCTAAAAATAAATCTTTATTCGAAAAATGCCGGGTCATCCAACGTGGCATCTTGAGACGTGTCGACTCGAGAGCCAGCAAGGCAGTCTCCGATTCGCACTGAGTTTCCTCTTTCGCGATGCCACATCTCTCTGGTTCAGCTTCTAAGCTCCTGATGCAGCAAATGTCGACGAACCCTTTGATGTACCATCACTACACTTCTGAACCCAAGTCCCGGCTTCAGCTTCAGGAAAATGTTTTTTCTTTCCGAGAATCATTTCATCCGTTTACTGTTGAAGAGCTCTTTCACCGATGCAATGCGTTCAATGTCTTTGAGTGAGAAGTACAACTGTAATAACCCGAAGAGAGCTACCAAGGCGCGAGGACAGGTATATAGTAAATATTTTGTGAGATTTACTGAAAAAATTTTTCGTAATGTTACATTCGGTCCTAAAACGCTTTCTGCGCTTGAAGAAACGCTAAACCTTGGAACCAGGCTTTAAATCATGTTTTATATTCTTCCAAAATTTCACCTAAACTGGCCTTGAAAAGAAAAAAATCAGAGTTCTTGAACGATTATAGATTATTTTGAAGCTCATTTACTTGTCGTTCATTATTTTTCTCTCTAACAGAAATTTACAGAACTATGCGGACGCAGAATTGGAAAGGGCTTTTCAACTTCAGAAGCAAGTCGCGCATAACGACTTCTCAGGCCAACAGAGTTATATAAACAGCTCTCCGATGCGCTTTTCCAAACAGCCGAGCCATCAAAACTCGCAGAAGTACCTGCTAAATAGCCAGCTCGCCAATTATTACCGTGCCGAAATGTCACCCAACAGCGTCAACTTTGATCCCCAAATGGACTTACATTCACATGGTAGAAAAATACATCCTACAGTTTTTCATTTTTTTTTTTCCTCCTAGCTTCCGATGAATACGTTTTCGGCAGCAGTGGCTCGAACAGGATGGTCGGCGGCGGAGAATACGGACGGATGAGTCTCGTCGAGGGGCCGAAGATGATGATGTCGGTGCAGGATGTCCATTCCTCCAGGAGTGTCGGGGGGCCCGTCACTCGCAAAAACCGCATGGTCGAGATGACTTCCATCGACGAAGGTTTCTATTCGGTCCCACAACGATTAGAAAGCTGTTCTGTATCCCGAATTGATCGACTATCTTGGGAGAGCAATTTCAGAGCCATAATATTGCAATAATTAAGGGAATCGATAATTTCTGAAATAAACGTCTGCACGTTTATATTAAAAGATTTTTCGAAAAATCTTTCGCTCATAATGACGATTTAGTATGAGGACATACTCATCTGACAAGAACTCTTTTCTTAAAAAATCTTTCCTCCATTTTTGACCAAAATTTTATTGTTTTAGTGAAAATGAAGTAGTTAAGAACCATTTTTGAAAAAATTTAGTTTTGTTGCCTTTTTATTGTTGACGACTAACTCTTCGATTACACCATGATTCAGCAGAGATTTTCATCATCTTACTCTGAAGACTGAATAAAATGAAGTGAAGTGAAATGACATTTTATAGAAAAATCGGTAAGAAGAATTTGTCACTGCCATGTCTGATTCATTGAAATGAAAGTTTTCCATTCAGAAAACGGATCTTCTCCTTTGGCGATGGTGGTGTTGAGTGATCCCTCTAGTGGCCACAACTCAAGATCTACGCGAATCGTCAAAATCCCAACGCGTCCTGGAGCTCCCAAGAACTCCAATCCACTCTCCAACGCCGTCGAGCCTCTTTTTTCGCGTAAAGTTTTTGTCGGCGGCCTTCCAATTGACGTCACCGAAGGTTTGAAAAAAAAAAGAAATTTGAGTTATTTTAAGTTTCAAGAGGAAGTTTGGGCCACTTTTGCCGCTTTCGGAAAAGTTCTGGTTGATTGGCCTCGCCGTCCAGAGCATGGCCGTGGCGATTTTTTTGAAGATGCGCCTCGTAAAGGATGTTAGTTTTTTAATCACATCTGATGGGTCTAAAATTAGTTCTGAGCAAGAATGTGTCCCAAAGAGAATACTACACCATGGAACGAAGTTTTTGGTTCCTCTTAGATACGCTAAAATCCTATTAAGATGAACTGGACAACTTTTATAACAAAAAACCAGAAATACTGTTCACAAGGTAGTTTCCGAACAACAATACCTACGCAAAGTTTTTCGTTTTCTGCTGCCTTACCCAAAGATTGCACGCCCAATAAACCGCAAGTAGTTCAGCCCGATCGGTGTCCGGTTACGTTTTCCTGGTTTTCGACCAGGAGGAGTCGGTACAGCGCCTTGTCAGTCATTGTGTGGAGCAAGACAACAGGTTTCTTTGCTTTGCTTTGTTGCTGAACGAACACTCGTGTTTCCTCAGATACTACTTGTTCGTCTCGTCGCCGACTATGAGCGACAAGCCGGTTCAGGTCCGCCCGTGGCGTCTTTCCGACATCGACTACTTTGCTGACAAGGATGCGTTCATCGATCCACGCAGAACTGTGTTCATTGGCGGTGTCCCAAGACCTACAAAAGCGAGTTGGTAGCGTGTCCAGAATCCTTTCCGCATTTTCTGCTCAGGAGACCTTGCGGAGTGTCTTCAACGCTACTACGGCCAAGTCTCCTACGTTGGTATTGACATTGATCCGGAGCTCAAATATCCAAAAGGCGCCGCTCGCGTCACTTTTGCCAGTTCAACTTCTTTTGTAGCCGCTATTACGGGACGTTTTGTGCACGTAAACCATTCTGAGACTAATAAAAGGGTTGGTTACTTGGATATCTGGATTATTTAAATGCGTTCCCCTTGTAGGTGGAAATCAAGCCCTATGTGATGGAAGAACAGATCTGCGACGAGTGCGAGGGCCAGCTGTGTCGTTTCAACTACGCGCCTTACTTTTGTGGCGATCCTTCGTGCCTGCAGTTCTACTGCGAAACTTGCTGGGACCGCGTTCATTACGTTTGCTCTGAGAACCGCTCGCAGCACCGTCCTATGGTCAGGACTGGAGATCAGACCAGGGTCCGTTTCTGCAAAGTTTCTCTTTCTCTTTCGTGAAAGAGCATTTTGAAGTTTGATACAAGTTGTATGATTTGACGAGTTTTTCAAAGTTTGGACAATGTCGATTGACTTGTAGCTGGCTACTGTCTTTTTTGTCCAAACGTCAATTAAATTTTGAAATAGTTATTTTTGAAAAAAAAATTTCAGAACGGTTTTTTAAAATCTTTCTCGGAGTATTTGAACATTTTCACTTAGAATAACTGACGATATAAACGCGAGGTCGGTGGCGGTACATTGACGAACTCGCAAAAATGTCGCTTTTTTCTAGGCGCGATCTCGCATTTATCTCGCATTTCAGGAAATTTTCAAAATGCGAGAGAAATGCGAGCTCGCGCCTAGAAAAGTGCGAGACCGGCGCGAGAAAAAAAGCGAGATGTTTGCAAGCTCGTCAATGTACCGCCAGCGTCTCGCGTTTATCTCGGCAGTTATTCTTAGTGTTTTCAAAAAAGAAAACGTTGATTTCAAAATTAGTTGAAACTAAAAGAGAGGGTTGAATTTTGAGGAACAAAAAAAGCTGAAGAATGATTCAAAAATGCCGACGTGTCGAATGAATGAATCTTTCTGTGCTTCTGCGTTTCATGAATCGAATTCTTGAGATGAGGGTTAAGACTTCTGAATTTTCAGGTGCTTCCCCGTCCGCCGCACCACGGCTCCAACGGTCTGCAAGTTCAGCGTCGCGCCCCCAACTTCGTCCTCAACCTTTCGAATTCGATGCGACTTTCCAACGCCGGAAGTCGTTTGTCCTCCCAGAATCTCTCTTCTTCTGTATATGGATCCACACTCACTTACTAATACCCAATTTTGAGATGTTTTGCCTTGAGCGGAATATTCGTACTTTGATTCAACAACAGCTTCAAATCTTCTTGTGAACATCCCTGAGATATTGGAATCCAAAATTGGACCATTTTTACCTAACGTTTTACCCCACTTTTGAAATAGTTTATATTTGCAAAGTTTATCTTGTTATCCGTGTCCTTTTTAATTAACGCTGTCAGCCTACTTTTTCCGGCTTCTCTTTGTTTTATAGATGTCTGTTTATTTTATTGTTGTTTTTAAATTGCCTATTTTTGTCTACTCGTATCTTTCAAAGATTTTTATTGACTTCTGTTTTCACTTCTTGTTTGTCGATACGGCCTTACAATTGCCTTGAATTATTGTTTCGAAATTGAGTTCCATCGGATAAATTGGCTCAATGATTGTGTTTGGTTCAGTTTCATGGGGTATAAAAGCATTCCACGAAGATTTGGTAGAGATTCTTGAAGGATGCCGATTAGCGAACTCGAAAAAAAATGGACCGGCATGAACTTCGACATTGCGGCTGAGGAAATGCGACGGCTCAAGGTATAATTTTAAAAATTTACCATTTGGCCAATCATTCTCTATTTGAGATCATGTTCTTAATTTTCCGATTCAGGAAAAGCCGACAGAACGGGAACGACTTCATCTCTACGGACTCTACAAACAATCTCTGCACGGCGACATTCCAACCGAAGAATTTTATCGTAAGTGAAGTCAGCTATTGAACGAAAATCTCTCTTCAAGCCGTTCCACCTGGCGACTTTGACAGGAAGAAGTACGCCGCCTGGAGAGCTCAAAAAGGTGAAATTTTTTTCCGAAATTTCATATAGTTTTTTAAAATATCAGGCAAGAAGATGGAGCGTGCAAGAGAGGAATATCTGAAGCTGTCTGAAGATATGATAAAAGAAATATGGAAGAAAAAAATAGTCCGTTCCAAGTGGAATAGCGAAGTTTGGTCTGTCGATTATTGAATATTTTTGTTGCTACTAATAAATATTTTGTTGAAAAAATGGAAGGAAAAAAAGCACATAAAGGTTTTACAAGCCTGTACAGTGTATCTACAGAAAAATCCAGTTATATTCCAGGATTCCCGGCATTTTTTGAAGAATCAAATTTTGATTATGATAAAAAATCAACTTTCCAATACCTTTTCCAAAAGGCCGTGTGAGAATATGAAATGAGTATTGACGTCACAACTGCTCCCGTATTTCTACACTAAAACGGCTCCCGCCCCTCGAAAACTCTGCCCCATTGCCAATTTTCGACCGCGGCGCGCCCTCTGACACCTCGAGCCTGCTGTATTGTGTTCACGTTATTAATTTTCATCTAATCAATTTATCTCTGAACTAAATACCGATTAATAATTCAAAAAAATTACTTCATCAACAGTAGCAAAACATTTTCACGACGTCCAATTTTTTTTGCTTGTTTTTTTTTTGCGTATTTCTCCTTTTTGTGTTTTTTTTTTCTTTGTAAAAATTAGAAGATGATCTTATTTAAGAATGTCGTCGCAAAGGGCGACGCAGTTACTCGCCGATCTGTCGTTAACGGAAGGCGACGGAGATAGGGAACGTCCGCTTTCTCACGTCTATATTGACGCATATGAAAAGATTTTGGAGGTGAGAGATACTGAATTTTCGACAGTGAAAATGCAATACGCTTACGTTTTTGTAATTATATGAACGTGAAAAAAGCTTTCATTTTATCTGAATTCTAAGAAAAAAGCGATGCTGAGGACGGTAAGTTTCTGTAGTGAATTATTACGAGAAGTTATTTTTCCATGATTAATTTTTTCCCAGGAAGTGGTATCATGGGAAGAACACGAGCAGTTAGATTTTATCGAAAAGATGGTGCAACGGCTAAACCATTATCAACTGGGCCGTGTAGACAATTTCATTCGTCCCATGCTTCAAAGAGACTTCATTGCCCATTTGCCAAGTGAGTCGTTATTAAATAATCAAGATTGTTGCTTGGGCTATGAAAATTACGATATTATAGACAATCTCGCTGAGATGATCTTGTACAACTTGGACGCCGATTCACTCAAGGCTTGTGAAGACGTCAGTTCTTTTTCTACTTATTTTCGGATGAATTTCTTTGTTCAATATTATATTCTCAGGTTAGCACAAGCTGGAGAAATTCGTTGGCGATCGGGCAGTTGTGGAAGAAATTAATTGAAAAGAATGTACGGACGGACAATCTTTGGCGTGGGCTCAGCGAGAAGCGTCAATGGTTTCTTTTTCCTTTTAACTTAAAAAGAAAACGCAAATTTTACCCTGTCTGTAAAAATTTTGCTATCTGCTCCGACGTATCATTTGGAGCAAACTATTAGTTTTGTTTTTAATTTTCTTTTTTCTTGTATCAGTTAGGGCGTTTATTGAGGCTGTTAGAACTTACTTATCCTGCGTCTTTTTTGCGAAGGAATTTCATCTGGAATATTTACAGGGACAAATTCATTTTGATCAACCGCGAATTGGCTGCGCAGAGGGTTTGTGAGAAGTATAATTACCGGTACGATCAGCTGAAAGGAACGTTCCAGTCCATTCTTTTGCAACACGTCTTTTACAGGTCTCCTTCCATCATAAGTTTCCATCCTTTCAATTTTTCAGGAAACTGTACCCAAAAGTTCTAAATGACATTGAGACGATAGAAAACAACTGGAGAAAAGGAAATTTTAAGCTAAAACGAATTAGTTGCCGTTCCGAGAATAGCAAAGGTGGGAGTTTATTCTTTTTTTTTGATTAAAAGGGTATTCAGGAGTTTATTGCTTGCAATATGACGATGAAAAGATTGTTTCTGGCCTACGGGACAACACTATCAAGGTTCTCGATTTTTTCTTTCTTTTCAGTTAATTTCAGTTTTTTTTTCTCTCTTTTGATCATAAAAATTCGAGATAATCCGTAGAAAAACGATTTCACTGCTCTCTAGGATGAGGATTTCAGATTTGGGACCGCAAGGACTACAGTTGTAGTCGAGTTCTTTCTGGCCATACGGGTTCTGTTCTTTGTTTACAATACGACAATCGGGTCATTATTTCCGGTCAGTTTTTCATGCTCATTTCACTTGATGAAAGCTAATAACGATGAAAAAAATGAAAAATAATTCAAGATTAAGATTAAATATATCTTTTTCTATGTATTTTTTTCGCATAAAAAAATTTGCTCTATATTAGTTTTTGCTTTCTATAAATGATCCCAAATAGGAGGAAAATGTTTTTCGCAGAGAAAATTTCACTTGTAAAAAACTAATTTTGTGACGGTTCAAGATCTTTCCAATTTTTGAATGAAATTTTCATTTTTCCTAAAAATTTCGTTCATTCTTCTAAACCATCAACGTTGATCAAAGCAAGAAATGGACAAGGTAGAGACAGAATAGGTTTTCCGGGTACACTCTTTAAAAACGTTGTTATAACGAATACGAGCAGGAAGTTAAAGAATTGTTAGGGTCTTCCGATGCGACGGTTCGAGTATGGGATGTCCACACAGGAGAATGTCTCAAAACGCTGATCCATCATTGCGAGGCCGTCCTCCATCTGAGGTTCAGCGACGGCATGATGGTCACCTGGTCAGTCCTTTTTTTCGTACTTACACACTTGGTTGCCCATTAATAATTTTGAAGCTTGATTATCGTCACACCAAGATGGGATATTATATTTTTGTTATTCGTTTCTAGATGTATCTCGAAAAGAAGCCGCCAAGAAGACAAGTTCAAAATTGAATTACTCTCATTTTCAGCTCCAAAGATCGATCGATTGCCGTTTGGGATATGGTTTCGCCACGAGAAATCAGTATTCGACGAGTTTTGGTCGGTCATCGCGCCGCCGTCAACGTCGTCGATTTTGACGACCGCTACATCGTCAGCGCTTCTGGAGATCGAACTATCAAGGTTTTTTTTTGTGATACTTTTCAGAAGCTGTGAAATATGTGCTTGATGAATTTGGAATAATTCAATTTGATACAAATAATTTTGAAAGATTCGTGTGGTCACTTTAGAGTAGTTACTGTATTTGTTTGCCGTATTGTCAAAAAGGCCGATTTCTTCTCATTGAGTTTACTGATAAATATCCCAATGTCCATTACAATTCCATCCCATCCACAGAAGATTTTACCGGAAAGCAAAAATCGTTTTCACTCCATTTCTTCGCAGAACCTGGCTTCTCGTGATTCCAATTAGCTTTTTTTTCCAATAAACAGGAAACAAATGTACTGTAATTCTAGGTGTGGTCAGTCGATTCCCTGGAGTTCGTACGGACGCTAGCGGGCCACCGACGCGGCATCGCCTGTCTACAATATCGCGGCCGTCTCGTTGTTTCCGGATCTAGTGACAACACCATCAGGTCAGCCGACGTCTTCAAAGTCGTTCGAATCGAATCGAAACTTTTAGACTTTGGGACATCCATTCGGGCGTCTGTTTGAGGGTGCTTGAAGGCCACGAGGAACTTGTGCGGTGTATAAGATTCGATGAAAAGCGCATCGTTTCTGGCGCCTATGATGGGTATTTTTTTTCTTATGCCAGAAATTTTTTTTCTGACAACATACGGGGGCTAACAGGCTGTTTTTCACTTTCGGGCCCCCCTATTCATTCAGATGGCTTTCTAAGCCGCGGAAAATGAATCCATATTATTTATCGAGCTTTTTAAAGTACATTTAGTAGGAAATTAGTTGCCTATCTTTTTGCCTAGCTCCGAACGGTAGATAAAATCGCGGGGAATCGTAGAAATAGCCTTATAAAAAATTCCAGAGCTGACTAATCGACCTAAATCCTAGTTTAAATGGTACTAATGAATGAAAAATACATGCTCACCAAATTTTAAGCCGTTTGGAAAATATAAAAAAATAATCAACTTCTGACCCCATAAGAAAATGATTTCTGGAAATCTACAATTTTTTGGCTCAAAATCATTATCAACCTTGAGTTAACACTAAATAAGGTATATGCTACAAGTTTCCAGGCTTCCGGACGTTTTTTGACCAAGTTACAGTGTTTCAAAGCGTTATCCCTTGAGGGTTTGCGTACCCCGTACCCCTCAAAAACCGAAAAATCGATCTGTTTTCAATGTTATCCTACATTATGAATTGGGTTTTTATGATCTGGCCAAGTTTCAAAGCCGTTTGGATGAGTTTTTAAGAAAAAAACAATTTTTTTGGGTCACCGGAAATTGATATTTTGAAATTTTTAATTTTTTTGGCTCAAAATCATTATCAACCTTGAGTTAACTCTAAATGAGGTATATGCTACAAGTTTCTAGGCTTCCGGACGTTTTTTTGACCAAGTTACAGTGTTTCAAAGTTTCATCACTTGACGGTTTGCGTTTTACTATGATTCAAATATGTTGTTAAACTTTTTTTAAAAATTATTTTTTTAATTTATTTATTATACTCCAGTTGAAACCGAGTAAATTATTTACCCTTTGTAAAAAAGCTGAATAATCATTTCACAGCTTGAAAAAAAGATAAAATCGCTTTTTTTACAGCTCCTATAAATCATTTCATAGTGACCCAAAAAATTATTTTTCTTAAAACTCATCCAAACGGCTTGAAACTTGGCCAGATCATGAAACCCAATTCATAGTGTAGGATAACATTGAAAAACAGATCGATTTTTCGGTTTTTGGGGGGGTACGGGGGGTACGCAAACCCTCAAGGGATAACGCTTCGAAACACTGTAACTTGGTCAAAAAACGTCCGGAAGTCTGGAAACTTGTAGCATATACCTCATTTAGAGTTAACTCAAGGTTGATAATGATTTGGGGCCAAAAAATTCAAAATTTCAAAATATCAATATGCGATGGCCCACAATTATTTTTCTTAAAACTCATCCAAACGGCTTGAAACTTGGCCAGATCATAAAACCCAATTCATAGTGTAGGATAACATTGAAAACAGATCGATTTTCGGTTTTTGGGGGGGTACGGGGGGGTACGCAAACCCTCAAGGGATAACGCTTCGAAACACTGTAACTTGGTCAAAAAACGTCCGGAAGTCTGGAAACTTGTAGCATATACCTCATTTAGAGTTAACTCAAGGTTGATAATGATTTGGGGCCAAAAAATTCAAAATTTCAAAATATCAATATGCGATGGCCCAAAAAATTATTTTTCTTAAAACTCATCCAAACGGCTTGAAACTTGGCCAGATCATAAAACCCAATTCATAATGTAGGATAACATTGAAAACAGATCGATTTTCGGTTTTTGGGGGGTACGGGGGTACGCAAACCCTCAAGGGATAACGCTTTGAAACACTGTAACTTGGTCAAAAAACGTCCGGAAGTCTGGAAACTTGTAGCATATACCTCATTTAGAGTTAACTCAAGGTTGATAATGATTTGGGGCCAAAAAATTCAAAATTTCAAAATATCAATATGCGATGGCCCACAATTATTTTTCTTAAAACTCATCCAAACGGCTTGAAACTTGGCCAGATCATAAAACCCAATTCATAGTGTAGGATAACATTGAAAACAGATCGATTTTCGGATTTTGGGGGTCTACGCTAAAAGTTGAAATGTTTGTGTTTTGGAGTGTTGACACCTAGCTGAATATACTTCCAAAAAGCCCGCGAAACAAGATAATAGTCTCATTCGATTCTCATATTAACTTTAATAATCATTTCACATTGATAGTCATCCGCGGGGGTACGTACTTTTTCGAGGGGAGTACGTACTTTTTTTCAAGGGGGTACGTGATGACGTCACAAAAAGTAGTTGGTTAGCCCATGTATGCCTGACAATCTAGAATTTCATGCAGAACCTGATAAGAATGAAAAGGAAAATTTTTTTTTTGCGTTTTTTTCTGTTTTAGCTTTTTCTTTGAAGCAAGATCGTCTTATTTACTAATTTCTTTTTTCTTTGTGTACTAGACAATTCTTTCAAGGTTGTAGCAACGATTTTGAAAGATCATGGAACTTTTTGGAAAAAAAAAATGAAAATGGGAGAGAAATTTTTAAAAAACAGTTTTATGATTTTTTCTCAGTACAAAAATAATAGATGAGGTTTGAAAGTATGACGAAAAATTTGGCGGTTTTGGTTCAAATTCTTTCATTTCAGAAAAATCAAAGTGTGGGATCTTCAAGCGGCATTAGATCCCCGATCTATGCCCAGCTCAATCTGCCTCTCATCTCTTGTCGTACGTTTTTTTGTTTGATACTTTTCTGATTTTTACCAAATCTATTAGGATGTTCTGGAATCCTACAAAAAACATTTTGAAATAGCTTTTTTTTTCCACGTTTCTCATTTTTCTATAAATTAAATACTAGTTATCCAGTTCATGACTGAAGTTTTTGTCTTATGACTGAAGTTGAATCAAAAAAAGAAGAGAGTATTTTGCAGCAACACACGGGACGCGTGTTCAGACTGCAGTTCGACGATTTCCAAATCGTTTCCTCTTCCCACGACGACACAATTCTCATCTGGGACTTTTTGGATGCGACTCCGGCTGACGCCGTCGCCAACGCGGCCCAACAACCTGGAGGTGCTGCTCATCTGGCGCTCCACGGAGGCGTCAACGGCGCCGCTCAAAACGGCAACGTTGACCCTGTTGTCATAGCTGCCGGCGACCAGGTAAGCGTTTGTAAGAATCAATTTTTCGTACATGTTTGATGAGTTCGAAATTTGTCTTTTTTGCAGTCAGAAAACTTTCTTCTCTACTAATTCATTATAAACCTCGGTTCGAGCGTTGAAAAAAGACGCATTCATAATTAATTTCAAATTTTACACTCACTCTGAGCTTTGGGTGAAGTGCGACCGAAGTAATCGAGCTTCGCTAGCAAATCATTTAAAAAAAAACTAGGATTTTCTGGTTTACTAAGACTCTTTTATACGAAAGTTGTTTTATGGCTTTTGGTTCTTTTTTTGGGGCCAAATAACTTTATTATTACTTTTAACCTTATTCTTTTCCGCTCATACCTCGGTATGGCTTTTAACTTTTTGAAAAAGAAGCCTACCTTGTAGGCCGCACAAGCTGACGATGACTCCTCAACAGACGAAGGCGCCGGTGGCGCTGCGCGGCCACGACGCGAAGACCGACGAATCCTGCAAGCTCTGCGGCAACGGGCTCGCGAAGGAAACGCGATCCGGAGTCGCAGCCCCAGTCCCGAACATTAACGTCTTGATTTCATCTTACATTCGCGTGGTACCAGTTACTTCTGTCGACTATGTGCTCTCGAGATGGTTAGAATATTGGCGATCTTCCCTTTTAAAATGATCTGAAAAATATTTGCACACCTCTTATCTTGAAATGAGCCATAAACTAGAGAATTCTTTACTTTGAACATATTTCGGTAACATTCATAACAACTTAAACGCTCTTTTTGTTTCTCTCCCAAAAAAATCAATTATTTTCTCTCGTTCTCAAAAGTTCTCTGTCATTTCTTTCTTTGTGAACACTAGATAAGTCTTCTCGCAGCGGGTTCCATATTGGTTAGTTTCATGTCTCAAAAATGTTTCCACGATTTTTTGGCCTTGTACAAACTTAGTTCTGAGCTTATTCCGAAAATTTTGCTTTTTTTTCACGATTGATCAATTTCCCCTTCATTAGTTCCGATTGCTCTTTCATATTTTTGTGATAACTTTTTTCGGTTCATTTCCATTGATTGTTGATTATTGCACATGAATTTTGATTAGTTTAGCTGGACTGTGTTATTTCACTTCACGAAAGTTTCCTTGATAACAAACTTTGTAACGTCAATTTTCCCACTTCATAACTCTCTGATTTCCGCAAACTTTTTAAGACTCACTGCTCCCCTTTTATGGCTTTTAATCAGACGAACGCGGCCAATCAAGTATAAATTTCCGATTTCAATGCTCGATTGCTTTTTTTTATCGATCCAATCCATTTCTCTTCGGCGCGTCACTTCGCGCCTTCTTACATCGTTTGTGAATAGTATAAAGCCTTTCCTTTTTCGAACTGGATCTGTCTTGAACTCTAATTAGCTTTAACTCATTTCTGGTTAATCGAATTGGTGTACAATATTTCATGAGACGCTAAGTATTTTTGCTTTCTTTCGAGCAGATCAAAATATTTGTAAATTTATAAGCTTCCGATATCTATGAGATTTTGAATAACGATTGGTAAAAAAATTTTTTTTTCGTGATTTTTTCAAAAAAAAAAGTTCATTTTGACCGACTAGTTAAAAAAAAACAGAAACTCTTATTCCTCACGCCCCAATTAAATCAGGAAAAAAAAATGGAAAAAGGAGGACTAGTTTCGTTGATTCTTGTGACGTCGGCGCTTTCTGATAAGGTCAGAAATTTTCCCAGGCTTGTTCTGGCGACATTTCCCGTCCTAATCCTGTCATGACCAAATTTTCGCTGACGGGGCACTCGCCGACTCGTGCTCCGGCCCTTATCAATTTCTCATCAAATATCACATACCAAGTATCACCGCTTTCTTGAGCTGGATATAACTCTTCCAGAAGCACAATTACCATTGGAAAGGTGTGAGGATTTTCCGGACGCATTGGAAGTATTTAAAACTTCAGTGTTCACTAAATTATCAATTAATAGAAAACCAGCTTTGCATTTTAATTCATTTAAAAAATTGCTCGTCTCAAAAACTGAACCAGTTTGAGGACTGCAAATCTACAAACCAAGCTGCATCATAATATTCAGCCTTTTGTTATCAAAATAAGGATACTTTCCAATATAAAGTACGTGATATTTTTATCATGCTTTTTTTAAACAGTGAAGTGGCTTTTTTGAATTAGGAAGCCAAAAAAATTTTACCATTATCTCCAAGAATGGTGGACGACGAAGTTGAAGTCATTTAGTTCAGGACGACTCCTCAGATCTCGCATTCGTTTTTAACCCTCTGAGAAAAGAAAACTGAGATAAAAACTTTGAGTGACAGAACAGCTTTCAGTCAACAGAAGTGAAAATTGTGATAACTTGATAACGACTGTTTTCCCAAATTGGACGTTTGGCCATCGCCGAGATAGTCTTTGATTTCCATCAGTTCCTTCAAGACGGAAAACGGATCTGACACTTCTCTTCTCACGTGGGCCACAAGGCCACCTCAACCGTTTAATATAGTTGTTTGGGTTCATCAAAACTCATTCTTAGTTTGATCCAATAAAAAAGGAACACAGTATAGCTGATTCACGGCTGGCTTGAGCCATCGAGAAAAGGGTCCTGCCATGAAAAGAGACGAGACAGTGCCCTGGTTGGTGGAGAGTGCAGACAGGCCACGCCTTTTTGCGTCCCAAGCTAGCCGTGAATCGTCTATAGATGCAACTTTTCAAGTTGACGCATAATCTCTGAAAAATTAGACTTTTCCAAAAATTTCGCTTCCGTCAAAGTTTAACTTGAGAATTTTACGGCGATACATGCTTTCTTATTTTCAATGCCCTTCCTGTTTTTCAGCAGTCAGAATTTCTCAGCATTCTCATAATTTTGAAGGCATACTCGATCTAGTTATATCAGATTCAATGGAAATTCCATAGTTTTGAGGAACCTGATGGCTCCTTCTAACAAGAAAAGATAATCAGAATAAGAAAACGATTGTTTTTTGTAAAAAAAAATTTTGCACTTTTTCCGATATTCAGGCTTATCTTTGAAAACTCTTTCGACCTCATAAAATATTATGAAAAAATCAAAAGAAATAAATCATTCTTTGCTAAGATTCAAAGTTCGTGAATGAAAAAAATGGTGGGATCAAATGACTCGTCCAATTCAATTAGACATGGTGACAAGAAGAGTCAATGGAAAAGGCCTTTCGGGAGACGTAGGTTGAAGGCATATCACCATTGAACCAGCGAAGAATTCTTCTGATATCACTAATTCGTAAACATGTGTGACAACGTTCATTCAGATCAGAAGACCAGTCAAAGATTGCAAAAGTTTATTCTCTCTGTCCCCCACTAGCTGGACTCGAATAACCGACAACGTTGCAAAAAGCGTAAGCCACTCGCCGAGCCGTGAAGAGGGGCAAGAGGCGCAGAGGCGCCGAGAAAAGAGGCGTGACTTGTGAAAGGCCTGCGGACCGGCGCCAGTCACTTCGGTTTCCCACGCCGCCAGGACGCTCTCATAAATATGTTCCACATGCAACTGCCATACCTCGACGACAAGTCTCCCGTCGAACTTCGGAAGAACTCGACGGCTTCCTCGACAGCCAGTCGGTCCCGCAGACCTGCTCTGCCGTCCAATGACAGCTTCAAGAGCTGGGGCCAATTCAAGCGACGCATTCACAAGTGATTCGCCTCCGTTCTTTGCTTCTACTGTCCAGTCCGTCTTATTTGCTCCGTCCAAATGCTTCTTTGCGGTCGTTCTTCAGGAAACATTCGAAGTCCATCTGCGACATTTACCCTTCTGAAACAAAGCGTGAAAAGGGATATATGGACACTCAACAGAAAAAACTGAACTCCGAGCCTGGACCTTGCTCTATTACGGCGACTTATCATAGATTGCTGATTTGGTCATATTATTCAATTGTACAAAGTTTGTATTCATAAGAAAACCCGTGACTTTCTTTTCCCTATTCAAGACTGTATATGAATGTATAAAATTATGCAATTCATTTCATTTCGATTTCTACTTATACATATATTTCAACTTTTTTTTTCTGATCTCCAGATTTTCGTGTTAATAAATATTGCTGAAGTACATACGCCTAGTTAACAATCTAACAAATGCCCGAGGAACCGAATAGAATCAAAATCTCAACCGCGATCAAAACTGAAGCATAAGACTTGAAAAATAATTCTGCGACCTCCGTCCTTGAAATAAACTTTGGTAATATGTACAGTGAGAAAATATTTTTCAAGAGACTTGCCGGACGATCTGACCTCCCGTTATGATTCTCATTTCATTATCAGCACAAGCCTGTACAAGGTGGCTTGTCGCGGTAGTTTACATTTGTTTTCTTTTTTAGGGAAGTAGGAATTCATGTGCTTATTGAGACGGAAGGAACGTCACTTTACTTGGAGAAATTCCTGAAATATTCTTGGTTTAACAGAAGAGGATTCTGAAGAGGAAGTCTCAACCTGCACAAGTTCTTAGTTCCAAGTAAAAAGGTTCAAAGCCCAGACATGGCTTTTTTGAGTTATCTTTGATTTCGAGGTGTCTTTTCTCAAAAACTATGAAGCTGTCCGATTCGTGAATTTCTGGACGTACCAGCCAATTTTTAGGAAACGACCTCCCTTGTTAGCAATATTAAACATGCGTGAGAGCCGCTAATCAGAAAAGAATCGTTTTCTTGGACCGTCACATGACTCCCACAATTGGTTTGAAATCATGTCCAAGAGATAAAGAATTTCATACCAGTTCAGACTTACAGGGACCCGCTCGGTTCGCAACGCGCCGTCTCTGCTGGCCATAGTAGACGATTTTTGACTATTTTTTTTTAATAAAAGAAAAATGCTATTCAGCTGACCAAACGACCGACCACATTACGGTAGTTCAGATATATTTTTCGGTAATAAAATGAGTTCGTTCACCTTTAGTGGCGTAACTTATCTTGTAACCTCGAGAAAAACGTGCATGTTCAAGACAGTTCTACGACGCCCGGTCAATGTTGCGCTGTCAGTTTCGAAGGTAGGAAATTATTTTCCTTTTTTGCAATTTGTTGAGGACCTATTTCTCGAGTTTACGTCACAAAAAAGTACACAAGTTTTCATTTTATTACCCAAAAACCTAGCTTGATTACCGTAATACGACCGGCCGCCTTGAACATGCGTTTTTTCTCGAGAAAAGGCGTCCTATTGACCGGCCGCCGTCGCACTGTCTTAAACATGCGTGTCCTGACATACAAATTTGAGCAACGCATAATGGCAATTTAAAAAAAAAGATGAGCTGCTGAAGTTGGAACTCCTGAAAATAGAAATATAAAACATTTCCGAAAAAAATGCTTTATTGCGTCCAAATATATTTAAAACACAAAAACAACAAAAACAACGAACAAATTATACAGAACAGGAAGCAATGAACATCAGCTTTTTATAGCTTATTTTCGACGTTTTCAAATATGAGGAAAGTCGTGAAACACTATGAAAAAGCTGCCAAAAGCGTTTATTATTTAAAAAAAGAAGAAAAACAAATAGAAAAAAATACAGTTGCAGCTTTTTCACCTCCGACATTCCTCGGCAAACGTTTACAATTCGAAATTATGCGTTTCGCCGAACTTTGCCGATCTTTGTGTTTTTGAAAGCGAGTTCTTCCGTCAATTGATTCAAATTGAGATTATTCTCATTTGGATCGATTCTGAAGAATAAATAAAGTTGAAAATTAAATTATTGAAAACCCTCTGGCCGTCAAGATATCACGACCGCGCTTCGCATTTTCGTTGGCGGCGTAGAGCGGAGTTGGAACAGAAGTTGCGAGGTTGACAATCTGATGGTGGTGAGTCAGTGCGTACGTCAAATCTTCGATTTTGTCCATCGGAGAATTGTGGTCGTCAAAGAGAATCGTATATCTTGGGGTCAATGCGCTACCCTTCAATTATAAAATTAATCACTGGAAAACAGTTCATAGAGCACCTGCAGGGTTGTGTGAGAGTTCAAATAAAACTCTTTGTACGATGGGTGTACGAGTTCCGTGTCAACAACAATTCCGCTGGGAATATTCTGATCGGTTGCCCTGGCTCTCGGATCAATCTAAGATTATGATACATTCTGCTTCATTTTGTGATATTACCCTCTGATTGAAAATACGAACTGAATGTTCTTTCGAAACCACAATAAAAATCAATTTCGTGGCAGGCGCATTGACTTTTTCGAGAGTTCCTTTGATCAATGGGATTTCGTTTTGAAGGATCTATTATAAAATACATTTTTTTTAGTTCTTTTCATGAGATAAAACTAACCAAAGCATACGAGCCTTCCGAAACTCCACTCCGGTAAATGATCAATGCCTTCGGGGGTTTCTGAGCCCGTTGCATGTAAGCACCCATTATTGTTGTAACAATTTCTTCCATGGCGGCGAGTGTCTTCAAAATAAAAAACTAACACTGAAGTGAATAATTTCTTACCTCTTGGCGTTTGGCTGAAAAGAAGATATGATCTCCAATATACGAATTGGCGTTGTAGCAGTTAGAAGCGTACTGAATAAAAATTTAGACTTTTCTTCATTCTTTCTTAAAAAAAAATAATTGGTCAACATTTTAAAAAATTATTTTTCAATCACCCCTTTAATCTTTTTTCTAGAGTAGTGATCACTTACTCCAACAACGGTCGGTACAATTTTCCCGGTGTCTTCTTCAAATGCAGCGGCAGGTGGTGGATGCGACAGGCCGATTCCGAGAATAAGATGCTCCGGATTGATTCTGTAATAGGAAAACTTCAAGAGGTGTTGAAAAAAGGCTGATTTTTCAAAACTTACGAATCACTTGACACAATGTAATTCGTTCCGCCAAGTTTGATGTTGGTCTTGTTCAACACATTTTCAAGAGTTAGTCTTTTTCCTTCATCGACAACCTATCAAAGATTGAAAAAATATAAATAAAATAATAAAAATGAATGCCGGACATACCTTAAGTGCCACAGAAAGCTTCATATCCTGTGTGACGACTTCCAGTTGACGTTCGAAAAGTTTCATTTGACCTACACAAAATTTTAAAAAAAATCTGGGTGAAAGACCGTGGAAGTTGGTGATCGAGTCAGCAGTCACAAAAAAGAAAAACTGGCAACCATTTTTAACACCATACTCCATAACACTTTTCGCATCGCTTTGAGCAATCATCTAAAGTTGAATATTTTCAAATTTTCAGTTTTTTGAAGATAATGATAACCTTGACTTCCGCAGGAGTTTCAAGATTGATCCCGCGAGCCCTCGCATCCTTATAGAACATTTGTGCAAACTTACTAAACTGAATAATCTTTTTAAAAAAAACATGATTTTTGACCTCAATTTGTTTTGATCAAAATTTTGATTGCGACGGCTTGAGTCGAGAATCGCGTACATAGCCCAGCAGTTACAGTTAGCCCCGTCCACGTACTTGACATCTCGCGTTCTCCATTTGCCAGCTTCCGCGGCAAATTTGTTGTTGGCGTAACCGAGAGTTGCGCCAGGCAACTGACGACCGTTCACCTTTAATAAACATCTACATTCGGACTCAAAAGCAAAAAGGAAAACCGCAAGAGGAGGATACACTTTCAATCCAATAGCTTGCATGAATCGGTTTTCTGGATCTGTGATCTTTGTGGCAATCAGTCCTTTTTCAATATTTTCTTGGCGCACAAGCGGTGGAATTGCACATTCCTGCGAATAATTCAAAAAAGTGGAGAAAGTTTTCACAACGAACCTTCGTGGTTTTTTGCGATTGAAATGGCGTCGTCTGAGGAATAGTAACTCGCTGCATCGGTTGCACTTCACACAACTCTAACGGATAGTAATTCAGAGCTCCACGCTCTTTGCAAACCAGCAAGGGAGCATCGGGACACCTAAAAACTAGAAAAAAATGCCGAAGAGAAAATTACCTCAGATTGATATTGTATTTCGACTTGAAGTAGTCGATCAAAAAGATTTTCTCGCCATCGACATCAAAACTTCAAAAAACTATTAAAACAAAAGATGGAAAAAAAGTCAACCATGCCGTCCTACTCGTTTTATTGGTCAAAGTTTGAACGACATGATCGCGTTTTCTTCCAGTGTAGTGGCTGGAGACTGTTATCCCTACAAGTAAATTTCTTATTAAACATTTTATTGTATAAGAACCTTTCATAACTGCTGTGCAAGTTTCAATGTCGGTATTATCAAACTTTTCGGTTTGTTTTCGATTCAAAATGTTCTGTACTTTCTCCATGCAGTTAATGGATTCATGGAAAGCAGCCTTTTTTGCTTAAATTAAATTGTGAATAGTGACAATTAGACTCTCGAACCATCCACAAATAAAGCTGGATTGTTGTTATGACGACCGGCAGGACCTTCAATGAAACCCACCGATTTCTTCACTCCGACCATAAGCCTGAAAATACTTCTTAATAATTGAAACGTCGAAATTTTTAAACCAGTAAAAACTATCTCAACGTTTAATAATAAATGATTAACAACCCTTCATTAAAGTCTTAACTCGAACTTTTTTTTCGAGTTATTCGTCGTTAGACAGGATATTATAAATTATTTTGAAATTATTTTCTTCGCCTGCTTATCTTTTAAAGTCATCCCAGCTTTTTCCTTGTTAGGGGGTCATAGCCAGCAAAGGAACAGAATCGACAACAACATCTATCAAGGAAGGTCATTTTACTTTGAGGTTAGGAACTTTCTGAAAATTGGCCGAAACACCCCTTGATGTACCTGATAAAAATTCTGGAACTCGCAGCCTGCGCAACTCCATGAGCTTTGTGCCCTTCAATCTCGGAAATTAAGACATTGTGCATGCTGACACTTTCAGCACCTTCATATCAAAAAACCTTCCAGCCAATTCTCTTGAAATTCCTAACCGCAGAGTAAAATGACCAGCGCGCATGTCAAAAAACAAACGGTAGTCTGCCGTTCTCTGTTAAATTTGGCATCTCAGCGTGCAGGTCCTAGAAAGTGTGGAGAGCGAGGAGAGTAAAAGTCTGGTCACTCCAATTTTACCATTATCTCTAAACAGATGTATGCGCGCTGACCTTCCGCTTGTTTTTCAACATGCGCGCTGGTCTGCCGTTTTCCTTTGAGAACCAGCGAATCAGAGGCCATATGCAATAAAGTGGAAAATGATTTTTCACCATTTTGCTGAAAATCAAAAATGCCTGAAACTCGCTAGGGTATAATTGATTTCGACTGTATCTAATGTAATAAAGCTTCATGAGAAAATTCGGATAGAGAGGAAGAAAATTTTAGTTTAAAAAAGACTAATTTTTGTCATTTTCGACTTACAGGAAAATGGCGGAAAATCATCTTTCACTTTTTTGCATACGGCCTCAGAAGCTTATTTATTGCAGTTTTTGTGCGCATCTAGATAAAATGAGTATATAATGTATCAGTTAAACTAAAAATATCCCGCAAACCAAATGATAAGTGACTTCAAAATGAACTGAAAGATTAAAATCTACACTATTGGTAATAAAATACCTTTTACCATCGCCAACTTCTGGACAATCCCGAGCAGTGAAGCTATGTTCCCACGGCTTCCGAAGATAAGATTTTCCATGTTCGAAAACGGCGTGGTGTTCACTCAACGTAAATTCTGACATTTGAAAAAAAAAAGAATGTACGTGTCGAGAATACAGTTTTGATTGAGAGCGATTTCCAAAAATTGCGTGAGCGATCGGTCGTTCACTTCGAGATTTGGATCTGCTGTTCTTTGGCACAAGTTCTCTCGAGATAAAATCACCTAAAAGTAACTTATTGATGCAATATGCATGGAAGGTTGATTACAGGTGACCGGAAACAAACTTTTTCTGGTAAAAAGTAACAGCAAAAATATCTAATTATGTCATAAACTATGGTCTGTCTCCAATGCCGTGTTCAGTGAGTTCGGCGATTTTAAAATTAACGTCTTCGTCGTTTAAAATGATTTCGAGAAATTACGGCAGCCTTTAAAAGTTCCACGATATATCGCAATAGATTAATTCTAATGGTGAACTTTACGAGCGAAATTTTGAAACTATTAGGGCATTGTAAAAGAAAATTTCAAGCTTGCGCGTAAAACTTTCCGTAAAAATTCGTATATTGTTATATATCAACTTTGAAATCGCCGAAATTACTTTGAACACGGCACATAAGTTGCCTTTTTCCGACTAACACGCCACTAAAAAAAAACAGGCTGCTGTAGTCTGTTCAGATTTCGAGCAGCAATTTCCGCTCGAAAAACCTTCCGTGGTTGACTCGCCCTCTGATTGGTTTGATATACGCATAAGGGGCGGAGTTTGAGCGATAACTTGACACTCAAAATCCGAACAGACTGTAGAGCGCCTGCCCTCGCTTTGAGAATTACTGATGTGAAATAATTATTTGAAAAAAAAGAGGCTTCAATTAAATGAAAATAAATTTGCCGTTTCAAGTACAGGCATTCAATGACATCTAAGAATGAGACTATTTGAACCTTGCCATCTTGTCGGCCACTTCTTTCCGCAACATAGACTTCCATGAAAATAACTTCGATTCCGTTCAAATCATCGTGAGCCGTTGCTTTACCAGCAATTTCGAAAACTCGTGACTATAAAAATAATCAATGCGGATATTGAAGCTTAATCGGACCTTTTTTCCATTTATCCCTGGGAACAAATCGATCAATGAGAAAAGAAGACTTTGACCATCGTAGTACAGTACGTTTTCCTCTTTCGAACGGAAGAAATCATCAAACTGCGCCAACACTGCGTTGTAAATTACGACGCACTTTTCGTGACGATTCAAAACGATATAACTTGAAAAGAACACTTATCGAGGAATTATATATTTTAAAAACTCGTCTTTTCCTTTTTTGGTGAAAACTGCTGTTTTTGTTGGTGTTATGTTGCAATAGGTATTGACTGAATACGCGTAGAAAATTGTATCTTTCTGAAGTTCCAGTCCGTGCACGTTTGTCATCAGCTTGACTGGCTTTCCACGTGTTCCAGGAGCAGCATTTTTTGTCATAATTGGAACTCCTTTGCTGATCTATAATACAATTTTTTTTTGGCTCGAGCTTTTTTTAGTAAATAAAACAACAAGACACAACAATAAAAGGTTTCTCCTAATAATCCTACAAGGAGAGCCTACTTTATTCTGGTCTACTCTTTATCGTGATTTTTGAACATAAGTGGTCACTAAACGGAACGCTCAGTTCAAAGTCCGGTCTAACAGCTGACGTTACTCGTCCTGAAAGGACCACTAAAATTTTTCCAGACATTCATATACGTGAATGAGCGGTTTTTGGCAAAAGACGCGTAGATTACTTGGAACTGAGAAAAAAAAAGCACTCACACCCATTTGCGCAAGTCTAGCGGCTGTTGCTTCGATGACGTCGTTCTTAGACTGCTCTAAAACTTGAAAAAAATGAGATAAAATATAGTTAACCACACCTAATGGCACTGGCGCTGGACCAGGTGCCGGAGGTAACGGTGCTGGAGGAGCCATAGACGCTAACTTTTTTTTCTAAAACTAACGTATTTACTCTTTTAAAACTAATGAGAGATCAAATATGCATTCATCTGTGTTTAAAGTAGCTTCGGCGACTTCAAAATTGACTCGTTCTTCCGCGAAATAGGCAGAATTGGAATTCCGGGAGCCTATAGTTCCTCCAAAAAAATATATCGCAATATATGAAATTTTACGGTGACTTTTTACCTGCGAGTTTGAAATTTACGTTGAAAACCCTCATAAAATTACAAAATTTAAGATTCCCGAAAGTCGCCTTAAAAATTAATATACTGCGAAATATCGTTGTAGGACTCTTTTTTTTCTAAGCGCTCCCGGAATCGCAGTTTTGCCTATTTCCCGAAACAATTTTAAACGAATAAAGCGTCAATTTTGAAAACGCCAAAATTACTTTGAACGTGGCATCTTTTTTTTTGAACTTTTTGACGATCATTTTGAGTCCCTGGAAATTACTTTCTTTGCGGCTAATAACAAGTTCTAAACAACCGTCAAAGAGTTGCGGCGATCTTTATTCCCCCATGTCAGAGTATATTTTAAAGAGCCAGAGATTTCAATTCCGCGAAATGTCTTTTAACAGGGTATAAAAGTAATCAAAGCCTGGATTTTATGCCGTGTTCAAAGTGATTACGCGGAATCTAAAATGGCCATCAGAGAAATAAAAAGGTAACTAAACTATAGAGGTCAGAAGTCAAGTTGCATTTTGCAAGAATTACCATGCACACGGCATTAAAATTTGCAAAATAAAAAATACCATGATTAATGCCGTGTTCAATTTGATTCCGCGAAATGCAAAATCTCTGACTCTCCAAAATTTAGCGATATTTTCCTTGCTCTAACGGGTATTTTGCATTTCGCGGAATGAAATTGAACACGGCATAAAATTAGGTGTACTGTAGAAACTTTGATGCTCAAGTCATGAATTTTAAGCGCCAATTCAACTTCATGTTTCAACTTGCAAGTTGCACAAACTGATCAATCGATTGTCTCTAATGTTTACACCTTCTTTTTTCTGGCTAGGGAACTACTCGAACTCGTAATCGCGGATCGAGTTGAAACTTTAGTGGTTTATAGACCTAAGTGAGAGTACTTGAAAACAAGTGAGAATATCTGCTAAACCCGATAGAGCTCAGAAAAAATTAGTAGAAAATGTGAAAATTTGGCCTGAAATTTTTCAGTATACTGCTTTTTACATTATTTTATATTTTAATACAATTGCCTTGGATGATTCGGCTATGATAAACTCTAAAAAACTTTTTTCCAGCCAAAAGAAGGAGGAAAGCAAAAATTTGATAATTTTCAAGCCTAAACCGTTCATTTTCGAAAAGCTTTTTTTCAGAAGTCCATGGGGTTTAGCAGATAATCTTTCTTGTTTCCAAGTACTCTTACCCGGATCTATAAGCCACCAATGTAAAATCAAACCTGTCGCTGCGACCTCGTAAACTTCTTGCGCTATATCGCTCTCTGAAAAATGTTTCTTCAAAAGTGTTTTTTTTTTAATTTGATTCATTTCATCATAAAAAGTCAAATATAAAGCAAAAAAAAGTTTTTTAATTTTAAATTTTGGAGAGGGAGCGATATGGCAGCGAGACTTTGACGAGGTCGCAGAGACATGTTGACGAGATCGCAGCGAGAAGCCTTGGCATAATATATATATATACTCTATATGTTATAACTATAGAGTATATATGTATAGTCTGTTCAGATTTCAAATGTCAAGTCATCGCTCAAGCTCCGCCTCCTAATGGCGCGATAAACCAATCAGAGAGCGAGCCATCCACAGAGCATTTTCGGATGACGTCATTCTACTTGACATTCATAATCTGAACGGACTACTTATACCTGCCGCCCGCTTCGATATAGGCAATTATGTTGCGTGGGTTGTAGATTTTCTCGAATGAATAATAATCAAGTTTTTTGATCTCACATACATAGGTTCTAGGGGCGCCGTCAGTTCCCCACAGTTCCCTCGAGAGAAGTGTTCCAAAATATGGGTGAGTGCATGCAAAAAAAAATGGTCGTCGAAAAATGGACAAAACGCGAGTTCATTTAAAACGCAACGCGGTGCGGCGCAGGTCAACCCCAAGAAAATTTATTAACATTATACAGTTTTTTTTCTCTTTTTTTCTTGTATCATTTAATTCAAAAGAAAGTCCTCCGAGAACTTTCGAGAACCTGGAAAAAGTTTTATAGGCCATTCCGCGCCAGCTTGCCACGTTTTTTCTTTTTGCCAAATGGCCAGGTCAAAATTGACCAACTTTGCTTCAAGGCCTTAGTTTTTTGCCGTTTTAAAAACAGAATTTCTAAGAAAGCTGTTTTTCAATAACTGCAAAAAAAAAATCAAGTTTCTTGAAGCGAAATTGGTCAATGTGATCAAATTTGGCATACGGTATTTTTGGTGGAGAAAAACGTGACAAGCTGGTGCGGAATAGGCTATAAGGGATGAGCTGACAAGTTTTAAGGGACGAGATAGATATTGAAACCAGGTGCAGTTTTTTTTTTCTTGTGGTTCAACGTGTATACTGGACTATGTGTAGTTAGTTGCTCTATCAGACACGCTTGTCATGAAAGTGTGTAGCCTAAGTTGTCAAATTTTTTTTTTTCGTGGCTATCATCAGTCGGATATTCATAGGCGAATCGAGAAAGGGTATCGCGAGAGAGACTGCAGTACCTCCGAGATAACTCAGATATAGCTAAAAGGTATGCCGGAGGTCTAACGATGGACACATTATCGGGCCTTCACGATCCATTTTGAGAGGTACCTTTGTGGACTCATTATGGTACTTTCTCGATTTGCCTGTGTTGAATCCAAGGGACAATCGGAGTAAGTACTATATGAAAATGAATTTTCGGAAGCTGCAAAAGTCGAAAACTCACCGAGAGCTTTTTGGGATATGATCTGCGGTAGGAAATAGTAATAATGATTTGTATGAACTTTTCCACGTTTCTGTCCTATATTCACACTTCATAAATATTGTTTTCATTATTCTAATCCAGCTACTAAAACGACATAAAAAAAAACAAACAATGTACAGCCAGTCTTTTAATTGATATTTTTAATATTTTCTAAAAACTGTGATTTCAAAACGCGTTATCCGTTTAAAATTATTTCGGGAATAAAGGGAATCGGTATTCCGGAAAGGTGCAGAAAAAATGAGTCCCACAACGATAAAACGCTAGATATGCATTTTTACTGTAACTTTTACGCGCGAACTCGAAATTTTGCAATTATTTTGGCCTTTTCCACGAAAATTTCAAATTCGCGCGTCGAACTCGCAGTTTTCCATTTTGCCGCGTTCAAAGCTAATTTGACGTGCGTAGCGAAAATTTTTTTCTGGTTGAAAAGCACAGTTTTCGTTAGATCGCAAACCGCTACTCCTGACGTCATTTCATGACACCATTCGTAACACTAGAAATAAGCGTAATCGAAATATATAGCCAAATATTTCTTATTTCTAGTGTTACGAATGGTGTCATGAAATGACGTCAGGAGTAGCGGTTTGCGATTTAACGAAAACTGTGTGCGAGTAATGCCGTGTTCAATTTGATTCCGCGAAATGCAAAATACCCGTTAGAGAAAGGAAAAGATCACTAAATTTTGGAGAGTCAGAGATCATTTTGCATTTCGCGGAATCAAATTGAACACGGCATAAGATTCAAATTATTCTTTTTCGAAGGTCCAACGAGGTACAAAAGTCAGTCGAGATATCTACACCATCAGTCAATGAGAAAGCTCATTCAACATAACTGCCTCTATCGCAGCACGCCGCAGGCGATATAGACAAGGCGTTTTGCTGCGGTCTCATCAAAAATTTGCTGTGAGCTCGTCAATGTATCGCTGCTATATCGCCCCTTCTCATGAATACGAGACTCAGAAAGTTTTTTTTTTTGCTTTTTTTCGATTTTAATGAAATGAAACTTGTGAGCTCGCAGTTTCGGGTTTTTCAGCTGGCTGGTGACTTCTTTGATGGAGTTGAAGGCGGTCCATCCAGCGCGTTTCGCGTCTGCCGATCTCTGCTTGCAGGTCGTTCACCATGTTTACTTCGCGGCCAAGGTAGATGTAGGATGTGACCTCTTGAAGGTCGCGGCCCTCCACGGTGCCTTTGCTTTGGTCGCAGAAGCGGTTCTTCATCCACTGCGTCTTCTTGACGTTCATCTTGAGGCCGATCTTCTTGCCGACTTCGTCCAGATCGTTCAGCATGGAGGACAGTTCGGTGGTGGAGCTGGAGAAGAGTACGATGTCGTCGGCGAAGCGAAGGTTTCTGAGGACCTTGCCGTCGATGTTGATACCTCTGATGTCTGTACTGTTTTCCCAGTCGTGCTCTTCGTCCCATCCAAGTTGGCGCATCGCGTCTTCTAGTGCCTAAAACTAAAGCTTCTTTGGCCCTGGCGAATTAAGATAGCATTGGGATACGCTGATCGACCACCAGTGTTAAAAAGTTTTTTCTTCAAAAATCACAAGGCTCATAGATTATTTTAAACGTTCAAATACCTAAAGTTTGTCTAGTTTTTTCGCCTTGATTTAAAAAAATTTTTTTCATGATCTGCTCAGGATTATGTCTTGTTCTAAGTAGTTTCCGCGAAATGAAAAATGGTAAAAGGCACTTCAAGATTTAGTTATATTTCTCTTTCCAACGGGTATTTTGCATTTCGCGGTATCGCTTTGAACACGGCATTATATACATTCAATTGCGAAGAGGCAAGTGCGCTCTAAGGCGAATACGGGCGGGTTCTTCTAGTGAAACATATTTGGGAAATGTTGGGAACCTTTTATTTTTGCTTTTTTTCATGAAAGGATTTTTGTATGAAAATGGTGATCCTTTAGAAACAATGAAGAGTTAATCATTTTTGTGATTTGGAGCATATTAGTAACATTCAAAACTTGGAGGTTCTAAATAATCGTAATTATATTTTCACAGTAGGTCCTTGCTTGTGAGTTTTATGGAATTTTTATAAGTCGGCATTGTCTCTGATTCCTTCTAATTTAACTTATTTTGATTTCATCTTCCTTGTTGGAAGAACTTTGAAGTCATTTTTAACTCCTGTGCAAATATATATGTATATTTTTTTTTCAAATGCTCACAGAAATTTTCTAGATACGTCATAGTTTAATTTTTTTTATCGGATGAAGTCTTTCGTTGATGTATTTTTGACAATATTTTTGTTCGCGAAAATCGTTCGAAATCTTCGCGTTTAAGGTAAAAAATGCTGGCCCGCACCGTTTCGCGTCTTTCTGGCGTTGCTCGAAGAGGATATGCTGCCGCGGCCGCTGTCAAAAACGCCAACCCAGAAGAGCTCCGATTGACTTTCGCTTCTCCTGACACTGTCCGTTTCTTCCAATAGGTTCAGTTTAACGATGACCATTTGAGGCAATCTTCAGCAACGCGGTCGTCAAGCAAGTCGATGTTCCAACTTTGGCCGGAATGGTCGGTGTTCTCGCCAATCACGTCCCAACTATCGGAGTTTTGAAGCCTGGAGTCGTCCAGGTCACCACAAACGAAGGTATACTTCGATTATCTCCAAAAAAGTTGATAACCGCCAAAAAAATTAAGAAAGAATGGAGAAAATAAATATTCTGAATTTTGATGCTGCTTGCCTGAAAATGCGTTCAAAATTTTGCGTAGAAAGTAATTTTGGAAACGGAATTATTTTTTATTCATTTTTTTCGTGTTTTTATCCAGTTTTCCTTATTTTATTTATGAATCCAGTTTCTAAAAGTCCCGTTTCGCTTCAATTCTTTCCAGCTTGAACAATTCGCTCAAATCTGCAGTTATATGATTTTAAGCTCTCTCTTTGATCACTATATACATGGAAAGGCAGTGAACCACTTTGATATTAAAGTTCATCACAGTTGCATCCCACGCTTTTTGGTTGGATTGACGAGGAAAACCTAACTAGAAGGATCGCTGATTGGAAAAATTGATGGTACGACAAAATCTCAAGTCCGCAAATCTCGAGGACCGTAATCTTGTGTACGCAGATCTAAAGTCCAATAATCTTGGAGACCAAAATCTTGGGAACCACAATCTTGGAAAGTAAAAATCAACGCTTTTGCGAATAGATTTTATCAGAAATTGTATTCGGTGATCCAAACAAGAGAATATAAGTAGATAAAGTGCAATAAAGAAGACTAAAAAGGAAGATTTTTGCTTTCCAAGATTGTCGTTTCCAAGATTTTTGTCTCCGAGATTTTGGTCTCCAAGATAATAGGACTTTAGATCTGCGTACACAAAGATTACGGTCCTCGAGATTTGCGGACTTGAGATTTTGTCGTACCATCGAAAAATTACGGTCAACATATTTTAACAGTACGCTATTTTTCAAATAAAGTTCAATGAGGCAAGAACGTAGCAGTAGAGTAAAACAGGGACTAAAAGCTTGGGAAAAAAATTGAGAAAATTTTTAATAGAAGAAGAAAGTTCAACTGCGCTCTGTGGGCACCAATTTCGAAAAAAAAAGTTTTGAATTAGAACTTCAATCACATAGTGCGTAAACGAATCGAATGCATGAGAAAAATCTTGTTGCGCTTTACTTCGAGCTTTTGAAAGGCAAGAGTTCGAAATATTTTTTTGTTTCCTTCTGTTAAATTAATTGACTCTATGAATTGTCGGCAATGAAGCTATTTTTGAGCTTTGTACAACATTTCATTTTCCAGGAACAGTCCAACGGGTTTTTGTTTCTTCGGGAACTCTTTCGGTCAACATTGACGGAAGTGTCCAAGTTCTCGCTGAAGAACTGTTGAAGGTTGAAGATATCGACGAAGCTGTATGTTTCAGCGTTTCGACTCATTAAAAAATATCAATTTGAGGCTGCACGCGCCGAATTGGATGCCGCACAGAGAGCGAGTTCCGAAGGTAGCGAAGTTGCTCGCGCGGAAGCTCAAATTCGTGCAGAGGTTCGCTTCTGAACTAATTTTTTTACCATTCACATTTTGAACTATTAATTTCTTTAACTTCCTTTAAAACTTCAAAACGGCAAGAAATATCATTCTCAAGCACTACATTTTGTTCAAAACCGTTACTTTGAATTTTTATGGAAATTTATCTATTGGTAGTATTCTAGTGAACTAGTACTATAGAAAGGTTTTTGTACCGGTTGATATTTATTAAAAAAACTTTTTTTGACTATTATCTGAAAAATTAAACCCAGATTTCGCCCCCACCTTTTGTAACTGATGTTCTTTTCTCCGTCTTTCTTTTCCAACAGAAGTCATAAAAACGTGAAAATAGTACGTGAAATGAGAGCGTCGCCGAGAGAAAAAAAAATAGAAGCGAAGAAGTTCAGGCTATTCAAGTTGAAGTTTTTTTTCCCGAAAAGGTTGAGTTTCAAGCATGATGAAATTTAGTAAAAAGAAATTGAAAATCTAGGATATTTTTCAGGTTGCCGAAGCCTTGTTGAAAGCCGCCACTAACCAGCAGTAAGCATAGGACGAATAAGCTTGTATTCGCCGATCGTGGGTCACCCTTAAACATTTTTTTTTTCGCCGTCTTTTTAATGATTAGACTGTTTTTTTTTTTTTAACCGTGGTAGATTTGTTAATGAAACGAATTATTATGATTATCAATTCTCAACACATAATGAAATTCAGTAAGAAATAATTTTCTGTGATATTAAAATTTTTTGACGCCATGGTTTGTCCAAAATTTTTTTTTTCAAAGCTGACCTATCTATTTTATGTGATAAAAGAGCCGTTAACTCTATCAGATTTGAAAATCTGAGTTTTGAGGGTGAAGAAACTTGGTATACTAAACTAAAGCTAATGATGAAATCAAACAAAATTATCGTTGTTAAAGTTTAAGTTTTTTGGGGTTTGATCTTTCATACACCTCATACTAAGAAGAAAGATATATGCAAATGTTGACTACGTGAGTGGGGGCAGAAAAGAGTCGAGCTCACGCACAATTGACGATGCCAATTATGTTTTGCTCAGACGAAGGGTCTTTTTGCTATTAAATCAATCGTGGACGTCGTAGTATCCTTTGAATTGTCGCAGCTATATCCGGCGTCGTCCTTCAGCTGCTATGATTTCTTTTCTGCTTTCCTTCGTCTCGCCCACAAGCCCGTCTTTCACTGCCAATGAGGACGATCAGTTCAACTGGACCCAACCTGAACATCTTCCAAGTCAGAACTTGCACTGCCCTAGTATCGAGCGCGCCGTCAGCAGTTGTCCTGAAGGTACATAAAATTCTAGGGATCATATTTTTCCGTGTTATGAAATTTTTTTTTCCAGTCAATCAGAAAATTGTGTAATTATAAATTTCAGACAACTTTATAGTATTCCATAAATGCTGTGGAGGCGCTGAGATGTATTGTTGCTCCCATGTTCAGGTTTTCTTTTGTTTTTAGAGAATTAAGAACAATAAAATGAAAGTGAGTATCTAAAGAGCTCAACGGTATGAAACAACAGCCAACCCATCTTGATTTTGTTTTTTTTTTTTGGTTGTAGGAGATACTTCAAACTATGATTAATTATTTATTTTTTTCACTATTTGAGTACGTGGTTTACTGGAGATTTGAGGCTTGGGTACTGGCGTGTTGTGGACTCGTCGTACTTTTTTTCGTCCTCGGGTCATTCTTTGTCGTTTACCGCTGCTGCTGCGGCTACAGTACGCAAAAGTTTATTGTTTATTCATTATTTCTGTTTTTCAGGCTCTCAAGGCAGCTACTCATTAAAAAAATATGAAAAAATGTTTACTGACTCCAACTCTAAAGAAACTTTTGAACAATTCAGATATAAAATAAATGTAATCATTTACATCAATATGTGAGTTCATAAGTTTCCGATTCCAAATAAAGTATTATAATTTTTTTTTAACTTTTTGACAGCGTTATTTTTTTTTCATGATGGGCGATGTTTACCCTTTGCCAATTGTCCATCAATGTCGATGACAAAAGTTATCTGGAAATCATTTTTTGTGGAAACTTCCGATGAATCAATGGATCACCTTATCTGGCCAGTTCATATCTCGAATGACAGACTTTTCAAGGTTCTGAGTTATGATTCGCTCGTACTTGTATTGCCCTGAAAATATTCATTCCTTCTAAAAACCGCTTGAGAAAACATTTCTTTTCGCCGGACTCCTTGCGAAAGTAGATATCCATGCTGGAAGTACTGCGGTTCGACGCCAGCCGCTGCAGTTGAAGAACTGCGTTGATTACGTCTTCTGAAATTGTCTTTTGAAAACACATATGTATGGAAACACACGGATGAGGCACATCTTCGGTATAATTATAGACTTCTTGGTCTGCTCTCGGCCATAGACGTAACAGTCAATAAATACTTCTTGGGGCAACTGTGAAATGGAAGTAATTTTCTTTCAAAACGGAAAATCTCACGGGGCTCATTTCCGGTAGAATGTTGTTCAAAGGCAGTTTTTCAGCGGCATCACAGATGTAACGGTAGTTGGGCGCTCGGACTGCCATCATCTTGATCTGACAAATGCTCTTTAAGTTCATCTCATAATCGACATAGTTCCTTTCTAGTAGATTTGCGGTGGTATGAAAAAAAGACCAGCGAAAAATCAAACGGCGACTTTTCTGATTTTTTCATATCGCTAGGGAACTCTCCGGCGGCCGCTTTTCCGCCGAATCTTTTTCCGACTTTTTTTCTCGATGAACTTTTCGTTTTGAATCTTCCTATATAAAAAAGGTAGTTTATTCATGATTAAAACACAAAGAAATAGGAAGAAAAATGTTTATAGATGTTTTATAAACCGAAAAACATAAGGGAAAAAGTCGGAAAGAGATTCGTCGGAAAGGTGGCCGTCGGAAAGTTCCCTAGCGATACGAAAAACATCGGAAAAAGTCGCCGTTCGAATTTTCGCTGGTCTTTTTCATACCACCAAATTTGCGTTTAAAAATAAGAAGAAGGAGATAAAAATTAACGAAAATAAAAATTCTTGAAGAAAAAAATTTTTAAAGTAAAAATTGAAAAGGGCTTCTGGGTTGTTTGTTGTAGGAGGGTGTCTGATTAGCGTTAACTTGCAATATTTTCAGGGTTTGGTCTAAGAAGCGACAAACGTTCACTTTTCCTCACGGTATATTATTTTATGAACGCTACTGTACCTCGTTGGGCGAAACTCGATTGCTGCAGTATTGAAGGGGACAGTGTGGGACATCTTCTGAACTTGAGATGCAAAAAGTGAGGAAGAAATGGCCAACTCGAGCTGAGACATTTCTGCAATTTCTCGGCGAGGCAGTCGAAGCAGAGTCGATGGCGACAGTGTTTCAGGTGCATTCTGGCGATGTTCACGCATGGGTGCTGACCTTTCATTGCTTCGCATCTGAGACGAAAGTTCTTTCGAAATATAAATGTTCAGAAGCCCTTCATATTAATTCAGATTCACTCTCCTTTATCGTTTGCTTTGTTCAAATCGGTTCCGTCAAAAGTCACAACGGAGAAGGATACAAGTAGCTGCCGGATAGCTACTTCAAATGCTAATCGGTGGTCGTTCATTAGCTACCGGATACTTGACATTTACGATTGCTACCGGCTAGTCTGGCAATGATTCCCGGGTAGTTTTTTTAGCGTCAGTCCATAAGATAATGGAAGACTTGGAACAGTTTACAACTACCCGGTATCGTATCTTTCTTCCGATTGACCAGTAGTAAAATTCAAAACAGCCGTCAGACAGTGGAAAAGGAAACTAAATTTTAAAGAGTCAGGGATGATTTTGAATTTCGCAGACTTTACTTTGAAGATGGCTTATTTTCCCATTTTGCAATCGTTTGCCACTGGGGTAAAAAATTTATGCGAAGAGTGGGTCCTGCGCGGCAGACCTGTGAGAGGGCCAGCCTATTGGCCGCCGGCAATTTTCAATGCCCGACCCACAGTGTTCCCAAACGAGCGGCAGCTGTGGTCAGTAGGCGTGGCTGACTGCAACAGCGGCACGGTTTATTGCAATAGGGGCGCGGGGATGAGAGTCAAGTTTTGTGGATTTAGTGGTTGGAAAAAGACCATTAAATGATGTTTTTCCTAGGTTTTCGCAAGTTTTCAAAGATTTTTTTAATGTGTATTAAATTATAACGAACAAATTTAAATGAAGAAAGAGACGAAAAAAAGTTTTTTTGCAAAAACAAAAATATCTCCCAAAATGTCGTTTTTTTAGGAAAAACTCGTCAAATCGAACTTCCAAAGGGAAAATGGAGAAAAAAAGCTCAAAAGCACTTCTCTTAAGAATTACCATTTGAACGTTTTAAAACAAAAAAACAGATACATAATAGCTTGTGCGAATAAAGTTGTCACCCAAAATGACATTTTCGAGAATAAATTCGTCGAAAACTGCCTCGAAAAAAAAATTTTGAGAAAAATCTCACAGCGTTTCTCTTAAGAAAGTCCATTTGAAAACTCTAAAACAAAAAAACAAACGAAATATCTTATGCGAAATAAGTTGTCATCAAAAATGTCATTTTAATGCGAATTTCTGTGACGAGAACAATCGAAAATCACTTCAAATATCTGTAAAACGCGATAAACACGTTTTAAGAACACATACAACGTAAAAAAATACGAAAGAATGGTAAAATACTCAAGAAAAAGAGAAAAAACCGTATTAAAAGTGAATGAAATTTTGTGGGGGTGACACGCGCCGCACCGCGTTGCGTTAGAAAAAACTCGCGTTTTCGCCCCATTGCGACGACCTTTTTTTTCGCTTGCCGCCGTCTCTTTTAAAACACTGTGCGACCCCGCCCGGTCGTTGCGAGCAGGGATGCACGAGACACGATCTCGTCTCGAGATATCGTCTCATTTCCTCTTTATCTTTATAGTCAATGTTTTCCGAATGAAAGGCGAGGGAGGCGGGACGCGTAGCGTGTGCGTACGCGGTTTTTGGCACTAGTTCAATTCAAGCGCACCGACTATTCAAAAAGCTCGGTCACCGCTCTTTCTTTATATTTATATTTCTTTTTTTATATTTCTACTATTTTTTTTAATGCACACATGAAAAATCAACAGATAATAAAAAAATAAATGAAAAGAGCGATAAACGAGCTCTCCAAATAGTCGCTGGTGGGTGAATTGAACTCGTGCCAAGAACCGCGTACGCACACGCTACGCCTCCCGCCTCCCTCGCCTTTCAAGTCGGGAAACATCAATCAAAATCATCTATAAGCACTATGTGAAAGGATTTTTTCGATGTGTTATAAGCTAAAGTACCTAAGCTTTTCTTCTAGATCGATTACGTTGTGCGCCTGAGTACCGAAAGAAATCTGCGTCGAGCCGTACTCATCCATTCCTATGAAATTTTTTAGTCAACTTGAAACTATTCAACCTGCCATTTCGTCAACTATCACGTCCGTGCTTCTAGTTCCGACACAGTAGACCTTCGGACACAGCATTCCTGAAATAAAACCTCAGTTGAAACAGCAGAAACTGAAAAATTATTATGTAGGAAAGAAAATTTATCATTTTTGAACCTGTGAAGTGACTGAGACATGAGGTGCAGAACTCGTGGCGACAGTTGAGCTCTTGCATGTCTTCTTCTGCCTTTTGCTCGAAGCATATTCTACAAGTACGTTTGCTCATTAGAACGGAAATGAACTCGATTTCACGCTTGTTATCTATCAGGCAGAACTTTAAAAATTTTCAATTATGTTCTAGATGGTTTTTTTAATCAATTTTATTTTCAACTTCAGAATGTGTGCTACCATTAGGAACTGCAAACGGTTTTTGGAAAATTAAAGCACAATTAAAAAAAATGAATGCAGTCTATATAGAGGCAACGAGATTCAATAAATTTGGAAAAATTGGACCGAAAAATGTGAAAAAAATATAAATAAAAAAAGAGCATTTTTGAGAACTCTTTTTGGCTTGAAAGCAGGCTTGTGCGAGGGCCGGCCCGTCACCCTCCCGGCGCCCCGACCATTTCGTAAGCTCGGCCCGGCCCGGCCTTAGCGGGGCCTCAAGAAAAAAATGGCTCGCCCGGCCCAAAGCGCGCAATTTTTTTTCTACTCGGATATGAAGTTTTTTTACGACAAAAAAATTACGTTTTTTTCTCATTTTTTTCACTCAAAGTTTAACAAAAAAACTATGAATTCAGAAGTAAAACTCACATTTCGGTGAAAAATTTTTTTGAATGAAATTTTGAATTTTTTTGAAGCCCGGCCCGAGCCAACGCAGGCTTTTTTTCCTGAAAAATGAGGTACAAAGCCCGAGCCAGACCGGCGCGGGCCGGGCCGCCCGGCCTGACGCACAAGCCTGCTTGAAAGCTGTTAATGCAGGGGTTGCATGGGCGGAGCAAAAATGCAACGCGCATGCGCGCCTTCACGCCCTTGTTATTTTTCGAGAGAATAAATGGTTTTTTAATGTACTTACTATACTTCCATCAAGCAAATAAAACTGAATCAAACGAATTAAAACAGATTCAAAGAGTATGAGTAACAAACAAAAAACAGTAAAACTTCATGAAGTAAATTCGGAAATCGTTGCGACGCGCAAACTTGTTCCTCCCGTATGCACTCCCTCATAGAACAGCATACGCTTTTCATTTTTAAAATTTATGCCGTGTTCAATTTGATTCCGCGAAATGCAAAATATATTAAATACCAGTTAGAGAAAGGAAAAAATCACTAAATTTTGGAGAGTCAGAGATCATTTTGCATTTCGCGGAAATTACTTTGAACACGGCATTATTTTTCAACAGTTTTCTATTATATCCAAACCCAGCCAAGCCTGATTTTTTTGAGTTTTGACTTTCAAAAGATAGATAAGTTGCTCATTCATATGTTTCACTTTGTCCAATCGCTGTCAGTCAATTTTTGAAACCAAACAGGAATTTCAAAAAAAGTGTTTTTTTACGCATGTTTGAAACAGTACTACTTCTCTAGGTTACAAGATAATTCCGGTCACAAAAAGTACACAAGTTTTCATTTGTTTACCCAAAAACCTAGCTTGATTACCGTAATACGACCGGCCGCCTTGAACATGCGTTTACTCTAACGTTTGCGAGTTTCGATGGAATTTTTTTTCTTATTCTATTCCGATGGACTTCAATTAATTTTTAAACATAATATATCTTTTTTTACCAGGAACTGGAGATCGGCCAGCCGTTCAAACATATTTACAGCACAGCATAGATCCTTCATTATCAATTTTTGAAATTTTTCTCTTAATTCAGAATCTACGTGTAAAAATAAGGTATTGAACAACCCTATTTCACCTAATTGGGATTACTTCGAGCGCCCAAATCAAATAGCAAAAAAAATTTTTTTTGAAAAAAATATCTTTTAAAAAAAGAAATTTAGTGAATAAAAATATAAACAAAAAAAGTAGCGGGCGTTTGTTACTGTTAACCCATTTACCTTGTTTCAAAGACTGCAATGACGGGAGTCCGAAAAAAAAAATAGTATCCGTTTTTTTCCCTCTTTTTTTCAAACTCTTCTCGAGCACTACTGTGCATTTTTTTGATAGAGTAGCTATATTTAAATTAGAAAAAAAGGTGTGGTTGGGTTTTTATGCCGTATAAATTATGCGTTAATTTTTTTATACCCATTTATTTCTAGCTGGCGCGAAATGAGCTTATACATGTCCTGTCGGAGATCGATAGATCATAGCGCGGCAAAATATGTTTCTGGTTAACGTCAATTGATCTTTTATTTCTGAAAAAAATTTTTTTGAAATTATTTTAGATTAGCAGTTTTTACAGGATAAAAAACGGTTTAATAAAGTGTCAAAGTTTTTTTGCTGTGAACACTCAGTGCGCTATTTTTTATTGACCGAAATCCGCTTTATTGCGCAGATAATCCAAGAAAAAAAAGGGCTATTTCAAGGAGCATAGACACGTTTCAATTTTCATTTAAATCAAGCTGGGCCAAGAGGGTTTTAGTTTTATCCTGTGTTTTAAAAAGCGTTTGCGAACTAAAGGATTTTTGGAATATTTTTATCGTTTTAGTCAATTTTGCCTTTCTTTCTTGGAAAAAATTCAGTTTAGACACGACTTTTGTTTCGTAATTTTCGTGATCGGGCATGTCTTCGCCAAGTTTCTATTCTTCACCGCTACCTAAGTCTGTGTCGCGTCCCGATATCAGATTTCCAATGGTTTATCTTCAAATATTTCGATTTTTGTGAATAGCTGAATATAGCTTTTCTCGCCGTTGGCTGCATCGTCGCCCGTGTCCAACCGAGCACGTCCTCGCGCCGTAGTCATCGAACTGTCTCCTACGACATCAGACTCAAGTGTCTCAAGCGCCGACAGAACGCACCGCGCCACTAGGGGAGTCGACGAATCGCTGAGCATGTTTGTGAAAGTTTAATCGGTCAAAAATGTTATCTATCATTCAGACTTTGTCTGGACGATACTCCAGAACAGGAAGCAATCTCTTTCTCTTCAGAGCACACGGCACTGGAGTACGTCGATTCGTGAGTCTTATAACTTTTTTTCCATGCGAATAATAATTTTTTCATAGATTTGCCTTTTTGTCGCCTCCGTTCCCTCGAACGATACTTCAAAAGGCATTAGATTATTACGTACCGCTTTTTGAAAACTGCGAGGTTTTCTCTCTTTAAAATTACATCCTTTTTTCTCGTAGTATTCGAAAAAGGAGGAGTTTGTGGTGAGCACGTTGCGCCTCTCTGTCTTCTGGACGTCGTCGGTCAGACGGTTAGTGGGTCTGGAGTCCCTGCAGGAACTGACGTCTCCAGCCTTCCGGTCATTGCTCATCGACATTCTCGAAAAGTGTAAAGACGACGCTTCGAGGTCAAAGAAAAGTCCTTTTTCTAATGCTCATACAAAATTCGTTTAAATTCCACTTTAAAAAAAACCTTTATTCGGATTTTTCGTTCGTTCCCGAGCTTAACCTGCCCGACTGATTTTTTAATGTTTGAATTTTCGTGGAAAAAATGCTCAAAAATGGATACTACCGAAAAAAAAAGTTTACAAATTTTTTCTGAAGTTTCACTTTTTTTTTTCCATTTTTCTTTAAATTTTCATTCTCAACCTACATCTTCTGAAGCAGAGTCGCATTGTTTTCAAATACGATTTTTGAGATTTGTCTTCGTGGTCTCGAGAGGCGCCCGTGTGTCACACGTCACTCGCGAAGAGCTCCACACGTTTTTCTGCGACGCTCAGGAAACACTTCCAGATACACCGTTTCCTCACGATTTCTTCGCGGAGATAGTGAGACCATATTTGAAAGTAGAATTCATACCGAATATTTTTCAGGCCACTGAGCGCGTTTTGTGGAATGCATGCCGAACTTGGAGTGGCAAACTTCTGGTTACTGACATCAGGTCCTCTGAGAAGTTGATGAACTCGCTGCTCGACTATAGCACGGACCCATATTTGGGGTAAGCTATATTCTTCATCCATTTTTTTATTTTCGTTTTGTTTATACTTCCGTGCAAAGAAAAAATTTGAGTTTTTATCCTTTTGAAACTTTTACTTCTTTTAGGAACGCCGCTGAACTGATCTTGCATGAGTTGCAGCATTTGGGAGCTGGACGAACAGTCAGTCGCTTAGCTCTCGAAAGAATCAATTTCGGAGGTTTTCATCCAGAAATTGCTGACGATCTTGTTGATATTCAGCCATATCGAAACTCGTTTGGAGCCGCATATTTTCGCCGAATATCGTCCGTCCTGCGGCCGGAGCCGTCAGTGATGACTTCTTAACGCTTCAGCAGTTTCTCCACTTTTTTTTCGCTCACAACGGCATGGACGATGAGCAGAGGTAGAATTCCAAGGAAGGGTATAATACTCAGTTTTTGTAATGTTTCATATTTTCTAGCTCTTTTGCAGCAGTAAAAGCTTTGAAAGCATACTTCCTCTTTGGAAAAGTTTTTTTTTGAAGGCAGAAAAGATAAGTTGAGCTGGTAAAATTCACTTTTGTAAAAAAAGTTTCAATTAGTGTCGCGTCTTTGAAAAGTTTTAGAGAGTCATATGTATAAAAAAAAACAGAACTGTTCCAGTTTCTTCTCAGCGAAGTGCTATTTCTAGTGTAGGGCTAGTTTTGTAGTATCTATGTTCGTTAAGGTAGCAAAAATTCGAACAAACAAAACAAAAAAGAGTTGAAAAAGAAGGAAATTTCTTGGAAGACTACAAGAACTAAAGAGGTTCGCAAATACGGAGAGCTTTGTTGATAATGAGAATGATCAGTTGAAGTTTCGTGGATGGAATTGATTTTCAGCATAGAATACTGGATGCGCGTGCTCGATCTGAACGGAGACGGGCACCTTTCATTCTTCGAAATAGAGTCTTTTCACGTGTGTGTCTCCGACTACTTACTTCAGTATGGAGCTTCTTCTCTCGACTTCAGAGATCTGATTTGTCAGGTGAATATCCTTGTGGGCATGTCTGAATAAAACATTCATCAGTATTGCGACATGACGGAGCCCTCTAATTTGTATTGGACACTGTCGGATCTGAAGAAGCAGCCGCGGATGAGCTCCAGAATCATCGCAGCTTGTGTCAATGCTCGGAAATTTTTCTCAGATGAGTGCGAAGAGCGTAGGTTATTTATTAAGCGCCTCATACTCTACAGCTTTTTCAGGGTTCGACGTTGATAGAGTCAAGGACGTGGCTTTTGGGTTCGCACGCACCACTTGGGAACGTTTTATCGACGAATCTTTGCCCGAGGACACCTCTTCTGTTTCCAATCCTAGCGTCGAGTTTGTTGAAAGCCGTTCCGATGACCCAACCGCCCATGAAGTTTGTACACTAGATTGATTACATCATAGATATTCATTTTTTATTGCATGTACTATAAAAATAGAGCGCCTGTAAATATAGTGAGTCGGTGTCCAAAAATTGGATTTTATTGTAATTCTTTGTACTATTTTATTGATCAGTGATCTCAAACTACTCAATTTTTTTTTCTTGTGCCATGATTTGTTTTCAGCTCAACAAGTTTCCGATTTTCATATGCTTTCTCTGATGTATTTTGAACCTTACTGCAAAATGAAGAGGTTTCTCAAACGATTGTTCAAAAAAAAAAAATTATCTCTGTTTGTGCAGAGAATTCGTATGGGGATAGCCATGATTTCTTCGGAGTAAGAAAATTTTCAAATCTATTGTATTACTTTAAGCGATGAAGCTGACAAGGGAGTTAATTTTACTTTGCCGTTGTGGATTTATTGAAACTTGGCCAGAACACTCCTTGTTAAACCAGAAGGCAATTTGGAAAGTTCATGTGAGTCGAGCATGCCTAATTGATTTATAACGAAAAATAAAGCGTAAAAAGATTGTTTTTGAATGTCAAACTGAGTTCATTCGTAGAGCAGAATACAGAGCACAAGCGTAATTATTCTCTGAACCGGCGTTCTTATGCTCTTCAGAATGACGCCGAAAAGCCGAGCTGGCCGCACCTCAAAAATTATCGCAAATTTTAGACCGAACCCATAAAAGTATGCATAAAAATGCATCAGAGATAGCGCGGTAAAATAATGAAACTCTAAAAAAGATAATATTTTTGGAAAGTGTCCCTGGCATTTATGGTGACTGACAGAATAGACTCTTCAAGCTGCCATGAAACTCGGTAGCATCTCTCTGAAGTATATCGGTGAGACTAAAATTTACTTTTCCCAACTGTTTCTTAGTACCTGTTTCGATTTTCACGTGTTCGATTTCAGTTATCATATCAATGATTTCCCCAATATTTTGCGTTGATATTGACTACATGGTGATGGCGTCGCCGGTCGGCAACTCTGAAAACCTCCACAACTGTTCTTACGAAGAAGACTTGGTTAGCAAGATTTTAAGAGCCCCCTTCAACAACTTTTTTTGAAAAACGTTCTCTTAAAAAAAATTAAAAGTTGTACTTGAATGTTTGAAAAGGTCTAACTGAAATAGTGTTCAGGAGATGCGCGCTTGCCTTCTTCAGTACTTCAAACTTTATGGCGTCGACTACGGAGTCCTTCCGAACAGCTCAGTCGACCCTTTTGTGTCCATCCGTTTCGACGCTACCGATATGTGCAAGTCAGTTTTTTTTCGTCTTTGAAATTTGCAAAGAGATTCAATCTTTCTCCTCGAAAGAAGATAAGCATCCCTTGGTGAGTGACCCAATCTGAATGTTTGTTCGTTGCGCTCATAAAATACTGTATTCTCGTCGTAAATTCGAGCCCATGTATGGCTATTTTTAGCTTATCGAACTTTTTAACTGTTTTCAAAGTTTTTCTCCATTAACGCTGTAGAAACCAAAGTCGAAAATAACTCAAGTGTTTCGAAGATTTTTCTGTCAGAGAGTAAGCAAATTGTGAATGACTTTTCAAATGAAGCCGTTAAACTTTGACAATATTTGATTTTTAGCAACTACGCCATTTTGAAAGGGTGCCATGCACACGTCTTCGACAAATGCGTCAACTTCAACACTTTGCAGGCGATTTTGGAATCTGTTGAAGACACAAAATATTATGTATCTCAACTGGCTTTTGTTCATTTCTACTGCCAATATTCAATACAATGTACGCTTTTTCATTATCATTTTTATAAACAGTTTTGCGGTTTCCTATGAAAAAGTATTTTCCAGTTGTGAATTACTTCGACTGCAAGGAAAGGATTGCAGACGACGACTTAGGTGAGCTGATCTACGACGAATGCCGAGAACACGAAATTGGATCTTGCGAGTTGGTCTTTTTTTTTTCATATTATTGAACGAAATTTATCAACCTGGGCGATATACATTTGATTTACAGGTCGGTGGCCCACACGAAAAAGTGCGAGCGCGCAGTTTTTCGGAGGACTTGCGGCTCGAGAAAGTCTCTGGAAGGCTATTGCCGCTACTCAACTATCCTCCTGGAGATGACCGGCTGGAACATTTGTGAGGACATGCCCTGTGTTAGCTTCTCCGTCCCCAATTCAACGATACTAGTTTTTTTGGTATCTATTTTGTTTCTATATAATAAACTTGCCGAGTGATTTTTTTTTGTTGTTGAGAAACTTACGGAAACAGTTCGTTGCAAAAGTGAAAAAAAAGAGTCGACAATAAAATAAAAAACATCAAAGTTCAAATATGTGACGCGAAGAGGTTTTTGATTTTATTTTTTCATCTCTATCTTTTTTTCATAACTCATTCCACGCTAGCTTTTCACGGTTTTCCTTTCGCTAAAATTACCGTATACCAAATTAGATCAAAACGGAGCATCTTCGCTTCTGTAGGTTTTAGTTTTTGCTGTCTTATCATCTGTTTTGTATATAGAGCAAAACTTCGTGTTTACGGTAGCTTTTTCTTTTCTGTTGTTTTAAACCGTATCGCGCAGAATACACATATAGTTGATTCACGGCTCACTTGAGCTATCGGAAAAAGGGTCTTGAAAAGATAATGCACGAGATAGCGCCTGGCTCGTGGAAAGCACAGACAGGCCGAGCTCTCTTCGCGTCCCAAGCTAGCATATACATATAGTACTATAATTTAAATGGAAACAGACTAATTTTCAAGCAAGCAACTGAAAAACTTGAAAAAGGGAAAAATTGCTCCAGTGCGCCGCAGCATACAGTACTTTCGTCCAGGCCCGGCCTGACGCACAAGCCTGCACGAAAGTAAAAAAAAATTTAAAATTTCATTTAAAAAATTTTCACCGAAATGTGACTTTTACTTCTGAAATCATAGTTTTTGTTAAACTTTAAAAGAAAAAATGAGCAAAAACGTAATTTTTGTCGTAAAAAACTTGATATCCGGATAATTTTTTTCTAGTCGGATATCCGACTAGAAAAAAATTGCGCGATTCGGGCCGGGCCGGGCTTACAAAATGGTCCGGGGGCCGGGAGGGTGACGGGCCGGCCCTCGCACAAGCCTGCTTTCGTGTGAACGCGTAATGGCGTGTTCATCGGAGAAACGGAACATGCTGCAAAACGAAAAATCGTGTTCATCGGCGCGCCAAAGTTGCTCCAAAACAGTACTAATTTTTGTTTTGGAGCAATTTTCTTGCGTTTCGAAGCAATTTTCGTTCTGTCCGATGAACACGCCATAAAAAGCGGTGCGCCGTTTTCAGAAAAAAATAATTGAGAAAACGAATTTTTCAATTCGTTAACTCATTCAACGAGATAGTTTGAAGTTAAGAGTGCATCGTGCGGAGAAATGGATTGAGCAGTAGAAAAATATTATAGACAGTATAAGTTAAAGACCTCCGATCGTCATTTTGCCCCACTTTGTTTAATAACTTCAAATTAGGATTCCGATAGTGTTTTTTTTTTCTCGTTTTTCAAATTAGTAAAACAGAGTTGGAGGTTTATAAATATTCATTGAATTTATTAAGTGGAAAAAAGTTTTAATATAATACGAACCACCAAAAAGGATCTTTTTGAATGCGTAAGTTGCAATTTCGCAATTTTGCAAAATATTGAACAAGGTTTTTTAGCCATGGATTTTTTTTTCATTTGGTCATAAACACAAGATTCAAATGAATCTTGTGTTTATGACCAAACCAAATTAACAATAATTGATTTTCATAGACCTTAAAATGTTTCACAGGTCTTATGTTCAACTTTTTTTGTCCGCGGACCAGAGATGAATATCTAGTTCGTAAATCTTCTGGGAATCTATATGAAAATTGAGTTTAAGGTATTTTTTGTCCATATGAGCTTGTTATTCAGGTTTCGTAATGATTTACAACAATTGAGTGGGGATCGCCTTCAGAAGCACTCAATCAGCGATTCGTTGAGATCAATCGAACGATTTGTCGCTTTAATAGGTTGAAAGTAGACATATTCTTTTGAGAATATCATTTTCAGATAATGAGAAAGTTCATTACCGAGTGTTACTATGCATCAATACGCTGAAAGGGAATCAAGGTGGAATAATTGGATTCAAGGAGCGCGGAGTTGGTTTTTTTTTTTGCAAAATATTTATGAAAATCTGACTAAAAGACCAATAAATATTGGTATTGATTAGTGAAGTTTTTCTGTTAGTCATCGAGCAAATTTGACGTTTGAAGGTGGCTGAAACGGAGTTGTTCCCAACGAAAGAAGACTACGATGAAGCTATTGTGAGCTCAATTGCCCGACGTTAGTTTTCAGTTAATTTTGCTTCTCCAACGCTTTGTAGACGTTGTGCGAATTCGCGAAGCCGTCGGAAGAGATGCTCTCAGCAGAATAATCACGAATGTTTGGCAAGAAGCCAGTTCGAGGCCTGAATTGTTGGGAGAGACTGTGATTCCCGGATTCGAACCATGCTGGTTGGTTTTTTTCCATCCTCGGGCAAAGTCGGAATTGTGGATAATGGCCTTTAAAAGGGAGTGGCTCAAAAAAGGCCGCATAAAAACAGCAAAAGGGTCCCTTTATCGAGCCTCCCATTTTTAGGACCTTTGTCACCCTTTTCGACTTTGCCTATGTCTCGGTATTTCAATTCCTTTCATCGAGATAATGTCTTCAGCCTCTCGTCCTCGGCCAATGACAAGAGTTTTAATCGAATTCAGGAGATCTCACGGACTCTCCAACGTTCCAACAACTCTTCTTCTCAAACCAACCCGTTTTTCCTTTCTCTTTTCAGAATTAATTCTCCAATTCTCAGAAAATGGGCGCCGGAGTACGTGGAATGGCCAGCTTCTTCTGCAGAATCCGTAGAATCGGGGATGCCAAGCACCTCACAACTACCGCAGTCTTCAGTAGTGTTCAGGGTTTTTGACATTCATTCACTCAATATTTCTCAGATGGGCCCAGTCTACGAGGCTCCTCCAACAGATCTTTTGACACTAGTTCGCCTCGCTTTTCCTGATAGCCACGATGTATCTGAAAACTTGATGCTGGAAAATCTCATTCCGATTTCAGGTCATAATCCAGCACGTTACCGATCTACTGCATTCTAAACGTCCGAACAGCGACTTGCAAGGAGACGTGAGTTTTTGAAGATTGTCACAAAGGGCCGAATAAAACATTTTCTAGTCATAGTGACTCTTGATGTGACTAAACTGGTACTATTCACAATTTTATCAACTTTCGTTTTAGAAATTTACGAAAGTTGATAGCCATTAGCTTCACGGTGGTAATTAAAGGGTTTCGATTTGTTCATTAAACTCGTATACTTTTTTCAAAGTTGTTTGTGTTTGAAAAACCTAAATGTGCAGGCTCTATTATTGTTTTAAGGGCAAAGATTGCGAGCTTTTCAATGAATCTTTAAGGCATGATCTATCTATCTCTTCCAAAGACCGCAGCAAATGATTTTGACCAAAATTTTTCTTTTTATCTGACATTTATCATTTGCACATTAGAGTGAGATGCTCGTTTCAGCTGATAGATCTGCTGGGCTTCGAACACTTTGATCTGGTGGGAATGTTGCTCGAAAACCGAGAACAGATCTGCTCCAGTAAACAGCGAGCCGCCGTCTCCGGCATCAAGCCGACCAAGGTAAACTATGTTCCAGTTGACGGGTTTATTCGTGCACGACGCAGTTTTTGAAGAAAGACAGTGTGAGTGTGACGATGATGAGGACCGACATGAGGTATCCGAAGCCCGCTTGAACGCATCGTTCGTTGCAAATGTACAGTTCTTGTACCTCAACCGTTTCCATTAAAAAAGTTGGGACTCTTTCGTTCTCAAATAGTTCTCTTTCCGAATCGGAGATCTTCCATGCAATTTAACACGTTTTCTTAAATTTTCTTTCTATTTATTTCCTTGAAAAATAGGCCTTCGTCTAGAGTTAAATTTTGGATCAAGCCCATTCGTTTAATGGAAAAGATTCATCCACGAAATTTTTTATTTTAGAAGTTTGTCTAGGGTTTTGTTCCGTAGGATTCAGCCTCCCTAGGTCTCGAGAGACGTAGAAAAATTTATTTTGGTTCCAAAGAATTACTTTTAGTTTGGTAGCAAAAAATTTGAAAGTAATGTAAATCAGGAAATATATAAAGTGGTTTAGAGAACAGTTTGACTGAATATTAATTTGAAGGAGTACTCTAAAAAGTTCTCCGACTCAATAATAATCAGATCGATTAAAAGAAATTGCGTAATACCCCTTGAGACGCTAAAATGTCGCTGTTACTGCAGCCGATTCTGGTGCGAAACTCCTGAAACTCGCATTCTCAAGGAAAATCTTCGACACAAAAAGAGAAACCCGCAGTTTTGCGGCCCAAATCGGAGCTTTCATGTAAGTGAATGTGGCGTTGGCGTACTGAGGAGGCACTAGAGCGCATTTGGAGACTTGTTCTCCGCCTGGAAAGCAGCAAGGCTTCCAGAGAATCAAAGCATAAAAAGAAAGAGAAAAAGGGCAAGTAAATCACTTCTTTTTTCTATTACCTGTCCATAAGCAACTAGTTACGTAGTCAGTGATGTTGTCGTCAAGCAGAAAACCGGCGACGTCATCTACGCACAGAAAAGTTCGAGCTTGAATCAGCGAATATAGTTCTGAATTCCTGAAACCATCCGAGTCATGGAAGTTCTCGACTTCCATACTTGCTGATAACTTGTATGCCTTCGTCTTTGACGAGATTCCACAGTTTTTCCAGCTGCTCTGCGTGTAATCGTTTTGTACGAAACTTGTTCATCTCAGGGTCTTTGTAGGGCCTGGAAATTCTTCAAAACTTCATTAAAAATTTGGGAGTAACTTGAAATTAGTGGCGCAGAACTCAATGTTGCTACATTGCATGATTTGAGCTTGATTATCGAATTGGGAATATATCAGTGGAGTGAATAGGACGTTCAGAAGTAGTACAAGATTTGACGACAACATTGTTTGAAATGAGTTGAGAATCTCACGGTTTAATTCGAGTATTTATATTCATTTGCTGTTTTAAAGTTTCAAATTAAGACGCCGGCCGTGTTGTCGCAAGTGACGGTCCAGTCGCGATCCCAGGCAGAAATGAAGAAAGAAATGCGAAGAGAGCAGAAACGAGCACGAAGAGATCAGAATAGGTGACGCCTGTACTCAAATTCTTGCTGGAGCGTTTGAAGGAGCAAATTCGTGAAGATCGTGAAAAGCTATTTTCAATGTTAAAGCCAAGTTTGATGTCTAACTGAGACTTTAAAAGCCCAGCAAGCAATCAACGGTCATGTCTTTTTTATTCAAATTGCTATGGTTCAGAATAACGAACGCCTTTGGAGACGAAGAAAAACTGGAGATGGAGTTGATTCAACGGGAAATCATGCGACAGAGGTGGAGGATTTTTTTAAAGCGACTTTTTGGCAAAAGATCGTCATAACCATTAAATTTCGTTGCCTGTTTTATGTCAAATTTCAATATCATGCGTCCTTAATTTTCTTTTTCAAGTTCATAATTTTTCCTTTCAGACAACTCGAAATGGAGAGTATGACTTCAATGCCGAAATTCGTATCCGCAGCGCCAAAGGAAGTCTTTCCATTCGTGTTCGACTCGAGGATACAAGCAAATCTCACATCTTTCGATTTCGGTGGATTCAAAGTAACTTGTTTTTCCATTCGAATTACTTTGGAAACTACAAAGTGCGTGATTTAGGACGGTTTCTTTCATTTATTCTTTACTAGGGAACGTTTCTCATCTCCCGGTTGAAATTCCGATGAAAGGTTCCTAAAGGGCACTTTAGGACCTCCAGAGTCCAGAACGAGTAAAACATTTCTCGCACTTGATCTTGTTTTCCGGTTAGTACGCTTCAAAAGTCCGAAATAGCGCTTTTTTTTCATAATTTGCGTATTTTGCGGACTTCGAAGCTCAATAACTTGAAAACAAAATCTATTGCGAGAAATTTTCATCTTGTTCTGCTATCAGCAGGTCCAAAAGTACACTTGAGCAAAGTTTCATCAAAAGTTCAATCGGAGTGGGGAAGAAAAAAGTTCCCTACTTAGAGCAGAACGGGGGTTTCAAATATTTCAAGGTCTCTTCTGGAGCTCATATATTATTTTGGGATGCTTAAAAATCGCAGGAAGTTTTCATGTTTCTCTTGGAAAACGCCTAGGAGTCCCCGAATTTCTCGGTGTTTCACGAATCCAAACTTCATTGCTGTTCTTTCCAGTTCGTTCTTCCGGAAAACGCGAAGCGAGAAGTGGGAAGGGACGTAGAAGCTGTGACGGTTCCTGCGCCGAGCCAGTCGGACCTCGGTCATATCGAGCACGTCTACGTCAAGGACATGGATGACGTCAGGCGTCCTTGTATTTTTCCCCAGAAAACGTGGTTTGCAGTTGGGCCGACTTGGCTTCAAAGGCTTCGAGAAGCTCAATGTGATTCAGTCGATCGTCTTTGAACAAGCGTACAAAACCAAGGAAAATTTGCTGATTTGCGCTCCGACTGGAGCAGGTTCTCAGATTTTTTCTAATGAAATCTGTCTTGAGCAAAGTTTCGGAGTATTATATAGTTCATTTTCACAAAATTAGTCACTTAGCCACTCTGTATAGATGGACAAGTTTTTCAGAACTCATTCAGCTCGGTAAGAGTCGTTGACAATTTTTGGATAGTTAGGGGATAAAATCAAGTTTCTGAGGTAGTTTTAACCACAATAATGAAAAAAACTTGGGAGGAGGGGTCGGCGGCCTTTAGAAATGTTCTACACATGTGAGTCACTCTGAGAAAAATGTGCAAACGGTTCTTTCAATCGACGAAGTCAAAAATGCCAACTGGATGAAGCCATAATCAAATGAAATTTCGAAAATCACCAGTGAAAATAATTTCATCTAAACTTCAAGGTAAGTTCAGTTGAATAAATTTTTTTTAAAAAATCTTTAAAAATGGTCAAGCTTAAGTTAAGTTTTGAAAATTTTCGAGCCGCTCACAAAATTAAGAAGTTTTGCGAAAGTTCGAGAGAATTAAAGTTTTTCTCAGTAACTTTGATGTCAGTAGCCTCAATATGGGTGGAAAAATGGTCGAACCATTATTTTCTAGGAAAAACCAACATTGCAATGCTGACGATCTTGAACACAATCCATGAGCATCGGAGGCGGAATGGCGAGATCGTGAAAGACGACTTCAAGGTCCTTGTCTTCCATTCGTTCAGAACCGCCTCAAGAAACCTATAAAAATCTCGCTTCCAAGCAGTTTCTTCAGATAATTTACATCGCTCCTATGAAAGCATTGGCAACGGAAATGACTGAAAACTTTGGAAAACGTCTGGCTCCATTGGGTTTGAAAGTTCGAGAACTCACCGGAGATACCCAACTGTCGAAGAAAGAGATCTCTGAAACTCAGGTGCAATTTTCCTAGTTTCCAAATGTCCACCCTGGTGTCAGATGCTGATATTGACACCCGAGAAATGGGACGTCGTCACTCGGAAAAACACAACAGACAATTCTTTGACGGCTTTGGTCCGGTTGCTGATTATCGATGAGGTTTTTCGTCGATTTATTCGTTTATTCGTCCAGAAAAACGCCTTTCCATTTCGAAATCGATGGATAATAACCTAAAAATGGAAATATCCTGGAATAGGAGGGATTCATCTCAATTTTATCTCTCGAATTTTAACCTGTCTTCACAGGTTCATTTACTACATGACGAGCGTGGTCCGGTGATCGAAACGATCGTGGCGAGAACCCTTCGACAGGTGGATTCCCTGCCTCTCAGAAAGTCGAGAATCCCAGAATCGCAGGTGGAAATGTCGCAGACGGGCATCAGGATCGTAGGACTGTCGGCCACGTTGCCCAACTACTTGGATGTGGCGCGTTTCCTGCGAGTCAACCCCTACAAGGGCCTCTTCTTCTTCGATGGCCGTTTCCGTCCCGTTCCGCTGACCCAGAGGTAGCAACGGATTGTGCTTTCTTTTTGAGATGAAAGAAAAATGATGAGCAGAAGATCGAATTTTTTTTTTGATGCAAAAAAATTAAAATTGGAAAAATGTCATGCTTATCCAATTTTATTCAAAGACTTTGCTCAATTTAAGAGGTATATTCAGCTTTTTCACTCATCTAGCCATGCAGAAAAAGTTTTTCTTCCAATATAATTTTTTCTGACTGAAGAATGTTCACATCAGGGCAATTTTTCCAAAAAAAAATCCTTCAGAGATACTCTAACTCTTTCTTAAGTCTGTACAACTTTCCGGAGGGGTTGATCTCAGACTGATCGACAGATGAGCGCGAACCTTTAACGATCACTGTATTGTAGTTTTTAGGTTTGTCGGCGTTCAGACCAAGGGCGGTTCATTCCGCGACAAGCAGGATCGTATCGATGAAGTTTGTTACAATGAAGTAATGCACCATGTGCGGCAAGGACGTCAAGTTTTGGTCCGTTTACATGCTCCGTCTCTCGATTTTGGGCTCGAAATTATGTTCCTACTCCCCGTTTCAGACCTTTGTCCATGCTCGAAATGCAACGGCCCGTCTTGCCGAATACTTCATTTCGAAAGCTTCTCAAAATGTTGGTAACCTCGAAGCTTGTTCAACAACCTTGAAAAATTAAAAAGGAAAACGATATTTCCAAAGATTAATGCATTTTTCTACGCTTGTAAAGTTTGGCGCTGTTATAAAATCGGAAGTATTTTTTTTTCGAAAGGGCTTTCTATTTTTCCCAAGTAATAAATACTTTTATCGGATTACTTTAAAAAAACGATTTTAGGGAGAGCTGGACTTGCTTTTGGGGAAGACAATGGGAACTCGAGAGTATGTAGGCGTGGAGAAGGCCGTGCAGAACTGCCGGAACAAAGGCCAGCTGCTGAATCTGTTCCAAAGAGGCCTGGGAATCCACCATGCAGGCCTCGTCCGTCACGACCGTCTTCTTATGGAGAAGGCTTTTGGCGGAAACCACATTCAGGTCGGCTGCTGCCGCGGTCAGGCCGTCTCAACTCGGCTTTCAGATACTTTTCTGTACTGCGACTCTCGCTTGGGGTGTCAATCTTCCAGCAAACGCCGTTGTTATCCGAGTGAGAAACTCAGGAAATGTGAATTTCTTAATCGGATGAATCAGGGAACGGACGTGTTCGATGCCGAGAAAGGAACTTTCAGCGACCTCGGTGTCCTGGACGTGCAGCAGATCTTCGGACGAGCTGGTCGGCCGCAGTTCAGAAGCGAGGGATACGGTCTCTTTGTGCGTTGGAGCAAATTCATCTGTTGTTTCCAGGTGTTATTATCACGGAACAAGCGAAATTGCCCAAGTACCTACAAATGCTCATCCATCAGGCGCCCATCGAGAGTCAATTCTTCAAAAGGATTCACGACAATCTGAACGCCGAAATAGCTCTCGGTGGGGTCTTCTCTGACTAAAAATACTTTTTGGACTCGAAACATTTACAGGAACGAAAAAATAAAGTTTTGGGACATGTTCATCGGAGAAACTGATAGTTTTTCAAAAAGCAAAAGCGGCGCACCAAATTTGCTCCAAAACAGTACAAATTTTTGTTTCGAAACAATTTTCGGTTTGCCCGATGAACACGCCATAATGAAAAGATTGGCATTCTTGAGAAAGTTTCTGAAAGTCAGAAAAAGTTTTTTTTTTTTGGAAGTAAAGTCACTCAAAAATGAGAAAAAAAAGCAAATTAATTGAAAACCTGAAAACAGAAGTTTTCTCTTCGCGTTCAACCGGATAGGCTGCGCCTTTTTTCTCAGAAGTGAAGAAGTCGCTGAAATGACGGTTTTTTGTTCGAATTTTCACCTAGAATCAGATTTGTGACGTTCTTTGTGCTCTTGCAGGTACCGTGTCCACAATCGATGAAGCGATAGAATGGCTCACGTACACGTACTACTACACTCGGTCGCTGCTCAATCCTACCGTCTACGGCTTTCAACACACGGCCATAGAAACCGTCAGTTCAACAGGATCGGGATGAATCCTTGAGATGATTAGGACCCCGGGCTCCGCAACAACTTCACGCAACTTCTGACGAAAATCGCTGTGGAGCTGGACGACGTTCAGATGATTCGCTTCGACGCTGCTACCAACTTTGTCCACGCCACTGACCTCGGCAGAATCGCTTCCAACTTCTACATCAAGTTCGAGACGATCGTTCTGCTCAAGAGCTCTGGTATTCTTGAGAATGAATTTCTTAAATTTTTTCAACTTTTAGAATCCGGAATTGGGTTGCCTGTGTCTTTCACTGAAGTCATGACTGACGACATGATTTTCGGGCTTGTTTCAATGTCTTCAGAGTTCAGCAACCTCAAGGTTTTTCCCGAACTGCAAAAAGAAAAACGGAATCTGGCTCGCATTATTATTACTCTCCTATAATTGGAATCTAGGCTATTCAATATCATCTTCGAATAACCATTGCCATTTTCAAATTTTGAGGTGCGCGAAGAAGAAATGGCCGACCTGGAGATGTTGATGAGCAACTCGTGCATGTTGAAGGTTGTGGGTGGAGGATTGGCCAGCTACGCAGGAAAAGTCAACGTTCTTCTCCAGGCGAGCCGAGTCCTCACTGCCCTTCTCAATCGCCTCTTTGCAGTCGATCGTTTCCAGAACCGAAATACGCAACTTTGCACTTCTTTCTGAGCAGTTCTATGTGCAGCAGAACGCCGGACGACTTTGCCGCGCCATGTTCGAAATCGTACCTGCGAGAGTTGGACTTACCCGGAAAAGACCATTTTTTAGGCTTTGCGGAAGAATTGGTCTCATGCCACCAACGCCTTCCTCTGTATCGCCAAAAGCATCGAACAGCATTTCTGGCCCAATCAGAGCTCGCTTAGGTTTCCTTAGAGAGGCTTCAGAAATTTTATTCTAGTGTCCAGACAGTTGATTCCGCATCAGATAATCACGCCGACGCTTGTGGAAAAAGTTGAGAGAAGGCAGATTCCCGAAGTGAAGCTCCTCGAAATGTCTCCTCGGGAACTGGGTGAGTGGATTCACAGGGGATATAATCACACTTGTCGGCTTTTCTGATCGGAAAATGTTTTCGATGACCACTGTCTGTGTTGGGTTTGAATATTGAACTCCTACCTCCAAAAAATTAAAAAGTTCGACAATTCCATACAACAATAAATAAAGATTGAGCGTTGGAATTGAAAATAGCCCGGCTGGTCATTCAAATCTCCTTCCAATTCCAGGTCACATGTTCAGTTGCAACGGAAACCAACTGCACGACGCATTGAAGTCGATCCCAAGAATGGAAGTCGAGGCGTTCTTCAAGCCAATCACTTAGTTTGGAAGTCTGTTCGGTTCTACGAATATGAGTCGGATTCAGCACGATTGTTCAAGTCGAAGTTTTCATGACGCCGGCCTTCATTTGGAACGACCGCTTCTTGGGAAAAGGCGGCGCTCAATCGTTTTTCCTCTTTTTGGAGAACATCAACGAGAATCTGATCATGCACGTCGAACGACTTGCCATCAATAAAGTCAAAGTCAGTGTGTGCAACAGCGGTTGGAAATGTTTTGAGGAAAATGGAAATTTATAAGAGTTTTCAAGTTCAGAGAAATTTGATATTACTTTCCTTTCGTTTGGTTTCATTTTCTTTTCACTGTGAAATCTTCATAATGTGGCCAAAAGAGTGGCCCACTCTCCGTATTAAAGGCGAGCATAATGCTGAGTTATTTCACGAATTTTCGAAACAAAAACGTGATTTACCATTCGTAGTTCAATTTTCCACTCTGAGACTGCTTATACTCTGCATTTTATAATGACGAACATGTCAGGATCTTTCTTCTCACTAGTTTCGAACTCACCCAGCTCTTCGAAATAAAAGTTAAGGTGGTGAGAGGCGAGCCGCAACACCTGGTCTTCACGATCCCGGTCCGCGACCATCAGCTCACCAACAACTACCAGCTGCGCGTCACCAGCGAGCACTACATGGTCCAAGACACGGTCGTCCCCTTGTCCCTCCACAACTGCATCCTGCCCAAGTCCTACACCGCTCACACTGGTGCGCAGGCTTTCACTCTTTCATATTTCCCTTTCTTGAGATTTGCTCAATTTGGATCCCTTACCCGTCAAGACGCTGCGTAACTCCAATTTCGAAGCATTTTACAAGTTCCCGTACTTCAATCCTATTCAAACGCAGGTTACATTCTTCTTCGAGTTTGGGAAAATACATGATTTGTTGAGGTATTTTTCTGTTTGTACAAAACGGACGAAAGCGCGTTGATTGGTGCACCGACAGGTTCCGGAAAAACGCTTTGTGCGGAGTTGGCCATGTTCCGGTTGATCCAGCAGCATCCTAAGAAAAAGGTTCAATTTCGAATAGATGAAAGAAGGTCATCTAAACGGGGATACATTAGAAAATTTGAGATCAGTCTTAGGAGCTAATTTTCAAAAAATAAAAACCAATCGAAACTTAGAACGACTTTGGTTTGGGAAGACTTGGGAGGGGGAGGTTGAGGCCTAGAAAAAAATGTCTGCCCATGTGTGCTATACTGATATTTAATTTATTCACTCTTTTCAATTCTTCTGACGTGTACCAAAGTTCTTTTTTAAAAAATAATATCACTTTCCATCTTTTTCGAAAGCTATCGATAATGTTTGAACTTTGAATAGCCATTTCGATAGAAAACGAAATATTTCCCTTTTACACAGATTGTCTACATTGCTCCTCTGAAAGCGCTGGTTCGAGAACGAGTAGATGACTGGAAGGCTAAATTCGAAAAACTTGGCTACAAGTTGGATGAGCTTGCGAGCTTATCGAATAGTTGATTCAGAGTCGTGGAGGTTTCTGGAGACGTGACCCCAGACACGGCGACGCTGTCCTCGTCCACTATCCTGATCACGACTCCGGAGAAGTGGGACGGGATCTCTAGGTGGGAACCGGAGAAGGTAGCAAGATGGAAGTGAGGCTGACTGCAGGAACTGGTCTTCGCGAGAGTACGTTCGTGAGGTCGGCCTCATCGTTCTCGACGAAGTCCATTTGCTCGGAATCGAACGTGGCGCGGTTTTGGAAGCCATCGTTACAAGGTGCTTTCGGAAAAAAATTTTTGATACCTAATCCTTCTCGTTCCTCAAAATGTGTTGAGTTTAAAAGAAGCAATTTAGGGCGTATATTCTTCCTCATTTTTTATCCTCCTCTAGTTCTTGAATATCTTTTGAAGAAGTTTCTCGTAGATCCGTATTTCTATTTTTTGAGATGTGAACGATCTTTTTCGACTGGTGTTAAATGGGAAATTGAATAACAGAAAAATTGATAATATTTTAAAATTTGATTTGAGACTGAAAATGATCACAAGACGCTCTGCGACCCGAGAAGAACCTGCACGTCTCCTCGGACTTTCCACAGCTCTGGCGAACGCCGGAGACGTTGCCGAATGGCTAGGAATCAAAGATGTAGTCCTTGTATTGCATAAGTTCGAAATAGCCGAGTCTTTGCAGCATGGACTCTACAATTTCCGACCATCGGTGCGGCCGATTCCCATCAGTGTGCACATCCAAGGATTCCCCGGCCAGCACTACTGTCCTCGCATGGCGCTCATGAACAAACCGGCCTTCCGAGGTATTTTTCGACACATTTAGTAACAATCAAGTTTTCACTTTGAAAATATCAGCCCTTTTCATCTTTTCCATTCGAAAACGGAAAAAAATGAAAAATTCGTTTTTGTCCTCTAAGAAAATTTTTGATATGAGATAGGTGTCTCTCTTTTCTCACCAATCGGATTGCGAGAAACTTCAAAGTGAAATCGATTTTACCAATGACTATCTGCCTAATACGAACAAAGACGAAAATTTTCCAGCAATAATGACGTACTCGCCCGAAAAGCCGGTGTTGGTTTTCGTGGCTTCGCGGCGACAAACGCGCCTCACGGCGATGGCATTCGTCAACCAGTTGGTGGTGGACAGCAACCCCCGCCAGTGGCTCCACATGGACATGCAGGAGGTCGCGTCGCTTTCCGACATCTTCTAGAACCTCGGGTTGCAGCTCGAGGTGCTCATGCAGTCGGTCAAGGACGAGAACTTGAAGCTGACGCTTCCTTTCGGCATCGGACTCCATCACGCCGGCTTGTCGCCCCACGAAAGATCTCTTGTCGAGCAGGTCTATATTAGCGCAATCTTTTTGGACACGTATAAAAAGTTTCGAGAAAGCCGCCTAAAATATCCTAGGATAAAGTAGTGGTGACAAGAAACACTTTTATGGAGTTTTGCCCCTTAGAAGTTTTTTATTAGTTTAGGAAACCTTCGAAGCAAGTCTATAAAATTCAGCAAGTTTTAAAAAACTGGCGTTTTAAGAGAACTCAATCATTTCCGAAAAAGACTGAGGTCAGAATATGGGTTTTCCGACTAAATTAATGTTTATCATTCAACGAAGTTTGATAGATTTTCAAAAGAGTTTCGCTTTCTTTTCAGCTCTACATCGATAAAAAGATCCAAATTCTAATCGCGACGGCGACACTCGCCTGGGGTATCAACTGTCCTGCTCACTTGGTCATTGTCAAGGGAACCGAGTTCTACGACGGCAAAACTTGCAAATATGTCGATTTTCCTGTGACTGGTATGAACACGAAAATGTGCAATGCTTACATAGTCGCCAGATGTCTTGCAAATGATGGGCCGTGCTGGACGACCGCAGTTCGACGATTCTGCCGTCGCCGTTATTTACGTCCAAGACTCCAAAAAGACGTTCTACAAGAAGTTCCTCTATGAACCGTTTCCCGTTGAATCGAGGCTTTCTCTGCACGCTGTTTCACATCTCAACTCGCTCCTTTTTAGCTTGCTCCCCGTCTTTCCGAACCACGTCAACGCGGAAATCCACGCTGGAACCATCGATTCAAAGCAATCGATCGTCGAGTATCTGTCTGGAACCTACTTGTACCGTCGACTTTTTGTCAATCCAAAGTTGGCTTCTGTTTCATTTTCACAAGAAATTACCGATCTTTGAAGTTTTTACGGTTTGGAAGAACTCAGCGAAGAAGCCGCGTTGAATTTCATCACAAATGCCGTCGACCACTGCGTCGGAGAGTTGCTCCAGTCGAAATGCATTGTCGTTGACGAGGTTTTTCTAAACAATAAAAAGAAAAAGTTCTACTATTTGAGGAGAACAAAGAGATCCGATCGTCGCCCTACGGCAGACTAGCTTCGGTGTACTATTTGCAACACAAAACGATCAGATTCCTTCTGGAAGAACTCAAGTCCACCTCCACCATTGAAGACATGCTCAGGATCATGACTGTGGGTGCGGATTTCCGGTGTCTTCTCAATTTCGCTTGCAGCACGTCCCCGAATACGCTGAGATCCCAGTTCGACACAACGAGGACCTTCTCAACACGTTAGAACGCTCAGAACTCTGTGGCAGTGTTTGATATTTTCAGTGACCTCCAGAAAACGATGCGGATCCGTTTCCCGACATCTGCCATGGACTCTTCGCACACGAAAACTCATCTTCTTTTCCAAGTATGTTTTTCGGTTTCGAAATCTTCGAAAGGGCCTTTTTTTAAAGGCGTTTTTCATGAGGATGACGCTCCAGACGGACTACAGAACTGATCAGAAGAGCGTTTTGGATCAGTGCGTGAGAATCATGCAGGTTTCTGGAAGTCTCCGTTTCTTCATCCGTTTTTTATTTGATCAGGCTATGCGCGAAATCTGCGTTTTGCATCAATGGTGCACGGCCGTCATGAACGTGACGTATCTACAGCAAATGTGCCACACTGGACGGTGAGTTTCTGA